TCAGGCCCTCCATCGCCGCCTGCATGGAGGGGAAGCCGCCTTAGCTCCAGGTAGTGCCCGCAGAGCACCCACCAGGTTGTCCTGTACCTTTCAGCCAAACTGCCCGTCCATCGGCACTTGCGTCTCGTCATCGGACCTCACTCCGTCCCTCGCCCTCACCGCCATCTGTGATTATAGCAGAGCAAGGGCAGACAAGCAAATTGGGGAAGGCGGAGACGGCCCGCGAAGAACACTCCGTACATGCAGTGATTCTATACCGGTACATAGCGAATGTACACAGCTTTCAGCCATAATTCGTGCCCAATATTAGGTAGACACCTTACGGCGGTACCTCTGGCCAGCTTAGCTAAGGTCTGTGCCTCGGGAACGATACGACTACCTGTACCTCCCATTTGCAAAGTGCCCAGTTGGGGGCGAGAGGGTTTGACATCACAGAATCCTCTCAAGTCTGTTGCGTGTCCAGACGAGATCGCGATACCAGGCGCTTTGGACTGGGCCACTTCGCCTCCGGCCGCCTCCTCGGCGCCAGCAACGGCTTGGGGCGCTTGAGGGCGCCGCGCGCAGGTATCGGTGCCACCTGGCTGCCCGTGAGCTGTTGCCAGCGAGACTCCAACAGAGCTCCTGGTGACGCTTGTCAGCCGCCCTGGCCAAGCCTCCGCAACCCCCAGGCGCTCGTCTGTCTCGCTGCGGATTGAGTACTCCGTACTGGTGCGAGAGGCATTGGGTCGATTTGTCAAGCCAAACGCTTCAGACCAACGTCGTCGTGCAGGTGAGCAGTCACCTCCTCACGCATTGCCCCGGGTCGTGTACTCGCGAGTACAGGCACGATGCCAATGCTACATCACACAACCACTACTTCGCGCGAGTACGAGTACAAGAACCAAGAGCATCGGGCCAAGCGAGCACACACCCCTCTATCCCTACCGCCTGGCTCAGACACGCTCGTCATGTGCCTGAGACATCGCCTTATTCTGCGTTTGTCAAGCTTTGCGGTAGCGGCAACGGCAGATGGGCGGTAGCGGCATCATCGCCAAGAGCTTCATGGCAGTTGACGAAGCCTCCAACTGTCGCTGTCCGTCTCCATCTCCCTCCCTCTGGGCCTCCCTTTGGGAGGTGCTCGCGCTCGCGCTTTACTCCCGTTGCCAAGAACCGGGCCCGTGGATTCGCTCGGCCAGGTTGGCTTGCCATCCTCGTTGTCACACATGCAACTGTGCGAGTCTCATGCAGCGGTGCTCCAGTCATGCTCGACCTGCAATGACAGCGTACGAGGGCGCATGATGTTGCCTCCCCTGGCCATCCGAGATTGTCGTTCGGAAAGACTTCGTTGCATCTTCCCGTCTTCCGCTTCCCGCTTCCCGCCTTCCCCGGCAAGGACCAGGCTTATAGGTCATGAGCTAGGGACTGTGCTGGTGTGGAGTTTCTCGGCGGGCAAGCGTGCCACGGCAGCCGATTTCCTTCGACCCGAACTGGCGCGTCTTCGAGCCACAACGACATGCAGAATTGGCAGTGGCATGCCTCATACTTTTCTCGCGGTTTACCATTTCCCTGCCTTTCTCTGTTACCTCTTTGCAATCTGCTAAGGTCATTGGAGATATCCCGTGGTGCCCTCTCCGTCTCATTCATCAAAACCCGGGCACCACACTGGTATTAAGACAGACCCGAGATCCAGTTCAACGGAACGATATGCTGCTCAGGATAACCATATCACGGCATTGGCGGCCGTTGTTTGTCCCAGTGGCTCACCAGCCGCTCCATGAGCGGGTTGGTGGACTAATCGGCGTCTGAAAGAGATCCCAAAGGCGATGCTGTCACCTCGTGGCGATCCGAAGGTTCTGTAGGCAGGTCACAGGCACATATCGTGCGCCAATAGCATCAACACCTTCGTCACTGCACACTCCATTACTGGTGCCCAGTACGGAAGAATGCCATTGGGGCGAAGCGTGATGCTTAACCTGTCATGTTCACGTTCACTTTATTTCAGCCGCCCCTGTTCGCCCCTTTCCCCAAGTCTAGAACCCGTGCGGTTGCTATGTTGCCATAGTGATACTCAGCAAATTGGGTTCATGTCTCAGCTCTGCTATCAAGCTCATGCCAGGGCCTTTTGCTCCGTATGCCTTCTGCTTAGTGCGATGACCGCCGACGCAGACCTCTATCTAGTGCTAGAGGATTGAATGACGAACGTAGGGGTGGAAGCACGGCCTCAAGGCCCCCATCTTCTAAGGGTATAGATTTCTCTATTGACAGCTTGCTAACAACGGAAGACAGTGCCACTACCGGTTACTTCAGGGTGTACGGGATAACCACCAGTGCCTCCGCCGATAGTCTCCTTCTATGATCCTTGCCTTTCCAGGGTTTAATTGCCAGTCTCGTTGCCTCACATGCAGATGAAGAGCATGCGGCACGACGAGAGACCGAGCTGATGAGCCACATGTCGCCAAGAGTTGTCACAAGTCTCAAGTGTATTCCGGATCGTTCCACTATCAAGGGTTTCCGCCGAAGGAGGGATCCCACGGCAGGACTTTCGATGACTATATCGCGGTATACTGCACGCACGTACACACGCACACAACCAGACGCCAGAGGAGCACCCATCCGCAGGCAACTCTACATGGTTCAAAGGAGTCGTATAGTGGAACAGAAACACCAATCGTTGGATTGATGAGGGAGATGATACAACCCAAACTGGACCAGCTCGCTTGCTACGCGGAATCTTCCGCCCCCAAGACCGCATTCGAAGGAGCCGGGCGTCAGGTATCAGACTCGTATGGTTGCGCTCATCGGGTCTCAATTTCATCTCGAGTGTCAGGCTGCTATCTCGCACCAACGCGCGAGGCAACTTCACTAAACCGGCCCGGATTTGGCTCGGGCTGGGCTTCCTTGCATACGGACGGCTTGAAGGCTCCCCCGTCTTGGGGGCCCAGCTGCACGGACTACGCGCCAGACGATGATGACCTGTCAAATCCGAGACGACAGCCCTTTGCTGCGCTGGATCAAGAAAAAAGCATATTAGCCGAGGGCGAAATTGGAGCGGCTGGTGCGGCTGGCTTGTCACGGTTTTGTATCCAACGAGATGAGGGTGTCGTTGCAACCCGCCCTGACGTAACGGTGCGGCGGCATGGCCGATAGGAGAGGAGAAGAAGGGGTCTGGCATTCGGCTCCTTTCGGAATCAGCTCTCTTATTGTTGTGTCTTCTACTTCTTGTTTGGCCCCCCCGTTTGCGCATCTCTTTTTTGTTTTGCGGACGATTTCGTAGCAAGCAGGTTGGATGTCCGCGTGCTATTATTGACACAACTATACTTGTCCGTTGATTGTCAAGCTACAAACTGTTGATGCATGAAGATGCTGGGCTTTTTTTCGAAAATAGGAGTGGCCCTGGCGTTGTTGGGCAGCTGCTTGTTTCCCCCACGAGCCAAAGGCGAGGTGGATTGGTCTAGACAGAGATCTATGGAGGACATGGCAAGGGGAGGCTGTAACGGAGCATGTATCGGTATTTGTTCTACCGGTATAGATTTACGTAGTATGATTGACAACCTGATATGTGTTCTCTGTACCTGGGATTAAAGAACAGGAAGATATCTTACAATTTTCGATGCTTGTAACATAATTTCAATCTAATACAAATCAGGAAGATGTGCTACTATTCTTGATGCTTGCAGGGTTATTTTTTGAGTATTGCTGGGGGGGCTGTATAAAATTGCTAGGGGGGCTGTAGTTTAAGTACCTTACTTTTATCTCTTATACACTATGTTTTTATAAGACATTTTCTATATATAATAAAATTTAAAAAAATATAATAAAGATATATATATATAATTTATTAGCTAAAAATACTATATAATTTTTTAAAATATTTTTATTAATTTTTATAAGCTATATAATAATAGTAAAAACCTAGGCTAAGTTTAAGCTTAGTTTTTTATATATACTTTATATAAAATTAGGTAACTTTTTATATAATATTAAAGAATATTTTATAAACTATTAGTAAATACTAAGTGCATGCTTATATAAGCATTTATCTAGCTAAAAATTAGCTTTTAACTTAAACTGGGATTTTTTAGGCCTTTATTAAGTATAAATAAAAATTTTAATTAGAATATATTAGTTTATTTAATAAGCTTTTTTAAATTACTCTTGTTTCCCTTATAGCATTTTTCTAGAATTAATTATATATTTTTAAAGTTAAGAGAGGTTTCTGTGGGTCCCTGTGCACAGACCCTTACTAAGCCTATTTAGGCTAGTTACAGCCCCCCTAGCAATTTTATACAGCCCCCCCAGCAATACTCTATTTTTTTTGATAAAAGATCAGGAAGATAGATCTCGATTCTCTGACACTCTTTACAGACAGGACTACCTCATGGTCGTTAGCTATGCACATCACAGCTGCCTTATGTAGCATGGTATATATAACGTGTATTTATCATTATGACTCGTGTATACAGATTTTTACAGAGAATCTCACTATGTAACAAGTCGCCTCTGAATCTTCCCTCCCACGCCAAGGAACCAGGAAACTCCCTCAGCCCTTTGCTCTGGGCCCTCCTTCAACCATCAGGAAAGGTATAACCATGTTTCCCGCAGTGCCCAACAGCTCTCATAGGGTATATGTATTCTGATGTGTGCGCGTATGCAAGATTAGTAGCTCATCTTGAAGCCCAATATGTATGAGATGCAGAATGTACATCCTGGAAAGTGTATACCCTGAAAAGGGAGGGTTTGAAAACGCCAAGTCGTGTTGCGTTTTGCGTGTATGTACGTGTAGAACATATAAGTAATTAGACATTGAGGTCGCGTATATAGGGATATGTAAATGTAGGATATATGCAAGATAAAAGGGTGCGTTGTTCGTCGTAGGCAAGAAAGTCGTGGGGAGCATCAAGGTTTGGTAAGTATAGATCAAGCCTACTCGAACCGGTTTCCCCCAGAGGCAGGCTCTGATAGAGGAAACAGTAAGCCGTTTAGGTCTGATTGGATTGCCATCAAGCGTTCCAAGGACTGGCCTAGAAAATAGAAACCAAGGCGGCAAGCCCAGTGCACAAGACAGCAAGCGTAGCGGTATAGACGGCTGGTCGTAAAACGAGGCCCTGTGACGACGCCGGTGGTAGGGTACCGTTGACATAGTTTGGACCGCACAGGGTGTTCACTTGGCGGGCTGCGTCCGCGTACACATCGGCAATAGATGCGTCGCGGTCCGCGGAAGCAGAATAGTATATATCCATCGTCTGCTGCGTGCACCAGCTGCAAGAGGGGTTGGAGCTGCCAGGTAGGGCCAAGCCATAGGGCAAAAAGTAGAGGTAGGCGTCTGAAGGCGTGTCGAGGTTGGTGACGGCGTTGGCGAAGCAGTATTGGCTTGTGGTCGGATCCTGAAGACAAGTTGCTGCATACACCTCCTTGTAGGCTAGCAATCCGCGGTATGCCTGTAGAACCAGCGTCTGATTCTTGGCAATCTCGGCCTTGCAATTGTCACTTTTGGTGAGGTTTGCGGCGGCTTGATCAAGGAACGTGGCACAGGACACGGAGTCGGCTTTGCAGGTTGCGTCAAGTACCCTCACGATGCTGAGAAGAGACTTTTCGGCCTGGAAGAGGCCCGTTGAAGTCTAGCATATCCGAGTTAGTATCTATACCACGCCTTGCTATTTCCCACTACGATCAACTCACCTGCAACATCATGGATAGAGGGTAACAGCTCTTGAACGTGGAGTCGTGAAGAAGGTTCCATATAAAGCTAGAGCACGAGTCGGTTGAGCCATCCATCTGGAAGGCCGAGGCTGGCGTGTTGTCAAATGGTTCCGGCAGGGCAGTCGATGATGCTGAAGATGACGTAGCCAGCGATGCGCTGCTAGTCTTCTCGGACGCGGGCTTGGTTGTTGTGGTGGCCGCATGCGCACTCCTTCTCCTCTTTTCACCCTTGTTGAGCGTCGAGGCGATGGGGGTGTCGGAGCCACTGATAGACTCTTCGTAAAGCAGCTTGTGTTCGCTATCATCGTCGTGGGATACATTTATCAACCCCTCGGGGGATGCCGCAGACGGCAACTGGTCGACGGCTATGGACAATGCGGGAATGCGAGTTGACGCACGGTCCGGTACGGTGGCAGCAGAGCCGAGTGTCGTTGCCAGCATCGCGACGACCATGAAAGCGGATCGCATACTAGAGTGTGATCTTCGAGGCAGCTCGCCCTTGGATCCGCCGTGGGAAATAGCCATTGATGTTCCAACCATGATGTAACTCTTTGACGACTGTCTTAGGACCACTGCAGAGGCAAAGGTTTAATCTTCTCCGTCCTTAATGTCCACGTGGATGTCCACGTCTGGGAACTTCGGTGCCGTTTTATACGGAGTGAAGTTGATGTTGTCGAAGCTGGGGTCGAGGGCAGGGAAGCGAATTTGTGGCGAGTGCTCCAGAAGCGAAATTGGTTATCGTGAGACGTCAACCATGACTTGGCTCAGGCGAAGGAAAGTATAGATCGAGATCTTCTCGAGATTGGTTATTGTGGGTAGAAAAGTTTGCAAAGGCGGTTGGTGGTGGTGAGGATGACTGGGTCTGGGTCTTGATGGATAAAACGAGTCGAGATTTGAGAGTTCTGCTTCTTCCTGGGTCTCCTAAACAGACACCGTCTTCTTTCACCGAAGATTCTCGTTATTTTGTCCCTCCACCGCCCCCCAATTGGCCTGCCTCGCGATTCGGAAGCCGGAGAGATTACTCGGGGAGAGAGGCAGGGGGGAGGAGCTGAAAGACGGGTTCAAGCGAGCGTTGTCAGAGCGAGTGACAGCCGAACCAGTATCGAAGGTCGGCAGCGGTAAAGAGAGACCGAATAGCCAAGATTTTGTAGTATTAGTGGTATTAGAAGTAGACGAAAATCCTGTCGTTGCGGTACTCGAGGTCGCAGCTGGAGGAGTTGGGAAAGCAGTCGAAGCACCCGGCAGTTGGTGATGGTGATACGGGAAGAGAGAGAGCAGAGGTCAAACGAAGGATGAAAAGAGGAAAGATGTGCAGAGAGGATCTGGAAGCCAAAAGGTACAAGTACTCGTTGACTGGGGATGGAAGTCGTGCGAGTGCCGTCCTGTACAGTAGCAGGTAGCGGGCAGGGAAGGAGCGACGTGGGACTGCAGCAGGGACCCAGCCTCGAGGCAAGCGCGAATGGAGGAGCGGCCATTGAAGAAGGAGCCCCGCCGTGCCCGGTGTCGAAAGTACTAATCGGTACAAGTACGAAGAGTTAGCGGCATGGGCACGGGCATTGTGACAAAAGTCGGGGTATGCGGCTGTGATTGGTACAAGCAGGAACAACGAGGAGACAAGAAACTGGTTGAAGAAAAGGGCCGCATGAAGACTTGGCCCACTGAGAGCATGCCATTGGAAGAGTAGCCGATACTCTGATATACTTTGATTCCAGGAGCCTCGCGGCTTCCAATCATGCCAGGAGGTGATATTGCAATCACTGGAAGTCAAGAAGCAAGAGGATGCAGGTACCGATACCTAGGTGGAACCGTCACAGACCTCTCTTGGCCTTCTTGGGTTGCATTTCATCTATCATATTTTTCTTTTCCCTCTCTCTTTCAGCATCTCTTCCAATGGCTCAGGTAAGACGGCGTGGTAATATTGCTAGCAAACGCCAGACCTCAAACCGGAAACCAGGCGCCAGTGCAGGCGAGAGAGCCTCCCCTGGCCTAGTGGGAGAGCGACGCCGTGGATAGCGCCAGGTGAGTTTAATTGCATCCCACAATGCGGCGAGGCGACGCAAGCCACGTCTGTTGCGCTGGCATGAAGCTGACGAGAGAGCCTTGATTGCCTAATTCGTCGTCGATCTGTTTATACTGACTGTATCACTGACGGAAGGCGGCGGTTGTAGCTGATGAACGGGTCATCGCGACAGGCTGCTGGCGCTGGCATCTCGAGCATGTGCTCAAGCCATTATAGTATTACCGCAGCTTACACCTTGACCGTCAAAGACAACCAGCATCATCATCATCTCCGTTCACGTCGCACCCATAAGGCGAGGTAGGGTAGCACTAAAACGGCACCCCCCTGAAGCTCGAAGCTCTAGAACCAGGTCTCACAGGTGGACGGAGACGGATGCAATCAATAGCGCCATAATGCAAACCTGGAAGAGCTTGGCTGCCGTGCCACCATCACCAGCTCCGGCTTAGTGACAAACCGGCTGCTCTCCCGCTCAGCCTCAGTTTGTTGACTCTCGTTTGTTCGTTGGGTCTCTCTCACCGTTTTCCTCCTAGCAGATGGTGTTGACGACGGTAGGATTACCGTGCCATTGCTGCAAATGGACTCTATCGCTTTCCGATGGCTTCTAGACAGCTAACTGCAGGCTGCAGCTCCTTTCAGCATGGGCATTCTTATGCTTGCACGGATTTGGACAGAAGAAGCGCAAAATGAGATACGACACGTAACACGCCACGGACCTCTGCTGCCACGGATTACCATCACCGACTGACCTACGAGTACGCCGAAACAGCACCAACGATTGCAGCATATTACAGCATACGTCCGTACACCGCACACAGACGTGTTTTTGTCTATTGTACCATTTACCTCTACAGGCTCGTCTCGGCGTGACCTTACGAGTATCGCATACAGCACTCGACTTCAAGCTGTAACGCAGGCAACGCACACGCCGCCGCTCCCCTGCCAAGCACCACAGACGCACCCAGTAATCTATCGACAAGTCTTGCAGAACCCGATCACGACGAATCATTGAACCCCCGTCACGCCATTGACAATACAGCGATGGACTCTAGCAGAGCTTACCATGTTTTAGCGGGTTATTGCTTCTTCATAGGTAGGCTTCACGGAGCGGATGTAGTTCGACAAGGGAGGGAGCCCAGAAACAACAAACAATGAACCAAGAAAAGAAAAAGAAAAAGAAAAAGAAGAAGAAAAAAAGAGAGACAGCGCCACCAATTTGGTTCCCGCGACGCCTCAATTCTTCATTGACTTGGCCCCCCTTTTTTTGCTTGCCTTATTCGGAGCAGTCTCCCTTCGTCTCCACTTAGGTTGCTCTGCATTGTCTTGGATATCCCACGAGGCACCACCAGGAACCAGGAACCTGTCCAACAACTTTTGGTAATAGAAGCATTGATCGGACCATCTCACTTCCTGCTTCCTGCTTCCTGCTTCATGCACCGTGTTACGATACTAACTACCTAGCAAAAAACAGCCGCGGTCAACGCCTGACTTTTTCAACATGAGATAGAATTCTACCACTACCCACATTGTTTTTGCTTGTTAGCACCCCCCTGCTACTATCTGTCGCTCATGTCTCGCTCGCCAAAGACAAGATCCAAGATCCGGAGCATAAGGAAACTTTGAAACCGCGGCTCCGAGACCTTGGGCAACGCACATGTCAGTACTAGAATACCAACAGGGAACAAGGAACAATAACTGGACACAAAGCTTCCGTTTCAGCATGCACCGCCTCGGAATTGCACTGCTGAGCTTTGAAACAAATCACGGCCACCGCCACCTGAAAACATGCACGATCAAATAGTAGGAGGCCTGAAGCAAGATGACCACCTATCTATGGCAACACGGTAATACCCATCTGTGTACCTTGAATCTTTGCGTGACCTTTGCACTGACATATTGTCCGCACGTCAAAGTCTCCGCCGTCGCTGAATGTCATCAGGTGCATCCATGCCGTACTTGTGCTTCGTGTCCCCATGGTCAGCTAGGTAGGCAGGGCCGATGACACACAAGACTTCGTAAGGCCTCTTTCATGCAGTCATCAGGACCAGGACACATGGGCAATGATTAGAAAGTCCTAGCATTTGCCAGCAGTCTTCGACATGGAAAACAGAAGATTATTCAAAAAGGAATGTAAATAGTAGGAGTGGTGAAGTGTTTTTTTCTTATACAAAACAGAAAGTTGGGAAATGCCTTACAAACTCTAATAAGGGGGAAACGAACAATGCTCTGCCTCAAACTACCTAGGGACCATTCATCCTTTACCCAGGCTCAGAACAAACAAGTAGAAATGGGAGGAAAAGAAATTGAGAAAAAACAAATAAATGGAAAGCCAATGTCGAATCTTTTGTTGTATATATGTGTAGAATTTGCCCCATTTCCTAGATCTACCTTACTTGTATCACCAATCATCAGCGCAGAGGACGGTAACTTGCGCAAGAACTTCCATTGACAAGCCTTGAGCCATGATGGAGCGCCGATAGAACCAGCGGACGAGTGTCATCATCATCATCGCCATCGATTTCACAGCATTTCGTCCAATGGCGCCGGAAACGCTAATGCTACACGCTTAAGAGCTCGTCCCCAAGCTTTGCAGGTTGACCAGCTCAGCATAGCGCCCATTCTTCCTCATCAACTCCTGGTGGCTCCCGGACTCGGCGACACGGCCCTGATCAATCACGTAAATGACATCGGCCCTCTGAATCGTGCTCAGGCGATGCGCGACGGCAATCGTCGTGCGGCCCGCAGCAGCCTTGTCCAGGGCCTCCTGAACGACGGCCTCGGATTCCGAGTCGAGGGCGGACGTGGCTTCGTCCAGGAGCAGGATCTTGGGGTTGCGGATGAGAGCGCGGGCAATGGCTATGCGCTGCTTCTGGCCACCAGAGAGCAGGCCGCCCTTGCTGCCGACGAACGTGTTGAACCCGTCGGGGAGCGAGACGATGAAGTCGTAAATGTTGGCCTCGCGGCAGACGTGCTCCAGTTGGTCGTCCGAAACGTCCTCCTGGGTCGTGCCGAGAAGGATATTCTCCCTGATTGTGCCAGAGTACAGCGTCGGCTCTTGGCTCACCAACGAGACAAAGGACCGATAGTTGCCAACGTTGAGGGTACTGATGTCCTTGCCGTCGACATAGACTCCGCCAGACAAGGGGTCATAGAAGCGCTCCAGCAACGACACAGTCGTGCTCTTGCCACATCCAGAGGCGCCCACCAGGGCGACGTACTGGCCGGGCTTGATGGTCAGAGAGAGGCCCCTGAGGACAGGCTGATCCGGCCGTGTGGGATAGCGGAAATGGACGTCTCGGAACTCGACGGTGCCTTGGATATCGCTAGCGTCCAGGAACAGGCCGTCCTTTGACCACGCGTCAATCTTTGGCGTTCGGTCAAAGAGCTTCTTGAGCGCCAGAGCCGATGCATGGGCCTTGCCCATGTCGGGCGCCAGCGAGAAGATGCCTCCTGCTGACTGCGCACTGTATATGATGCCCATGAAGCAGACGAAAAAGGTAAACAAGTCGTACTCTTTGGTGGCGAGCAAAGTGCCGCCGTACCAGAATCCGAGGCCGAAGCAGAGGAACGTAGCGCCCTGGGCCGCGCCATAGACTGCGCTCGAGGAGAGAACAGACTTTAAGCCCTTGCGCCGCTGTGCTGCAATGTCCTCGCGATAGATGCGCATAATGTCTTGCTCTCGCGTGAGTGACGCAACGGTGCGGATGGCTGAGATGGCCTCCGAGGCATACGCAGCAGAAGCCGCGTACGCCTCCTTTGCCCTGTTCTGGAAGCGAAGGAGCAGGTAGAACCGGAAGAAGCCACAGGCTAGCAAGACTGGAATCGTTGCCGAACAGACAAGTGATAGCTTCCATCCGATAGCCAAGCCCATGATCAATGAAGAGAAGAGGGTTGACAACGTTAATAGAATGGTCCCCAGGGCAGAGCCGCTGAGGCCTCCGATATTGTTGGCTTCCGTTGACAAAAATGCCGTCAGCATGCCCACCGAGTTCTCTTTCCTGTCGTAGAAGGAGATATCCTGGCGAAGAAACATTCTAAACGTCTGATCCCTGATGCGATGGATCAAGTGCTCAGAGCATGACGCAAGTGCAATCCCTTGACCAGAGTAGCTGATGAGCGTACCGCCAGCCAGGACGACAAACATGAGAGCCCAGAAGTATGCATTGTGCCGAATATGCTCGATATCGGCATCCGGAAGTAGAGCGCCCGTCAGGGTGATGATCTCCTTGGCAAAGAAAACTGAGAAGTGTTTGTCAGCCATCAGCATGCATGCATAATCCGTAACGAGAACAATCATGACCAGAAAGAGAGAGAAGGGGGGGGTGAAGGGAAACACTTACCAGCAGAGATGGGATTGGCACCGCCGCAAAGGATTGAAAAGACGAGACCGGACAGCATGCGCTTCCATTCGTTGCGGTTGAACTTGGCAATAAAGACAATCAGAGCCCAGATGCTGTACTTGGCCTCCTTTTCCGCCGTGCCAGCCCGCAGAGCAATGCTAGAGGCCGACTTCTGCGTCGGCGATCGGTTGAGGTTGTTCTCGCTGTCATCCTCGGCGCTGAAGATCTCACTATCCTCGACTTTCGACTGTCTCTTGACTAGAGCCTCCTGGTGCTCGTCGATGGCCTCCTGTTCCTCACGCGAGAGGTCCCGGGCGGCAGCAATGTCCTGAGCTGATACCAGCTTGTAGTAAGCGCCGCCTTTCTCTACCAGCTCGTCGTGATTTCCTTGCTCAACAACGCGACCTTGTGCCATGACAACAATGTTATGCGCGTCCTTGATGGTCGAAAGCCTATGTGCAATGGCAATGGTAGTCCGGCCGGCAGAGGCAGCCTCGAGGGCGGCCTGTACAATGGCCTCGGACTTCGTATCCAGGGCTGACGTTGCTTCATCGAGCAGGAGAACTACACGGGGGGGTTAGCATTTACTGCCTATAAGGTACTATCACAGGAGCAAAACGAGGAGACGCCTCGAATGTGTAAACTGACTTTTCGGGTCGCTCACAATGGCGCGAGCAATAGCAATTCGTTGCTTCTGTCCGCCAGAAAGGAGGAAGCCTCGGTCGCCAACATTCGTTTCGTAGCCCTCGGAGAGAGCTGAGATGAAATCGTGGGCATTGGACTTCTTTGCAGCCGCAATGATCAGCTCACGCTGCCTCTCTTCGCTTTCTTGTTCAAACTCGGTCCCGACCAGGCCGTAACGGATGTTTTCGAAAATCGATGTGCCAAACAGCGCAGGCTCCTGGCTAACCAGAGAGATCTGACGGCGGAGCCAGCGAAGATTCAGCTTGGAGATGTCATGTCCATCAAGATACACAGTACCCGCCACGGGGCTGTAGAACCGCTCAATGAGACCGACGATGGTGCTCTTGCCGGATCCCGACGCTCCAACCAGGGCGGTTGTCTTTCCAGCAGGGATGTCGAGGGTAACGTCTTCCATGACAACGGCGCCGGGACGGGACGGGTAGATGTGTTTGACATTCTCTAACCGAATGTTCCCCTGAACGTTGTCAACGGTCTCGCCTTCTTCGCTTGCTGGATTGATCGGGGACACGCGGTCGATGGTATCAAAGAGCTTGGATGCAGCGCTGACAGCTGCGGCAAACGACTGGAAGTTGGGCGCGATGCTGCTCATGTTGAAAGCGCCCATTATGACAGTCATCATGACGATGAGGACATGGTTAAGAGACATCTCGCCACGCAGGAGGAAGGCACTGCCTTGCCAGAACGCCAGGGCATAGCTCATGTAGAGCAGAAACATGATGCCGCCGAGCATGATTCCAACGGCAGCCTTGAGCCTGAAGCCGTAGTATTCGGCCTTTTTCAGGTGCTGGTCGTACTGATTGGAGAGCCTCTCCTGGGAGCCAAACGCAACGGCAGTCCGCACGGAGCTGAGAACCTCGTCGGCCAGGCTTCCACCAAGCGCGAACGATATGATGGATTGTGTGCTGCTCTTGACCATGTAGCCGGAGAAGACGGAGGCGTTGATGAGAATGGCAAAAATGACACTCGCGAGGATCAGCGTCAGCTTCCAATATGTGGCAAATGCGATGATGAAGGCAGTCACAAAGGTCGAGATGGCCCCTATGGTTACCGACACTTTCTCAGAGATGCCGTCCTGTATGATGTTGGTGTCGGACGTAATGTGAGTGACAATCTCTCCAGTACCGATCTTGTCAAAGAAGCCAATATTTTGCCTCAGACAGCTCTCGAGATAACGCTCTCGGATCCGGCTGGAGATGTTCTCGCCCACGTGAATGAATCCCACCGTGGCGATATAAGTGACGACGAACTGGCCGATGGCGAGATACACAAAGTAAAGGACGTACTTGGCAAGCTCAGAGCTGAGTTCGCCCTTGTCGATCAGGCCTACGGTGTACTTGGAGAAGGTCTGTTGTAGGCCGCCGAAAAGCAGTGTCATGAGGGGAAGGGCAGCGCCGTTACCGATGGAGCAGATTGACGCAATGATCATGATGAGGATGTCCAGGCCAGTGGTGTATCGATAGAGCGCAGCAATACCCTGGTTCAGACTGGGGGTCAAGGCCTGGCGCTTCAGGATGTCGGCTTCATTGTCGGGCAGATGTCGAAACGGCTCTTCGGGGTCGTCCTTGACCTCTGGCACCTTGGGCGGCTTCTTGTTCTTTTCCTTCTTAGCCTTTTTCTTCTTCCCCTTGATATCAGGGCCTGCTTCGGTGCTGGCTTGAGGATCAGACTCTTCGACATCTTGACTATCAGGCTCCGCTTTCTCGGGGTCTGCCTTTTCGCTATCCGGCTTTGCGATGAGATCTGCTTTGTCGTTGTCCACAGTCTCCAAGTTGCGTTTCTCGGGATCTGATGAAGCTTGTATTGTGTCCCCTGGCTTCGTCTGCTCAGGGCCAACAGAGTCGGTCTCGGACGGGGTATCCTTTGCGACGTCCGCGTCATTGGCAATGATGGAATCGCCAGTGCTCGGGTGGTCGGAGGCCATTCCCTCGGCTAGCTTCTTCTCCTCTGATTCAGCGGCCATGATGCCGGCTGAGATGAGGCCGCCAAAAGGCGATGGACTGCCGTGTTGGATGCAGCAATCGGGCGTCTAGTCGGAGTTGCTGATAGCCAGATCGAATAGCATGTCCGTGTCTTCAAGTATATCCAGCGGAAGCAATCAACAACTGTCAGTCCATGCGATAAACAAAGGCAGAGGCAGAGGCGCGAAGTAGATGCAGATGCAAGGAGGGAGAAGGCAGCAAGAGGCGAGATGCAGATCCGGCTGGTTCTGTCTCTGTGTACATGTACTGTAGACGCTCCTAGTGCGTGCTCCTACAGCCTTCCAATAGAAACCATCAGCAGGTCAATCCACATGTAGGTGTGCTTCGGTCAATGTAGGAGGCAGTAGTAATACCGGCTGTCAGAAAAGAAACGCCCGTCATGAGGATGAGCCGCACAGACACGCTCCTCGACAGACAGCACGCGTCCTTTGTACAGGTACAGTCCCTGCGAGTCCCTGGCAGAGATGGACATGCTCCCATTGCCGCGTTTGTGCTCTCTGGGGTGGCGGGGACTCGAGGCTTTGAGATTCTCTCAAGCAGGGATGAGGGCAAATTCCAGTCCAGCCGTCATACCTAGGCAAGTACTGTATCCAACCAGGCTGGGCCAAAGCAATGCAGTGTGCCGCTTCGGCCCTGATGCCCTCGCAGAGAAACGCGCACTGTGCTACCCTTCGGGTCGTTGGCCACGGGTACGTTATCCCTGCCCACGGTTTCTTCTGGTCTGTCGAGCATTTCATTTCATTTGCGCCCTGATTTCTTTGTTCGCCGTCCGTGGTTCTGCAGGCAGTAGATCAAGTACTAGTAGCATGAATCTTTACATACCTATGGACAGATGGTTCGCTTCATCACAGCACCATCCATACCTGGTATAAGAAGCTCAGAAGACATTCTGTCCATGTCATCGGCCCACGTCCAAGACACCGAGAGCTGTAGCCCACTCTGGCCTGCCACTCACAGCGGCAGCCTTGAGACATGCGGCATAGAGGAGATTTCCCTCCTTGCCTCTCTCTCATTTCGACTAACCAAGACATCCGTCGTACAGTACAGTGGTTTATACGACATGGATCGGCTTCGCTGAGCTCTTCCGCCGCGCCCATCTCACCCTTGCTCTCTTCCTCGCTCAATGCCGCCGCCGAGGACTCGACATTGGTCCGCGGCTTCGACGCAAGCCATCGCTCGTAATATCGGGTTGCATGAGCGCCGCGTATTGCCCTTTTGAGAAACAAATGAAGCTGAAGGACAGTCAGCCAACTGACAGCCTGATGCCTTAGCCCGCTTTCATTGCCGGGGTTGCTGAAACTCAACCTCACTCAGAGGGGCTTGAAGCCAGCAACAAGCATTGAAAAGACTCGTTTATCTTGAGTTTTATGGCAATTCCCTTCTCTTCTTCTTCCCTTTTTCTTTTCCCTCTTCCTCACAACAGTGCCCGGGAGCTTTCGCCACGTCCTTCAGACCACGCTGTCCATCTCTTCTGTTATTTTTGGCTCGAGATGCTCCCTCGGCAGATCTTGGATGAAGCTTGTCTTGGCGCTGTGCTGCATCGACTAATATCTACTCTGGCTGACTCATCCACACTCCCCCATATTACGCCTGCCTTTGTGCTGCGCGCACTGTACGGCTACTACCTGGATACCTACATGTAGGTAGTTGACCTCAGCCGCACTCCTTGCAAAGGTCAGCGTCGCTCCAACAATGGCAGGTTAAGAATTCGTCATTGGGCTCTTCATGCATCATGTTACTCTTTGAGTTGAATATGCTGTGCTGCAATCAGCAGCTCATAATGCAGATGCTCATGGTGGTTGAGTCCGACCTGGAGATGTGCTTACCAGATGCGCTCCAAGAGGCCGCTGCGAGGGAGTGTTCTGCTCATAAAGGATCTACCCACGATGATTGTAGAAGGAAAATAAGATCCTCACAAAGCACTTGAGCACAAACTCGCAACTCTATCTGGCCGCTCTACATGCGATATTCGGCATCCATCGTTTGGGTTTGAATATGCAGTAAAGGAGATGATATGGAGCTGAAGAATTCTTGACTAGGTACTGCCTTTTGGCGTGATCGCTCATAATCATCACTGGACTACTGCCACCAAATGGACGCTGTAGCCTGGGAGCATGGAGACAGAGTATGCACACAATAACATTTGGCCTCTGGATTTTTACTGACCTTTGCATTGTAATTTTGTCCCTCTAATAGGTAGAAAGCACTTTACATCGCACGACTGGTTTCAGGGTAGTCCACACCGTATCCCTTCTCACCGAGGGACCAAACAAGGAATTGGTACCGGTCAACAACCAATCAAAAGCTCGGAAGCATGCCTTCAGCTGGTCGAGCCAATCTGCCATACCCTCCTTCTAACGACTTCCACCTTAGGCAGCCTTTGCCACCACCAGACGGAACCACTCACAGCAATCAGGACATCGTGTCCTTTCTTTCTCGCCCATGAGCTAGATATTGTTTTTTTTTTTTTTTTTCCTTTTCAACCTTCAGGTCTAGGAATCTCCGCTCAGACTTTTTGTCGCAGCAAAGTCAAGACAAAGGCATCTCGCATTTGCGTCATGGCGCTGTGAATCCACAACCCCTCAGCCTACACGCCGAACAACTTCAGAAGGCCATCAACACAAGGAACGCAATCTCAAACGCTCTTCAGCTCAATCTTATCAAACTGAACATAAAAAAAGGCATCATGCTCCTTCAAAAACTGTCTCTCATCCTCTCCCTCCCCCTCCTCGCCCTCTCCGCCCGCCCAAAGAACGCAATCCTCCTCTCCGAAGTCCGCTCTCTCACCCTCCGCGGCAACGGCGCAAAAACAACCTCCCGCCGCGTCGCCCCGATCCCTCAGCTCAAATGCGTCTCCTCAAAGGCCGTCTGCGACCTCTTCCCCATCGACGTCATGCGCTGCACAAACCAGGGCTCCTCCTACGGCTCTGAAGACATCGAATGGAGCTGCACCGCTTCTCTACCGGAAGAGTTCAAGCTTGGCAGCACAGAGGTCATCTGCGAGGGATACTCTTCCCCCGATGACCCCTATGTTCTCAAGGGTAGCTGTGGCGTCGAGTACAGGCTCTTACTCACCGATAAAGGCGAGCAGCGGTATCCCGACGTTGCGAACAGTGGCCGCTGGTTCAGCAATGGAGAAGGAGGCACGGATTGGGGCGGCTGGCTTTTTGCATTCATCTTCCTCACAGTCCTCGGGTGGATTCTCTTTTCAGCATGGCGCAACGGCACCAACGGACAGAACAGAGTCCCTGGTAGAGGAGGTAACGGAGGAGGATGGGGAGGCGGCGGCGGCGGCGGTTGGGGACCGGGTTGGGGACCTGGAAACGACCCTCCCCCGCCTTATCCCGGAACGAAACCCGATCAAGGGCAGCAAGGATGGAGGCCTGGATTCTGGACGGGGCTGGCTGGAGGAGCAGCCGCTGCATATCTAGCAGGGAATCGAAACAATCGGCGGGAAGAACGGTATCCGTCACAAGGATGGGGAGCTGGACCCTCTTCGCGATCCTTTGCGTCTGGTTCGGGCTCAAGTTCCGCTTCCAACTCGCCGCGGTACGAAAGCACGGGGTTTGGGTCAACACGACGCAGATAAGCCGCCAAGGGGCAATACCAGTCTCAGATCAGGGCACCATGTGCAAGTCACTCGATGCATGACATTGATCGGAAGGATGGCGCCTACCTACCTACCTACCTACCTACCTAGGTACCTAGCATACGGTCTCTCGTGTTGCAACTAATCGTTCTTTCACAAGCCTCATGTTCCCTTGTGTAATGCTCCTAGTGTCAGATACCAATCACCCCAGGCGACTGCGACCAACAGCTTACGGTTCAGTGAACTAATAATAGTCTACTCCGGCTCGGGTCGGGCATTTTACGTATCGGAGCTCACCTGGATGGCCATCTGTACTCATTGCATTCAGGTTATAAAATGCGCTCAGGGGTGGCACGAGGTATGTTGCGCTTTTCGGGTCTGGTGGCTGTATTGCTGCCCTCTGCCCCGCTTACAGGAGCAAATGCTCAGGTGAATCGACAAAGTCACTCCAGCTCTCAATGATACAGGCGGTCTCGTCCAACAACCTCTGGCGGTGAGTGGTGAGCGGTGCGAAGGCTTGCGGGTGTGGCAGGGCTGGAAGAACCTGTCATGTCTCTCGCTACCCTGGCGATACCAGCCCGATGTGTTACCCCATAGGCGTCGAGTCCTATCAAAAAGCGGGCGGTGCGGGATGCAATTTATTCCACAGCTCGATCCCGTCGATCTGCTTGCTCCTAGTGCGGACGCTTTGCTCCTCGGTCCGCCACGGCTGCTATTGGCAAAAAAAGCCACCGGCTTCGAAGCTGGCCATTAAGAAGCGAAAAGGCGGACAATTAGCTCCAGGCGCCGCGAGAGTGGCAGACAACAGCAGAGCCTGGGCTACACGTGCGTGGTGCAGCTCCGGGAGGCGGCACGGAAGGGAAGACATGACGTTGGGCTGAACGCTGGGGGGTCGCAATCAAGGAACGATGTTGGGATGCGCCTCTGGAGGGGAAATATGGATATATGAGGCTGCTCCCCCCCCTTTCCCACCCTTCGCGCCTCCATTGAATGGTGTTTGCGTTGAAGTTGCTTCACATCCCATGGTCGTGTGTTGGCATTCTACCAGATACGACGCTGGCACCACTGCAAGGCGTCTTCCCCCAGTTCCTCGTCTCTCCTCAGCCCGCTGAATAATCGACTTGAACGATCTGTGACCGACCTCCAAAGTCCTCGAGATAGGTATACTTGGCCAGGCCTAAACCAGACCGCTCAAATGACAAAGAGAGTCCGCTCTGAACGCCGGCCGCTTGATGTCCGGCCCACGACACCCATGAGCGCAGAAGTTGTGGAAAATGGGTCTCGATATGAAGAAGTCGGTCAAGAGACGTCACAGATGGCGTGGGGCTTGGGAGAGCGACCCTGGATCCCGTGGCTTCTCTCAGCACGTAATATCACGGCCCTGCGAGGAAACGAGACCGAAGTTCCAGCGGACAATAATAACGGTGGCACAACTATTGAGGCTCCTTCGGCTGAATGTGAGTCGGATCCCGACTCTGAGTTTGCAACCTCAGCAAACCAGAACCCCTCGACGTACGACGATGATGCCTACTTTGATGCTCTCTATATCGCCATGGCCACGTCCGCATCCTCGTCGGGCGAGCAGAGGCGTTCCCCAGCTTCTTCTACTGGGCCACCTGCCACTGATCTCAACCGCTCATGCGATCTCGAAGCATTGGCCTTGAGGCTTCTCTGGCAAAACCAATTTCAAGATCTACGTTGCCGACGTGCTACGCAGATTCGGAATCAAGGACAAGCAAGACCCCCGGAGCATAACTTCACACAACAGGCTGAACGAAGAGAGTCGCGACAAGCCGAACTTGAAGCTGATGACAGGTTGAGTCAGATCATGAGCGATCTGAGAAAGCTGGGGACGCGGTTGCGCGAGGATGCTAGAAAGCAGCTGGATGTCATCAGCGATGATAACGCAGCGCTTCCCCTGTGCTTGTGACGGCCTTGGGGTCTTGTTTGCTTCTTTTCTTTCTTTCATTGTCACATCTCTCATTTATGCTCTAGGTGCCTTTAGGAGACCTCTTTGCAGTTGTAGGTCTGCTGGATTCAGCAAGGGATATATAGGGCGCCATCATTAGCAGGGCACAGGGCTGGCATCAGGAAATGTTCTAGGGGCGGGGAAGTGAAGGGCTGCGATTTCTTGGAGATTGAGATCGGGACGAGGAAGAATGGATGGAAGCCGGAGCACTTGGATAAGTGGACATGGGACCCTCGGGGGGTAAGGTGAGATGGGATAGAATGGCGTTAGTGATACTGCTACGAAGCAACAAGGTGGTAATTAACACGGTAACTAATTTGGTGTCACGGCTAGTCGTCCTCGATCAGCCAGATGGCGATGAAGCGGGAGCAAAGTCTCCGTAGCAAGTGGACACACGCCTCGATCCAGCGGGTGCTAGCAAACACCTTAAAGACTCGGGAAGCGGGAGGTAGTTCTTGAAGCTAGGCGAAGCTGTCGAAGCTTGTTTGTTGTCTGACAGACGCTTTTGTGAGGCATCTCGGCGGCTGCTCCGTGGGGTGGCTTTGCGAGCCGTTTCTACGGGGCGACTTTTGGCTGGCTCCCGATAATAGGAGAGGCCCCGGGTGCCTTTATTTATCAGAGGACGCGCCATGCCTAATGTTTATCTGTGGCGGTTCGGGGTTTGCCTCCCGACTTCAGTGCGAATGGAAGGGAGTTGAAAAGACCAGACTCCATTATTCGATTTCGGGGGGAGTGGGAGTGGGAGTGCAGAGGCAGCAGCTGCTTTTGCTGCTATCTGGGACACCTCAAAAGCGTCCAGTGCTTGGTACATGCATATGCACAGATTTGCACTACTTCGATAAGCTACCTACTTACGAGTACCTTACCTTATTCTAGCAGTAGGTAGCAGGCCATTTCGGGGTCCCAAATCAGATGCCACCACCAACCGACCGGTCCATCCAATATATACCCTGCATGCCTTTTCGTACTCCATAGCGGCCTGAGGAAGGGTTGAAAAAAAAAAAAAAGTTCGTTGGATCGGCGCGCCCATGGGATTTTGCAAACCTGCCGAGCGACAGCGATCCGTGCACCTTGCGGCGGTTGTGGAACGGCGATGGCAGCAAATCCGGTGAAGGCTGCCAGGCTGGTGTCCGAGTCGGCCAGAGAGCGCGAGACTTTTGAGTAGGGACCCTTTTCCTCGCCATGCCTTGCTCGTTGTGCTTCGATTCCCCTCATCGCCGTCATGGCTGAACCCGACGTTAACCCGCTTCCCCCGTGTCTCTCGACCGCAGGTACTCCTCGTCGCTGCTCCGCGCCGTCAGGCTCAACGAGACCGGCAAGCCCACGCCCTCGTGCGAGCTCGCGGCCGCCGACGATGTCATCCTCACGGGCCTCGCCCAGCTCGGGGCGCTGCAGACGGGCACCGACCGGGCCCTCATCTCGCTCTTCGACGCCCACCGCCAGTGTATCGTGGCCGAGGCGACGCCCACCCAGCGCCTGTATCCGTCCCTCAGGAGCGACGACTGCGACCGCCCGCTCTGGCTCTGCGGCACCGCCATTCCTCGCAGCCACGGCTTCTGCGAGCTGACGCTGCTCGGCGACAAGGCCCTCGATGCTCCCGGTGGCGAGCCGCCCAACCAGCTCCCCCTGACTATCGCCCACGACCTTGCCCACGACGCTCGCTTCTCGTCCAAGGCCTTTTGCCAGCTGGGCCCCTCTGCTCGCTTCTATGCCGCCGTCCCGATTCGGACTCGCCGCGGAATCAATATTGGCGTCTACTGCGTGATCGATGAGACGCCCAACAAGGTCTGGACCGATGGCCATTCCCAGCGACTACGAGACATTTCCTGGGCCATCATGGACCATCTCGAGGCACAGCGGCTCAAGGGCGTGCACAAGCGGGATGTACGGATGAACAGAGGCTTGGGATCGTTTATCGAGGGGAAGCCCACAATATTCGGCTGGCAGAAGACCTCAGACGATGCCGACCCGGCCGATAACGACGCACCGCCAGACGACGAGCTCAGTCACCGGCAGCAGTTTCTCCGACGACAACACGAAGAGGCGCTCGAGGATGACCTTGTGGCGAATCTGTCACCAACGACTCGAATACCTGATCCGATGGGCACGGCACTGCTAGGAAACGCTGCTGCCCCAAACCCGATCCCGATTCCGAATAACGACGCATTTCTTGGCCGCGATCGGCGTACGCTCTCGGCCGCCAGCTCGGAAACCACGCCACCCGCTTTTAAACCTATGGCTGCTCTGACAGAGGACGAAAGCTCGATCGTCATCCTTTCGAAAGCCGCCAACATTGTCCGAGAGTCGATCGAGGTGGAAGCATGCCTCTTTTTCGAGGCCCCAATCCAGCCATACCTGTCTCCGGCGCAGAGCAGCTCCACGACTGATGAGGGAAGCGACTCATCCACCCTGAGCAGCAGCGATGAGGATGAGGATGTGAGGCGTCCGAGAAAGCCTTCGCCACAATGCAGGATCCTCGGCTACTCTACGTCCAAGTCGTCTAGCATCAATGGGACTGCTCCCAGTCTGTCTTGGGTGAATCTTACAGATAAATTCCTATCCAAGCTTCTTCGACGGTATCCCAGGGGCCGGATATTCAACTTTGGAGCCGATGGAGAGTTGCAACCGGACGCCGCTGAAGAAGAGCAGCCATGCCAGTCGCTCGACACTTTGGCCAAGGGCTCCCCGTTGCCCAGTAGAGGATCAGAAGTCAATCTCATATCGCCGCGTGGCAAGCCGCGGACGAGGGCGTCGACACGGCGGCTCGAGGGAAAGGCTCTTGCCAAGGCCTTTCCAGGATCTCGGAGTGTGTGCTTCGTTCCTATTTGGGACCCGAGGAAAGATCGATGGTATGCCGGCGGGTTCATCTGCACCAAGGACGTTGCTCGAAACTTTTCTCTTGAACAGGAACTAAGCTATCTGAGGGCTCTGGGAATGCTTGCCATGTCCGAGATCCTGCGGTACAAAGACCTCCGAGCCGACAAGGCCAAGACGGATGCCCTTGGATCTCTCTCGCACGAGCTCCGTTCTCCGCTGCACGGAATCCTACTCAACGCTGAGTTGCTGATTGACACCAAGCTCGACATTTTCCAGGGCAACGTTGCCCACACAATCGAGACATGCTCCCGCACGCTTCTCGATACAGTGGATCACCTCCTAGAGTACTCTCGTATCAATCACCTATCTGGACGAGACGACAGGGCTCTTAGCCTGGCGTCCAACGGCCCTGATCTGGGCCAATTCGGCAAGAAATCCTTACTGCGCGACTCGCAGCTCGACTACATCGTCGAGGAAGTCATCGAGAGTGTCTTTGCTGGCTTCAACTTTTTGCACCTGTCTGTCAAGCAGCTCTCGGATCATCAACGCGGTTCGATCAACAGCGATGTGAATGCCAACCATCATTCGGATTCGCTACAAGCCATGGACCAGCTTGAGCCTTGGATGACGAAGAACGGTGAGCTCAGATGGAGCTTTGACGATGTATTGATCATCCTCTCCATGGACGCACGGTGCAACTGGGCGTACTGCGTCGACGTCGGAGCCATTCGTCGAATCGTCATGAACATCTTTGGCAATGCCCTGAAGCATACCAAACGTGGCACCATCACGGTATCACTTACGCAGGAAATGGCCCGTATCAGGGGTCGGAAGAAGGAGCGCGTCGTTCGATTCACAGTGCAAGATACCGGCAAAGGCATCGGCGCCGATTTCCTCAAGCACGGGCTTTTCCGCCCTTTTTGCCAAGAAGATCCATTGTCTCCTGGCGCAGGCTTGGGGCTCAGCCTCGTGCAGCAGATTACGTCTCACTTGCAGGGCGATGTTTCCATACGGAGCGAGCTGGGCGTCGGGACGGTCGCCTGTGTCACATTGCCGTTGGAGCAACTGCCGCTGTCTTCGGGGGTGGCCCCTACAATTTCCGATGAAGAAGAAAAGGCGTTCAAGGAGCAGGTGGAGGATCTCAAGGGCCTGCGTGTGCGAATTCCCATGGCGAATCCGGGCTGGCGGAAGGCCGTGGTCAACATCTGTCGCGAATGGCTGCACATGGAAGTCATTCCCGACACGCCAGATACAGCCGTCACGCCGGATCTTGTGCTGTGGTCTCACATGGACTTGGCGCGGCTGAGCGAAGACTTTGAAACGTTTGACAAGACACCCAATGTCGTCGTGTGCTCGAACGCGCTGGTGGCCTATCGCCAGTCGCATGTTTTCAAGAAGGCCGGTTCACCCGCCATTTTTGAGTTTATATCTCAACCGTAAGTGATTCTACCTACATAGTTCCTCGTTCTTTGGCTAACCTGTCTGCAATTTCCAGGACTGGCCCGCGTAAACTTGCTAGGACCCTGCATTCGGCATACACGCGATGGATGAGTAGTTCCAACTCCCCAACCGCATCCACCTCGGTTCCAATGGTGGCCAAACGGCCCAAGGGACCCAAGAGAACGCCGAGTACTTTCTCGTCCGCCCACATTCTCAGGCCACCCTTGAGCAGGCCGGCCACTGCAATCTCTGGGACCAGCACTCCGTTCTGGACGAGCGAAGCCAGCACGCCGGCGTCGCCTGGCCCGAAAACCGAGTCGCCCTCGAAGATCCTTGGAGAATCATTGGCCCTACGAGATAAGCCCGAGGCACCGCAGCTCAAGTTTCTGCTCGTTGATGACAACTACATCAACCTCAAAGTGCTCTCGACGTATATGAGGAAGCGCAACGTTGCCTTTAAAGAAGCAAAGAATGGCCAAGAGGCCGTGGATTGCTTTCTCTCACATCCTGGCGCGTATGCGTGCATCCTCATGGACATTTCCATGCCTGTCATGGACGGCTTTGAGGCTACGAGGCAGATCCGGGTTCACGAGGCCCAGATGGGATTGACGCCAGTGCCCATCATTGCGCTTTCCGGGCTGGCCACTGAAGATGCCCAGCAAGAGGCTTTTGGCAGCGGAATGGATGTGTTCCTTACCAAGCCGGTCAAGCTGGGTGCGCTGGGCAGCCTCCTCGAGTCTCACGGGATTCTCAACAGTGGTTGAACAGCAAGGTTTCATTCCTGCTTGACTCATACTGTTTTCTTGGAGATGTATGAATTAACCGAGCGAAGCTGAGAACTGGAGTGTCATCACGGCAGCATCTGCTGTGAGAAAAAAGTAGTTGTCACCTTTCAATTAAGAGGACTCTGCGGGGATTTGCTGAATACTGTGTGTCCAGCGCAAGGTCGGCAGACTTGGTACACTGCTATTCTCGTCTCCCACCGCCCGTCCCTGGTCAAGAAGTCGAAGGTCCGACTCACCAGCCCCGGCTGCTACGAGTCCGGGGGCTCGCTTCTGACGTCGGCCACCGAGACAAAGACAGAGCATGGAGATTGAACAAGGGCAAGGCCTAGGGAGAACTCTTCGGCGCCAGGTGAAGTGGGGTTCTCTTGGGATCGAAGCGCAACAAATCTGCCTACTGGCTCAGAAGCAAAACTTGGCATCAATATGATGGGCGGTGGTGATTTTGGCGGATATACCATCTGCGGGATCTTGTCATAGGGGCTACTAGTAGCTGTTAGGGGACAGCGTGGACGACGGAATGTGGCCATGGCGAATCTGTATGCTCACAACAACAACAAAATCACATAGCGGCTCGATGCGTTTATTGATTGAAACCTTTTTTTGTTTTCTTGTAAAGTTGAGCGTTTGTTCATAATAACATGGTCGGGTAGAATCAATAATACATAAAGGGGGTTTATTTGGTGGGAAGATCACTCCATCGAGTAAGAAAATAGCGTGCAAAAGGGGAGGGGGCCAGCTACTATAAATGATCTGCCGGGCGTGTGGTTGCGTGCGTAATAATGCTTATTACTATTTCCCTCCCCCTTACCCAACCTACCTAAGCTCACCCTTGTGTTGTCCAAGGTATGTACAATTTCCTTCCTTAAGCAGCTACTACCTATACCCTTGTAGCAATGTTCTCCCGAGCTTACTTTGTCTTGCCCTTGGTGCCTTTTTCTTCTTCTTCTTTTTCTGTTGATGTGAGATCTGGTTGCGACGTTGGATCGGAGGGGGTTTGCTGTTGGGGGGTTGGGCGTTGTCCTACTTCCATCGGATGCCGAACAAGGCGAGAGAGGTGCCGTCACGAATAGATCTTAATATCGGGGCTTTGTTGTTGCTGCGTACATGATTGTTTTTGTTTGGCTGCGCGTAATCTGGTTGTTGGTAATTCGCATAGGGACGAGTAGCATGTTGGTAGTTTGAGGAGAGATCTGTAGGTGCGAAAGGAGATGAATGAGGAGAGAATATCATTGGCAATGTCGAGGACATGCTGGGGTAGGTTCGCGGTGTTATGTGTATCTGTTTGTCTCTTTGTTTCTTTTCATTTGCTTTACCTACCTTTCGCTCATCTCCCTACCGTATGTAGGTAGTCAATTATTCTGCATATAAGGTACATGTAGGTTCCGTATGCCATCTTTGGCAACGTCACTGTCTTCTTGTTTGGGAAAGTGAAGGTGTCCGGAATAGGTTGGACGAAGGTCTATTATTATCCAACTTTGATGCTAAATATAGGTAGCTTGAACAATATGACCTGAAGGGCAAATGCTGATTTAGACTCTCAGACTTTGTTGGCCAAGGGGCTGTCCATATGGAGCCAGGCTTGTAGAGTACTGCTTCATCACATGAGAGGTTCATCTGAGCTTTAGAATTGCTGAATATAGCATGATTCGTGTTGCTTATCATCGAGTATGTCTGGGAACTTTCGTCAAATCTTGGTTGTTCAGAGAATGTCAGTTGGCATTGATGGATTTCCTGATGTGAAGGACCTTGAGTCAGGGACACCATGTGCGAGGCGAACATATGCATTGCCACGAATGAGGATACAGCCCTCGAAAGGCAATGGGTGATCTTTAGGGATCATATGAAATACAAAGCTCCGCTGGCTCTAGGTTTCACACGGACAAGTTTGACCAGACGTTCACCAGCAGGGGAAGGTAGAGTAACATGACTTTCTCTTATACACTAATGTCTATGTTGGACTGCCTTGACCAGACGGTCGAGTTCAGACACACAGAAACCATCGTCTCCACTCCGTTGGCCCTTCAGGCCGGTGATCTTGAGATTGCCATCGACAGCATGACGCTATTTTGGGTCAAAACACGTCTCATTGCCACAGCACGTATACAGCGGAAAAGGCCTCTGGGTTGAATACGGACAAAGGACATTCCCAAAGAGGCATCTGTTCCCATCCCTGGGGCTGTTTACCTAGATGATGCTCACGAAGTACTACCTCCGCAGTACGATGATGCAAACTGTGAGATTTGGTTGATGGAACTTCATATGGAATCTTCCAAACAATGCCCCCGGTCAGCCTGTAAGTGGGTTTGACGTGAGCCAGGCTACCCTTGGAGGAGCATGGGTTTGCTCTTCCGAGTCCGGCATGATTGGAGAAGCAGCGGCTGGTCGTGAAGCGGCAGGAGAAGAACGTGTCGTCTGGCGTGTTTGATCGTCATGTCAATGGTAGAAGCGCAAGTCAAGCCTTGGAGCATATGAACAGGCAGGACTGATCTCTCAGGAGGCACTTGAAACCGTGATGATACGGCAAGTGCCCAAGCAAAAAGCACGGCCAGAAGGGATGGAGGATGCGATTAACCTTGACCGACAGGACAGGTGCTTGGACGGATGACTAAGGCAGATCGGCGAACCTGACCCCCTGTCTTTACGAACGGCTGCCATTGGCGCATCGGGCCGCATCTTTCTCCGCAATGCCCTGGAGACCCACCAGCTCTCCCCAGAAGATACCTAGAAAAGAATGGACCGTGGAGCTTGCTGAGGTGCTGCTCAAACGTTGGCTCCGATTCTAATTATAGGCAGGCCGGGTTGATTTGATTGCGCTGTGAGGTTCCCTGTCGAATACAACACACTCAAACTCGGGCTTTACGAACAGGAGACGGCGTTGCTGCGCGTTGTCTTTGGCAGCAGCAGATTGCTTGCCAGATCAAAAAGAAAAAGACAAGATGGATCGGCTTCACCGTGTAATAGTAATTACGAGCTCCGTATAGTGTCCTTGAGTCTGTGGAGACGCAGACGCAGCTGCAGAGGCTGATGAGTAGGACGTTGCTTGTGCTCATCCGACGGCCACGTTTTTTTTTTTTTTTTTTTTTTTTTTTTTGTGACAAGGCCTGCATCTGATAGCAGCAGCCGGCATTGTCTTCTTAGTGGTTGGCTCTCGGATGGGCGCTGAGACAAAGCAGCTTCTCTGGCGACGCCTCGCGATTGGCACAGGCCGTGTGACAGCGGCGTTGGCCGTGCATTTCTCCGCTGCATCGTCCATCCTCCTCCTCTGTCACTTTCTTGAACCATGATCCTCTTATTCTTCTTCTTCTTCTTCTTCGACCTGCCGGCATAAGACAGCGGCTTACACACACACTCTCACACACACTCACAAATCTTTTTTTTGCCTTTTTATTCTTCTTCCGTTATTTGTGCCCGATGAGATTCGGCGGATAGACGCCAGGCGTTGAGCCAAGCGCTGATTGGACAGCAGGCCACAGGGGACGGCAGGGGATTGGCCAGCTCGCTGCAGCAGGGGTCGGGGCTCAGCGCTTACCCGCAAGCTCGAAATAGCAAGCACGGCCACTCAGGGCCTGTGGCGACCCTCCACCTCCTCTTTCCTTTTTTCCTGCCCCTCCTGCTGCGGTGCTTGGCCGCGTCTATGTAGGCGGATGGATTGATGTGATTTCTCGTGCCCTGGCAAAGAGCTGGTGCTGCTGCTGCTTGTGATTGTGCTCTAGAGGGTTAATACTAGCACGGCGGGCTAGCCAGCATCGTGCAGCGTGCAGTCGGCTGAATGGGGGGGCAAAGGAACGGCATGATGGGCGGTTGCATCGGGAGGGACGGAGGGGAGCAGAGACAGAGATAGACGGAGAGATAGAAAGAGGAGGGTAGAAAAGGAAGAATGGGAACAAGGAGGAGAACGAGAGAGGGGGAGGAGGGGAAGCTGGACAAGACGAGAAGAGGAGACGAAACGAAACAAGCTGACGACGGCTCAAAAAGCACAAGCCCAGACGAAACAACCGGCGGACGAGACGACAAGCAAAGGCGGCCCTGCTGCTGATGACGGGCCTGGGATACTGCTACTACTACTACAAAGCAACGCGCGGTTGTTTCGTCGTATATAGCCGCCGACGATCCCGCCCATTCGCCATCTCCAACCCATCTCCAGCACACAACACACCTGAACCTTGCCATACCTTGCCTGTGTCTCCTCTGCCTGCGTCATTTCTATTCTCGTCCCTGCAGAGTGTCACAGCATCTTGGCTCTCTGCCGCTGCAGGCATTCTCTTATATTGACGTTGGGCCTGCATCTGTTGTGCATGCCCCATCCATCATAATACCTACTTACTACCTTGATAACACCTCGATCTCGTATACTTTGACGCAATCTGGGGACGACACGATACGACCCGGCATCTCCTTGACTCACCCCACTCCCCATACCTCTCTCTCTGTCTCTTCTCCATCTCTCCATCTCTCTCTCTCTGTCTCTTTCTCTGTCTCCCTCCCTCTTGTTGACACCTCCTCTTCTCCACACACATCTCGTCTTTCTCTCCTCGATCTGGCCATTATTCTCCTTTCTCTCTCTCTCTGTCTGCATTACTCATCTCCAAGCCAAGTATTCGGCACCTCACCGCTGTCGCCATGATGGCTTCACAACCGTTTCAGCACAGCTCCGGCCCCAAAAGGCCACGGCTCTCCCTCAAGATCAACACCTGCAGCTCTTCAGTCCCCAGCAGGCCCGTAAAAGGCTTCCATGTCGACCCTACCGATCGTACAGCCTGCAACACCCTGTCCAACGTCTACGCAACCGCCATTGAGAGATCCACGCCGGTACAGGCCGAGCCTCTTACAGCCATCAACACTCTGCAGAGCTTCTCCCTCAAGACGCCAGCCGAACCTCGAGGCCCCAGGCTAAAGATCAAGACGCCATATGTCGCCGCCTTCCCACAGACACCAACCACCGAAACCTCCGGATCACCGCCGCAGAAGATGGATATTGCCTTTCCCAGCACCATGACACCGACGCCTCCCATGTCCGCCGGTGCTGTCGATTCCACCACGTCCAGCGCCTTTCCCTTCTCCCCTAGAGATGTTTCTTCCAATACTAGAGCATATGGCGTCACCTCGCCTTGCTCGCCTGTCGAGCCACTTCTCTCCAGACGATATACTGCTGCGTACACCACCGGAGCTCCCGCTCCTTACACGCACCCTCACTCTCTCCACAGCATCCTGCGCAACTCGCCTCTTCCCCCCCGGACAGCCATCCCCGCCTCTCCCAGGCGGCAGTCCCTTCGTCTGCAGGAAAAGGCCGCCAAGCGAGTCGGCTACAACAACCCCCTGACCCAGACCATCATCACCAACAAGTACACCAAATCGCACATCGACCTCCTCGTGGAAGAGGCCTCGCCCGCGTCGCCCTCGTTTTCGCCCATCGGCGGCGGCGGCGGCGAAAGGGCGGCAACAATCAACCTCAAGCAAGCATTCTCGCCCAACGAAATCGAGAACGGGGGCCAAACGCCAGGCCCCTTCGAGGACATGCGGCGCAAGCTCGCGGCCCTGAGTGGCGGTGCTGCAGCGTCGCCGTCGTCCCTGTCGCCATCCGAGACGGGCGGCATCCGCAAGCGCAAGCGCAAGGAGAAGAAACGCCAGTGGGTCTGGACAATCGGCGTGGCGGACGAGGAGGAGGAGGATGACGAGCGCGTCGGTGGCGCAATCGCTGCCTCGAGGGCTGAAGCTGCCTCCGCCTCCGTCTCCGCCTCCTCCGCAAGGGTCAGGGGTACAGGAACGGGCACGGGCACGGGCAGCACGACTAAGGCGCCTCGCGACGACGGTGAAGTCGGGAGGGCGCTTTGCGAGGCTGTCGTCCCGGACATCCAGATGGTGCCCGACACGCCGACGGCGAGCATCGAGGGCAGCAGCGCCGACTCGGCCATTGACATTGACATGTCAGACGCCAGCAGCGTCGTCTCCGAGGATCTCCAGGGGCTCCCCGTCGGGCCCGCTGCGAGTCTTGCGGCCGAGCTGGACGTCAAGACACCAACGGCGGCCAGTTGCAGGGCGTATTTCTGCAATGGCTACAATAAGCGGAAGCGGGATACGCCTATCCCTGAGCTAGCTGAGGCGCAGGATACCCATGTAAGCGTCGACAGCTGAGTGGCTCCCCCTCTTTGCTCTCTACAGTCATGAAATGAAAAGAAAGAGTAAGCAAGAAAACAAAAAGGAAGAAAGAAAAGAAAATGAGAGAAAAGAAGAAGAGGGCTCTGTATTGATAGGAAAGTGGTTGGAATAGGGGTAGATGTCGAGGTCCGGCAGTTGCATTGTTTTTTTGGCATCCTTGTTTTTCTACCATGGCGAACAAGAAAGGCTTGATGCGTTTCTTTTTCATGATGAGATACGAACTACTATATCATGATGGCGACTGGAAATCGCCTGCATATGGACAAAGGGCGTTTTGTGTTGGTTCTATGGGTCCAGTTGGGTCTGTGAGGCTTGTTTGTTATTTACATGTATACCATTTTCTCATCGTCTTTCAATTCATTAGCCCGCGCTTTGAGTATTTACACAAGTACATTTTTTCGAAGTTTGACGAGCTATAAACCTTGCCTCAATGATTTAGAGCTTGCGTGTTCCATAAAGCTTGGACTCTCATTAGAAGAACGTTGAAGACGACAACCATTCACATGAGTAGCCCGATGACATACCCAAGTGCCAGAATGACTCCCATGCAAGACTCATATATACACTTGTTTTATTTTTGTTTTATTCGACTTTTTTTTTTAAATCCTTCTTTTGTCCGCTTCAAGCCTTCTTTGCGCTTCGCTGCTGCTGGTCATAGTATATCTCCTCAGCTGAAGTGATGCACTGCATGTTGGCGCCCAGCTTGTTGATAGTTTCTTGCCACTCTTCGTATTCGTCAGAATCAAATACAATGCCGCCACCTATTGATAAGATTTCAACGTCAGTCTTGCTTACTTTTTTTTGACTCTTTGTACGTGAGCATTGAAAGAAAAGGGTGGGGGAAAAGAGAAAACATCAACTGACCTGCTTGCAGATACGCCACACCGTCCTTGACCATCATGGTCCGCAGAGCAATGCAAGTATCCATGGCTCCCTCTACATCTTCGCCGTTCTCGTCCACTCCACCGTACCCAAAGTATCCCACCGCGCCGGCGTACACGCCGCGCTTCTCCTTCTCCAGCTCGGCAATGAGCTCCATCGCCCGCACCTTTGGCGCGCCGGAGACGGTGCCGGCGGGGAAGATGGACCGGAACGCGTCGAACCGCGTCTGGCCCTTCCGCAGGACGCCCGAGACCTGGGAAACGAGGTGCTGGACGTGGCTAAACTTCTCCACCACCATCAGGCGGTCCACGCGGACGGTGAAGGGGTCGCCCACGCGGTTGACGTCGTTGCGGGCGAGGTCGACGAGCATGACGTGCTCCGCTCGGTCCTTGAGCGAGCTGCGCAGCTCGTTGGCCAGGCGCTCGTCCTCCTCTGGTGTTTGGCCTCGCTTGACGGTTCCGGCAATGGGGTGCGTGATGATCCGGCCGCCTTCCGACTTGACCAGCAACTCGGGGGATGCGCCGACGATCTGGAAGTCCTGGCAGTCGATGTAGAACAGGTACGGTGACGGGTTGACGGTTCGGAGGTGCCGGTAGATGTTGAACGGGTGCAGGCTGGTCGGCCGGGCAAAGCGCTGCGAGGGCACTGCCTGGATGATGTCGCCGCTGACGATGTGCTCTTTTAACTTGGTGACGTGGGCCTCGTAGCCGTCGCGACCAATGTTGGACTTGTATTCCTGGCCCAGCGTGATGGGGCCCTGCTCCGGCAGCGGGATCTCGGGGCTGTTGAGGACGTTTATCAGCTCGTCGATGGTCCGCTTCGCCTCGTCGTATGCTGCCTCCAGACCCGTCTCCCTATCCTCCGGCACCTTGACGTAGCTGATGACCTTGATGATGCCGTAGAACCTGTCAAAGGCCACAATCGTGTCGTATAGCATGAACAGGGACTCGGGGATCTTCAACACATCCTTCATCGGCCGCGCCGTCTTGGGCTCAAAGTATCGCACGCAGTCGTAGCCCACGTATCCGACCGCTCCTCCCGCCATGGGAGGCAGCTTCAGACATGGCACATGCGCAACGACATGGGCCGCCAGCTCCTCCTCAAGCGCCGGTAGCGGATCCTTCTCCTCGCCGTATCCGGGGCCGGTGGTGAGCACCTTGCGCGGGTTGGCGCCGACGAAGCTGTACCGGCCGACCTGCTCGGTGGCCGCCGACTCGAACAAGAATGAATATGTGGAGGATGCCGAGGATGTGGACTTGGCGTGCGCGGAGACTTTGAGGTACGCGGCCGAGGGGGTGATGAGGTCGGAGGAGATTTGGCGATAGACCGGGACGAGCGTGGGCTTCTTTGCGCCGTCCTTGACGGGCTTGTTGAGGAGCTCTCTGACGTCGTCGAGAGACGGGACGAAGCTTCTCTAGAGTCGCGGGAACGAGTAGGAGAGAGATGTCAGCAAATTGGGCTCATCGCACAGAGGCAGAAAGCAGATCTGGACAGCTCTTGAAGGGGTGTTGATCAGCACCTCCCAGGAAAAAAAAAAAGTTGTGACTAACTTACCACATGTGCCATTTTTTTGGAGGGTATCAAAGTCGGTATGGGTGAGAAAATTGAAGGGCAAAAAAGGGAGGAGACAGGAGAGAAGAATGAGAGAAGATGCTGGCAAGAGTATGTGAGCTTCTCCAGGCAATGCGCCGTGTGTCCTTTCGAGAAGCCCAACAAATGGATAAGTCGCCAAGGGCGTTGCTTGGAGGAGGATGTAAGCAACCAAGACGCCAGACGTCAGATTTCGGAAGAATCGATCTTGGCTGGTGACTCGAACTTTTGCCCCACGGCCGCAATCGAGAATCGAACAGCACGGGCGAGAGAGATGGCGGGGCAGCTCCAGGGCCGGCACCGGCGTGTTGGGGCGCTGTTGCTTGGGCGCAGCAGGCGTTGAGCACTGCGGCACAGCGGCTGGGAGGCGTTGGTGCAGGGCCTGGCAGCGGCATTCCAGGGCGGGAGGGCGCTGAAGCCAACCGAGGCCCTGCAGTGGACGGCTCTGATTGGCTGCAAAGTCCCGAAGCGGGATCGCATCAGGGCCGCGCACGGGCCTCTGCTGGCCAGCCCAAGGTACATGTAGTACTAGGTACCTACTAAGGTAACTCCTCGGTCTCATACACACATCTCTCCAATGGCGGCATCGCCAACGGCCTCCTATTGAGACGCAGCATTGCTCTGCTCTCCCAGGCTAGCTTTATAGCCCAAAGACCCGCCCGCCGGCTTCCTGGGTCGGCGTTTCTGCAGCTGCTGTCGAGATGATGGCATGGACAGCTCCGTAGCCAAGAAGCCGCCGAGGCGCCAAGAGGGCCGCATCATCCTGCAGTTTGTTCGTCTTACGAGGATCCTTCCCGCTCAAGACGTGTTCTCTATCGTCTTTCGTGCTGCCTTTGTCCCGTTTTTGCTAATGCGCCAGGTCGCACCCGTAGGACTACGACTGCTTCTACGCTCAGGTCGCCGAGCACAAGGACCCAGCTCTCAAGTCAAAGCCGGTGGGCATCAAGCAGAAGAACATCCTGGCCACGTGCAACTACAACGCCCGTCGCCGCAATGTTAGAAAGCTCATGCTCGTCTCGGAGGCAAAGAGGATATGCCCGGACCTCGTGCTCGTTGACGGCGAGGACTTGACGCCGTTTCGGGACATTAGCAAGATTCTCTTCAACTTCCTCCGGTCTCACTCCTGGAACGGCAAAGCTGAACGGCTAGGTTTCGACGAGGTCTTCCTAGGTGCGTGCAGTTCGCGCTCGGTTGGGCTGCATTGAAACGATACGCAGATACATGCACTGACATTCAGCCGACCAGATGTGACGGACATCATTGACTACAACTTGACCTGTCTCAACCGGAGCTCAATGGCCGACTCGTTCTTTTACCTGTCCAAGAAAGACCCCGAATCGGGCTTCCCATGCGACTTATCCTCCATTGCAGGCTGCGTTGTCGGTGTCACCCTTGATGACGTGGATCCGGAGAGTCCCATCTACCTGAGGCATCTCTTGGGCTCCCACCTTGCCCAGTACTTGCGACTTAGGCTGGAGCAGGATTTTGGCTACACATCAACTTGTGGCATCTCGACGAATAAGCTCCTAAGCAAGCTTGTTGGCAGCAAGAACAAGCCGCGGAATCAGACAACGTTGCTTGCATTTACTGACGATGATATCATCGGTTTCGTCGACGGACACAAGCTGCGCACCATACCAGGAATGGGCTCCAAGATCACGCACCTGCTAGAGTCTCACATCATGGCCCGGGAGATTGACAAGGACTCGGGCCCCTTTGACTCTTTAGTGACGGCAAGAGAAGCCCGTCTCCATCCAAACATTTCACCTTCATTTATGGAGTCCCTCTTGGGCGGACCGGGCGCCGAAAGAGGCATTGGAGCTAGAGTCTGGGGTTTCCTTCATGGCGTGGATCCCACCGAAGTCAAAGAAACCAACACTGTGCCGACGCAAATCAGCATCGAAGACACGTATAAGGGCCTTGACACAGTACCCAGGATAACAGAAGAGCTCCACAAGCTGTCGTGCTCCCTTATCCGGAGATTGAGGGTAGACCTGGTTGTGTCGGACAGCGGTTCTGATCTCCCAGGCAGTCGCAAGTGGGTTGCAAGGCCAAGGACGCTTCGTCTCTCGATTCGATCGTGGCCTAAGTCGGATGCTTCCCAGTCCCAGAGCTTCAGTCGTGTATCGCGCTCGGGGTCGTTGCCAAATTTTGTGTTTGATCTCAAGGCTGACATTGATGAGATCGCCCAGCAGCTAGTGGCGGAAGCGTTGTTGCCCTTGCTTCGCCGTCTGCAAAACGAAAAGGGTCAAACGTGGAATCTGCAGCTCATTAACATCTGCGCCGCAAACATAGTCACCGGAGCTACCGATGACAGGACGGGAGCGGGACGGGACATTGCAGTCATGTTTAAGAGGCAGGATGAAGTGCTTGCGCCATGGAGAGTCGCATCTGACGCTACGGACGAGATTGCTCAAGAGGCAGACATTGAACAGGAAGGCTCCGTGCCTGAAGATCTGGACTCTGACATCTCCTGGGAGGCCACGGATCATTCCGCTTGCACGACCTGCGGCCATTCCATACCATCGTTTGCCCTGTCCGCCCATTTGCGATACCATGAGCTAGGAGAATGAGAAATACTGAGTAATCACGCAAAGCTATCTTCTGGTTGAGTCATGAACCCTGAACAAGTACATGACGTGAGACTTCGAAAGACTATTCAAGGTAGGAGAAGTGATATATGAAAGTAGAGTAAGAAGGATAGCCACAGGCATCTAGATACGGCTGTTGGCAGATGGCAGAATCTTAAGGGGCCAGCGGTCCGACAATGTACCAGAACGCTGGATCGTTCTGGGCCAGGTTCTGTGCGTCTTGGATGGGCTTCTGGATGAGGTGCACAAGTCATAGCTACCGGCAGGCTCACCCTGGCAAACAGAGTGATGATGGGACAGGTTCGTCTCCGCCTTGTTTGTGGGCGGATAGATGTCGTGTCGGTGTAACCGTCAAGGTGCTCCATTGTCGAACCATACATGTAGGCTCAGAGCGCCTTGTCAGCTCGTGGCAATCACCATGAAGATGCATGTTGAAGAAGAGAAGCCAAAACTCATTCATCGACGCTACGAAATTAAAGAGCCAGGCACATTCTCAGAGTGGGCTTTTCGTGACCAAGGGAGTAAGTAGGTGAGACGTGTTCCTGATATGCTCTGGCTGGTGGCATGGCGGTGATGCTCAAGTGCAGCGCACATGTGCCAAGCAAGTACCTACTATAGATGCCGTAGGGCTCAGGGCTTTGTTTGCCATGGACGACGCCCGCCCTGGATCCCGTCATCTTGCTGCCGATGAAGATGCAGCAGACTATTGTTGTTTCTACATCAGCTCCCCGTTTGAGATGCAACCTCCCAGTCCTCGCTCGACATCAACGGCTATCCATCTTCCCCTGGCGTTCCTTTTCTTTTCCTTCGTCTCTTCTATTTTGCTTCCATTCCCGCCTGTCGGCCCGGCATATCGCCAGCGTCACGGCATTCACCACTCACTCGCCCAGGCAGAGGCAGAGGCAGACTGAAAAAGTCACGGCTTCCAACATGCTGTGGCCGGCAACGACACGCGGGGCCGTTACAGGTGCGATGCCGATGTCTGGGGAAGCACAGCTTTGGCAGCTTCGCCTTACTGCTATTACGACCTTGTGATCTGGTTCTATCTGCCTTTGTCCTCCGTTGGCCGCTGGATTTGCTGCTCCATTTGTGATTCTTTGTCTGCCTTCTTCTTTGTAAGTAGGTACTATGCACATTATTACCACCATCACGGTACCTAGCCTCTGCAATTACTATAGTTCATGTACTACCTAGTATTGCGAGAATTGCAACTAGGTATGTATCTGTATTGATGATTGGGAGCGGAAACAGACAACTGAAGCCGTTGTGCTGATTTGGTGCTTATCGAATCCCGTTCCCGGACGTGATGCAGTGCCCTTTTTGGCCTCGTTTGCATGCCACACTCACAATCTGTCCTGTTTTCTGTGTCTCTTTGTTGCCCTTCTTACTCCTCAAGCCCTCTTAAATGCCATAGAGGTAGATATCTGACCTCGCCAGCTTCCGGTATTACAATGCATGTGAAGCATACCTACATGTACTACCTATAGTACCTCCCAAGCTCCTCCGCCTGAAGCCATCTGTACATATACCTGACCCTTCCTTCTACCTCGAGGCAATTTCCAGAGTTGTATCTGCTAATTGCTTTCCCAGTTTGCCCGTCTCTTCTTTCCTCCATCTCTACTTATCGCCTCTCTCATCTGCTCCTTCCCTCCATGTGGTGCATGCACGAACCTGCTCCTGCCCTCCATTTCGGAAAGAGCGACTGGCAGCCACCTGGCAACCGGCCAGACCCCAATTCACCAGCGCTCCTTCCCAGCTGCGCGTTTCAGCTCACTTTCTCTTCAGTTTGTTTTCTCTTCAGTCTTCTCTCTTCTTCTCTCGGGTTTCTTTCTTCTGTCTCTTCTTTTCCTCCCGCAGCTTCGCAAACTTCACTGCTGCTGCATCTCCCTTTGCAGTCCATTCATCACCACCTCGATATACCAAACACTTGAGAGCTGCTCGGCATCTCGCGAGCTTCGGCCAGCTTCGTCGCCTCCATCTTTTCGCCGCGAAGCAATACTTTCTTTCTTTGCAATTCCATCGGCAGTCGGCCTTATCTCAACGCTCCTTGATCAGCTGCCTGCTCGTGCGGAAACTCGCCTGTTCGCGATCAACCATCCCGACCTCTACAACCTGGCAGTCAGCGAAGCATCCTAGAAGGATAGAATCCATCGCCTCAACTGCAGCAAGCCGTCGTTCCAACGGCTCTTCTACTGGTGCCTGGCTTTGAGGGATTGACATTGCTTCACAGCACAACACATATCTTCACCCCCTGAATCGAAGCCGTGTAACAGACCAGCCAAAGCGCCAACCATGGCTCGCGGACGTGGAGGCAGCTCTCATGGCCAACGCCGCCCGGTCGACCTGACCGGGATCATTTCAATAGCAGAGAAGAATGACTTGGTGACACTCATCAATGCCATCACGGAGAGAATGGCTCGAGACATTAGCAACGTCTTTGACTCTCCCCCCGTCGTCCCTATCCAAGGTGACCACGGCCACCATCACTGGCTTATGATTCCACTACTGCATCACAGACAGAACAGATCAACATCGCATTCTCATTCTCTCATTGGACTGAAGCACCCTAATCTATCAAAGTCATTTGAGAAGACGAGAGAGATAATCGAAAAAGAAGAACAGGAAGCCATGACGCCCCAGCTACGGGAGTTGAAGAAGGAGGCCTTGGTCTTCTTCCGCAAATGGCAGAGTACTGTTTTGCAACGAATTCGAGATATTGCTGTCAACGAACAGCAGACTCCCCAGGGAAGCATTCGGGGCCGCGGACGTGGCATGAGAGGAGCTCCTCGAGGCCGAGGTGGAGGAGGCCGCGGAGGTGGAATGACGCGAAGCCCCCTAACTCTAGCGACAGGTAAGATGGACTTTCACAGCTTCCTTCCCTTTTTATTTTTTTCCCCATGAATGCGACAGAATAGCTCGTGACGAAGGAATATGGCTTCAGCAACTAACGCCAATGTAGGCCCGCCGCGAGCACCGTCGAACTACGTGGATCGTGATTTGGCCGCTCGTTATCCCCCTATTCCGAATACTCTCTGGTCGCTCGACCTCGACAAGCGCAAGCTCCTTCTCCATATTGTCTTCTTGGTCTTGCTGTCCATGCAAGAGTATACGGCAAACTCACGACAGCTCCTGGTGAGCCTCACTACATCGCTCAATCTCCCGCCTAAAATCTATCGGGATGAGGAACTGCGCCTTGCTCAAGGATTAGCCAAAGCGGCCATTGATCTTTCCTCGGAGGACGCTGTCAGCCAGAAATCTGAAGAGTCGAAGAGCTCACGTCGCTGGAAGGTGGGATTGGGATGCGGTACGGGAAAACTTGCCGCTCCCCTTTCCGGCGTCGGCATTGGTACTGCGCACGACGGCCTGGGTCTCACTCCGTATGCTGCGGCAGGTCTCTTGGGTTCCATGGCAGAGAACGCAACGCAAATGGGCGCACTTTTCGGTATCATTGCTTCGAAGCCGACAGCCAAGATGATGGAGGCCTTTACTCGAGAGATTCAAGACTTTGGATTCATCCCTGTCCACGGGTTGGACGGGTCTGAATATCGTGACGCCCGAGAGTTCCCGGTAGAGCATCGCAGACTCAGTCTGACAATTGCTCTCAGTGGTTTCCTTCTCGAGGACGAAGAGATCACGAAGAGTTGGCGCTGTTTGGGTCGCCATAGCGAGTCCTATGTCACGCGGTGGGAAGTTGCAGCTCTTACGAACCTTGGTAGCTCTCTTGAGACTGCCATAAAGAGTAGTGCTTGGAAAGAGGGCAAGGCAGAGATCGAAGCTCGGACAAGTAAGTGTATCAATCTCATATCGTCACACTGTTGACTCTTGACGCTAACTCCATGTTTAGTTTTTTCGTGCCTCATCGAGTCCACCTGGCCTGTTGCACTGCTCAAGATTAGCAAGATTATCGACAATACTTGGAGTGTCGGAATGGTCAGAGCGGAAAAGGCCGGTGCAGTACTGGCCGACGCCATCATGCGACAGAAGTTCCAAGGTGACAGGCCGGTTTCCTTGATTGGATACAGCCTTGGGGCTCGAGCCATATATACGTGTCTCATGGTGTTGGCAGAGCGACGACAGTTTGGAATCATCGACTCGGTCATCATGATGGGCACTCCGGCGCCATCGGAGAGTCGAGTGTGGCTGACGCTCAAGAGCGTTGTATGCGGCCGCTTAATCAACGTCTATTCGGAGCAAGACTATATCCTGGGCTTTCTTTATCGAACCTCGAATACTCATTTCGGTGTTGCCGGTCTGCAGGAGATTCAGGGAGCCGATGGAGTAGAGAACTACAGAGTGCGGAGTCTTCCGCGGGGCCATCTGAGCTACCAAAGCCAGGTTGGCGTGGTGTTGAAGAATGTCGGTTGGGAGGACGTCAGTAGGGATATTGTCAGGGCGGCAAAGTGAGGTGCTCAGAGCACGCCAAAGTGTGTACTATTGCTTGTGCGGCGCCGCGTTTTCACCAGATTGTTCGAGGGCTCGTGTCGAATTGTTGCGCCAAGTTGGAAGGATGAGTCTACGTTATCCATATCGAGCACTGAGCTGTTCTTATGTTGTCTGATGCGGTAATTAGCCGTTTATCGATCATTCGTGTATTATCTTTGTACGAGTTAGCTATCATGATTCAGTTAGTTTTGCTACTGTTTATACAAATTGTGCCCGCCTCAGACATACAAACTTGGACGTCCCTCCCTTCCTTCCATGGCATACTACAAAACCCAATGGGTAAAGACAGGTAGATGTATGACACGGCGGCCTGGAGAATATGAAGCAGGGACAAGCCCGCAGATTATTGTAGAATGCTCATGCAGCATCGAGACACTGTCCAGAAAACTAAGCAGTTCCCTTGCTAACAGAACAAGAAGTAGAAGACGGCGATGATGATGATGATTATGGGATGATACATTGCAAAGCGAGAAGTGGTCAAAAGAAAAAAAAAACAGATGTGTTTAATCTATAAGAATAACAAAACGAGCTTCCCGTCCCGTCCCAAGTCAACCAGGTCAAGCCAAGCCAAACCAAACAAACAACAAGAAGAAAAAAAGGACGCGAGAGATTTGGTTTTTTTTATATGCCATCCATCCATCCCCGTACGTCCGTCCGTCCGTCCACCCCTGCCTCTTCTCTCTCTCCCTCTCTCTCTCTTTCTTTTGTATAAAAAGAAGATGGAGAGAGAGAAAAATGAGACAAAGGGGGGGTCAAGTCGACTCGCGTCGTCTGCGAGTATGTTGCGATTTTGTTTCGACAATAGATTACATCGATGCGTATGAATTTATAGTACATTTGAACTTGATCCTTGCTGTTCACTTCTCGCCCACCGGTTTTTTTCGCTTCTGCTTTCTTCTTCAAAATGCAAAAGGCATTCGTGCACAGCAAAGAGCCTATGCTTCTCTTCCACATCTAGCGGGAATAGAAAACGGCCCGCCTCATGCTCATGGAGGTGTGCTGCCCATCTTGGGTACTTGCTTCCGAGCAACCCCCCTTGGGCCACGCGGCTCGACGCGAGGAACACCCTGAATGGTGCGTGGCTCACGCATGAGCGAGGGGTCGAGGCGAGCCGGCATCCGAGTCACGATGCTGTGATATTCGCCAGGGAAGTTGCCCTTGGGTAGAGGCACAGAGGCAGTGCGCCATATGTGCTCTGAGGTGTCGCTCAGGTAAGGAGGAACCTTGCCGTTGGCACCGCTGATGCCGCCGCTGCCTCGGCCGGAGCCCCATGAGTTGGTCGAGCCAGAACCGCGAAGCGTCGAAAGACGGGACAGGCTGGAAGGTATAGCGGTGCGTCCACGGGCCTTCTTGGCCATGATGATCTCGTCAAAGAGTCGGATTTCGGGGTCAGACGCAAGCTTCATCTCTCTGTCATGGATAAATTCGTTGAAAGCTGAAAAGGAAACCACAAGGTTAGCGAACGGCGCAAGCAGAAAAAAACAAAGAAAAAAGAGAGGCGTGAGTAGATTCGACATACCTTGCGTCTCCCGCATCATTGTGACATACTCTTGCTGATCATAAGGGAGACTCTTGATGAAGCCATCCATGTCAAAGGTGTACAGCTGGCCGCTGTTCTTGTGCTGCTTCGAGGGCTTGCCCAAGTATTTGCGGTATGTGTACAGCAGACTAGCAAGGCACCGCACAAACGCGGCTCGCACACGATCTGCGTGGAAGGCCTCGGGGCACACCAGGGACACGAAGCCCAAACATCTACCGTGAGCGACCGTCTTACAGGCTCCGCACTTGTAGAACCCATCGCCTTCAGACCTCTCCTCGCAAATCGTGCATACCGACGCGGTGTCCTTGGGGTTCCAGTTGAAGCAGTGACCCTCTACCCAGACCGTCGTGTCAGTGTTGCTAACCGGTTGAATCTGCATGTTGGGCATGATGGTCGAGGCAGCCAGTGTAGAGGCCGCATATGTAGAGGGAGCATAGCCCCCTCCGAAGGATGACTGGGAGTCCAGCGTCGAGATGGACAGGTTCGTCTGGTGGCCGTTGAGGAACGGGAGGCTCGGACGGTGGACGGGCGGCTGATACTTGTCGACTCCAAAAGAGGAGCTTCGCCGGCCCTTGTCCTCTCCGAAATGCCCCGATCGCTTCTCCCTGAGTGTCGAGGTCAAGGCGAACCCTGAATCGCTGCGCGAGACCGGAGTCGATGGCATAGGAGGGAATTTCATGGACACGGGGGATACAGAAGATTGGGGGCTGGTCTGGTTCGACTTGCTGGTCCCCGGCCGATCGGATTTTCCATTGTCTACTGAGGAAACGGAGAATCCATTGAACACCGGGGGTAGTACTTCGTTGGGGGGGTCAGGATCCGCGAAACTCGACGAATTCTGAGACACCCACTTGCCAAGAGTGGAGGGCGGAGCGACACTGGTGAACAGAGATGCGTTCTCCGACGAGAAGGAATCGTACGGGAAGGCCTCCATGGCGTAAGGGGGAGGCCCTGTGGTGACACCATACCGAAGCTTGTGCGGAGCCGCTACCTGCAGCAGAGACATCAACTTCCGGCGGTGCTGTCGCGGCAAGCGGATGGGCTGCGACGTAGCATCAATGGTGTCCTTGTCGAGGTCGACCAGGACGTAGTCGTCTTCAGGGAGATCGATGCGCTCATACCGGCGCTCAACGCCCACAATGTAAGGGCAAGGCGCATCGAGGGCGGAAATCAGTCTGGCGGGCAGTATCGGGATGAAAATGCTCGCCCACTTGAGAGGGTACAGGAGGTTTGCGAGGGCGTGGCAGGCCAGGTGCAGCATGCTGGTGTGGGAGGAGAGGAAGATGATGCGGGATTCAGACATGGCATACTCGAACAGAGCGACAATATTCTCGAGGGAGAGACATCTGAAAAGAGCGTAGATGTCAATGGTTCTGGAGCCGGGGATCTCGTTTGCCGCTTCCTTGCGAGAGAAGAGGCGCAGTTCCCGCACGCCGATTTCAACCTGAGTCTTGGAGCCCAGGGGGCTAAAGGCCTCAGTGCACAGATTGACAACGTACTGCTCCAGGGGCTGCCAGCGGCCTACTTTTGGAGAGCTTGGGGGGATCCTGAGAACGGCCCCGTCGGTCATGGGGACGACGATTGCCTTGAGCCATTCTTTCCAGAATGCCATGTTCGCAGGGTCTCTGCCCAGGATACCGTACGCACGCGGAGCCCAGAGCCCGCTCTCGCCGGTGGTGAGGCCCTCAATTCGGGAAGCTGCACCGTGTCTCAGCGGCCTCAGCATATCCGTCATGAGGGTGATCTTTTCCTCGACAGTTCCAATCTCGTCCTCGAGCCTGTCCCGGGCCGGAGACCCCGAGGGAAGAGTCCCAAGCTTGGCCAAGAGCTGCGACAGATGCGATCGCTCGCCAGCGAGGCGCACTCCCAAGCTTGCGGCCAGCTCTCGCTCCTCGTTGGACATGTGGCTCTGTCGCCAGTCCTCGCACTTGTTCTCCACGACTTCGGCCACATCGGCAGGAAGCGCTGTCCACACAATGAGCGTAATGCCGTACAGCTTGGAGTTGTCGTCGGAGGTCATGGTGAAGCCATGCCAGGTCGATCGCGGCCGATCATCGGACGAGACGATCTGAACGTCGTTCGGGAAGGCGAACATGGGCACATAGTCCGGAAACTTGCCTCGTCGGGCAACCTCTTCGGTGGCCGTCTTGGGCGGGTACCGATCGAGAAGCATGGGCTCGAAGCGTCTCTTGAGGGGGTGCATATCGGGATCGGTGTTCAAAGGCTCGGGTGGAGGAATCACAGAGTTGTAATTACTAAGTCTTCTCGTGGTCCGTATTGAGGCTGTTACGAGAACGCAGCTGGTCAGACATGGTCTTGGCGTCCGAGGACAGGGGGAAAGAGATGTAGGAAGGGATACTCACGAGCTCTCTGCGACATGGGTCTTGCAACGCTGGGTTGCTTCCGCAGACTGTTCATGTCCCTAAAGCTGATCTTGCGGCGGATGCTACCCTTGATGCTCCTCAGGGGACTGACCCTCCCGCTGGCATCAGCCTCGTCGGCGCGGATGCGCTCGGCTCGAGGGCTGACCATGGGCTGCCGTGCCTGAGTCTTGGCTCCGGCACTGAAGGAGAGATCCTCGAGGAAGTTTTCCCTCTCCGCAGCAAACTTCAAGAGGGCCTTGTCGAAATCAAAGTCGCCCATGAGACCGAGAAACTCGCCCATGGAACCGGGATTGCTGGCAGCATCGCCGTTGGGGACGCCACTGCCGTTGGCAGTGGGCGGCTTGACCCTGATTGTGGCGCTGCTCCTGTTGCTCCTCGTGTTGCCATCGTCCTCTTCGATGGTGTGGACCGAGTTCCGATCGTTCAGGGAGAGCTTGGAGAAGCGGTTGGCGGAATTCTGGCGAGAATGGCGCGCGGCGCTTGGTTTGGTGTGGTTGCTCGCGGCGTCTTCCTCATCCTCAGCCTCGCCGTCCTCGACGATGGTGGTCGTCTCGGTTGAGTGGGTTACCGGCGGCAGGGACTCATCGTAAACGACGGCTTCGATGCCGGCGATCCAGAAGTATTCCGCCAGGGGAGTCGATGAGCCCTCCATGTCATGCCAGAGATCCCAACCCCCTTACCGTAGAGACGGCGATGTGTACTGGAGCTATGGTGCAGAAAGAGGCCCTCGGCGGCCAGCACGTCGATTTGTGGTTTCGTCGTGCGTCTCCTGTGTCAGCGCCGGTCGTGTGGTGTGTTTTTCTCTTGCTCGTCTGGGCTCAGGAACGTGCAGTCGGTGAACGGCGCGTGGCACGTCGAATGCTGCAGCAAAGTCAGTAGGGGTGCGCAGGACAGGGGCACGGAGCATGTTTGACGGTAAGTGGCATCGCTGCCGCCGCCACCAGAGGCTGTGAAACAGCTACGCACCAAAGACACAGACAGGCAAGGACGGACTCGAGCCTCCAATTATCGAACGCTCGGCGTGTCCCTGGGGAGAGGAGAGAGAAGATGGACAGAAGGGCAACGTTCGGGTCTGGAGGAGGGTCTGTCGTGGAAATTGGACTGGGGGGAAAGGCGCCGCGGGAGGGATTCCGAGTCTGGGAGAGCCCCCTTTGGTCTCTGGGATGGTCTCTGGTCTCTGGTCTCTGGTAGGGCTACTGCTGCGGCGCAGAGCTCGAGGGTGGTCGAGGACGCACTGGTTCTCTTTTCCGGGGATGCTCCTGGATCCGCAGGCAAGTCAAACGCCACGGCTCAGCACTGGTTTGCCAGCTCTGGACGAGGCTGCGGACGGATGCATTCGCAGCGCAACGGAGGACCTGCTAAAGCGGTGGCGCAGTGATGTGTAGCAGTGCAGTGCAGTGCAGTGCGGTGCAGAGCAAAAGCAGAGGACGCGGGATGCGGGATGCGGGCTGCAAAGAGATGGTCGAGGGGATTAAAGGCGGGCTCGCCTTCGAAAGGGGAGGAAAAGGGTCAGGTTGCGCAGACAGGCCTGGCACAGGTACAGGCACACGCTCAGGTACGAGGTACAGGCGCGGGTCCAGGCGCGGGTCCAGGTACAGTACAGGTACGGCCACGCGGGCGGGCTCGGGTACGGAGTACGGCGTGCCGTACAGCGGCGCTCCAGCGGGCGTCTAGGGGACTTATAGGGGACCTTGGTAGGGGACCGACCTTAGCACCCGACCCGACTGGACTCAATGGAGGGGACCTGGGGGATTGGGCCTGGGGCAGCTTGGGGGGGGCGTCCATGCTAGAGCCAGACCCCGTTTGGCACCGATCTGCGCCGGCGCTTGTTGCAGCCATCAAACAGGCGAGAAAGGGTCAATTCCATGTCGCCTCAATACTAGGTAGGTAAGTACTGAGGTGGTTGGGCAGGGGAACTGGGATCGCAGGTACGAGTAGGTACATGCATGTTGCTTGACGTGAGATGCAATTGATGCTTCCATTGCTTCGCTTGGTGGTTTTCCAGTGCTTGGTGCTTGGTGCGTTTTACGTCTGTTCCACGGCCACGGACATTGTGCAAGCGCAGGTACAGCGGCGTCGTGCTTCCAGCGTGTTGGATTTCAGTAATAATACTAGCATCGCGGCTTCATGAGCTGGCCCGGGATGTGGTGAGCTCGTGTCTGGTGGTTTGAATGCTGTTATCCACATGCAGGTGGTGTCCTCGAACCCGTATCAAGCCAAGCCAAGCCGGGCCAATGGCGCGCTCCCCCGACTCGACATACTACTGGTGTACTGTTCTGTACAGTACTCGAGCCTTACCTATAGCCGCAGCGATGGCGCCCCTCCCCTTCACCTCATGATGATCCCAAGCAGCGAGATTCCCCCGACTTGTCTTATATAACAAGGCAGCTGAGAGGTAAACGAGTACTGTGCAGAAGGCCAATGGCCGGGATGCTTCGTTTCTGCAATCGTACAGGGGCGCCGCTGGATCACGATGGGGTACATGTACTAAATTGGCAAAACCTGCAAGGTACCAGGTACTAGCGGTACCTTGGGACTTACCAGGCGTGCGAAGCTGCAGCAGCTTGAAGCCACCCCGTTCGAGCCGGTCCACGACGAGCATGAGGTAATCCCAACCAACCCAGCGCCTCCAACCAAGAGAGGGACGAGTGCCGTGAACAGGCGCAAAGCCTAGCAGGTAATTTTCCGTCGACGATGTACTAGAGCCGGGACTTCTCTCTACATAGCGTTTTGTCAACCAGCGGCATGGTTCTCACGGCACACTTGGCTGATCATTGGGTAGGTAGGTAGGTACTTATGTAGATACCTCAGGATCGGGGTCGGCGTCCAGTTTACAGGCTGCCAAAGGTGAATGGGGGATGGGCTCACATGGATCGAGCAAACATACAAGTATGTACATACATGTGGGCAGCACAAAGATGATACTAATTCGTATCAAAAGTCTGGCACAGTACGAGTCTCGGGCGTCAATCTAGAGGTGCTACCCGTACCCTAGGTCGGTATCGTCCATTGTTGGTTGAGGTCGAGTGGCTTGATGGCCGTTGCTAGTCCACATGCATCATCCATGACCATGATCAAGGGTCGCCGGCGCTGCTAGACTTCAATCGGTAGGTGGGTTGGTGGGCACTCGGTCTGTTGCTGCTGCTCCTTTGCTGTACGAGTAATATCCAGTGGATGTATCACCACCTCACTTCACTTTGTCTTGTCGTCAGGCATCACGACTTCAATATCCAAGACCGGGTTTGAAGAGGCTCCCACGGGTATCAGCTGTATCAGGAGCAGCATCTCCGCTTGTGTGACCCTCCCAAATTTTGGATAAAGTGGTGCTCGCATCTCCCAACAATATGCGTACGAAGCACAAGAAAGCGCCAACATCTGCCACTTTCTTCCCACAACCGACAGTGAGGTGGCCAAGCTGGACAGCGACTTGACATTGAAGTCGACTAGCCTAGCGGGTTCTGAGGTACATAGATTGGTTCGAGTCTTTTCTTGAGTGATCTGTTGGCTTTCTCAAGGATCTTGCCCACCCTCGTCCGTCAGGTGAAAGGAGAAGAGACATCTATTTAGCTACTAAGCTACTTACCTACCTACTTAGGTACGGAGTAGGTAGTGACCAACATGCATGTATGGGACGTTCAACGTTGAGTAGCGTCCACTCTCCGGTGCCTCAGAGCATCTACTGAGTAGCTGTGGCTTTGTTCGCAAGCCTGAGAGTTGTACGTTCAAATCTTCGTTTGCCAGCATTATATCGACAACATGATCAGGTACATGTACATACCTGCTGGCAGCATCTTGACGGTGAACGAACTAATGCATGAGCGGGATGGGCAGTTGGCCGTGCAATTCGACAAGTCACAACGAGGAGGCTTGGTGTCCTTTCAGCGGTTTCTATCTTGCACAACAGGTTTCCTACGGATTCTTTCCTACCTTACCTACCTTATGGAGTAAACGCAGGTACCGAGGCATGAGCTTGGAAAGGAGACCTCGTGAATCTACGCAAGGTGGTCAAGCACGGTAACAAGCACAGGTAGCCAGCGCGCGTACATACAAATACATACCTCGAAACAGTAATAAACGCAGAAGACGAGTGGAAGCTGGCACATCCTCCAGTCGCCCCAGACTGACAACTGATCCGAGAGCCAATCTCGAGCCCCATCAGCGACAATTTGGAGCCCATGACTTGCATGTACAGGTACGGAGTCCTACTAGCGGTAAAATGGTGTGGACACCTCTGACTTACGAGCTACTAGTTAGGTACCTAGGTACTTACTACCTTACCAACCTACCTACCTACCTTACTGCACCTATCAAGATTTGATACAGAACTACAGTACAAGAATGCCACAAGGCATTCGGCATCTCCCTTTGACGACAGTCCAGACAACATGAGCCAGGATAGGCTCAGGGATGCTTCTGCACGTCTAGGGTGGAAGGCGCGCCTCGCAACAACTGCTGCTCTCGGGTCAGCCCTCGCAATTCCTTTTGTTGGCCTTTCCTGGGACGTTGATGATAGTATTACTACATGTTACTGCTACGATGTTACGAGATGGATGTCCTATAACCGCACTCGCTCGAATTCGACTGTTGCAAACTTACCAGCAGTATCCGTCCCTATCGTGGCTGTGAGCTACCTATGTGTCAACACTCGTATATCTCGCACGATGAATCGATATCTGCCCGCTCCGTCAAAGCCATCCAAGCAAGCAGTCCAGGCACATGCAAATCCCCATCGTGCACGCGAGCCACAGAAAGATACATGCAGTACTACAAGTACAGTTTACCTCCTCCCAACCCTCCCAAATCCCAAAATTCTCTAGCAAAATCCCCTCCCCTCCCCCCCCGGCTGAGCCCCTGGACAAGGAAGCAGAAAAGCACGGACCCCTGGAACCCAAAGCGCGCTCTCTCACTTTGGAGGGTTCGCGCTAAATAAGGGAGACCCGAGACTAAATTGGGCGGACAAGATGAAAGGCTTTCGCTTCTTCGTATCCAGTACCTTTATTTGGTGCTCCGTAGGCCGAATTGGACGGAGGTGAAGACTAGTACCTTAGTATTACGGCGGGAGGGGGGAGGGACCCCTTTCTTGCTTGGGACTGAAGGATCAGACATACAACTAGAGCTGGGTCTTCGACTGGCTAAGCCTTCCAATTGCTGTTTGGCCGTGAAGAAGCGCCGCCTGGCTATCTGCTTTCACATGGTCTACAGTAAGATACCTACCGTACCTACCTAATAGCAAGGTATTCCTCACATCGAACAAATCAACTTCAAATCATCCGCTGTACTTTTTCGACACCTTTCGCTTCGAAATCTGACCAGCTCCTAGAGAACTCCTCGATAGTTCTAGGTACCTAGTATGCAGCATACTCGTCCAAGGTAGTAGTAGTAGTAGCAGCAGCTTTTCGAGAGAGGTAGGTAGGTAGGTAATCATACATACAGATGCAGCCCGTTTCAGGACACCCCACACACAATGTGTCACGATCTTAGCCGGCCACCCACTTGGCCTGGTACTCAATTCCAAGTGAACCCTGACTTTCATGACTTTCATGTTAGGGATCATCTAAGTATTACCTATCCAGCTGGACGCGGGAAAACGCTCATCACAAGCCATTCTACTGTACATGTTGCAAACACAAGTGGCCCCCCAGATGAATTCTGCTCATCAATCATAAGGTAGGTCCCTTTATTGGTACGGCACTTGATGTCCAGTAACTCGTTCTTTCAAGATGCTCAAGATGTTATGACTACCAGTAGGTAGTAGTTAGTCGTGGACTCCCCTTCTGCTGAGTGATGATGAGCTCAATCATATCCTATCATTGAAACCTCCAGACATGCATGCAAGGTCCCCTACTGTACATGCAACCAAACCGCAATCCAAATCCATCCAGGCAAATCAAGTCACGCCACGCCTCTGAGGCAATAATCCAAGAGGCCTGCATCAAAAGAAACAAAAAGTCTTCAACCGCTCGAATTCGTCATAGCACAAAGCACTTGATCATATTACCGCCGATCATTCTTCAACATGACCTGACATGGACTCAACATCCTGTTACCATCGTTATCTTTGCCGTCGATCGCCCATTTTCTTTCTTCAGCTCGGCGTGATTTTTTTCTTTCCTCTTAATTCTAGTATCCATCCGATTGCCGGCTCGTGTTTCTTATCGCTCCGATCGTGAGCGAATCCCCCGGCTCCCCTTGCGCGCAACTGAGACGGGGCTACATGTGAGACTCGAGATCGACAGGCTGTTATTCCCCAGTGGGATTTTCTTTGGTAGAACCCGACCCCTTCCGTAAGACTCCTGCTGCTCGAACTGCTACAGTGATAATGGCGAGCCGTGCTCTATCGAGATGATCCATTCAGCTATGACAACTATGTTTCGTACCTCTTAAACCTAGGTATCCTTGTACTCGCCTACAAAGAATTAAGATAGTGCCTTGGCTCTCTCCAAGAGCACTGCTCTCGCCCCTGTTTGTTGCAGGGAAGCGGCTGGTGGGAGGCAATGCAGACAAGCACCTTTGGACTTCGTATGCCATCTACAAGACACCTGCGTACCTGAGAATAGAAGCCACAAGACACCAGCATCGCCTTTTTTTTTCCCTTCTGCAATCTCGAAACGATTCCTTCTGCTCGTATGATTGTCTGCCGTCAGCATCAGGCTAGTCTTGCAGACACGACGCCGTCCTTGTCTATTAATAGGACGCTCGCAGGGAGTTCGCCTGGACTGGCCGCATCCCTGAAACGGCCAGCGGGAAGGGGGATTCATTCAATGTTGTTTTGGGTTAGCAGCCGCGATGGAACGCTGAACATTGTGATAATAAGAGCACCAGAACTGCTTGTTGACGACGCGTGTCGCTGCGCCAACGATTATCGAGCAAGATACTCTCAGATTCGTGTACTCCTTCGTCTAATACTTGTCCATCCTCCCATCTGATATCTGACATTTTCCCCCCAACCCCTGTGGTAATTCAGCCGATGAACTCGCCTTTGGTCTTCCTCCTGGCGGCAAGGTAGGACGAAATCCTCCTGTGCAACACTCATGCCATATTCACAGTGGCACTCATGCGATAAAACAAGCTCAGACGCGTATGTAATACGCGCACGTCCTGTCGTGCTCCGTAACAGTCGGCTCCTGACCTCCTGGTGAGCCGGCCCTCGTTGCATCCCAAGCGCGGCAGATGGCCGTCAAGCCGGCCCGCCGGGCTCCCATCCACACACACGCACCCCCTGTGCCTGGCCGTGGCTTGGCCCCCATTCTCGTGAATCGTAAATCGTGAATCGTGATACCACCTCCCGCCCACCCCCCCTTGCTTCAGCGCGTGTCTATCAAACGCCATGCATTTGTCCAGCCGCGCTATCGAGCCCAGGGATGGATGGGTGAGCCGCGTTTGGTCGCAAAGTGGGAACTTGTCGAGTACGCTTTGTGATAGTCCTCTTTTGGGCTCTCTCTCTCTCTCTCTCTCTGTGGCATTCAATGACCAGGCTCTTGTGCACTCGCCGTCCCCTTCTCAACGAACGGCGATCCGAGCACCAAGCTTGCCTGTCGATAGGTATCCACGACAGCCCATCTCGCCTCGCCATCCAATTCCCAAAACGCCAAAGATGATGCGTCCATCTGGCGTCATCCTGACGCCGCTGTCTGCGCCCTTCTCGTGCACCAGGAAGCACACCTGCTCAATCTCGCCCGGGTGCAACACGGGCTTCTGGTCCCCGTCCGAAGCCCAGTTGCAGTCGTGGTAGCCCAGCCCGTCCTCCACGTCCAGCACCACCTTCTCCAGCTGCATCACGTCTTCGCTGCAGTTTTCCAGCTGCGCCTCGAGAATCCATTTCCTCGTGCCGCTGCTGCTCGTATTCGCGTCCAGACCGCTGACCTTGGTCCGCACGATCAGGGACGCCTTGCATATGAACTGATACAGCTTTCGGAACGTCCGCGTCCGCCCACTCGTCTCCGTAGCCTCGTAGTAGCTCACCGTCACGGCAAGCACATGGTTCCCCTCCTCCTTGAGATCGAAGCCAACAATCCTCTGCAGCGTGCCTCCCGGCTCGAGATCTACGCCCCCGCCGCCTGCCGCCGCGCCCTCGTGAGTGTTCGCGGGCCCGAGCTCGAGCTTCTGCGTGCCTCCCAGGCCAGGGGTCTTCATCTCGGCTTCGATACGGACATCACGTATGCGCTTCGCGGCATCGGGGGGCAGATCGTTGTTGGCGCAGAGGGTGCAGCTGAACGTCTCGCCCACGTAGGCCGAGCCAAAGGACACTGGCAGATTGAGAATCGGGCTGAGCAGGAAGGGGTCCGGATTCGTGCTGGAAGGGGCGTAAGCGAGCGAGGCGGGCGCTGGCTGCGATTTGGTGTTGGGGGGAGAAAACGGAGGATCGATCGGATGCTGCGTCACCAGCGACGGCTGGGAGAGCCTGCGACAATTGAGCTTGGTGAGTATGATGCGGTCACCAATTGGCATATAGTTGATGTGTACCTGAGCACTTTGACGGAAACCGAATGCGGCTCCTTGATAGGGTCGTGATGAGGGTACGATTGGTGGGACATTTCTTTCTGGCTTCGCTGCGCTTGAAGTCTCAAAGGTTCATGGACGTACTTGGGCGTCAGATCCCAGGCCATTGTTTACCGATCAGCACATGTCGCTGTTCGCAGCTCTCTATCGATAAGATGCCGGAGCTCTATTCTTAGCCCTGGGGCACCTTCCTTTCGCCGCGGGGTAACTACTACCAGGTACCTACCTGCTTACCCTAGGTACCTGTAGTATACCTTATATCTAGCAATCCTCCTCAGGCAATCTGATAGCTTCAGGAGTCCAACTCATACTGAGAATGTCATTTTTCTTTGGAGAATCTCGCTTGGCCTTTGATATATAAAGATGTAGAGCTTGTAATACTGCATTTGCTTCTCAATAAGGATACATATGCTTCAGAGATAAAGAGGTACACAGACTGACGTAGGAAATTGTGTCTACCTATCGTCTCGGCCACCAATCCCAGGCTACTCTGTCTCCTGACAACATCACATTCTTCAAGCTCACAGCCAATCCGACCGCAACTGTAGAACCAGCAGAATACAAAGCCCTCTATCAAGCAACACCTCACATCGGCGAGATACAATCTAGATCAAAGAGCCATCCACCGTCATTCCCATGCATGTAGTTTTCATCCATCAGACCCCTCCTCACTCAAACATCCCTGAAACATGGCAAAACCAAACCTCCTCCTCTGCTTCGACGCCTTCGGCACCCTCTTCCGCCCCAAAGGCGCAGTCGCCCAGCAATACGCCCACGTCGCGCGGCAGTGCGGCCTCACCGGCTTCAGCGACAAGGAGCTCTCATCCCGGCTACTCGCAGCCATCAAGGACGAGCGCGAGCTCAACCCCAACTATGGGAAAGCAACTGGTCTCGGCGCCACGAAGTGGTGGACAAACGTACAGTCTGCCCTCTCTCAATCACATCATTTCTGAAATAAAACGCTTGGTCTGACATTATGAGACTTTCTCACAATCTCCAATCAATAGGTCATTCACAAGACATTCACGCCCTTGATACCCAAGAATCAATCTCTGCCCCCGACCCTCGTCCCCAAATTACTCCACCGCTTCTCCTCAAGCGAGGGCTACGAAGCTCAACGCTGTCTCGTCCCAGCAATCAGATTCCTTAAACGACGAAACTCGATCCAAGGCGTAGACAAGGTCGTCATCGGCGTAGTCACAAACTCCGACGACAGAGTCCCCAGCGTTCTGTCTTCCTTTGGACTCAACGTCAGCCCCGCGCGGTACGGCTCATCAGAAGAGACAAGCGCACTTGCGGGGGCACAATACGACATTGACTTTCACTGCATGTCATACGATGTTGGCTTCGAGAAGCCCGACCGTCGAATCTTCGACGCCGCTGAGTTGATGCTGTCTCGCATCATCACTGGGCGACATGTCGAGTCTCTCGCTGAGGTCGATCTAGGGAGTTGGCAGAAGGTGTACGTCGGAGACGAATACGCCAAAGACGTTGTTGGAGCTTCTGGTGCAGGCTGGAACCCGGTGCTGCTCGATCCTGATGGGAACGAGACAGAAGTGGCCAGCCTGGAGGCTTGTCCGCCACAGCCTCTCCATGATGTCTTCAAACGACATGCCGTTGTCAGGGTGCGGAGCATACGAGACCTTGCCACATGGCTCACAGGGGCAGAGTTGGATGCAGAATAGGATATCTCTCTTTCGCTATTGCTCATCTAAGCCCCATTCACTACGTGTGACATCCCGATACATGGCCGATAGAAGTCCAACTGGAGGAGTCGCGAGGCACATGTCGCCCCTCACAGTATCATCTCTAGATATACATCACTTACAGAGGTCGCAGGTGCGTAGGAATCGCCATTGAGCCATGGTGTTGAGCCTAGGCGTATTACCACGGAACCTACTGGATGGACGGTCACGGATTACACCACTCAGAATGACCACTACCGCCTACTCTGGTTCTGGCTGTGGTGTCTACGGCCTGTGCTTGTCAGCAGTAAAGACTACTCACACAAAACTTCAACATTTTTCCTGTTTGTACAATAGTAATCAACAAAACAAAAACACTGGTCTCGTTTAGACCAACTCCCTACCAAATGGATCGCGTCTAAATTCATATGCTGGAATTGTCAGTTCAATCCTGATTACCAAACCTAGTAGATTGTTCGGTGCGGTTGAACTGGCAGTTCTTCGTTTCCTCCAAGCCATGCGTACGTAGAACCTGTAGCCCTCTGTTTGTCAACCATGCATAATGCAGAGTCAGCATAACAAAACGAGTAGTGAGCTCATATGTCAGTCGCGGAGAGCTTCTCCTTTAAAGTCCTGGAGGAGGCGGGACCTAACGAGACATGGTCAGTAACATGTGTAGCAAGGCGCCAAGAGGCCACGCGTGATTCGTCGACTTACGGCGCTGAAGCTCCCACCAGGAGGAGGCGGTCCGGATGGCGGCGGCGGCGGAGGGGGTGCAGAGCTTGGGGGAGGGGGCGGAGGGGGGGCTGCTTCGGCAGGCGGAGGAGGCGGCGGCGGAGCGGCTTGGCCGGGGGCTGCTGCAGCATGTGAGCTCTGAGCTGGTGCTTGAGTCTGACCTCCGTAGTATTGTTGATAGAGAGCGACATAGCTGTAACGGGTTAGCCAAATGTTGAGCAAAACCTTCAGAGGACCGCTTTCTTACTTAGCATATCCTCCCCATGCAGCATAGGGGTCCGCGCCGTTATAGTATTGGGCATACTGAGCGGCATAGTCGGCAGCGTTGGCGGCGGGAGCGGCTACTGGAGCAGGGCTATTGGATGCGCGAGGTTCGGAGTTGTATCGGTTGTATGAAGAGTAGGAATTGTGGTGAGAACCACCATGCCTGTCGTGCGATCCGCGGTGGTGATGATCGCCGTATCCGCCACGGTCTCCATATCCGCCGCGATCGTTGTTGTAGCGCGGGGGACGGGCCTTGAACTCCTCGTACTGTTCCTTGACGTTGGCAATCAGATCCTCACAAAGCTCCTTGGCCTTGGCAACCATGTTTGGGTCAGGTCCGCTGCGAAGATCAGGTCAATAACGAGAAAAGTCAGGGTATACAAGGGGAATCATGGTTCGCTACATACGTGACATGAAGAAACATGTTCTCATCGCTCTCATGATTGGTGGCTGCTTCGAGGTAGCCGGAACCGCGGCCCTTGATCTGGACACGACATCCGGTTTCTTGTTGGATGTGCTTCACGTAGGCACCGCCATGACCGACTACCTGAGCTCGCAGGTTGAAACCGTGAACAGGTTCGAGGTCAATGGGAATCTTCTCCTCGGGCCATTTCCGCTGCAGAAAATGTTAGTCGTAAACGAAGGCGACCATGATGACGGGATGCCTCATACTCGACCATATTCGTCTCGCTCAACTGGCGGCTGAGGCTCCTGATCTCGACGTCGGAATCGACGCTCGTCGACCAGTTGAGGGAGCTCTTGCTTGATAAGCTCATTGATCTTTTCCACGGCGGCTTCAAGGCCAGCCTTGGTTGTACTCGTGATATGGAGATACAAGGGAGGGTTCTTTTCCCGAGATCAAGGCAAGCTGAGTTAGAAAACGGACAACGGGGAGAGGAGTAGCACGGGTATGTCATCTTACCGCCGCAGTGGCCATGCTTTTGTTTGGGTAATAGCTGCCACGGGTCGTAACGTCTGCGGAATTGGAGTCAACATTACTGCTCTACGGGTTCATCAGGCAATGGACGATTGCATACCGGCACCGGTTTCATTTCGAATCTAGAGCAACATGGTGGTTAGCGAAGCCGGAAAAGAAAAGAGGCGGGCATGCGCAAGCAGGTAGCTTTGCGACGCAGTGTCCTCGACCGCCGTGGCGTGCATTGTGACGCTGACGAGGGCAGCGCAGCACGGTTTTGGGGGATGTCTTTACCATTTCCTGGGTCGAGCCCTTGGTCAACAAGTAGCGATTGCGCAGGTCGTTGACTTCGATGTCTTGGATGAAGTCGCCATCGGCAACATACATCTCCTTCTTCATCTCCTGATCGCCGCCGTCGGCAGGGGTTCCGCTTGAGGACTTGATCGGGGGGACGTCGACATGCTGAGGAGCCTTTCGAGCTTGCAGCTGGGCGTTGATCTTGGCAGCAGCGGCGGCTATCGTGTGGGAAAAAAACGGTCAGCTCGTCATGATCGCACATCGCACGCGAATCAGATAGATCTCGGGGTCTCAAGGTCTCAGAACATACCGGCGGCGGCAGCAGCATCCACCGGAGCCTTCTTTGTCTCGGGAGACTCCTCCTTGGTGGGAAGGGGACTGCGCTCTCTTCCCTCGGAACGGCGCGCGGGCGGGGATCGCGAGCGTCTGTCGAATCTCGAGGCTCGCTTGGGCTCAGGCTCGGTCTGGTCGAAACGAGACCGCTTGGGTCGTCGCTCGGAATCCTCCATGATGTCGCCAAGGAGGAAGAAAGGAGACACAAGCCGTTTGCAGGTTGTTGGCGACGATGATCGGACGCTAGATTATGAGACTGCGGGAGGCTGCAGCAAGGCCAGGGTTGGCGTCGTATCGCTGGCTGCAGGAAAAAAAGCAGTTGGATGCAAGGCTGAGAGGCGCGAATGCTCGCGACGTGCGTGGATCAGCGCCAGTTGGATGGAAATTTTGGAATTTGGAGAAAAAGGTACGTAAGTACTTTGGTACTTGCAGGATGACAGCGGCAGTGAATGTGGTTTCCTCTTGCGCACCTGCCATGAAGTTGCCAAGCAACCAATGTCACCGCTTCGGAAAATTGTATTCGCGCGACCTGATGTGTCTTACATAATGCGATCTAACTGAGATGCACCGTGGGGAAACCAGGTACATGCCTGGTAGCAGTAGGTATACCTACGAAAGCGATTTCGGAGCTTTGCTGATGAAGGCCTCGAGATACTGCCTGTTGGAGGGAGTGCGAATGAAGAGGCAATCATTGTCTAGAAATTGTTTCACTATCATTCGAAAATGGCAACATGTCTATAGAGGGCTTCGGTGCATGCATAGCAGCTCTATTCAGCTCGCACAATGTGTCGAGTGTCCCACGGTCAACCCAACCTTTCCCTCTTACGTGAGGCTGCAGGGAGGCCGAATCTTCACGGGGGCCATGACAAGCCGAACGTAGAGGCCAAGGGCCGCAGAAAAATCAATGGCGTCGTAGGATAATTTGGCCGAACAGTTGATTTAATCTTCATCTTCATATTGAACTTTTACTCGTAGGAAAGCAGCTTTTTTTTTTTTTTTTGTGGCCGGTTTATGATGGCTAAATCTCGAAACCTTGGGATCTGCAACTTGAGATCGCGGGGCAGAAATGTGCCCGCAATTGCACATTTTCATCGCAGCAATTTCCAACGTCAGGCCCTTCCGCCTCACATACAAGCTCAGTGCGTGTCTAGTCATCCACGGGATCAATTGTGGCCGAATTTAGTGTACCTTGCCCATGGACTGATCAATTGATACAGCTTGGGATCTCGCGTGCGTAAAGTCGACAGCTAAATGTTGGCCCGATATGATCCCAGGGTGCTAAAAGGTACTTGTAAGCGCTGCGTCAGTCAACCTCCGGTCTATCGGAGCCCACCCGACCTCCATCTGGGCACTTAGTAACTTTTTGACTTTCCCTTCCGGCTTCCTCCTCCTCCATCGACTCCTCCAGTCGTCACCACCACATAAACCAAGTCAGTCACACAAGCCTCCATATCTCCCCAATTGCACTATCAGGCAGTGAATTGACGCCAGATTTGGCTGCAGCATGGCTTCGCTTCGGCCGTGGAGCGCTTCGTTGCGCCTCGCCGCTGTCGCGAGGACGACGGTGCGACACAGCTCGTCCAGCAGCTCAACCTCGGCCATCGCCTACAAGGCCCTGCGACGCCGCTCGGCTCCCCTTCCCATCACTGACACGCCGCCTGCCTGGTCCGCGCAGGCCGCCGTCTCCAACATCCTCTATGAGACGCCCACGCCGTCCATGGCGCCTCCGAAGCGTCACATCCTCAACTGCCTGGTCCAGAACGAGCCCGGTGTGCTGTCCCGGCTGTCCGGTATCCTCGCTGCCCGAGGCTTCAACATCGATTCACTAGTCGTTTGCAACACCGAAGTGGAGGATCTTTCTCGCATGACCATTGTCCTGACCGGCCAGGACGGCGTCGTCGAGCAAGCCAGGCGACAGCTGGAGGACTTGGTGCCTGTTTGGGCTGTCTTGGACTACAGCAACGCCGCCCTGGTCCAGCGTGAGCTGCTTCTCGCCAAGGTCAACATCCTTGGACCCGAGTACTTTGAGGAGCTGCTGGCCCACCACCGCGAGATGAGCAACGGCGAGTCAGCCAGCGAGAATGGCAACGAGTACGAGCGGACGCTCGAGGAGTCGGCCAATGACTTCCACCCTAGCAAGCTGGCTGCCAGTGAGGCCCTCCGGCACAAGCACGAGCACTTGAAGACTATTACCTACTTTACCCACCAGTTCGGTGGCAAGGTGTTGGATATTAGCACTACGAGCTGCATCGTCGAAGTGTAAGTTGCTGCGCAATGCCCCCCCCCCTCTGGCCCGGTGTCTGACTAACGCAATGGAACAGTTCTGCCAAGCCTTCGAGAATCGATTCCTTCATGAAGCTGGTTGCTCCCTTTGGCATCCTCGAGTCTGCCCGTACTGGCCTGATGGCGCTGCCCCGATCGCCTCTGCATAAGCACAACGAAGAGGCCATTATCAAGGAAGCCGACGAGGTTGTTGATGCTAGCCAGCTGCCTCCTGGTTAAAAGTTCTGTAGTCTACTTTTTATCTCTCAAGCAGATTCTTACGAAAATTATATGTAGCAAGGGTCTTTGGACACTTGGCGTCTAGTGGGGAAAAGGTCGTTGGTTTAGCAATGTGAATTCAATGTTTACTGCTTAAGTCTTGACGCCGTGGTACATTCGATTCGCCTAGTTCTGTTTCTTTAACACCTTGTAAATCATCCAAGTCCAACTTTTTACTCGAGCACACCCTTGTTAACAACGAAGCCTTCCAACGCCGCTGTGAGATGAAAAGGGAACGAGTCAGCTTGATGATATGCGTATATTCACGGGTGCTCAGTAACTCACCAACGGCTGCCCACAGCCTGTTCTCCGCCTCTGGGAAGACCAAAGACCTAGGGCTGTAAAACACCTCGTCCGCCACCTCTTCCGGGTGTCGAGGCAGGCAGTGCATGAACTTCCAGCCCTCCTTGGCACCACCTCGCTTGGCCAGCTCGTTGGTGATCTGATACCCGGCGAAAGCCTTGAGCCTCTTCTGTTTCTCGGCCTCTTGGCCCATGGAGATCCACGTGTCGGTCACGAGGATGTCGGCGTTCTTGATGGCCTCTTCCGGAACGGTCGTCTCCGACAGCTTGCCGGGCGATGCCACGCCGCTGGCAGCCGAGTTGATGAGCTGCCTCATGTGATCAGGGATGCCGTAGCCCTGGGGCGAGGCGACGGCGATGTCAACACCCGTCTTGACGCAGCCGATGGCGAGGTCGAAGAGCACGTTGTTAGAGTCACCAACCCAGGCCACTTTCAAGCCACTCAGGTTGAGGCTCTTGTTGCTTGACTGAGATGACGGGAAAGCCTCGTGGATGGTGAGAAAGTCGGCAATGGTCTGCAGCGGATGGAAGTCATCTGAGAGGGCGTTGATGACGGGGACGGTTGAGTGCTCTGCCAGCCCGGTGACGTCTGAATGGGGGCCAACCCGGGCTACCATGCAGGACGTCATTGATGAGATGACAACGGAGGTATCATACAGAGATTCATTGACCTGTGGCGCGAATTCAGCAATGAGATAGTCGTCCACGCAGAACGATTTGCCAGGCAGGGAGTACCAACGCCGAGCTGAATGTCGTCCTTGCCCAGGAACATGGGATGGCCGCCGAGCATCGTCACCGCCGCCTCGGTCGACACGCGCGTCCTCGTGCTGCGCTTGCTGAACATCATGGCCACCGTCTCGCCGGCCAAGCCGTTGCTCAGGCGAGGCACGCGGCCGGACTTGACGTCGTGCTTCCGGGCAGCGGCATTGCGCACCAGAGCGGAGAATTCGGAGGGCGTCAGATCGCTGATGGACATGAGATGCCTGGGTGGCTTGGCGGCCTGTGAGTAGCTGCGGCTCTGGAGGCCATTGACGGCGCCTCGGAAGGCTCGTGCTGCTGCTGTCTTCATGGTGACGTTCGAGCTGTGTATCTGTTGTTGCGGTTTATATGCAGGGTCTGAGCAAAAGACGAGAATATGCTTAGCACTTGTGTTGGCGGCTGCAATTGTGGGATAGAAAGGATACCAATTGAGGGATGAAAAGCAATTCGGGTAAATTCGACGCAATCTGATACAGTCGATGTAGTCAAATCTGCAGTCGGAGGCCGATGAGAATGGAGAGTAGAGTCATAAGAGGTTTAGCACAGCTGCCGAAGAGTCATTGAGCGTCCGATGAAGTTGGTGAGAGAAAAGAAATTGTGGGTCGCCGGCTGCGGGTGCGTGTATGTACATACATGAGAGACTTGTGCACCAGCAGTCAATCAATATGATGCTACATGGAGCCCTTTTCAACCCTTTTCTCTGGCAATTTACAGGCTCTTGTTGGGTATTTTCTTGACAGTGAAACGCGATAATTGATCAAGATCATGCACGGAATATTATTAATTAATCATGCAACCGGTTGAAACAGAGCACTTACTTACTGGGAGCAGGCCCAAGAGAATGAATGCTGGGTGTGATTGAAGGCAGGAGGTATATACGATGATGCATAGATGGTATTAAGGGTGAAGGTAAGCTATGTATCAGCAACTGAGAGGCAATTGCTATCGCAAATTATATACATGGAACTACACGGCCGCATATGGTAGTCGTCTTGTCCGGCAGGCACTCTTGCGTTCATCAAGAAGAGAGAGAACCCATCACGACACGACACTCCCATCATCTCAGCCACTCACTGACTTAAGCCTGGTCAGGGTCGACATCGGCAAAGGTGGTGCCAACGGCAACCTCATCGTACCAGACCTGGCGGAAGCCCTGGGTGCCGGTCATGTGGCCGTCGTCGTGCCAGCTGTTGGCATACAGGCCGACGCGGAACTGGAAGACGCTGTCGTCGTCGACGGTGGTGGCGACGTTGTACTCCTCGTGGACCTTTGCGCCGTCGAACCAGATCTTGAAGTAGCCGGTGTTGTCCGACGCCCACTTGATCTGCAGGACGACCCGGTGCCAGGCTCCAGCAGAGACGGTGGCCAGGTTGGGGCGGGTGACGATGTTGCGGCCGCAGTTGGGCTGGCGGTAGTGGCCGTTGACGTAGCGGCTGTACAGCTGGTTGTTCTGGATCCAGATCATGGTCGAGGGCATCCAGTCGTCGCCGCCGCAGCCCGCGCCAGGGCGGTTGGCGATGAACTGGGCAATGTTGTACGACTGCGGCTGGAACTGCCAGTCCTCGGAGAGGCGGAAGGCGAAGCCGTAGAACTGCTCCTCGCCGCGCTGGTAGCCGCGGTTGTGGTCGACCTCGGAGTGGTACCGGCCGGTGTAGCCGGGCGTGTAGGTCTGGGTCATCTTGAGGGCAGAGGTGCCCTTGAAGACGACGTTGGAGACCTCGGAGACGGTGCCCTGGTTCTCCTTGCGGACGTAGTCCCAGCCATTGAGGTGGCCGTCGTTGTAGAAGCTGCGGGTGGCGCTGGCCGCGGGCAGGAGGGCCAGGGCGGCGGCGAGGAGGGACTGGATGGCAACCATTGTGGTGGTTCTTTGATGTTGAGGGCTGGTGGGTTGACTTGTGTGCCTTGGAGGAGATGGTTCTCGGAGCCACTGGCTGAAGGAGCCCAGGTTACTTATACTTGTCCTTGAGAACCTCAAATATGTACCATGGTTTCCCCAGAACAAAGACAAGGGGGGGGACATCATTCAGACCATCAGTGCTCGTGTAGGTACTAGTAACTAGCCTCCAAGGGTTGAACGGACGACGGTAGTAGACGCCAAGATGTGGGCACGATCTCCATCCAAAGATTCCAAACCGAGAAGCGGCTTGATCTACCGGCTCCCACATCCATTCGGGAGACTTCATTCCTGATAATACCACCTCTCAAGGAATGTTACCACTCGCAGAGTTGTATCATACGGGCAAACTCTAATTCAGAAAGCAGTTCTACATGCTCGTTGTGTCAACGGAGAAGTATCCGCCGTTGCATTGGAAGTGATGTACCATACAGTCTCATTGTATTGTCACTCGCATTTACTCATGCCGTTCACGACCGACTAACCCGTCAACAAGCGCATAGCCATCATCCCAGTCGGTTGGATCTCGGCGGATCCCAAAGCTAAACCAGCTGATGGCTCTCGCATGCCGAAAGAGGTAGGAGATATATAAACCGGTGGGTTGGATCGCACCCAGGTCAAACTGTGACTGGTGGAAATAAAAGCAAGGTAAGTTTCTGGGAAACAGATCTTAATGCAACACCACTATACTCGATGAATTGCAAGGCTGAGCAAATCATCGTCAAGACAAAAGGAGACAAGTTTGCTAGGTAAACTCATCGTTTTGCGTTGTCGACTTGGGATGCGGAGACGCCGGCTGCGACCTGACCAGAACCCACTCATGGAACCCAGTTCATCAATCTCGCAAAATAACGAGAATGTAATGCTGTCTAGAAGCAGTAGATGGTGAAAATAGCTACCTCTGAAGAGGAAGGAGTCAGGGTCACTATTCGACCGCGATATAAACTATTTCCAGTCGTCAGCCTCACCTCGCAATGTATTACCTAGTGCTAGAACTGCGAGTCCATGGCAGTGGGCTTTCGTTGGTTCCGCAAGCTTCGAGCTGATCCGTTCAGAGTCTTGCCCTCGTGTACATCATGTAAACTCCATGTAAATGGAAGGTCCTATAGAAGCTGTGATGCCAAGGGGGGCCTGCAAATCCCGCATCAGGCTCTGGTGATTATCACATCAGGAGGATAGGCTGATGCTTCCTCGTCTGTTTCTGTCCAAGTCGCGCCGACGAAGAAACCTGTTTCTTCGTCCGCCACTCCAAATGAAAGCACCTGCCTTTAACCGTCCCTCCAAGGACGCGCTAGACTAACCATGAAAGTAGAGTAATTTTTAAGTTTAGCCTCCCTCGTGGCCGATGAATTTGCAGTGAGGTGATGGGAATATGCATAGGTAGGATCTAAAACTCTCATGATGCTGATAAAGTAACAGTAAGTCGTCGAAGCCACATGAGAAGCCCACGTAGTACTATTGCTTGGTTGTGTAGTTCAAAGACTTGTAATTCGGTTTGAGAGCGAATCGTGCTTCAGCACAGCAATGCTCAGTTCCAAACGTAAAGCGGGAAGACGAGGGCAGCCTCCGTGGCTCCTCAGCAACTCCTCGATCAGGACTCCCGTGCTGGTACCTTTCATCAATCGTCCATATCAACAAAGACCAAAAGCATCCGGTTGCAAAATGAGCGTTAACCTTAGTGCCACCTCCTGGGAGAATAGCGAAGGTGCTCATGCAACGAGTAGTACTAGTATCACACACGAACAAACGATGTCGTTGTCGACTCAGTTTCCAGGGGCTGGCGCTAGTGTAGAATCGCCGAAAGAGGAAGCTCACGAAGATCTTGGCACGGCGTCGGGTGTCGGAAAGATTTCCATTTGTCAGGCAAACCAGAGGGCAATGCCACGAAGAAGATGAAGAAGGTGAACAAGCTGGTCGGTGCCAAGACTCCTGAAGCCCCGTCATCTAGGTCCTGTATTTCCTTCGCATCCAAATGATTCCTCCAATCACAATCAAGATATGGCCTCATGGGGGTTATCGTTAAGAGTTGGTTGTCCCTACCCAAAAAGAGCAACAAGTGTTGTGTGATCAGTAGAAAAGAGACATAACGAGATGTGGGCATCAAGCGGCAAGTTATGGCGATATAAGTCATTCGGCGATGAGATGATGACGATGGCGAGTTGACGAGGAGAGCTCTTGTATCACATGAGCTCCAAGCTCAAACCCCTTTCAACCGCAGCGTCTCAACGCAACGCAGGTTGATATCCTCCAAGATGCCTTGATCTTGTTGGTAAGACACTGACAGTGGTAGCAGATCATCAAGTTCGGGACGGCCTGGTCATAACGTGTCTTGGACAAGATTCCAGTGATGATACACGTCTTGGTCGGTTGTTGAGGTCCGGGAAGCTGGAGAAGGTGTGGGAAGTGGCTTTAAGTGCTCCTCACTTACCAGTCCCTTCTAGGACTAGCACCTCCGGATAGAGTTTCAGTGACATTCGTATCTTGCAAGACGCAAGCGCTAGCCCCTGGACTAGCATCGGTACCGTGTTAACAGCGGCTCAACTTGTGTGGTAGGCAGACGCGGGCAAAGAGGCAAAGCAGCACCTACCCAGGTACCTACTGTACGCAGGTACCAAGTGCGGGATACCCAGGAGATGGAGGCTCGGGAGGGTTGAAGATGCATGACTCAGCAGATATGCAGTTCGCCACCCAATGAGATCGCGCCAAGCACGTGCGCCGTCTGCGTACTTGATCCGTCTCCGTACCTGCCCAGCGGTATCGACGCTCTCTGCTCCACTCCTATCACTCCATGGTGACGACGACATCAGCGAGCCACAATAAATCCGCCCTCAATCTGTGGCCGTCGACGCATCTAAACGCATCTGGGCAGCTCGTCCTGCATCAACCTTTATCCCTGCATCTTCATCGACAATATCCAATTTCCGAATTCTCACGCCTGGCGCTCGATAGAGCAGAGACGTCCGATCTGGGCTCCAGCGGAAGGCGACGACGCCTGGCGAGGGATCGCTTCCTACAGCCGTCTACTTGATCCGACCCAGCTCGCGGCTCACCATGCCTGATTTCCGGGTCGCCGTGAGCTTCGCCAAACCGTCTCGTGGCGCTGCAAACGGCTCTACACTGGACAATGAGGCGCCGGAGGCTTCCGAGACGTCTCCCCTGCTCTCGTCCGGCACCGAGCAGGAGCCCGTGACTGAGTCCTCGCCGTTACTTTCCGGTGACGACAACCACCATCCAGAGAACGAAGAAGGCGAGAGGGACAGCTTGAACAGATCGCCACCGAAGTCGGAAAGCCGCTTACGATGGCCCTCCATCATTGCCATTGCCATCCTGGCTGCCCTCACCATTGTGGTCATGGTCCTTGGCTTCCTCGTCCCTCCTGCCGTCAAGTCGTACGCCGAGACCGCTGCCGTCCTCGAACCAACCGGATTGGCTCTCGAGTCTCTCACTCCAGATGGAATTCGCGCACGAATCCAAGCTAGTTTCAAGCTTGATGGCTCACGAGTCAGAGACGGTACTGCCAGACGCCTCGGCCGGCTAGCCACGAGCCTTGTGAGGAAGATCGATACGGAAGAGACGAGCGTTCGCGTGCATCTGCCAAACTACGACAATGCTCTGCTGGGCTCTGCGGTTGTGCCCCCATTGAGCATCAATCTGGTCGATGGGAAGACTACCGTGCTGGACTTTGTCGCTGATCTCAGTCCTGGAGATGCTGAAAGCTTACGTCAGATTGCCAACGACTGGTTAGATGGCAAGCTTCAGCAGGTCAAGGTGACCGGCGCGGCCTCGCTTCGTCTCAAGACTGGCATTCTGCCCCTTGGGACGCACGAGATTGTCGAGTCAATGGTCTTTGAAGGTCAATCCCTCTACCGCTCCTTTGCTTTGTTATATTTTGGAGAAAAGACAATAATGTGAAAAGAAGAGATTGCTGTTGATATATTTGTTTTCCCAAATGGACCCTGAGCTAATTTGATTACAGCCAACCAAATTCCTTCTCTGCCCGAGTACAAGATTGACCGCCTCAATATCCACGATGTGCCCGCTGGTGATGGTGGACGGATGGCCGTTGGTGCGAATGCCTCCATCATCGCATACAACGACCATCCAATCGGCCTCACCGTTCCGCAACTTGCCTTTGACATCCTCGTGCCCAACTGTGACCCTTCCGAGTCCTATATCATGGTGGCCACTGCCGTCACTCAGCCAATCGATGTGGAGCCGCATGCTAATGTTACCGTTGATGCCGTCGGCCTCATCAACGATATACCCGAGAAGCTTACTCGTGCCTGTCCCATGACCAAGATGTCACCTCTGGACAACTTCTTCAAGCGTTACATGCATGGTGAAGACGCCCAGATCTTCGTCCGTGGCCAGGACTCGGACAAGTCGGACGTCCCAGAGTGGCTGAGATCCTTCTTCAGCAGCGTCACTGTGCCGATCAGCTTCCCGGGGCGGTCATTCGACGATGCTATTCGAAACCTTTCTCTTACGGATGTCGACTTCAAGCTACCAAGCCCCTTCGCGGACCCCAACGACCCGAACTCAAAGCCCCGAGTGTCCGGAACAATCGAAATCATCGCCGAGCTTCCTTCTGAACTGAATCTGGATATTGGCGTTAACAACCTCCGAGCCACCGGCGACATCTTTTATGAAGGCAAGAAATTCGGCGAACTTAACGTGGAACGATGGCAAAAGGCCCACTCGAGCAAGACCACGGATCCCGAAGACGAGAAAGCACTGCTCCAGATCACGTCCCGCATCACCAATGTCCCTCTCGACATTACTGATGGGGACGTCTTCAGTGACGTGATGGGAGAGCTTCTGCTCGGTGACGAGGATATTCTCCTCGACGTTGAGGCCCTTGTCGACATCAAAGTCTCGACTGTGCTCGGAGACTTGGTCTTCAGAGATGTTCCTGCAAAGGGCAAGATTCCAGTAAAACGTCTGTCTTCGCCTTGGTAATTCTCTTGCGTGGCACGCTTGTGAAGGTGGCATGACGTATCTCTTCTACTCTGTTGAAGGTACGATTGTGGTTCGCCTCACAAGGCGCCCAAGGGCAGCTCTGCTAACAAACTGGAACAGAGCTTCCTGGTAAATCGCTTACGAAAATGAATCCCCGTGTCTCCAATCTGGTCATTCTCAACACAACGAAACACGCTGTTCACATGCAAGCGTCGGTCAACATAAACAACCCAACGCCTTACACGGCTTCTATTCCCCTGGCAAATGTCCATGTTTACCACGGGGAGCTGTTAATTGGGGAGGTTACAGTCAAAGACCTGGACGTGCAGCTGGGGAACAACTCAGACCTGGCCGTCTTCGCCACCTTGGATCCAACATCTCTGGGCGGAGAAGAGAGCCACAAGGCTGCTGTGCAACTACTCTCCAACTATGTTTCAGGCAAGAACACAACACTCACATTTAAATCTCACAAAGGTAGCATTCCTGGGGTACCCATCATTGGCGAGGCGCTCTCCAAGTTCAACGTCTCACTGCCAACGCCCCGACTCAAGCTACCAGGCGACGAAAGCGGCAGGGATCAGGGCAAGAACTTTGTGAGGGACGCCGTCTTTCATGTTTTCTCCTCCACGGCCACCTTCAGCCTCGCATCCCCGCTCAAGCACAACATTATACATATCGAAAGAATAAACGCTACGGCATTTTACAACCATACAGAACCTGTCGGCCACATCCTCTACGATGAGCCGTTCGACGCGCTTCCAGGGGTGACGGAGACCCCGCGTCTCCCCGTCATCTGGTCGACCGATAGCATCGGCTACGACAAGCTGATTGACGCAATGGACGGCTCGTTGAAGCTGGATGCCAAGGCAGAGGCAACCCTCAGGATAGGAAATTGGATAGAGACTATTCATTATGAAGGACGAGGTATTGGAGCTAGGGTCAGGATATAGACGGTACATCTTTTCTTTTCATGACACTCATTTACAGCATCTGATTTGGGAGCGTTTGAATTTTTTCTTTTGATTAGTTCTGAGATTGATTACTATTTTTGTTCGTTCTGGCCTGCAGGTTGATGGTTTAAGCAATCCCTACATGGAACATACAATGATACACGCATATTCGCCAGTTTAAGTCTACAAGTCTACAAGTAAACATGGAGCTTGGGAGGTCATAAGACTACGATTGAACATGCACATCGCTACAATGAATTAGGCCGCCAACATGACATCTCACAACGGAAACGGAGGGCCCAAGGGTGACAAACCTGGAGTAGGTTGACCACGTCGAGACCGACTCTGAAAGTGTCAGCAAGCACATCAAGAAAGAGAGAGAAAGCACAACAAGAAAAAGGAATATGCACCTTTGGTTCTATAAGTTATCCCTAACGAAAATGCCCAAACCAGCGGTATTATCAGTGAATCAGTGCAGAGGCAGAGGCGGATCATTGTAGGCCTCCCGGGAATGGAATCGTATCACAGAAGATGGACACACAAAAATCATGGCGGCCCATGAACCTTTAGCCGAGCCGCACTCCGGCCTCCCTGCGCTTCTTGAGCTGCTGCGCCGTCGCCAGATTCATGCCCGCATTCTGGCTCGCGTCAAACATGCTCTGGGCCTCGCGCCGCTTCTCGTCCTCAATCTTCTTGAGCAGCTTCTCCGTCTTGCCCTTGCCGCTGCCCTTTCCGTGGAACTGGTGGCTCAGATGCTTAAAGGCCTCCTTCTGGTCCAGCCTCCGGCCGTGATCGTCGACGTACTTGAGCTCGACGTTGGGCTTGTACGTCGCGTTGAACAGCTCGGCCAGCCGCTTCGACTGCTGGTGGTCGCGGTGAGTGTTCTGCTGACGGGCCCATTCCTCCCTCTCCCTGACGGACATGCGGTCCAGTCTGCCGCTCATCCTGTCGCGCTCTCTCTGATGTCGGGTTTGCTCTTCCAATTCCGTCTCCAGTATTCGCTTCTTAGCAAGGAATTCTTCGCGCGCCTTGAAGTCTTCGTAGCTTCCGCTCTTGGAAGAGGAATCGATGAGGCCTCGCTCCCGAAGCAGAGCAAGAGCAGCGCCCATGCCTTCTCCAACGGTCTTTTCATCTGCGATACCTGCTGCTTCATTCTCTTCGCGTTTTCGAGTCCTCTCCTCTTCTTCTTGCTGTGCAGCGGCAAGGGCTTCCTGGTGTTCCGCCGCGTATTCATCCATCTCTGCATCCTCGCCTTGACCGCCCATATGGCGATCCTCGGGTTCGGGAGTTTTTGTGGCCTGTTTCTGCCTCCTTGCATGGCGATCGTCCTCGTCTGGCTTGCTCAGCCCCGCAACGAATTCGGAGATCTCGCCGATAACTAGGCCTCCACTTGGAGCTTCTTCAGGCTGCTCTTCCTCCTCTTTGAGCTGCTTCGCAATATCTTCAGGCCGTGTCTTCTTGCGCTTTTTCAGCGCATTCTTTCGTTGGATTGCTAGTGATGCTTGGAGATCATCGTCGTCTGCAAAGTCATCTGTAGTAGCCTTCCGTTTGGTGGGTATGGAGGCATCTTTCGTATCAACATCCATGGCACCGGCATCCACTGGAGCAGGTTCGATAGGGAAGATGTCATCCTCGTCAAGCTGTTTTTGTCTGGTGCCCTTGTTGCCCTTCTTCTTCTTGGGCTTCTTCACCTTGATCTCTGATGGAGCAAGGTAGTCGGATGAAGGTGCAGCATCGCCATCTAGAACAGCACTGTTAGAGTTGCTTCCACGGGAGCAGGGTAAGGGAGAACGATACATACCTATGATATCATCAAGGCTGATTGACTGAATCTTCTTTGCTTTCCGCTCTGGCTGGCCGAGGATATCTGACAGCTCAGCGATGGCTCCATCGTCATCAAGAGTAAACTTTTTCGCCTTTTTGCCGTTAATCTCCTCGTCATACTGTGCCAGTATGGTGCCTTCGCCGTCGTTGTAGTCATTGGGGTTGTAGCCTTTCAGCTTCTTCTTGAGGTCGAGCCTCTCCGTGAGCTTCTCTTGTTCTCTAAGGTTCAGGTTTTCAAGCTCATCGCCCTCTTCTTCGTTCTCGTCAATCGTCGTGTCCTTCAAAGTAAGGATCTGTTCGTCTCCGTCCAGAAAGGCGGTCGAGTCGTGTGCAACTTTGATGCCTGCGAGGTCTTTGGAGGTATACTGTATGGCAGCAGCCGCGGCAGCTTCTGCCGCAGCAAGCTCCTCCTCCAGCTTCCGTGCCTTGTCAATCTTCTTCTGTCTCTTCTTTTGGCCCAACAGCCAGGACTTCGCATCCAGGTCTGCTTGCTCCTCCTCGCCGAGCCCCTTCCCTGCGAGAATAGCAGCCCGCTGGGCTTTTTCACGGGCTTTTCGCACGGCGGCAGCCTTTTCTTCGCGTCGTTTCTTGGCTGCCTCTTCCTCCTGGAGCTTTTTGTAGTTGTCATACGCCTGCGCCTGGCGACTCTCGACGGTGCTTCCGGGCTCCTCTTCCTCTGACGTCGCGGTTTGGGGCGCTGGATCGGCTCCGGGTACCGGCAAGGGCTTCATGCCCAGCGATATCCGGATTCGGTTCGTCTCTTCGATCGTTGCCGCGTCCATTTTGGTCGCTATCTGGTCGGGCAAAAGATGGGGGAATGCCGGTCAAGGTGACGAGCACGGGGAGAGAGTTAACGTAGAAGCAGTGACTTCTAGGTTGTTGATGCGATGGAGCCTGATATGATGATACTACTACTGCTAAGCTTGTTGCAGCTTATCGCGGGCGATATCAGTTTCTCCGATATGCTATCGTCGGCACGTGACTGTCTCCACCATGTAATTTTTCCCTGCGACTCCATATAACGCCGGATCGTGAAATTTTCTTCTTTCTTTTCCTTCCTTCTCAACAAACAACGGATCTGTGCTTTGCGGTCCCCTGCGTTCACGCGTCAGGGTCGACTGCTCTGCAGCTCGATAACTCCATGGAGCCATCAACTTGCTATGGTGTCAATCATCCTATCGACAGGTCCAAGAACAAGCCGGCCTCCGGCTGCCTCATTCGCTGTCGCAAGACGGCTTGAGTGTTGTGGCTGGAGGATTCGGGGGCCCCATATTCCAACCCTTTTTTCCAAGGCCGTCGGCCGGTGAGGTTGAGGAAAACCATGGGTTGCCTACATATTATCGATGCTGGTGTTTGGTAGTAGCAATGTTTGCGGTGGCAGTTTGAGCCGAGCCTCGTCTTGGGCTTCTGACCCAGGCAACGCCATCTGACTAGCTGCGCCGAAGGAAGGATGATTCATTGTACGACGCCAGTCAATGGAATCTTCAAGTAAAAGCCCGACGAACCGACCATGTCAGATATCAGAATTCTCCTGGCTGGTGGGGTTGGTTGGAGACTGCTTACGGAGTCGATGCCTCGTGACTGTCATGGCCGCGTCCAGCCTCCTGGGACTCTGTCCGATATTATGACACGAGTAAAGCCTGCATGATGTCAGTTTGCTGCGTCTCATGTCGAGAACAACACACCTGGTGCTACATAGGCAATACTACCTCGTAGCTTCAAAGTTGACTGTTTTGCTTTGATGTCTTTGATCATGCCCATCCATCCCTTGTCTTGCAGTGCATGTGGATCTCTACGTCCAGACGGGGAGAAAGCTTGTCTGTGATAAAGTACGATGATGCATTGATGCCTGTGGCTACGGCCCTTTTATCCCCATCGTCATGCATCTCTATATTAATCCAGGAGACTCTCCTCCTGGCATGGGTGAGTACAAGTGACGAGGACATGTAGAAGCAGAGCCACGCAACGTCTTGACATCTGTACCTATTTTGGGCCAAAAATCGAGACCCACCAGCTCGTCCTACCTTACATGTGAAGATCTTAGCCCACAATCCTACTGTTTTACTAGTATTACTGCACAGCTGTCATCACGAGTCCTCGGTTGCTTGTGAAACCCAGCTCAGCTCCTGAGCACATGCAGTAACGCCGACTCGGCGTCATTTCGCCACACCCAATTTGGACCTGAGGGATGCTGGAAGCTGCTGAGCAGATCCCGTTACCGATTCATGGCACTACTACATCCATACGCAGCAAACATGGGCTTGGGCTTGGCTTCTCAATGCAAAATTGCCCGCAAAAGTCCCGGCATTGTCGATGCAGAGATGCAGATTTCAGCGGGCGATTCTAGGGTAGGGCGACTACTACTACTAATACCACCTAGTCAGTATGTATCTAGCACCGGAGGCTAGGCGGTTAGTGGACGGGAACCTGGTCATTCCATCGCAACCAGGATCCCGCACTTCGTTGCGCTTCTGCCCCCACGGGGCGGGAGTTGGCAGAGGCAGAATGCGGAGCAGCCCCTTGTCTGCCCTGGCCGGGGCCTGTTGAAGCAAGCAGACGAGAGCAGAGCGGTTGAGAAGCGGTGGTTGACGCTTGACGGTACGAAGACGAGCGAGAATCCCGTTAAGCCGAGGCTGGGCTCCCCCCCCCGTCATCATCATGCCCATCCTGCTCTTCCAGCCCACTCGTCTCCCTGCCTCGTCGCCTCCCCTCCCTCCCCCGATTAGCTGCGCATGTTCTCCTGACAGCGTGACTAATGACGCGTTGCCAGCCCATTCGCCTGACGCATCCCGGCATCTGAGTCTAGCTCGTCACGCTGGCAATCTTGGCCCAGGCAGAGCAGCAAGACGGCGGGCATGATTGGGCCGTGCCCTGGCGGGCATCAGCTGGCCATCCGCTGCCACCCGAGACCGCATCACCGACTTGTCGGATCTCTCCGAGCAGCAGGAGGCTGATCCTGGCCGGCGAGACGATTGAAAAGGGCTGCCGGGCCCGGAGCAGGACAGCGGCGAGAGCGAGCGAGAGAGAGGAAAAGAAGAAGGTCGACTGTCTTATTTTCAGCCAGCCCCGGCTCAACAGAAGCAGAGGAGAAGGCGAACGACGTCAACGACGACGACGACGACGACGAAGACGGTGAAGTCCGTTAGTTGAAGATCCTTGCCGTCACAACACCATCTCGTGGATATTGCTTTCCCCTGCCGTTGCGTTGCCACCTGTTCCCTCTTTCTCTTCCCCCCTTCTTCCTCATTCCGAGCGCTACTGGTTCCTACTCCGCAGCCTTCGGTTGTGCCTTTCTCTTTGTCGACCATTGCACCGCCCGTCGCGGCACTTGGGCCCCGGAGAATTCGGCCCTTTCGCAGCATTTTGGCCCTCAGTTCCCCATGGGGACGGTCCACACTTCCTCTCTTGGCCCTGCAGACCTTTTGTCGTCGGTCCGAGTCGGAAGAAGCTCAGTCTTGAGCGCTTGAGTAGCATCTACGCGCGAATCACTGGACAAAGTCGGCAAGACGAAGCCGTCGTCGCCTGCTGCTGCTGCTGTTACTGCGACAGGCGCTCCGACTGGGGGCATCGGCATAATAAAAAGATGCCCGCCTTCGCCATGGACCTGGCCATGAGCCACTCGGCATCGGCTCTCTCTCTCAACGCTTCCTCTCACACATCCTCCTTCATTCCGCCCATCATGCACGTCCTGTCGACTGCGGTGCTGCTCGGCTCCGTTGCCGTTCAAAAGGTCCTGGGAAGACCAGGATCAAGCGGTCTGTCCGACGTCACCAAGAGGTCTGTTGACGACTTCATCAGCACCGAGACGCCTATTGCACTGAACAATCTTCTTTGCAATGTTGGTCCTGATGGATGCCGTGCATTCGGCACATCAGCTGGTGCGGTGATTGCATCTCCCAGCACAATTGACCCGGACTGTAAGTTGGCCTTGATGAACCATATCATATATCGCCGAGAAGTGGACCGCGTGCTGAGACTGAGACAGACTATTACATGTGGACGCGAGATAGCGCTCTTGTCTTCAAGAACCTCATCGACCGCTTCACCGAAACGTACGATGCGGGCCTGCAGCGCCGCATCGAGCAGTACATTACTGCCCAGGTCACTCTCCAGGGCCTCTCTAACCCCTCGGGCTCCCTCGCGGACGGCTCTGGTCTCGGCGAGCCCAAGTTTGAGTTGACCCTGAAGCCTTTCACCGGCAACTGGGGTCGACCGCAGCGGGATGGCCCAGCTCTGCGAGCCATTGCCTTGATTGGATACTCAAAGTGGCTCATCAACAACAACTATCAGTCGACTGTGTCCAACGTCATCTGGCCTATTGTGCGCAACGACCTCAACTATGTTGCCCAGTACTGGTCAGTGCTTGCTTGCTCTTGAATTACGTCTTTGCTTGTGTGTCTAATGCCTCCACCACAGGAACCAAACCGGCTTTGACCTCTGGGAAGAAGTCAATGGGAGCTCATTCTTTACTGTTGCCAACCAGCACCGAGGTATGAAGCAAATCCTCGACATTCGCTGCTACTGCACATGAGCATTGTTACTGACCAGCTCTACAGCACTTGTCGAGGGCGCCACTCTTGCTGCCACTCTTGGCCAGTCGGGAAGCGCTTATTCATCTGTTGCTCCCCAGGTTTTGTGCTTTCTCCAACGATTCTGGGTGTCGTCTGGTGGATACGTCGACTCCAACAGTATGTCTTTTCACTGTTTATATGAGATTGGCCAATACTGATAGCTCGCCTCTAGTCAACACCAACGAGGGCAGGACTGGCAAGGATGTCAACTCCGTCCTGACTTCCATCCACACCTTCGATCCCAACCTTGGCTGTGACGCAGGCACCTTCCAGCCATGCAGTGACAAAGCGCTCTCCAACCTCAAGGTTGTTGTCGACTCCTTCCGCTCCATCTACGGCGTGAACAAGGGCATTCCTGCCGGTGCTGCCGTCGCCATTGGCCGGTATGCAGAGGATGTGTACTACAACGGCAACCCTTGGTATCTTGCTACATTTGCTGCTGCCGAGCAGCTGTACGATGCCATCTACGTCTGGAAGAAGACGGGCTCCATCACGGTGACCGCCACCTCCCTGGCCTTCTTCCAGGAGCTTGTTCCTGGCGTGACGGCCGGGACCTACTCCAGCAGCTCTTCGACCTTTACCAACATCATCAACGCCGTCTCGACATACGCCGATGGCTTCCTCAGCGAGGCTGCCAAGTACGTCCCCGCCGACGGTTCGCTGGCCGAGCAGTTTGACCGCAACAGCGGCACTCCGCTGTCTGCGCTTCACCTGACGTGGTCGTACGCCTCGTTCTTGACAGCCACGGCCCGTCGGGCTGGCATCGTGCCCCCCTCGTGGGCCAACAGCAGCGCTAGCACGATCCCCTCGACGTGCTCCGGCGCGTCCGTGGTCGGATCCTACTCGCGTCCCACCGCCACGTCATTCCCTCCGTCGCAGACGCCCAAGCCTGGCGTGCCTTCCGGTACTCCCTACACGCCCCTGCCCTGCGCGACCCCAACCTCCGTGGCCGTCACCTTCCACGAGCTCGTGTCGACACAGTTTGGCCAGACGGTCAAGGTGGCGGGCAACGCCGCGGCCCTGGGCAACTGGAGCACGAGCGCCGCCGTGGCTCTGGACGCCGTCAACTATGCCGATAACCACCCCCTGTGGATTGGGACGGTCAACCTCGAGGCTGGAGACGTCGTGGAGTACAAGTACATCAATGTGGGCCAAGATGGCTCCGTGACCTGGGAGAGTGATCCCAACCACACTTACACGGTTCCTGCGGTGGCTTGTGTGACGCAGGTTGTCAAGGAGGACACCTGGCAGTCGTAATGAATCGGCAAGGGGTAGTACTAGTAGACTTGTAGTCTGCCGGATTATTGATTGGAGTTGGTCAGTAGAATGAACCACGGGAATATTCGGTCACCGGGACATTTGGGATATAGCGTTTCGAGAAGCTGCTGGTTGCAGCACATTGGAGAAGGATGCCCTTTTACGACTTATACCGCTATGCCGGGTATATTAATTTAGCCGTTATGAAACTCAAAGAGACGATGATAATGATGACGAGTAATTGTTCGTTTCAATTTCGAAAGCTGACTCCCACGAAGAATATGCCAATGACCCACGGCATGAAGCCTGAACTGGGCGTGTGTAACACTTTAATTTGCCTGACGGCGGACAAAACAAAGGCGGCAGCAATGTTGAGACCGTGTGATAAACCAAGGTTCCCGAGGGAGAGAGAGAGAGAGAGAGAGAGAGAGCTAGGTGAAAGAATGAGTCCGCCTTTGAGTCATCCTGCGTCTCTCTCTCCCCCTCTCTCACTCTCTGTATCCCATCAACCTCTTCCCTGTTCCTTCTCCTATCGCATCCATGCGTTTGCATCTTCCATTTCATTCTTTCCCCTTGAGCCCCATCTATGCAAACTCATCATCCGGCGCCTCGATGGAATCCTTGACCTTGATGAGAATCGCCGTCATCCAAGGCTCCAGCCTGCTCGTGCGGTCGAACTGGAACAGCAGCTCGCTAAACTCATCCTGGCTGTGGTTGTCGACGGCGTTGCACAGGTCCTCGAGCAGCTTGTACTTGTATTGAGAGGAGAACTCGGGGTCCTTTTGGCGGTAGGACTCGACGGCGCGGCGGGTGCCGACCATGTCGCCCGTGGCGAGGTGGCAGATGCCGGCCTTGAAGCAGTAGGTCGAGAGGCTCCACTTCATGGTGCCGTTGCCGATCATGGTGTTGATGATGCGGTCGTACGTCTCGATGGCGCCGTAGTAGTCGCCGTCGAGGGCGGCGAGGTCGGCGTACTGCGTCCAGAGCTTGTTGGCGTTGCTGTTGTAGGGGACGGGGGGGGAGGAGGTGTATGTTAGCCATCAGTTGGACAATGAGAGCGCTTTTCAAACAAAGAGAGTGATCACATGTTTGTCTTGCTTGCGACAGCGACTGGGTGGGAGGGGGGGCATCAAGAGCACAACGCACAGTTCTCTCGCCTTTGGTAGCCGCTCGGCAGCTTCCTTGTAGGCTTCGCGCGCCCGCTTCAGGTCCTTCAGGTCATGCTCATAGATCTGACCGAGGATCTCCTTGACTCGCGACATCCTCGTCTGCTTGCTCTCGCTCGTCGACTGCTGGATCAGGGCAAAGGCCCGCTCTCTGCACCGGATGGCGGCTTCGGGGTCATCTCTTCGGTAGGCGTCGGAGGCCTCGACGTAGCTGTCGGCGGCGTCGGTCAACTCCTTGAGGTTCTTCTCTCGTACTTCGGCGGCTCGCTCGTGTGTCTTTCCGGCCTGGATGTCTAGATTGCAGAACAAAGAAAGCTACGAGTCAGTCCACTTGCGCATCGAACTCTGGCATGTGCTTCTTGACCATGTATTTCATCGGAGTGAAGCTTTTGGGGGGTAGATGGGAGGGTGGGAGGGGAGGGAAGATGGCGCACTTTGTCCCTGTCGCTCGTATGCCTGAGCGGCCTCCTTGAATAGTCGCGCGGCGTCCCAGAACTTCTCGTCAGAGCCGCCAAAGAGGCTCCAGCCGCCGCTGCCCTTGGACACGAGCTTCTCGGCCTGTCGTTGCACCCGTTTGTTAGCAAGCCCAAGCAAGCCTCGCCTCTCGTCCACCTGGCTGTAGCTACGATAAAGAAGAGCGGCGCACCTGCTGGATCAGAGCCTGAGGATCCTCCATGGTTATCGAAAGGCGTCTGTGTGTTTGCGTGTGTGTGTCTGTGTAAGTGAGTTAAGGTAGGTAGGTAGTTTGTGCGTATGGGAGGCGCTTGGTGCATGTATGTGCGAAGTAGTAGGTGAGGTACTGAGTATAACGACGGAAGAGTCGCTGACAACAGCTGAAGACGGCGCTGGAAGCGATGCTGGCTGCTGCTCTGTTTCGGCACAAGTACCCAGTAACTGATGGCTGGCGGCCGATGCGCACTCAGAGGGAGGGGAGTGCCGCGGGTGTGTTTAGGCGTGACTTTGAGACACTATGACGACGCTGAAGTGGCTAGTGGGAGGTGGGGCGCAGCTACAGCTGGTGGCTGGTGCTCGATGCTTCCGCATTGGGGTTAGTTCTGGTTCTACCTTGCAACTTGAGAGAACTCATATCTCGTGTAATACTTGTAGTATGGTTAAAGAATATGCACACCATTCTCATCCGTCTATTGTTGAGCCATTCGACACTTTGTTGAAGCTCCAGAAGCCTCCATCTCGCCTATTCACAAAGCAGCAATTAGAGATTATCACTACACAATGTCACTCTGCACAAGATGCCGCGTATCTTTGCGGCAAACTCTCCGCCTCGGACCAACAAAGACGACATCCGCCCCTCTATCAACAAGAAGATCCTCAACCGCCACAGCTCAAAACATCCTCTCCAAACCAACCTGGTCCGTCAGCTCTCTCCTCCCATCTGAATCGCCACAATCGGATACAAAAGCGGCAGAAACCATCACACCGGCTCAACTACATCACCTTCTTCGCCTCTCCGCTCTGCCCTTACCCAAATCCCCAGCCGAAGAGCAGTCCATGATCGAGACGCTCCAGAGCCAGCTGCAGTTTGCACGGGCCGTGCAAAAGGTCGACACAAAGGGTGTAGAACCGCTTCGCGCCATCAGGGACGAGACAGACGCCGCCATCAAGGAAATCACCATAGGACTGGAAGACCTCAAGGACGTGCTGGCGAAAGAGGTTCGTGTGGGCCATTATCAGCGGCCTCGAAAGGTCAAGGAGCGCATTCAGTCTGATGCCGAGAACTGGGATGCCTTGGCGACGGCGTCAAGGAGAGCCGGCAAGTACTTTGTTGTTGAGAGTGGGAAGAAGGCCGAGGCTGGAGAACCTTGAATTGATGAATCATTTCTCTCTCACTGGACAGTGTGATAAGGTATACATTTTGGTGTAGTGTATGCCCAGCTGCACACTTTGCGCCATTTCCATCCGTTATTGTAACGTCCCGCCTTGATACCCTGAGAAGCAATAAAAATCCCGCCTTTTCCGAAGCCGAAATATGTAAAGATAGCCTCGCCATGTGTTCCGCATCAATATGCCCGCATCCAACAGCCTAGTTAACAAAAAAACCGAGCCATGTCCTCACAAAACCGGTTTCGCAGAACCCAAAATGATCCGATAAACTCCCAACTCCAGCCTTGACATGCACACCCTGTAGAAGCCATATCTTGTAGAGGCCATATGAAGGCTACTTGGGCACTTCCTTGTCCGTCTCCTTCGGCTTGTACTTTGGCACCTTCTCGTAGGCGTTTGGGCTCGGCGCCCTCTTCTTCTTCTTGCCGCTTGCGCCATTGCCGCGTCCACGGTGATGCCTATGCCCGTGATCATGAGAATGTCCGCAGTCGTGATCGTCACCGACAGGCCTCTTGCCCCTAGACCCGGCCTCCGAATCCGAATCCGAATCGGACGAGGAAGAATCAGACGACGACGACTCGTCGCTGGACTCGTCAACCGCCTTGGGTCGGTGATATATGCAGCACACTACAAATCACAGTTTCTGTCAGTCGCGAATGTCCCTTCTTCCCCTTGGCTGTCGCCGCCGCCGCCGCCGTCGCCCTGATCGCATCTCCGCAACACGAGAGAACGCACCTTTTGAGCTTTTCCGACCCAGTCCCTCATTGTCCACAACGTCGTCGGCCCACTGCACCGATCTGCCGTTCGCCGTGTGGCCTCCCCGCAGGCGCAGGATCACGCTGGGCTGGCTGTCGGTTGTTTCTGATCGCGGCGTATCTGCTGCTGTGGTTGTGGTTGTTTGCGACGCTGCGGGCGCCTGCGCTCTGCGCTCCTGTTGTTGCGACATGGTGGTGGTAGCGGGCGTCCTTTTCTTCCAATGGGGAGATTCGTCGGGTGATTTCTCGTCTTCCGATGTTCTGGATCGTGACCGCAGTAGCTGTCTGTTGGACGCAGGGAAGGTAGAAAAGAGAAGAATGGCGGAGACGTCTCTTGTATTTATAGGTGGGAAAGAAAAGAGATTGTTCGTATGAGGCTGGAAGGGAAAGCAGATAAGGGAACTCTGCTGAGACGAAGCCTTGAACTGTCTTTTTTATTTTTTTCCGACGATGTCATCGATGGTCCTAGAAAGATGCCAGGAACAGGCAAGTCGGAAAGTCTGAGCGGCCCCGCGATTTCCCCAGCACAACGAAGCCGACGTTTGTCTGCTGTCAACTTAATAAGCAGAGGTGGCGTCACTGAGCCTTAGAATCTTGGTATGATTTCAGTTTGTTCGATACCTTACCAAAAGGGCTCGAACGCTCCGGAATGTTTGCTGGCTCAAGCATGCAGTGCCTTTTTATCCAACAAGTGACCATCGTGAGTTTTCATTGCCATGTCTATCCGCCTTGATACATACAAAAATGGGGTGTGGTCGTAATCTACTTCTGTGCACAGCATACATTCATCATGGACACGTTATCGTACAACACCAACAATCTTCAATGTCCTCCCTCATGTCTGGCATGTGACACCGACCCCCCAAATCAAGCTCCTTGGCGCTCACGCTCACGCCCTCGCCGCTTCTCCAGTTTCTTGGCCCCCTTCATGCTCCTCCTGGGCCGGCTCCTCTTGTGCTCCGCCAGCTCGCGTGGCTTGTTGTTCAGCCAGCCGTTGATCGGCTTCCTCGACCCAATAAACTTGCCCTCCGGCGAGTAAACGTCGACGGCCGGCCAGTCTGCTGACTCCTGGGGCTGCAGCTGCACCTTGGGCTCCGCGGCCCTGTCATTGGCCGCGGTGTCTCTCCGCATGCTGTACATGTTGGAAAACGGGTCGCTGGTGTCTTTCGGCTCCTCCTTCGGCATCGCGATTCGCTCAACGTCCTTTGGCGCATTCTGGGATTCCAGTATGCGCTCCAACGCCCGCTTGCGAACCTGGGCTACAATCTCAACGTATCCGACGCCTTCGATAAGAATATCCACTGACAGCACACGGAATGGTAGCTGGTCGACGCTCAGGCCGATAGCGTTCTTTCTGGTCAGTGGCCCGGCCCTCTTCTTGGTGACATCGTGGTCCAATTTGAATGTCCCAGCGTGCTTCATCTTATCTCCGGTTCCTGGCAGAGTGATGTTTTCGAGACCAATCGATTGGTGGGTTTGGTTCTGAAATGCGATGGCCTTCTCTGTCGACGTGAGATGCTCGTGAAGTGGCGTGAAGTTGTACATGAGGAAGATCATGTCTGGTGTTCGAGGCGTGATTCGAATCAAGCCTCCACCCAGGAGCAGCGAGGACCCAGGCTTGACAGTGACCTGCTCGGGAACGATGCGCTTCTTCATGATGAGCGATTGCCTGTGCTCTTCTTTCACATACAGCTCGAGATCACTGCGCGCTAGCCCAGGTAGATCGATCAGCTCCCCCTTGCCGTTACCAAAGGGAATTCGGATGGGAGATGCGGTCGTGCCAGGGAGTGATGAAACGATGGGCATGTCCGGGTAGTTCTCAGCCGGCCGGGGAGGCGGAAGAAGAGATCCGAGGTTGACAGTTGCCAAGTTCTCGTCTTCTGCCAAGGCGTCCTCCGGTGCCATGGAAGCTGCCGGCGAGCCTCTTGGAAACGTCGATACACTGGCGCGCTGTGGCTTTTCGGCCATCCTGCCCTTGGGATAGATGGCCTCAAAGAGCTGGCTCTTGCCCACGTTGACTTTGCCAACCATCCATCCAGCACCGCCGCGGTTCCAGACATCCTCCTTGACCTCCTTGGTCCACCAATCCCGCCTCGCACTGACACACCTGACATTGCCCAAGCGAACGCGCTGACCAAGCCTTCCCAAAGCGTCGCGCAGAACATCCTTCAAGTAGGGCATCATGGAGTCTACAATCTCTTTGGTCGGGCCCAGGAGATCGCCCCTGGTAATGATGAAGCTCATCTCGGTCTTGCGATCGTTCTGAAACTTGCCGGCTCGAGAGCGGCGGTTGCGCGTGCGCAGCGGAATGTCGCCCAGCAGCACGTTGAGTCGCGGGATGAGAGACATGGGGAAGTCGGCGGCATCGATGACGTGGTATATGTGGTTGTATTTGTGAGGCGACTCCTCGATCGTCTCCCGCAGAGACTCGACGGTGGGATGGAACATTGTGAGCTTGGCGGTATCGCCCTTTGTGCTGTGATGCAGCAAGTCATGGCATCGATCGCAAACGGGTGCTTTCTGCTGTGGCGTCACTGCGTCAAAGGTTTTAGCAATATGCCATTTCAACTCGGGGGGGTGAAGCTGTCTCGTACTGTTGATGGGCACACTCTCAGGCTCATTGCCTTCGATAAGCGCCGCAGGGTCCAAGCCAAGCTCCTTCAGCCTGCTCTGGTCCAGAGACTCCAGCGCAGCATTGACAATCTTGTCCTCTTCGCCCTCCACGGGACTTGTCCGCCGCGCAACTGGATGCAGCCATTCTCTTATCCTCCTCTTGCTCACGTCCACGTATCCAAGCAGGTCTGGGTCTTCGGTCTGCGTGAATGCGCCACAGCCGGAACACGTCAATGGCAGTCTTCGCACCGGCTTCTGCAATGGCTGAGGCACTGCCGGCGTCGGATTCGAATCGTTGTGGCTGAATACCGCTTCGGTGTGGTTTCTTCGCCGTTGGCAAATGCTTCTTGTTGCGCCCAGACTTATACTCGAGAGCTTGCTCGATAGTCCGGCAACTGCAGGACAAAGATACAGCGGCACTCCCGTTGAGGGCGCAGCTTCGCCTACTCTCAGAGCCTGCCGGAGCAGTCGAGCTGTCACCGCTCTATGCATATTCTCCGAAAATAGACAGGAAAATTGGTTGATTAGAAACGACAGATCATGGTAGAAGAAAAAGAAAAAGAAAAGAAAAAATGAATTGAGAAAACAGGGCCCTTCTAAAACGGAACTTCTAGAGAATCAGTTTTTCTGGCAGTTGACAATCGCCTTCCTTCTTTCCCCCCACATACTGTCGCGTGGTTTCACCCCACCATCAGCCAAAAAAAAAAAAAAAAGGTGTCCGGATGATTAGCCGGCCCGCCAAAGATTGAATCGGCTTCGCAGTGTGATTTTCTGCATCTGGACCGGCGAACGGCTTTGGATGAAGACGTAGGAGAGAAAGCTGCGATAATTGCTGGCGCATTCGACCCCCTTGACAGCAAATTGAGCCCTCGCAACAGTCGAGGCGTAACAGCCAGAGCCCAAGATGAGGTCATTAGGAGAGCGGTTGAATCTGCTCCGAAAGGTAACCAATTGACATCCCCGTATATATGCGCCAAAGCAAACCGTCAAGTCGCTAACCAAGATATTCATTGCAGAGAGTAAGAAGACTCCTTTCCCCCATAGACGAACACCTCGACCCCGACTTACACACGCACTCTCTCAAAACAGCTCATTAGCATCAAATGCGGTCCCGGTGCAGCAGTCCTCCCGGCGGACGTCACCCGGATACACATGGATTTTGCTATCCACCTGAAAGGCGGCCACATGGGAGCTAGGTTCGTTCTAAACCACACGATGCCCTCTAGCTCTCTTCTCCTCTCCTCCCTCGGGCCTCTCACCTTCACATCAAGCCAACACGTCTAACAAAACACACAAATCAGGAAATTCTGGAAAGAATACCTCCCCCGCCTAAAATACCACAACCCCGCCATCCCCATGATCGTCAACCGCCACGACCAGAACCAAAACCCCCCGACAATGACAATCTACCTCCGCAAGCCCGACTCAACATCCTCCTCCTCCTCCTCCTCCTCCTCCTCAGCCATCGCCGCCGCTCAGCCCGCCTCCTCCCGGACAGGCCTCTCCAAGGCCCAGCCCCCGACCCCCGACGAGCGCGTCGTCCACATCGACATGACCAACAAGCACTCCTCCCACATCCTCGAGTTCTTCATGGCCGAGACCCGCGCCGTCCCGCTGCAGCCCACAAATGAGGAAATCGCCGAGATGCAGGCCCTCGAGACGCTGCGCAGGAACGCAGAGGTCGATCGCGAGCGCATGAGGCTGCTGAGGGAGGAGAAGAAGAGGGAGGAGGACATGCTCAAGAGGGCGAGGGCTGCAGGTGGCATGGCGGAGTCCGAAGAGGCGTAAGGACGAAGGCAAAAAAAAAAAAAAAAAAAGGAAACGCAAAAGAAAAGGGATGAGAGACTACTAGATATTTTTGTACGATATATAGAGCGGTTGGGGCTGTTTATGTGTATATGGCAATGAACCGTCGAAGGGAGGATAAAGAGGAACAAAGCTAGTATTGACTGAAAGCTATATATGCTATATGCTGTATTCCCCAAAAGGACCTATATCTGAGGGAATGGACGATGGCTCATTGGATCCAATCTAGTCCAGAGGAGAGTTCCTGCAATACCAACTCAACTGCTCTTATACACATATCACTAACCAGGTATGCTGAGCATCGCACCATCGAAAGAAGAAAATGTTGCCATAAACCTCTTTACGTCAGCTAGTAGCTGTCAGCTCATTTGAGGCCAAACCCTTCACTCTCATGAACCGCCCTCCACAGCATCGATTCAAGTCTCTCCTTTGAAGTGTAGCGCCACAGAGAGAGCATGTTGAAGCACGTCCTGGCAATGGGAAACCTCCCACAGTCCTCGCCCAGGCAAGACAGCTTAATCGTCAGCGAAGCAGCCCCCATCGCCGGTATGCGGTCGCTTCCAGTGACAAACGTCAGCAGTTTCCGCTGGTCGCGGGGAGTGGCCTGTTGGAACGTCTCCCAGAACCAGCCAACGACAGGCTCTGTCTCGTCGGGCTGCTTGCTCTCCCAGTTATCATACTCTGCCACGGCTCTCAGGGACGCAATGTCTAGCGACTCATCAGAACCCCTGATAAGAAGCTCAATCTCTTCAGGCCGAAAAAGGGAAAAGGCATTGCCGCCGCAGACGGTGTAAAAGCCCCTCTTGAAGGGCTCAAACTGCCTTTTGACCGCCGTGTCGAGAACGTATCTGACATACAGATCGACGTATTCCCGTCGGTTCTCATTCGTCACGGGCTTGCTCTCGCCTCCCGGGCAGAGAGGCATCTGCACTTTGGACCCATATCTGTCCGTCTCAATAACGAAATCCAAGCAAAAGGTCTCTTCAACGTCGCCATCAAAGGCCAAGAGCTGTTTCAAGCCATTGGCCAGCCGTGGACGGTATTCGGCCAAATCATCCAGCGTATACCTCATCGGAGATCGATGCTGAGCTGCCATAGTTCCCGGAGGAGAAGGAGCTGAAGCGAGCAACTTTCTAAAGGCAAAAGGGGGCAGCGCAACATCCAGAATAGTCGAATTGTAAATAGCCAAGCCCATGACAACGCCAACCAAGAAGAACTGATCGGATGGCTCGAATGAGTTGGGGTTGAAGTAGCAGTATTGCGAGTCGTCATCGTATATAAACATTCCTGCCACTCGAGTTAGCTTCATAGCGTTTCACAGCTTTTCATAACACAAGGGACATCATACCGTAGTCAGGATTAAAAACCTCCCGGATGAGGAGAAGGAACCATTCCTTGCGGAGACCGCCCGCGTCGATACCCTCCTCACCCTGGAACGAGATGCGCAAGCCCTTCTTCAGATCCTCCCCACCACTGCCGATGACGCTGCTCACTGCCGTTAGACTGTCGTCGACCAGGCAGTCTCGGCGTACATCAAGGACCAGATATTGGTTAATGTTCCTTCGCGTCATGATGCTGTCGAAAAAGGCATCTCGGGCTTTGCTTTGCATTTGCCGACGAGCGTCGTGCTCTAGTATGTGCGTCTTCGCCCAAATGCTCAACAGGAACGGATATTGGCAGAAGGAGAATCTGCTTCTTCTGGATTCCCAAGACTCAAAGTCGTCAATGAGGTCGGTGTAGTCTATCATGGAGTTGTAAAAGTCGGTGGGCGGCAGAAAGTATCCACCAGCACGAGCGGTTCCGTTCCAGGTCATTTGTCCATGGTGATGAACATCGTCGCTGCGACGGGCCGGCATCATGTTGTTGGCAGTAAACAAGAGAGATAGAACGCGGGAAGCTGCTTTGATCTGCCAGTCATCTGCGTAGGATATCTTCCTGGCCGGTTCTTTAGGCTTCTTGCTAGGTCTGGGACCGCCTATGGCATCATGAAGAGACGCACCGCCCGAACGACCAGCGTGCATCTGCGGAATCAACCCAGCTGTCGGATCGACCGTTTGCTCGGTCTGCTTCTTCTCGCTTTGTCGGATCATCCGGTAGGTCAAGAATCCAGAGGCCAGCTCCTTCACTCTGATGAAACGCGCGGCATGGTATCTAGCCATCCAGGTGATCATCTGGTTTTGACACTCTGGCGACGCATTCGAGATCAGGCCCATGATTCGTTTGATAATGCCGGAGTGCTGCCCCGATAGAAGCCCGGAACTTCCAGTAGGACTCTTCGCTCCCGTTGGCTTCGAACCCATTGACCCGCCGACTTCTGGCTGGAGCAACCCGCTGAAGCTTTCGCTATCTGAGTGTAGGGACGGGTTCTCCATGATGATGAGGAGGAATCGAAGATCCATTGGATTGTGAAGCGGGCGGCCGGGTCTCTTGAGCAAGTTTTCACTGACTTTCAAGAGCAGCCGCTGGGTGTGAGCCTGCCCTTTGAGCACATCCTGCTCGATCGCGCAGAGTTCCTGCTCGGCAAGGTCGCCCAGTGAAAGATCGTCAGACACTTCTTCAAAGATCTGGAACCAACCCTCCGCTGCGTTGTTCACGAGCGAGTACCAGTCATCGATATCGGCCCAGTTCAGCTGCGGCGACTTGGTAAGCGGATGCGGCCGGTGAACATGAACCGGCTCTTCCTTGTCCCTGCTGGGAGTCTTTTTGGACGCCATCGGATCCTGTCCGGTCCACCACAGCCCGTTCTCCGCGACGTCGCCCAACATCAACATCCGGGGGTCCAAGTCCACTATGGGAGAGTCGACCTCTAGCTGAGATGGCCTGCGAGGCGCGGTCTTTGTCTGCGGAGGCTGCCGCATGTCTTTCAACGGAACCGAGGGACGTCGAGGAGTGTCACTAGCAGATCTCGAGGCATATCGGGGATGTTGCGTGGAAAAGGAAGAATTGATGCACTCAAAGTTACTGAAACATTTTGTGATGTAGTCTTCTAATGGCTTGAATATCTTTCTAGGGTCATCAGGCTGGCCGGCAGACGGATTTCGTGATCGAGGGCTGGCGTGATTGTGGTTGTTGGGCAGCTGGCTTCTTGGCCCGGGATGCTCCGTAGAGGACGATGGATACGACCTCGATGCAATGATTGGAGGACTGCCATTTGATAAATTGAGATGCAATGTTGGCTCCTCTTCAAAGGCATGCCCGGTGCCGTGGCCCTTTCTGTTGGGAGTAATCTCCAGAGGCCCACGAGTCCGCACAGCAAGGTTAGGGTGCAGTCGGTCTTGAGGCAAGGGCCAGTCGTCACCAGTCCGCTCCGTTCGAGTCTCTGATGACATGTTGCCGAGCCTTCTGAGGACATATGACCGTAAACTTTGCCGGACGAGATGTCTGGTCTGGTCGAGAGAGATGGGTAGAGTAAGGCTGCCAAAGGGACTTGCTCTTGGACTTTGTCCTGGCCCTGCACTCGGTGTAAAGGGCGTTTGCTTCGACATTGAAGGGCCTGGGCTTGTGTCATGGCGCTGTCTGGACCCTTGGCTCTCCACACTTGTTGGAACCAAGTCGTTGATGGTCATGCAGATGGTACACTTGAACGTCTTCAACTCCTTCGGCCACCTGACGAGCGAGGCACACGTCATGCAGTGCCCAGTAGCGAAATCCCTGCTCCTCGACGGGCTTCCTCGCCTGTGCGTCTTGACCTGCCTGTTGACCGCAGCAGGGCCAACGACGGGCCTGTCCATCTCGACGGGAGGCTTAGAGGTCGAGCCCTGCCTCTTGCGACCGCTAAAGAGCGACGGAAACGGGTTGCTCATGGAGCGAAGGTGTGTCGACTTGCGGCCGCGGTTCTGCTGCGAGGACGGTTCGGCGTCGGAGTCGGACGAGCTGAGATCGGGATTCACACGCGCGTGGCTGGTCTTGGAGACACCGAGTCGTCGGTTCAGCGAGGTGGGCGTCTCGAGGGCATCTGAATGCAGGCGGCTGACGAGGTCGGTCTCGTCTCGCGGCATAAGCTCAGACCCGCGTCGAGCAGTAGGAGCAGGAGAGGGAACAGGAATCGAAGGAGCCATCTCTGCGGTTTCCGAGGCGGCTACGATATGACACTCTCGCTTGTGGCTGTGGCGAGCGAGGGCGGAAGCGGCATCTGCACATGGAGGAGACAGAAGGTGGCGATGACCGGACGAGCGGGCATTGTCCTCTACCTTAGCACCTTGCCTTTCGTGCTCCGTACTCCGTCTCTGTTAGCAGCCAGTCACAGCTGAAGTGGTGCTCCGGGCATACGAGCACAAGCAGACACGAGAGGCATAGGCAGGCAGCCGGCGCACAGGGATGGCCAAAGACGAGGACCAGGGGCCCAGGGAGGCTCGGCCCCCTTTGGTTTGATGAAGCGATTTATGGAGACGTCACCGGCCTCGACATCGAGCAGCTAAGCGGGCTCTGTCGAGGGCATTCACGAATCCTCGTCCTTGTACGGGCGCCTGTGCGGATGGGTGGCAGCCGGCGGTTGGCTGATCGGCAGGGGCTCGGGGTCTGCCTTATACTGTATCCCCAGCTCTGACGAGGTCGTATCAAGTTGCTGGGCTGGGGGGTGGTTGATGCGCACGTGCAGAGCAGGATCGGTAATTGACAGTGCAATCAGGCGTCCGCTCGTCATCAGCGGGGGGTCGCTGTGGCAGAGAAGAGGAGGCTGGACAAAGAAAGGAAGGAGAACAAAGGGAAGAGGAGAGGGGTGGCTTGTTCGACAGATTTTAAGGCTCGAAGTGCAAGATCTTGGGCTTCTTCACATGAAGTTTCTGTTCCCGTCCAGCGATCAATTGCCGGCCGGATCCCCTGGCACTAGAGGTAGACTTGCAAGGTTGGTGGGTTCTGCTCCATAGCGGCTGCAGACTGGCATGAAGGCTGAGCAACTACTACATCATCATTTCGAAATCAACGTCTTCTTCACTCGAAACGAGCCGAATTGAGTTGGAGCATCGTTTGCTTTTGTAAACTTTGATCATATTTTTAGATTTTTCTATTTTGGGTACTAGGTACTAGCAAACACCATTAATTAAATCGTTTCTAGCAAAAACTACACAACCGCAGCAGCCCTTTTCTTTTGTTTTTCCAGATGCTAATTACTCTACAAGGGACAACTTACTCGACAGGTCATCACCCCCATCTGTAACCCATCCCTGACGCCGTCGTCACCTGCTCGAATATGTGAAAAGTGTTTGATGGGAGAGCTCTCTCGGCCTCTCTCCTCCCTCTTACAGGAGGAGCTCCAGGGGGTTCTCGAGGACCTTCTTGAGCTCACGCATCCACTCAGCACCGGTGGCACCGTCAACGACCTTGTGGTCGAAGCTGCCGGTGACAGTAATCTGGTCATCCCACTCAACAGTCGTCTCACCGTCCTCGTCCTTGCCGGGAACGGCGACCTTTCGGGTGGTGCCAACAGCCAGGATGGCGGCCTGGGGAGGGTTGATGACGGCGGTGAAGTGCTCGACGGCGTCGTTCATGCCCATGTTGGAGATGGAGATGGTGCCGCCCTGGTACTCCTCGGGCTTGAGCTTGCCGTCTCGCGCCCTCTTGGCGAGCTCCTTGACCTTGGCGGAGATGGACTCGAGGCCACGGCCCTCAACGCCAGTGACAATGGGGGTGATGAGGCCAGTGGGGGTGGCGACGGCGACGGAGACGTCGACGGTGGAGAACTGGCGGATAACATCACCGCGCCAGCTGGCGTTGGCGGCCGGGACCTTCTTGGAGGCGACGGCCATGGCCTTGATGAGGAAGTCGTTGACGGACAGCTTGTACTTGCCCTCGCCAGAGGTGTTGAGAGCCTGTCGCAGCTTCAGCAGCTTGGTGACGGAGATGGAGCTGGTAACGTAGAAGTGGGGGTTGGTCTGGGTTGACTCCTGGAGTCGGTTGGCAATGGTCTTTCGCATGCCGCTGATGGGAATGTCCTCGAAGGTGGCGCTGGGGGCAGAGACGGCGGGGCTGGCAATCAGCTTCTTGACGTCCTCCTCAGTGATCTTGCCGCCCTTGCCAGTGCCCTTGACGCCGTCCAGGCTGATGCCCTTGGACCGGGCCAGGCGGATGGCGGCAGGAGCAGCGTTGGGCAGACGGTCGAGAGCAGTCTGCAGCCTGCCCTTGGAAGCGTACTGCTCAGGAGGGGCGGTGGTCTGAGGGGCAGACGCGGGGGTGGACTGAGGAGCGGGTTCAGACTCCTTCTTGGGGGCAGCAGGAGCGGCGTCGCCGCCAGCATCCTCCAGAGAGAACTTCTCGAAGGCGGAGATGTCGGTTCCCTCCTCGACAAGGACAGCGATGGGCTATATCGGAGAGATACATGCTTAGCATCGGAAAGAGACGGAACAGACTGGAAGGGAAAGAAAAAAAATAAAAAGAAAAAGAAACAGAGCAGGCGACAAAGAGGAAAGAACAGTTTTGACTTACGGTGCCGACAGCGACGTCCTTCTCACCAGCCTCCTTGAGGATCTTGGCAATGACGCCCTCCTCCTGGAACTCAAAGTCCATCTGCGCCTTATCCGTCTCGATCTCGACCAGCACCTCGCCGGGGGCGATGGTGTCGCCGGGCTTCTTCTGCCAGGCGCCAATGTTGCCAGCCTGCATTGTGGGCGACAGGGCCGGCATCTTGATCACCTGGTGGCTCGGGAAGGAGGCATAGTAGCGGACGACGTGCGCCGTGAAGCCACTTCGCAGGGCCTGGTGGGTGGGCGCGAGGATACGCCTCCGAAGAGCGGCGCTGAGCATCTCGGGAAAATGTCTCTCACAGCGAGGCCGTGAGCTGGCGGGCGGGCAGGAGGGCGGCGGGAAAAAGCGGGCGGGCGGCGTGAGGCAAGGTGCGATGCTCACGGAGCGAGGGCAATTGACGCCGTATCCAAGCGGGAAGAGAGGGAGAGGCGAGAGGCCCGAGAGTGTTGATGGCAGAAAATGGCTTCGACCGTGACGGACAAGTCGTTCAAAATCCCTTGGGGCTAGATTTTTGCGTTGAGCTCGATGCGCCTGGAAGCTTTTGGGACCTAGCCCTGATTGGGGCTAGCGCCATTGGCTTTTTCAACGTATCTGCGCCTAGTGTCGAGTGCTAGGTAGGTACCTCAACACCCTGTCCGCTGCGTGTCAGTACCTACTCAGTACCTGACAGGCGGGGGCTTCCATTACCTTAGTACCGTATAACCACAAAAGGGCGCCATTTTCGAGTCCCAAAAGAAGATCAATATCGGGATGTTTCAGGACAGCGCTGAGAACAAAAGGCGCTGTCGATGCCGTGGAAGACGCTTAGCTAGTCCTTTGTGTGTCGGGCTGCCTGCTCAAGTAGTGTCAATCGGTGACTTGGTCATGATCATATCGATGCGGCTTTTCGGAGCAAAACTTGTGGAGCATATCAAACTCCTCAAAGCACGGATACTACCTAGTACTAGATCAAGCACGAGATGAATGGCTTCTGCAGAAGAACCTCTTGTGCAGGTGATGCCGTTGGATTCATGACTGTCTGCTTGTCTCAGTCTCCGAAGTTAGACATGAGGATGGCCCTCCTGGCACATCAAGCAGGCAATGAAATGGCACAGACTTAGTCAAGAATGAATGAGACACGTTTGTTGTCTTGGAACATCTCAACGCTAGGAGCAACTAGGTACCTACAACTGCTCTTTTTGTCTGTTATTCCTGCAGATAGGTACTTAATGACCATTCGCAATTCTCATAAAGATGTAGGTTTCGAATAGGCTTGAGTAGGAAGGTCGAGAGCAATGCCTTATCAAAACGAAATGAGTGTGTGAGGTATGGCTAGCGCACCAACTACTGAGTAGGTACCTATCTCGAATTGAAGCCCTTGCCAACCTACCCAACAGCGACAGTTGTCATCTCAGACATCGCCGCTTCTTTACTTCTTTCCTCCATTCAACAATTATCTTTATACAGGACTCATCATATGCCATTCACTCTCGTTCATGTGCTAATGTGGAATCATGCTCCATTGAAGATCTGTCGAGTCCCTTGTGCCACAGCCAGCCGCCGCGCTTCGACCCTTTCTGTTGATGCAGAGATGCAATCAAATCATCAATTGCTGTAATCCAATGGAACTAGGCGTGATGATAGTTCTCATGAATCTCGCTTGGAGACGTGCTTTGGTGAGTTGGCAGACAAAATGTACATTGTTCTTGAATCGTGTTGTTTTACCAGCTGTGCCAACCTTGAGAATGTCTACCGTCACCGAACATCTGACGAAGCAAGCACATGAGCCGAGCAGTTGCCCGTCGCCTTTCATGAATTGTTCAGCCCTTTTACTTCGCCAGAAGCATTCATGCCCGTGGTGAGCTGCTTTATTCTACCTATACTTTTAGTTTCACTGAAGCGCAGATCAGCACCGCGAGTCGCCATCACGGCGGCCTCGGCCGCTGCCGTGCATTCGCGTGTATCAAATCTCCGATAAGACGCCAATTTGCATGTTTACGGCCAGCAGCTCCCACCTCGGCCCAGATTCACAAACATCACCATCACCATCACCAACAACATCACCACCAAACAGCACATTACAATGCGCTGGCCAGGCAACGCCATCATTTGATGCAGTCTGATGCATAACTAAGCACTCTTTCCACGCACATTCATCTGATTGAACTGGGCTTCTCCTGGAGAAGCGGCAAGGAGGGTGAAAACACAACAAAAGGCCACAATATCAGACGAGATCGTCGCATCATGGCCGAACACACATCCAGCCATAACCCCTCGCCAACGGTCTCGACGCCGGACTTCCCGGAGCTCGACGAGCTCTTTCGCGAGGAGTGGAGTAGAAGAAACCAGCACCTCGAGGCCGCCAAAAAGCCTGACGGACAAGGCGGCAGCAATGGAGATCCGCGAGGGGGAGGTTTCGGCAGCAGCAGCAGCAGCAGCAGCGCCAAAAGAAGGAGCATCGACATGGACAGCCCCGACCAGAGCAGCGTCAGTGCCAAAAGGAGGAGTCTTGGTCAGAGCAGCCCGAGCCAGGGCAGCAGCAGCAGTAGCAGCAGTAGCAGCAGCAACATAAAGATCCCCAACCAATACCAGAGAAGGAACAGCAGCAGCATCATGGACAACAACAACAACAACGACCTCAGCAGCGGCAAAGGCAAAGGCGAGAGCAACAGCAACAGCAACAGCAATAGCTACAGCTACAGCTACAACCCCAGCCACAGCTCCATCCCGCCGCTCAACGACAACGTCGCCGTCGCCATCTTCGTCCCCCTCACAAACGGCCAGGCGCTCCTCTCGCCGCCCGCCGCCGCCGCCGTCGTCCCCGAGACGCCGCCGTACTTTCTCGAGAAGCTCGAGCGCCTCACCACCCACGAGGCCGCCGTCCGCGGCAACATCGAGGCGCTCTTCGGGCTCGAGTACCTGCGCGTCCGCGCCCACGTGGCGACGGCCTACCCCGACGACAGCGCCTTTGACTACTATGGCGCGACTGCGGCCGTCCGGCCTGTCCAGGACGCCGATCTCAGGCAGGATCTGGACGCCATGATTGGCAACATGCGCAGCAAGCTGCCGGACCCTCCTCCAGTGGGGGGGAACCTCGACCTCAATCTCGCTGCTGCTGCTTCTGCTGCTGCGAATCTGAATCTCACAAAGGACGTGGGCCTGCCCGACATGGACGTGCCCATCACCTACCACCCCCTCAACTCACCCCGCGAAGCCGCCGCCAACGACGTCCTGAAGCTCCTCGGCGATGCCGCCACCCAGCTGGGCTTTTTCGACAACCACATCCGGGTCATTAGTGACGGCATCAAGAAGGAGATGCAGGATGCCGCCGCGAGGGAGTTGAGGGAGAAGCAGGACCGGATGGACACCGACTAGAACTCGGGGCGGAAGTCCAGCCTCTTGGTGTTTCCTTCTGCGGGCGGCAGGCCCAGGAAGAGAGTCCGTTTCGACGATCCTATTGAGCAGTATGAGCCGGCGAGACCGGCCTCTTTGGGAGATGCTGTTCCGAGATAAAGGGGGATGCGAAATACAAAAGTACGACAAACCAGCATAAAGTCGGCTTGCTTGCCTGCTCCCTCAGGAAGTAGAGAGCATCTGTCAGTCACCTCGGTCAGGAATCATCTGCACAACAGACTGAACAGCTACGAAAAGGTGCGCCACGTCTTCGCCCCTTGGTTCAAGGCGGGGATGAGGTGGCATGCGAAGCAAGGTGCGACTCTAGTCAAGAAAGGGGACAATCAAGAAATGAGCTTTTTGGTCAAACATATTTACCACCGCGCATCTAGTCCCCTCCAACGTCCTACACTATATATATGTACAAAGCGACATACCGCTCCGGAACTGCAAGGGAAGATTCTTCTATTTTTGTTTTTGATACAAACCACCTATCTCAAGCTCCGTACGCGACCTGGCCCATGGGCCTGTCCTCCTCCATACCCGGAGCCATGAAATTCGTCCTGGGGTCGCCAGTGGCCTTGGCGGCTGAGCAGCGGGCCATTGTTGGTGAACTGTGAAGAAGTTAGTATGTCTGATGCTGATGGCATATTGGGGCTGCTTGATTGTATTGCAAGAGCATATAGCGTATATCAAATAGCATATGGAGCAAAAGCATTGCACGAGAGTAAGCACATACCTCCTAGAGATGGCGTCTGTGAAATAAAAGTTCTCAATGACCTTCTTGAGGGGCTGGTTGCTGGCCTTGGCGCCCTTGTTCTGCTCCACCAGCTGGACCTTGCTCAGCTCCTTCAGGGCAACAGGCTCAACCACGTCGTAGGCAGCCAGCGCAGGGCTAATCTCCACCATGCGATCCCGCACAGCGGCGACGTCGTCGTAGGGGAGAGGAGCGCCAAGGAACTCGGAGGCAGCTCGCAGGATCTTCCAGTCGGTTCGGGCAGCACCGGGCAGCGAGGTGGCGGCACGGGTCATCTGCACACGTCCCTCGGTGTTGATGTAAGTGCCGGCCTTCTCGGTGTAAGCAGCACCAGGAAGGACAACGTCAGCAATCTGAGCGCCGCGGTCACCGTGGTGGCCCTGGTAGACGACAAAGGCGTCCTTGGGGATGTCGGCCTCGTTGATCTCGTCAGCGCCGAGGAGCCAGACAAACTTGGGCTTGGTCTGGGCAACCTCCGCGGACGGGGTGACGAAGCCGACCTCAAAGGCACCAGCCCTTGAGGCCTCCCGCTGCAGCACGTTGTAGCCGTTCCACTCGGCGGTTCGGAAGTTGGCAGCGTTCTGCTCGACAAAGGTGCCGACGGTCTCGTAGAAAGCCTTGGCGTCAACGTGGTCGGTGACACCGGATCCGACAATGATCATGGGCTTCTTGGCGGCCTTGAGCTTCTTGCCAAAGGGGCCAGCCAGGGCCTTCTTCAAGGCGGCGTGGTCGGCGCCCAGGTGCTCAAACTCAAAGGTGGAGTCCCAGGTCTCGCCAACGACACCAATCTCAAGGTCGGAGCGCAGCCACTGCTTGCGGATACGAGCGTTCAGGACGGCGGCCTCGTGTCGGGGGTTGCTGCCGACGATGAGCATGCAGTCAGCCTCCTCGATGCCCCAGATCTGGGAGTTGAAGAGGTAGTTCGACCGCACGTCGATTCCGTGAGCAAGGGGCTGGCTGCCGGTGGGGGTATCCAGGGCAAGGTTCTCAGACCCCAGCTTGTTGGCCATGTCCTTGGCGACGACGAGAGACTCTACTTCAGTCAGCGCGCCGGCAATGATCTTGAACTCGTTGCCCTGAGGGTTGGTCTGCTGGTACGCCTTGGCGATGACGGTCAAGGCCTCCTCCCAGTCGGCATTCTCGAATCGGCCTTCCCTTCGAATCAGGGGCACAGTCAGTCGCTGAGTGCTGAGGCCGTCGCAAGCGAATCGCGTCTTGTCGTTGATCCACTCCTCGTTGACGTCGTCGTTCAGTCGAGGAAGAATGCGCATGACCTGAAGACCACGAGAATCGACACGGATGTTGGAGCCCAGGCCGTCCAGGACGTCAATGGACTCGGTGTGCTTCAGCTCCCAAGGACGAGCTCGGAAGGCATACGGCTTGGAGGTCAGGGCACCAACGGGGCAGAGATCGATGACGTTGCCAGACAGCTCCGAATCCAGGTTCTTCTCCAGGTAAGTGCCAATCTGCAGGTCGTTGCCACGGCCAGTTGAGCCAAGCTCAGGGGCACCGGCAATGTCGTTGGCGAATCGGACACATCGGGTGCAGTGAATGCATCGGTTCATGGACGTCTTGATCAGGGGTCCAATGTTCTTGTCCTCGACAGCTCGCTTGCCGCCAATCTCGTGGAATCGTCCTCGGTCGGCGCCGTATCGCATAGACTGGTCCTGGAGGTCACACTCGCCTCCCTGGTCGCAAATGGGGCAGTCGAGGGGGTGGTTGGCCAGCAGGAACTCCATGACGCCCTCGCGGGCCTTGTGTGTAAGAGGCGAGTTGGTCTTGACGACCATGCCGGGCTGAACGGGCCAGGCGCATGAGGCCACGGGCTTGGGTGCCCGCTCGACCTCGACCAAGCACATACGGCAGTTTCCGGCAATCATGAGTTTCCTATATTAATTTTCATATGTAATTAGACTTCGGGATTGTCGCAAGAGGGGCGAGGAGGGGTCAGATATTTCGTACTCGTGGTAGCAGTATCTGTACGCCATGTTAGCAAATTCTTATGCCCAAATTCAACCCAATCTATCGGCAAAGCCCCCTAATACTGACCTGGGCACAGTAACTCCGGCCTTTTCGCAGGCCTGAATCAGAGCCGACCCGGCTAGCAGTCCATGTCAGCATCCTCAAGCTTCCCACCACAACGGCAGCGGTCCCCCTCCAACGCCAGCCCTTCCAAAGCCATACCTTCGATCGAGACCTTTTTGCCATCTGCAGCACAGCACCGTCAGCATACACAAGTCCTCCCTCCATCGCCAATTGCTTCAAAAAAGAAAAGCCAGGCAAACGGCTTACCAATGGTCAGCTCCACCTCGGCAGACCGTCTGGGCGTTGTCGCGAAGGCCCGCGGGACGGCGGCTGCCCGCCTGCCGGTCCGCCAAGCCGAACGTGCCAGAGACTGTCGGAGCATCGTGTCGCCTTGACGGATTGAACGTGGTCGAACCGTGGGCGGCGAGGGTTGATACGGGGAAAAGGGCTCAAAAGGCGATGGAGAGCGAGCCGTTGCTTGTCTGGATGGGTTGGCAAAGCCCATTTGCGAGGCGCTAGTGGGTTTCCCTTACGGATCCATTTGCGAGCACGCTCATTGGCTGCAGCTGCCTTGAGCCGCTGCCTGAGGCAAACCTCGTCGTGCCCGCAATGCCGGCAGAACCATTTAATATGCGGCGCCTTGGCTGGATCTTTTTTCTCTTCTTTTTTTCCTTTTTCCTTCTCATTAATTGTACACGGGCACATTTTATTGTAGGTGAGCTTGGGCAACGGGACTGCAATTGTAAGTCCCTTTGCCTCCGTCGAGTCCTCCTCTATCTTGTGCTCCAGAAGAAACATCTACGCCGATTATGGAAGCAGGGGAGAGAAGTTTTTCGTCTCGATGAACATTGCCTCTTACCGCCGGTCGTAACATATCACCATGTAAAATCCTGACATGCCGTAGAAGCGCCGACATGGCTGCTTTTACATTACAGTCGATGACGTGCAGATGTAACTTGAACTGTATGTAGACCGTTACCGTCTATGAACTGCAGCTGCACTGCAGGGCCCGCTCAAACTTGGGCACGTCGCCAACCCATCGTTGCTCCTCCTCTCGATCGCCCTTATACTCGACTCCGTCGATCGTGGCTCCGTCCCACGAGTCTTCAAACGGGTGTAGGGCCATGTGCATGAGACGGTCCAGGACTTTTCTCTCGCCTTCTTTCTCGACGCGCCGTATCACTTCGTCCAAGATCCAGCCTCGAGGGATAAAGTTGGGGTTGACCTGCTTCATGGCCCGGATCCTCTCGGCGTCTTCGTCTTCGGACAGGGCTTCGGACGACTCTTGTCCCCAGTCTTCGAGAACACGCGCACGCCACTTCTCAAGCCAAGTGGCAATCATGTCCTTCCCAGCTTCCTCTCCAACAACGGGCGGCCCTTCTTTGTGGAAAAAGATGGCGGCTTTTTCTTTTCTATCCTTTGCCTCTGCAATATCTGCCAGTCTGATGGAGCTCAGCCGGCGGAAGAAGTGGTTGAAATCCAGCTCCAACCCCTCCATCGTATCGAGCACTTCGCTGAAGAGCTCTTCAAAGTCCCCTTCCTTAAAGTTGCGCAGGCCAATTCTCGCCGTCATGAGTCGCTTGTATTCGTTCAGGAAGACGGCTTTGAATTCCTCTCCGGCCTGCGAGATCAAATTCTCCGCTCGCTCAACCAAGTCCTTCTCTTGCTCTTCTTCTATGCCCTTGTTGATGAAGGTATCGTCGTCAACCTGAGCTCCGATACCGATAAGCTCTCCAAGAGCCTCGCCAAGTCTCACGAGGTTCCACCATATGATTGTAGGCTGATTCTTGTAGCTGTACCGCAGCAAGTGATCGTCGTGATTCGGAGTGTATGATGGATCAAAGTTGTCCATGAACGCAAACGGCCCATAGTCCATTGACAGGCCGTATACGGAGGTGTTGTCGGTGTTCTGCCAATGGTGTTAGTAGAAGCCTTGTCAAGGGTCAGTTGCAGGGTGAGGTAATGCATACCAAGACACCGTTCATGAAACCATATGCCTGCCAATGGGCCACAGTCACGGCGTTTCGCCTCACAATTTCTCTGTACAGCCGCTGGAACCTATTTTCGGCAGCATTGCTGGGCCCCTCGACGTCAGAGGCTGATATTCCGCGCTTAGGAGGCGGTGATTTGGCAGGTTCTTCGGGTGTTTCTAACCGTCCAGGCAGCGTCTCCCAGCCGCCAAAGACGTCTTCCGCAATGTAAGTTGCGAGCTTCCTGATAAGTTCGCGATCCCCTCTCGCGCGTAGCAGATCAAAGGTGCCGAGCCGCAGCCATGATTGGGCGAACCGCAGCACTATGGCCCCAGGCTCAACCCTCTCTCTCAGGACATTGGAATGGGGGAGCAAGGTCAGGGACAGTGCCCTGGTCGTAGGTATCCCCAGCGCATTGAGCGCCTCGGAAACGATAAATTCGCGGATGCTGGATCTCAGCACGGCCTTTCCATCAGCAAAGCGAGAATATGGAGTCAAGCCGGCTCCCTTGAGTTGCAGCTCATATCGCACATTGGTAGCCGGATTGGTTGCTTCAAAGAGCGAGATGGCTCTTCCATCGCCAAGCTGTCCCGCCCACTGGCCAAACTGAAAGCCTCCGTAGCATTGCGCCCAAGGATACCCGCCTTCGAGCTTTGTCTCGTCCCAGCCATATAGCTTGTTACCAGCTACAAACTGCCGGAAGTCTTCGGTTTTTGCTTCGTCTTGCTTGATTCCAATGTCCCGCAGAGCTGCAGGGCTCACAGCCAACAGCTCTGGGTCTTGCTGGGGAGCGGGTCGCACCCAGGTGAAGAGGGCGCCGCGGACGAGACGAGGTGTGATTTCATCTCGTGGAGTCTTGTGAGAAGCTGCCGGGGTTGGGAAGGCCAGGTCCGGGGGCAACTTGTCTGTGAAGTTCCATGATTTGGGCAGATCAGCCAGCGAAACGCCCTGAAACGGCTTCTCGGACGAGGCCATGGTCCGCGTGCTTCCGCGACGATATCGAAGAGATTGTCGTGTTGAGGACGATGATGCGCCGAGGATCCTCAGCGGCAGAGTTCCCTGTGTAAAACAGCTCGCATGGAGTTGTCTTTGCAGCATGAGAGACAATTTCGGACGATTGGTAGGTACCAGGGCTGCAGCTTGAAGGCGACTCGGGCGCTTATATTCGGATATTAGTGGCGAGCCGCAGAGGTTGGAGGTTGCCGTTCCGTGACATCACCGAGCTCATGGCTGCGACATGCACTTCTTTGGCCCCACCATCCATGTGTCTATTGTAAGCCGCGGAGCAACCTGTCCTGCATGTCGGACCTCCGAGAAAGAGGTTGCCGAGTGGCAATTGCATGTACTATGACGATGAAGTTCATGAGGAGGATCTTGTTAAAGAACATGCCTAGATGGATCGATTTTGATAGCCTTCTAGAGTAATGATCAATCACGAACGAGGACGCTGTTTAAGGTAATAGCACGCCAATCTGGCCTCACTCAACTTCCCCCATAGTTATCACTCCCTACCCTGCAAAATTATTACTACTTACCTAGGTAATTGCAATCAAGCTAACAATATGGCGTGACAGGCCTTAGCTTCAACCTCATCATGTATTGTAATTGCATACACAGTGATTGACCATGGGGAGAACAGAGTGCATGCGGCAGGCAAAAGCCGAGAGGATCCAGTTGGTTCCAAGAAGACAAGGTGTGGTTCATGAATAGACAACACCATGACAGAGATGGTGTGTGACAATCTACACAACAGGCGGCTTGACAGAGTCCACACACCTACTAGTTCACCACAAAATATCAACTTCTGTGCCTATTACCCCCCCTTTGAGGTAATCCTGTTAGAAGCGACATAAGGTACCTAGGCGATGGAAGCAAGTGACGGACTATTTCCTCCCCAACCTTCAGACACACCCTGATAGGAGCTGATAGAAAGATTTATAAACCACCACTCGCAACTCCTCTCGCATCCCAATAGAGCAGCTACAAACCGCATTTATCATCGGCGGGGTAGTTGCACGCCATCATGCACCAAACAGCCAGATTGACGCATCTCGGACCTCCACTTATAAGTAGGTCCAGCTGCTGCTGCTCATGGACTCGAATCCCCTCCCTCTCTCTACGATTCAAAGTTGCGCCCCGACAGCCTCTACGATTTGATTCCAGGTCATTCAGTGCCACAGCCGCCAAGATGTCGTTCCCGCCCAACTTGAAGCTCAACGACGGCAACGAGATTCCTCTGGTATGCGTGCTTGTTCTTTTTGTTCGGCGTCAAGTTGTGCCGACTCATGTATTGACCCGGTTGGCAGCTCGGATATGGTCTCGGAACCGCCCGATTCAAGCGCAACCGAGGACCTCTGGATCAAGAGCTGGTTGACCTCACCAAAAGGGCCATTGAGATTGGCTACTACCACCTCGACGGTGCTGAAGGTGTGCCAACGTCTGATATACCCTGAAGCTGGTGATTTGTTTCTGACCGCAATCCCTCTGTCAACATTCAGTATATGGAAATGAGGAGGAGCTCGGTGCCGCCATCAAGGCATCAGGCGTCCCCCGAGAAAAGCTCTTTGTCACCACCAAGATCAGCGCCACGGAGAAGAAGGACACCGAAGAGGCATTTGTCCTGTCACTGAAGAAGCTCGGCCTGGACTACGTCGACCTGTACCTCATCCACGGCCCCTTCTTTGCCGAAAGCGACGAGGAGCTGCAGCAGAAATGGGCCGATCTAGAGGCCATCAAGGCTTCCGGCCGCGCAAAGTCCATTGGCGTGTCCAACTTCCTCCAGGAGCACCTCGAGGCAATCCTCAAGACGGCAAAGGTCCCTCCCGCGATCAACCAGATCGAGTACCACCCGTATCTGCAACACGGCGACCTCGTTGCCTTCCACAAGAAGCATAATATCGCCATTGCCTCGTACGGCCCCTTGGTGCCTATTACCAGGGCGCAGGGTGGCCCCGTGGTGCCCGTCTACCAAAGGCTGGCGGAGAAGTACGGCGTCACTGACTCTGACGTCGGCCTCCGATGGGTCCTTGACCAGGGGATCGTCACGCTCACAACCAGCTCCAAGGAGTCGCGGTTGAAGGGCTACCTCGAGAGGCTTCCCAAGTTCTCGCTGGAGGAGGATGAGGTGAAGGAGATTTCGGAGGAGGGAAACAAGCACCACTACCGGGCATTCTGGAATGACAAGTTTGCCAAGGATGATAGGAGGTAGATTGTATGTTTTGAACCGACATTGTTGAAAGCAGCCGTCTGTTTTAGACATAGAATTAGAGTCATCGATGGCGAGTGCAGACGTTCGCTAAGGCTTGTAAGCTGACCCGAGTTGGTCACCATAACTGTTGCATCGTTTCATCAGTGTGCTTAGGTGCTGTCGGGAATCCTTTCAACGTGACTGAAGACGGAAATTAAGGTCCTTGGGATGGTAACGCATGGTGAAAAAGTATTGAAAAGCAGTAGCTAAACTCAAACGGATATGCAAGTCATAATGTCCAGTCCTTTCATGCAAAGTGGCAATGCGCCGTGAACGATAACACCATTGTGCCCTGTTGAGGAATCATAATTCCCTGACTCTTCACACTCATCCATTCATAGCTCATCGTCGGATTCTGTCTCGATATCTGCCTCTGGTGCTTTCGCCGGGGTCGCCTTTGCGTTTCTTGTAAAGGGGAGGTGCCTCGGAGCGGGTGGCTGTTCATCCGCTTTCTTGGTGGGAGGCGGTGCTTTGGATGGTGCCTTGGGGGTTGCCTTGGGGGTTGCTTTGGCCGCAGCCTTGGACGCAGCTTTGGGCGTAGGCTTAGAGCGTCCACCAGATCTTGCACTACCAGCATTATTGCCCCGGTCATCGCCTTCGTCCTCATCCTCGCTAGCAGTAGATGCCGTGTCTTCTGGAGTGTCCTCCGGGTCGCTGCTCTGGGGCTCGACCTTGATATTGTCCAGCTCCATCTCGTCGTCTTCCTCCGCCTCTTCTGCATCGCGCCGCGGGGATTCGACTTTTCGTTTCCTAGGCCTGGACGGGGCAGGGGCGTGAGATGGCCCAGACTCGACCTGCTGAGGGGCCCGTTGCGATGCTGGCTGGCTGTTTTGGAACGAGCCGGTAGTGAGGATCTTTTGTTGCTCCCGTATCTTCACCTTCTTCTCATTGAGTAGGTCTCTAAACTTCATAAGCAGCGCTGTTTCGTCTTCTTGTTTCGACGTTACCAGCTCGTCTAGCTGTGTCTTGAGTTCTTTCACGGTACTTTCAAGCTCCGTTGCATGAGTGGTGGCTTCGGCGAGGGCTTGTTTGCTCTGTGCCAGTGCATCGATTGAGTCGGCACACCATTCAAAGAGCTCGATGCCTTCGTTTTCGTTGTACTTGAGATCTATCGAGCCGAGTCGTTGCTGTATGAGAGAGGTTAGGACTATCATATGCGATGAATACGTGCTTGTGAGATTCATACTGTGATTCCTTGCACTCGCTTTCGAACCGTGATAGAGAGCGAAGCCTCGCCTTTGATGCTAGCTGTGGCTTGTATATCCCCAGCTGGCTGTAAATCGAACAAAGATTGTAATATTGTCTGCCATTCCGACTCGGAGACGGGACAGTTTGCAACTCGTAGCGAAGACACGCGATCATGTTTCACTGAGGGAGAGTCAATAAGCGGTGTGGTGTTGACGGTGTTATGAGAGGGAGCCATACAAGTTGTCGCATATGGAGCTGCGCCTTCTGTTCCAACGAGCTTCACGTCCAAGGGTTTAGAGCCCTTTTGAACGACCTGGATAAGAACATAGGCGGATTCGTCGTCGTCCCGAGGGAGCTTGATGACTCGTGACGCGGTCATGTCTAATCGCAAGTGTGTTGCTTGTCGGCGACTGATCCAAACAGCGAGACGGTGGGTCTGATGAGACGCAGTCTGGTGAATTTTCCTCGTTCAAGGTGAATGTTCAAGAAGTGCTAAAGAAGGATTGAAGCTAAGACGCAACGATGATGATGGCGATGTGTGGAAGGTTTATCGCAACGCACGGCTGTAGGGAAAACGAGGGCAAGAATCACCAAAGCTAGATGAGGCGGGAAAAGTCTGGCAAATTTGCACCCTTGGGAGTGAGTCCTTATGTATTCTGGAACAATCAACGTGGTTCGTGTCTTACAGGCAAACAGTCGTGATTCTTCAACGCGGTGGAGGTTCAGTTGCATGGCAGCCTTGCGGCTTGATTAGCGTCAAGCGGGAGCAGGCAGAGTTCAATGTTGGGAGCATTCCATGGATCTGATCCAGTCCACTGTAATCCACTGCAGGCAGCTGTGGCCAGGGAGCTGGAGCTGGAGCTGGAACTGGAGCTTCAGCTGCAGGTACGGGTACAAGCTCGACGTGGCTTGTTGTGGCGCAGGCTTCGGCTGAAGCTCTTTTGGGTACTGCTAAGTACCTACTTGGGATGCGTACCAGATCGGGTGGCCGTGTAAGCCAGCAGAACAACCGCAAAGTAGCTGTATCAGTGGGAATTGTATTAATACAGCTTGCACATGTTGTGCTCGGAACAATCATAAGAAGCACAAAGATATTCACAACATCCTTTCGTATTCGCGATACGGATCAACCATCCCCTGCTCCAAGCACCAAGTAAGTAGGTAAACCCCGTACCGAGTCGTTGGGTAGCAGCAGCAGCAATAATATCTGCCCACGCCTAACTCGTTTCTTGTTGGTTTCGCATCGCGGCCAGCATCAACCCGTCCAGAAAGGCGTGCCAAGTGCGTCGTCCACGCAGGAAATACGGGGGGTCCGGAGCTCTTTGCACGCGTGGGAAATTAAACCCAATGTCCAGCCGTCGGCCGGAGGGTCTTGGTGGACGAGCTGGCCGCTGGAAGTCGTCATGTTTTGGGTGTAGAGGCCGCGGCAGCGCCCAACTACCGCCCAATGCAGCTAGGCCACGTTTGCGGGACGAGAGTAAACATCAATGATGTCCACTTCGGGCTGCCAATTCACGCTCGTGAAGCCAGGCGGCCCAGATTTCAACACACACACTTGTTGATACGTAGTATCTGGATGAAGAAAAGGAAAGAATCCCGTCTTTGAGATTACAAGCAAACGGGCACGACTTGGCTAGGTGGCAACCCCGTGCTCCACGCCCATGTTTGCTGCCCTCGACATGACATGATGGCGGCAGGGCCTCAACCAAGCAGCCCGGCTCAGGATCGCCTCGCCTCGTCCCCCAAGCCATGCTCGGTGCTCTGTGCTTCCCGCGCTCCGGACTCGCTACGCATATGCATTGGCGTGCTTTGCATGCACGAGACGCTCCAGCCAAGGGCCCTGCTTCCCGATCTCCCTCTCCACTCAGCAGATTCTTACAATTGTCCACCCAGCACCAACAGTGGCCCGCGCGTATGATTGGCGGCCTGTCGGAGTGGGCTGGAGAATGGTGCCGGGATTGCGGGCTGGGGGTCCTCTGGCGGTTGTCGTGGTAATGCTAGCAGAGAGCAACCAGAGGTCGGCTGCAGGTGAGGCGTCATCAGGAGACGAGGACGCCCAGGCACAGGGTGGGCGGATGGACAGATACGGAGTAGCCCTCCAGCCAATTTCATGCACAGCACCGCGGCGAGATTAGGATGAGGATCGTGAGTCCGGCAGCGACTCCACCTCCAATAACAACAGATCATGGGTTAGCGAAGAGGCTACGGGCGCCGAGTAGGGGTTATCCATGACAATCCATCGTTCCGTGAGGGTACGAGGGAAATTTTTGGGAGGCGAGAGGCAAAAAAGAAAAAAGGCCAACTGGTGTTGAGAACCGGGCCAGAGCGCGTATCTGAAATGAGATGAACGGACAAGAAGAGCGAGAGAGAAAAAAAAGGGGCGGATATAAAACAACTTGAGCGTCCTGCGCTGCCAGTGCGCGGGATCCTTTTCGTTTCGTTTGGCTCCATCTCCGTGACCCAGACGAGATATACGTTGCATTACTGCCCTCGTTCACGACCAGGGACGGCGTCTCGATTCGCTTCCAGCTCCATCTCCTCGGTGTTGCAGGGTACTAGGTACTCATAAGGGAGGACTCGTGCTACTAATAGCAGCAGCAGCAGCAGTCGAGTGCCTCGAGCGGGCTGAAGAGCAGAGTCAAATTCCTTGCCGGTGGAACTGCGTTGGCCCTGGCGTTCGCTCGACCACAGGCGGCACCTCACTGAAATCTCCAGCAGGCGGCCCCTCACCACAGACGGGACCCTGATCCTCGCCAGCCCACAGCACGTTACAGCGTTGCAGCGGCACAGGCACAGGCACCCGACCAGACAGGCAGCACCAGCACCAGCACCAGCACCAGCACCAGCACCAGCACCAGCCACTGGCCACAACGCAGCCCCCAGCCTTCTTCTGTTTCGCCTTCGCAACACCAGCTGCGCCCAATCAATTGCCGCTGACAACATCAACAACATCATCCACCTTATCGCGCACCCGCCTAAGAACAACGATCGTCGACGCCTCCAGCAGTCAGAAGTCATCGGCCTGCATCATCGACTCATCAGAGCAGCTTTTTTGCATCGCATCCCCGTGCTTTTTCTTCTCCTTTCTGCCACGTGCACCGACTCTTGAGCGCATCAATCAACATCGAGCTGCTGAAACCAAACGACTTGCTGTTATTGTGCGCACCCCCCATAGCGACCAGCAAAATCCCCCGACCTTGTTGTTTTTTTTTTCCTGTGCTGGACTGGACGAATAAGCCGCCCTCGCACCGCTGCCGACTGACTGCCACGTCATAATCCGCGGGCGACCTGTGACCTGCGGCTCTGGGATCCTTGGGGAAGGGAAAATAACCCCCAGCGATGCTGGCGCGTATTATGGACGGCTGCTATTGAACGGCTTCCCTTGGATCTCTATGCTTCTCCGCCCAATTGCTGTCGCGACCGGCCACGACGAACCTATCCCGAGCGACTCCAGGTCCATTTACCCACGCCACCCGAGCGGCCTGCATGCTGCCTTTTGTTTACGACACGCGATTACAACCCAAAGACCAACGCAAAACAGCGTCAAAGTACCTTGCACACTTACAAGTATTACACAGTACCTAAGGAGACGCATCACAACCGCAGCTTGACCAGCCAGAAATATGGAGCCGCTGCGGCTAAAGCCCAGACAGCCAGTGGAGGCCGAGATTGAGAACTGGGACGATGACGATTTCATCGTGGACGGAGACGAGTTGAGCCTTCGGCCTGCCGCTGTCACTGCTGCCGGTAGTACTACCAATGCACAACCACGTCGACGCGATTCCACCTCGTCCCACATTTCGCTGCGCTCCGATCTGGACTCGGCGTATGGGGAGGAGCAGCACGTCCACCTCCCAGCCGACGATGAGCGATCGACCATGGCCGCCATCGCCGCCGCCGAGAGGGCTGGAATACCCTTGCCCAAGAACGTGCCGTCGTCGGCCTTGACCGGAGGCACCATCAAGAGGCTCGGCGGCAAGAAGATGCGCAAGACCATCGACGAGGACTGGGAGAACGACCTGGAGCTGCCCGACGGGCCCCAGGGGCTCCAGATGAAGCCGCGGACGCACGCCGACTTCCCAGAGACCCTGCGCCATGTCAGCGGAGGCTCGATGCACAACAGCCCCAAGAAGGCGTCCAAGTCGGCCAGGGACAGCCGGCGGAGCTCCATCATGTCCAACTCGAGCGTCCTGTCCGCCGCCCTTAGCTTGGACAGGTTTCGAGACACGGAGGATGAGGAAGATGACTTCTTTGGCGACGGCTTTGACACCATCAAGGTGGCCAAGACGAGGCCACCCCAGCTGCTCCCCTTCGTGACGCCCCCCAAGCCCCTTGTGCCTGTCGTGTCAAAGGAGCCGCTGCTGAATGAAGACGACTTTGAGCAAGACCTGGAGCTCCCGTCCGACGGCACGCTTAGGCTGTCTGCCAGGAGGGACATACCCAGGGCGCCGTTCTCGCTGTCGGACGACATTGACTGGGGCGAGGGAAGCAGTCTCGGCACTCGATATGGCGGCACGCGACGAGATGCTAGGTCGACCCGGAGCTCGTCCGTCTCGGCCATGAGCCCCAGCCTCTCGAGCACCTTTACGGTAGAGAGCGAGGACGAGACGTTTGACGGCCTCGTGCTGCCTCCCGGCCATCTCAACTTCCAGGAGAGGCTGCAGCTGCGGAAGACGAACCCACCGCCGGAAGACATACCGGAAGAGCCACCCGCCGAAGCAGCAGCACCCCCGAAGAAGCTACTTGCTGCGGCAGAAGTGGAGCAGCAGGACTTTCTCGAGGGGCTTGATATTGGCGATGGCAATGTGTTTGACGCTGGCAAGCTCACCATGCATCGGAATATCAAGGTCAAGGACAGCCGGCTCACCAACCCTGCCCGCCCCAAGACGTCCGTGACACTGACGTTCAGCAACAAGCCCATGCCGCCCCAGACGCGGATCCCACGCCTCAACAACCATGAGAGGTCCCATTCCACGGCCCTCGAGCCCGTCTCTGAGAGTGGCGGGCCGATCCCGCACCGGGTACCCCGTCGACCTCAGTCCCGTCTTGGCCACGCTGCCAACCAGCTGTCCGTCACGAGCCTCCCTACGCCTACTTCCGCTACCTTTTCGATTGCCCCGGCCCCTCGCAGGGCAGAGCTATCCCGACCCCAGTTCTCTACCTCGAGGAGCGATCCTCCCGCGACAACCTCTCACCTTCTCAGACAAAAACGCTCCTTGGCGACGGTGCGATCTCGAAACCCTCCGACGACCGCTACCAAGCCCATCGCCGGCCGTGCTGAGAGGCCATCGTCGCGCACCGAGACGGGCCTGGCCCGACCCAAGACGCCACAGGACCGTCAGAAGCCCACTAGTGAGAGCCCCGGACAAGCGAGAAAGAACTCGATACCATTCATCCCCGCGGGAGCGTCCCATTCGCAATCGCAGCATGCCGCTTCCAAGGCCGTGCGACAGTATCGCCGCTACGAACCGGACAATGCCACCGATGCCCGCCCTACATCCCGGTCGTTTGCAAGGCCCGGCCTGCAGTCCCCTAGCCCACACCGCTTGAAGGAGGATACATGGGGACGCCTGAACAGGCCCAAGAGGAAGCAGAACTTCGGCGATGGCCACGAGCTGGACGCCTTTGACGATCTTCCAACGTCCAAGGAGACGGAGAGCCGTTTCCTGAAGCAGCCGTCTGCTGGCGGAGCCAAAGCTCTTCGCAGATCGCCACAAGCGCCAGCGCCATCGGCTGCGCACGCCGTTGATCGAAACAAGACACCCTCCCCGTGGAACGCGGCGCCCACGGCGGCACGGGGCTCGTATACCCCTAGCTTTGCGCGCGACACCGCGGCCAGCCGTATCGCGCGCGAGACTGCTCTCGCCCACCGGACGCCCAGCGGCGGGCCGCTGGCTTCGGTTTCTGCTCAGCGAGCGCCAACGCGAAGCAATGCTCAGCAGTCCTCCCACTCCCAGTCCACAGTTCGGGCCAAGAAGCTGAAGCGGCCCCCGCAGCTGAAGCCACATCTCATCTCGAACTTGAGCGGCGGCAAAGAATCCAAAGGTATGTATCTTCCCGTTTTTTTTTTTTTTTTTGTCTTTGTGTGAATGCGTGTCTGACAGTCTCGCCCCGTCTAGTCGTCAAAGGGATGTTTTACAACGCGGACACATACCGCTGGGAAGGAAATGAGAACGTTCTCAACGCGTTTGATGGGTCGACAACGCCGTCGTCTAACTCGGCGCCCCTCCGCTTGGCCAGAGACAAGGAGCCGACGGCGCCTCGGCCTGCTCTCATCACCAACATCAGCACCACTAAAGGTGTGCAAGTGGTTGGCGGCATGGTGTTTGACCCTCAGAACATGTGCTGGCTGAAGCTCGGCCCTCAGAGCATGGCACCGTCAGAGGCCACTGACAGCCTGGACAACTTCAACGGCTTCGAGGAGGAGGAGGATGTCTTCAAGGACATTCCCGACCTCGAAGACACCACTGTCACCGATGAGCGCGAAGGTCACGCCAGCGACATTAAGGATGACTGGCTGGTGGGCGAGGAGTTTGACGTTGGCCCCGAATTCATCCGGAGACAGCGCGAAGAAGAGGAGAGGTGGCGTAAGAAGTGCGAGAAGTGGACAAGCCACGCCCCTCGCGACCGAGAGGCCTGGCGATGGACCATTCGCGAGCTTGTCATTCAATTTGACGACTTTGCCATGCCGAGCGGAGCCAGGTAAAGCCAGCCAGATGCAACGTGTGAGGCTCTTTGCTCAGCTGTTGACTGAACCCATCCTGGACCATCTGATACTTGTCTTTTGCTATTGTTGTTTCATCCTTTTCTTCTACTACCTTTATCCTGCTGCTGTTGTTGCATTGCTCGTTGCTATACGTTGGCAATTGCATTACATGTTTTAATACGCCTTGGTTACCACAGCCCGCGAAATACGTGTTCGGAGAGGGGCAAGCGGTTGAGACAGAGTATAGTGTGCCTGTTTCTTGTTTTTGTTTGTTACTTGTTCCCGATATCTCATCTTTTTGCGCAGTATCGTTGTTTATTTGCGTTTGCTTTCGGGCGTTGGGACAACTGTTTGGTTGACGACCACATCGGCCTACTTTCTATCGCCAGGGCAGGCAATGGTGGTTGTTGGTTCATGACTGGGCGGGCACACGCATAACCGTGGGGAATATCGCGATTAGAAAAGAAAAAGCAAAAAACACGGATACGGCGCTGCAAATCGCCGGTAGATGTTTTTTTTTTCTTGTTTACGACGACATGATATATGACGAATGCAACACGGAATGAATTTTCTGTTACGAAAGAGGGGGGAAGGGCTTGGGATGGAAAAAGGCAGGGAGGTATTGAGGCTTTGTATGTATCAATAAATGGGAAATGGGGATGGGTTGGAGGGAGTTGTTTGCAGTTTTGCACTTTGCAGCTTTGGTAGTTCTTGTGTAAATTCTAAGTTTTTGTGCTACTGAATACGCTTCTTGTTTATCTCATTCGTTGAATATGCAAGGCGGGAATGGGTTGAAAGTATGACGTCCAGTGCATACGTGTCAGTGTGTCTGTGGCTCAGAAGGTGTTTCAGGGGCTCATGGCATTTTGGGCATTGTCTCGTTGACGATGTTTTACCTTGATTCTTTTGGTGTTTAGGTACTACTACCAGAATGTAGTCGTTGGTAGTGGGGGTTCTACAAACGTGTAGTACCTCTGCAGCTCAAGTTCGAACCCCACGTGATTCCAGCTCCGACTCGAAGCTCGTCACCAACGTTCCACCTTTGTTCCTCCAAAAGCTACGACATCGCCAGCCTCAGTCTACAAGCTTCGACCAAAGCCCATCCCACAGTACTTTCCCTCTCGAGGAAGTATTCTCCATCTTCATACTTTTTAATCGGCATCCCAGACTCTTGCCATCTCCTCGCCATAACCGACAAGTCGCAACCTGTTGCACCAGAAAGCTACATATTCCACCCCGCCATCCATCCACCCCCCCCTCATTTTCTCATTGATTCTGCAGCAAAACGACAAAGCTTCTTCTACGCAACCTCTCCTCCGTTGCATCGTACAGGATACAGCGACAACGCCACCTATAAAGAGACGACATATCTATATATACACATACACACATATATATCCAAACAGAGAGAAAAAATAGAAGAAAAACCGCAAAAATGGCCGAAGTCGCATTCGCAAAAACGTTCCTCACGTCGCTCGACTCGCGCCCCATCAAGCTCTCCCCAGACCACGTCGAGGATCCCAAGACGTTTCCCCCTCGACCACCCGTACGTACTCTCTCTCTCTCTCTCTCTTGTGTGTGTGTATGCAACAATCTTTACTGACACCATGAATCCCGCAGTACATCCTCCCCCGCATGCCCGTCCCCATGTCCAAGCCAACGCAAACCCGCCTGCCCCCCGGCGCCGAGCCCAGCATCCCCGTGCACCTCAAATCCCTCCGCAACCCCCCGCTCGACATCTCCCTCCCGCCCTTGCCCCTGAGCACCTCCGTCATCGACCTCAAGGCCGCCGTCCAGGCGCAGACGCGCATCCCCGTGGACAAGATGAAGCTCCTGCTGAATAAGCGGCCCGTTGCCGATTCAAAGGTGCTCAAGGAGCTGCTTGCTAGCGACAAGGACAGGAGTATCGAGTTTTCGGTAATGGTCATTGGGGGTGCGGCGGCGATTCCGCCTCCTCCTCCTCCTGCTGCTGCTGCTGCTGCTGAAGGGGACGCGGGGGAGAAGAACAAGGGAGCGGGGGATGCGATGGATACGGATGAGGGCAAGGTCTCGACGGCGCAGGCGGATGAGAAGACGGTCGAGGCGGAGCTCGAGTCTGATGCCTTTTGGGCTGATCTCAGTGGCTTCCTGCAGCAGAGGCTCAAGGCTCAGGCAAAGGCCGAGGAGCTGGCGAGCTTGTTCAGGTCGAGCTGGCAGGCTAGCAGGTCAAGTTAGGTTGGTTGGTGAGAGTAGAGAATGATGCATGCACGTTTATTTTTGGCGCCTCTCTTGTTCGTCCCTTTCTCATGGAGCACAGTCTCACACTCAGCTTTTCGGTTCATGCAGCATCTTGCAAGTCATCGGTGCAATGTCCCACATGCAGTACAAAAAATGTGAATCTGATTTTCCCCTGGTACGGTATACATCATCATCTGCAGCGCTAGCACTTTGTGTGAAAAATTACCCATGCCTATCCATCGGAATAAGCATAGCCCCCCTCGATCCAGCACGCCCAATTCTAAACAGAGGACACACGGCAGTGCCTCCCTTCTTTTGCTTCCCGTTCGTAGCTGTCCCTCGCATCCCCTTGCATCACTGCATCAGATCGTCGTGAGTGCAGGTGTCGCTTATGCGTTCATCTTGGCGAGGACGGCGCTGAGGATAGAAGAGTGCTCGAGGTCGTCAGAGTCGTTGGCCTGGATCTCGTAGGCGAATCCTTCCAGGGATCGCTTGAGAGCCTCCTTGGAGGCGGCGTAGATCATCTTGGGCTGTTGGTGAGTGTTAGTGGGAACTGGTCAGACTGTTTGCATGGGGGCGGAATGTGTCAAGACGCACGTGGACACCGGCATCATCGGGAGACCAGGCAATGAGGATGATCTTGTTGCTGTACCAAGTTGTCAGTAGCTGCGGCAAGCTTCAATGCCCGTAGGGAGGGGTTGGCATCGGGCAGACATACATGTCTCGGCCGTCAAACTTGAAGCCGAAGTCGTAGACGGCGTAGCGGGGACCCTTGCCAACAGCACCCTGTATCATTTGGAAAATCAGACAGTCAGCTCTATGATTCCGCGACGTGCACCACGCTCAGCGTGCCAACCGAGCTGGCGGAGGGGATGGTCGGCGGTGAGACGCACAGTCTTGCTCTTGGAGGTGGCGCTGAGGAGCTTCTCGCGGAAGTTCTCCCAGTCGCTGTCGGGCTCAGCGTGCTCGACCTCGATCTCGGAGTAGTCGTCGGACAGCTTGAAGATGATGTATCTCAGGAGTCGGTTCTTGTCGTTGCTTCGCTTGAGCTTCTGGAACTCCTCCGAGACCTGGGGGGAAACCTTGGCTCTGTGACGAGATTGATGCCATGTCAGCTCTACCAATGCCAATGCACACACAAACAGTGTCATGATGCCGTCGCCGCCGTCGTCATCGTCCTCTTGAGTTTAAATTTAATCGTTTCCCAACTTCTGCAATAGCTCCCCCCCGTGTTTGTCTGCATCCGCGCCGTCGGGCCCGTTGGTGAACGTGGTGGCGGGTGGCGGAGGGCGCCAAAAGGAGGGGAGCTATCATTCAAGTGGGAAAGGTGACGGCTTAAAAGGGGGGGGCAGAAGAAGAAGAAGACGCACCCTGATTGAGACTGCAGCAACGCAACACACGCGGTCAGCACTCGAGAATAACACGTCTCCCAGCCCTCTCAGCCCTCTTCAGATTGGAAACTCACCATGATTGCGATTTGGTCGTCGACGAAAAAAGACGGCGGGTCTGCGGTGTGGAAAGGAAGTTGGAGAAGGAGGAAAAAAAAAAGGAGGGGTGATGAGCTGACGAAAGGTGTTTCTCCTGGTTAGCGATGAGGGGGTTCTGCCTTGAAATAGGGAACGTGCGGGAAATTCGTCAAGGCGCCTTCTTCTACAGGAAGCTCTCCCAGAAGAGATGAAGCCGTAGCAAAAACAAGAAGTGCTCTTTTTTTTTCTTTGAATGAATCTCGCAAGGGACAGAGGATCAACTAACCGGAAGAAAAGACGGAAAATGAACCGACGGACGGAGAGAGAGGCGGAAGAAGCTGGCGAGGACGTTGGTGATGCCAAATTGGTGTGACAGCGGGATGGTCTGGAAACTGCGCAGGGCCAGACAAGGTCAGTTCAAGTTCCGGTCAGCGTCGTGTTATTAAGAGGAAAAGTAGAGCCAAAGGCGGGGTGCTTCGAAAAGGGCGAAAAAGCTCCCTCCAGTCTCCTCCTCTCTTTTGCCTCCTGGCTGCTGCTTTCCTTCCCGTATTAGCAGTGGAAAGTGGGGTTGATGGCTCTCTCTAAGGAAGAGCTGCACGTGACTGAGGGGGGGGGAAGAGGAGGGACCAGAAAGGCGTCAAGAACTGGAAGATACAGAAAAAGGTACTTCCATGTTAATAGAGGCTGATGTGCTCTAGGAGGTACTGTAAGTTTTATATGGGGAATTACGTATTGCCTGGAGTCGGGGATGTGCAGGATTACCTGGTGCCTAATAAGGGGCCGAGCTGACGAGGACAGCAAGCAAAGCAGTGGATCGATAATGATACTAGTAGCAGGGTCGACGAAGAGATGGCGGCGGTGGCTGTGATGCTGCTGATGCCGCTTGCGTGGCTTGGTCAAATACGCTCCCGCTGCAAGCTTGCAAGTGTCTCTCTGAGGCACTCACTCTGCTGTTTCCATCTCGAGAGCACAAGAGAAGAGTACCTAGGTAGCTGCTCAGCTGATTTAAGTATCTTTGATCCAATCAACCAACCATTCCTCGTCCCATCCCAAGGCACCAACATTACAGCTCAGTCCATCCCTATCATCCTGCTCGTTACCGGCTGCCTCAAGGCAACCATATTTCCCCCCAAAATATCAGGCACAACTTTGATAGATTAGCTCTCCCATCATCTACCTAACCTACGCAAGATATCACATTAATTTCGTTGCCTGATGATTGCACATAAGTTTGTCTCGTTTTGAAAACACACATTTCATTCGTCATTATCCCTTTTATGTTTCCGATAGTCGTACATGGCAGCAGCGCTACAATACAATACAATACAATACACACACGGAAACAGCCGCACCGCCCGCTCTTCACCGAGACAGGCCATGCTCCAGCCGTAACCGTGGATGGATGGATAGATAGATGAGACAAGGCATGGATGGAGTGAGCGGAGATGGGTAGTCAGAACCATCCTTCTAGTGTAACACCGGAACCATGCCCTGTCAAAGATGATTTGTTTTTTTTATACAACGATTTTTTTAGTTTTCTTTCTCGTCGTGACATTTTACATCATGCCCATGCCTCCCATGCCGCCCATGCCGCCCATGGGAGGACCGGCAGGTCGCTCCTCAGGGGCCTCGACGATGGCGACCTCGGTGGTGCCCAGCAGGGAAGCAACGCCGCTGGCGTCAATGAGACCAGTGCGGACAACCTTGAGGGGGTCGAGGATACCGGCCTGGATCATGTCGACGTACTCGCCCTTGGCGCTGTCGAAGCCGCGGTTGAAGTCGGAGCCGTACTCGTCGGTGAGCTTGCCAACGACGACAGAGCCCTCCAGGCCGGCGTTCTCGATGATGGTCCGGGCGGGGCGGGTGATGGCGTTCTTGACAATGGTGATGCCGAGCTGCTGGTCAAAGTTGGCGGCCTTGACGTCGTTCAGGGCCTGCGAAGAGGCCTTGATCAGGGCAGTGCCACCACCGGGCAGGATGCCCTCCTCAACGGCAGCGCGGGTGGCGTTGAGAGCATCGACGAATCGGTCCTTCTTCTCGCCGACCTCGACCTCGGAGGCACCGCCGACCTTGATGACGGCAACGCCGCCAGACAGCTTGGCCAGACGCTCCTGGAGCTTCTCCTTCTCGTACTCGGAGGTGGTGGGGTCGGCAATGACACCACGGATCTGCTCGCATCGCTGAGAGATGGCGTCCTTGCTACCCTCACCGTTGAGGATGATGGTGTCCTCCTTGGTGATGGTGATGGAGCCAGTGGAGCCCAGCATGTCGGGGGTGGCCTTCTCGAGCTTGATGTCGAGCTCGTCAGAGAAGACGGTGCCGTTGGTCAGGACAGCGAGATCGCCGAGGATGGACTTGCGGTTGTCACCAAAGCCGGGGGCCTTGACGGCGGCGACCTGGAGCTGGCCACGGAGCTTGTTCAGAATGCAGACAGCCAGAGCCTCGCCGTCAATGTCCTCGGCGATGATGACGAGGGGGCGGCGGAGCTGGGTAGAGGCCTCGAGGGCGGGGATGATGTCCTGGACGGCCGAGATCTTCTTCTCGGAGAGCAGGATCAGGGGGTTCTCAAACTCAACCTTGGCGGACTTGGCGTCGGTGATGAAGTAGGGGGAGACGTATCCGCGGTCGAATCGCATACCCTCCGTCACCTCGAGCTCGTCCTGCAGCGTCTTGCCCTCCTTGACGGTGATGACACCCTCCTTGCCGACCTTCTCCATGGCGTTGGCAATCAGCTTGCCGACGTGGTGGTCGCCGTTGGCACTGATAGTGGCGACCTGCGCAACCTCCTCGCTGGTGGTGATGTCGCGGGTGTTCTTCTGCAGGTAGTCGACGACGGCGTCGACGGCAGCCTGGATGCCTCGGCGCAGGTCCATGGGGTTGCAGCCGGCGGCAACGTTCTTGACGGTCTCGGAGAAGATGGCGCGGGCCAGGACGGTGGCACTGGTGGTTCCGTCACCGGCAGTCTCGTTGGTCTTGGAGGCGACATCCTGGATCAGCTTGGCGCCCAGGTTCTCGAACTTGTCCTTGAGGGAGATGGCCTTGGCGACGGTGACACCGTCTAAGACGCAGATTGTTAGCACAGAAAGGAGTCATTGGGGGAGATCGGAATCACATAACAAGGAATGGAAGCCATACCCTTGGTAATCTTGGGAGAGCCGAAGCTGGACTCAATGAGGACATTTCGGCCCTTGGGACCAAGAGTCGTAGCAACAGCCTTGGCCAGAGTATCGGCACCGGCCAGCAGAGCGGCACGGCCCTCAACACCAAACTTGAGCTCCTATTACCGTCTGAGTCAGTTCCGTGATCAACACCAGAGCTGCCTCCATCCCAATTGCCCTTGTCCTACCTTGTGAGCGAACCGAACCTGCTGGCCGAGGCTGCCACCAGATCGATACTTGTAAGCGCCGGACAGGGCCGAGGCGCGGGCACGGGAAGCCAATGCGCGCTGCATCTTTTTTGTGGGATTTTCGCGGTCAAGTTTCTAAAAAGAGGAAAAAGAGAGAATGCAAAGAAATGGGGGTATCACAAAAGCCTGAACCAAGACGAGCCAGCCTTTCACAAGAGAGAGAGGGAGTGAGGATGGAGGAGATTCCCGGCGTTATATCACAAATCCCAATGAGAAGCTCGCAGAAAGGCGCCCCAAAAAAATTGTCACGGAGCGTCGGCAAAACATGGATCCTGAGCCGAGCCAGCGCCCAAACGGGCTTAGCCGCACGGCTGAGCTTTTTCCACCCTCTTCCAGCCGAATCTGTGGGGGAAGTTTTCGATTGCTGAGCCGAGAATCTGGGTGATGAGTAAGCCGAGACGACTTCATGCGTCCATTATCACGATGCGATGCGTTGCGAAGCGAAGCGAAAGGCAGAAGATTGGTTTGTAACTTGTAGATTGGTATCAATTGGAATGGCCCTTTGAACTATGGAAGCCAAGCACTGGAAACGTACTTGTAGCTAGCTAGCTAAACAGCAGAACAGCAAAAACAAAAACGAGTGACTGAAGCAACAGCAGACAAGCACAAACGAGTGACAGAAGCAAAAAGCAAAACCAACGAAAAGCAGAGACGCAGACAATCCCCAACTCCTTCCCCCTTCCCTCCTGGTAACACACGAAAAGCAAGCCTTTTTTTTGTGTAATTTGTTGTTTTCTGATTTTTTTGGGTTTTAATTTCTGAAATCAATGCGTCCCGTGCCCTCTCTCGAGGAGAGGGCGGGATTGGGTATCTCTGACAGGAAATGGGAAAGACAAAGGAAACAGACAAAGGAAACCGTTCGAACCCGTTTTTTTTTGTGATTTTCTTTTTCGGTTTTTTTCTTCTTTTTTCTTTTTCTGTTGTTGGTGGCGGCATCTGCCGCTATGTGCTGCGACCGTCACGTCACCTCGACGACTGCTGCGTCGTCGACTCTCTAGTGAGTCTCGTTGAACTGGAGCAGCTGGGCCATTCCAGCGTCACTCACAGTCTCTGCGCCCTTGTGCTCCGGGGACGGCGTCATCGCGGGCGTCATGACGTTTGCAAAAGCAGGTGTCATGACGGGTCCCACCGTCGAGGGCATCACAGGTGCCATGGTGGTCGACATGGACGACGGCAGGGACGAGAGGAGCGTCGACGGCATGGAGAAGTCGTACTGAGACAGAGAGGCATTGGTCTGACTCGGAGTGAACAACTGATCTTGAAGGAGATTGAGAGAGTTGTCCCAGAACCAAGAGTCGTCGAGAGGCTGCTGGACCTGCTGCTGGACCTGCTGCTGTGCTTGCTGCTGTGCCTGCTGCTGGACATACTGACCGCCAGGGTTGACTTGTGCCTGGTAAGGTTGGGTCGCAGCGGGAATGCTGAAGGGATCGTGGAGTGTCTCGCTGCCAAGGACGAATGGATAACCGGCGCCGAACTCTTGGAAAAGGGTGGCGGTGGTGTCCGCAGGGAAACCAGAATTCAGGCCAAGCTCAAGGGGAGCTTGAGAAATAGATGTGGTCTCAGGCGAAGCTTGAGTGAATGCGACGGGAGACGGGTTGGTAGGGGCATCACTCTGAGTGACAAGGATAGGGGACTCAGTGACAGCGGCGGATGTCTGAGCGGCAGAGTTGGTCTCAACAGGATCCGCAAAGTCAAAGCCAATACCAAGCTGGAACAGGGTGTTGGCGTCAAAGTTCTGCAATTCCTGCTCTCTGTTAGTGACTGTAGTCAATCCATGGCATTGGTAGATGAGGAGACCTACTTGGATGTTGTCGGCCCAGACATTGGCGGCAGAGATGTCGGCGACTTGGTCGACGGGAACAGGGGCAATGGCCTCCTGAGCGAGCATGGCTTGTCCGGCAGGGAACTGAAGATCCTGAGGCTCGGCGACGTGCTCCGTAGCGAAAACCGACTGGCGAGGAGCTGCGTGACGGGCAGGAGTAGGGCTGGGGGGCATGGCGTTGTTGGCGTCGTCAGGGATAGTGAAGCAAGTGCCAGGAGAGATGTCTTCCTCAAAGTCAAAGTCTTCGGCGCCTTCGACATCAGACGCTTCGTGAGCCTCGAGTTGGGCCTTTACCTGGGCCAGGACTGCCAGGGCATCAGGCTCATTGACGCGGGGATCCTCGATGTATTCGCCGTAACCGACGGCGCGGACGATGATGTCTCCATCTTCGTTGACGTCGCGGACGTAACCACGGATGGTGGGATCATAGGGCTTTCCTCTCTTGAAAAGGGGAGCAACAACATGGCCTTCAGAGACAAGACCATTGCGGCTTCGGTGAATGTACTGCTTGAGGGAGGAGCCAGAGGTTCCAGGACGGAGTCTGTGCGCAATGTTGTCCCAGGAGACTCTCATGTCCATGAGTTCCATCTCGTAGATTAGGCAATGAAGGACCTTCTCTGCCATGCGGGGACCTGCATCGTAGTTAGTGTAAGTGGTTCAAAGAGGCCAAGTGAGCAGAGAGGACTCGGGATTCTGTGAAACTTACGCTGCCACAAAACGAGGTTGCGGCCGGGCCTGCGACCATTGGCGGCGATCTGAGCCTTGGTGGGCAGGTGATGCGTGAAGCCGGTCTCAGTGGGAGCAGGGCCAGGTGCCTTGGGAGCAGGAGGAGGTGCCTTGGGAGCAGGACCAGGTGCCTTGGGAGCAGGACCAGGTGCCTTGGGAGCAGGTCCAGGTGCCTTGGTAGCCTTGGCCGTCTGGAGAGCTTGGGCTGACTTGAGGGCAGCGGAAGCTGAGTGGACGGCAGCGAGCTGATCCTTCTTGGGAGCGGGAGCTTTCTTCGAGGAACCCATGATTGCAATGACAAGATTGAGGGTATCAATGAAGCTGTTGATTTTCTACTGCAGTAAGTGTCAGTCCCTGAATTGTAAAGCCGTGAAGTTGCTGGATATACCAAGCTGGGGGAGGAGGTGGAATGGGGAACTTGGGAGGGAACAAGTGCTCCCTGAGCTCAATTCCTGCGCAGACAACGCAGAAACTGGCCAATTGAGCCATTGGCAACTAGAAGATGATCACTTACACTCAATTGAGCTGGCGTTTGAAGTATCTTGAACGAGGAACTGGTCAGAGTAGCTTGAAGCTGGCGTGGGAAGTGAAAAGTCGCGATGCAAGTGTCTGGTGTGAAGAAACGAAGAGCAGTGAGGGACGGGAAAAACGAAGAAGAATGTGGGAGAGCAGAATATATACTCCCGACCCAATTGGGAAATCCAAAGTTCTCATTCTTCTCATTCTTTTGCAAAAGACTTTTGAAATTCTGGTGGATTGGCCCCTTGAGCGAGGTGTGGCAGCTGTCACTGGCCAGCAGCGAAATAGGGGTGGTCGGGGAAACGTGGGATGCGCTCACATTTTGCTGCTCTGCGCCAGTTGCCGGCAGCCCAATTGGCCAGCTTGACGATGATTCAATTCCCACTGTTGAAGCTACTGTATTGTCGTTGGGGATTGATGTCATTGTGTGTGGGCTGGCACAGGTGAATTGAGGCTTCATCAATTTGTTCGCGAGAGATGGTGGGATAGCTTGGGGATGGTGTTGAATTGTAGGATAGTAGACACAAGGTACATCAGTAGACTTCCAAAGTAATCAACTCCCTTGCGCCCTGTCCCGTAGAGTAAAAATAAATTACAATGCCAGTCCAGACCAGATATCCTTGCCCCTTGCCGTCCCTAGGTACCTGTAGCCTCAGTTGTGTCCATCACAGTAGATGCCGTGCCTTGCTAGATCTAAACAGCTTCCTGAATAAACGTGTAAAGCCTCGACTTGACTTGGAGCAAGATCTGGGAGATGGTTGTGCAATGGAGACAGTCTTGTTGTGGGTTGATGCCATAGACTCAATGTCTAGACGGTGGTGCATGCAAGTGCATTGACTTGAGCTGCCATCAGAGGAGACGGACTTGCGAGCGCCAGAGACGTCTGATACTGAAAACATGGCTTGTTGTTGAGCAAACATGATGTCGCGTATAGCCAGTTGAGCCTGTTGCTGAACTGCGTTGTGGACGACTTGGTTGATGGCCACGGGGAGGTTGTTGATAAGCTGTGAGAGGTGACCAAGCATATCGGCCTGAGCTCCAATCATGGTGCTCATTATCTTGGATTGATCTGCTTGAGCTCCGATCAAGGTGTTCATAGTCTTCGACTGAGACTTGAACTCCTCGACGTTTTGTTCGATGGTACGGTAGTGAAGATCGATCTGGCGGCTCAGTGTGTCGTTTTGCTCTCGTATATCGGTGTGTTCGCGGCGAAGATGCGACTCCAGATTGTTCAGGGCGTCTTCTCGGTGACGAATAGCCTCGAGAGAGTCATCTAGCTTGTTGATGTTTAACCGTAGAGGACCCATTGCATCGGACATCTTTGCCTCTACTGTGTGTTCAACGATGGAGTAAATATCCTCACGGACATTCTCGAGATCGAAAAGCGCCACTGATGGCGATACTGCAGCACTGCTGGCAACGCTGGCATCTTGTCCAAAACTCTCTACGCTCGCACTCCTGATAGCAACAGACAAGGCTTCCATTGCTTTCTGGACATCATTCGTAGATCCAAAGCTTCGGCTTGCCTCCAGAGTTGAGCTTGTTGGTGACTGAGGTGCACTGCTGTCGACTGACCGAATAGGGGTATCAGGGGGCGTGATGAGGCCAGCGAAAAGGGGATTTGTCTTTTGCGTATAAGACGAGTGCAGCATGGTTGCTCGATCGAGATACTGCATGTTGATGCCTGCTTGAGAGAAAGGAGCCATTTCAGACATGATGGATTGATAGGATGTGCTGCTGGAAAGCTTTCTTGAGAAGAAGATAGTTCTTGAAGAGGGAGTATCACTTGATGATTGTACTGGCGCTTGCACTTGCAAAGATACTGGAAGCCGGTGAAGATGATATAGACTCGTGGAATACTAGAGCTGGATGCAGAGGGTATATATCTAGAGAAGCAACGATGCAGAGAAAAGCATCATGGCATCAGAGGTAACACAAGATACTCTGAATGCCTCAATAGCAAGACCATCTCATTGTGGTGATGATGGCTTGAATACAACACTCTGGTGTATTGTCCTCAAGGTCATGACTCCCACACGACAATAGCTGCAGACAACTCATTCAAGACTCGAAAGTACCACCCGTCCATCGAGGGACTCACCCCCTTTTGTCTCTTTTCTGAATAAAGGGTACGTACCTCGAGGCCAAGCACAAGAAACTCGAACCTGCACGCCCCTTGGTCAAAAAGGTGGTGTGAGCACAATAGCACGGCCCTCAAAAGAAGGGGGTGAGAGTGGGTATTGAAGATTTTTTCGCGGGGCGTGTGTTTGTCCAAAAAGTGAGAATTTCGGAAAGGTGAGTGAATCATGTGTGGATATCGCGAGATTTTCTGGTGGTTGGGGAGCGAAACGCATTCTACGCTTGTGCCGCTCAACAACAGAAAGTGAGTTTAGAATCTGCGCATTCGATGACGAAGAAAATTTTCGAAATTTAGGAATGAAGTAAACACAGATGACATCACGGTTTCGCGGAATATCTGTGACATCTGTAAAGTCTGGTGGTGGTGATGAAGTGGTTCTTGGGAGGCGATGCTTGTACGAAGTAGCTCCGTTGAAGATGTAGTTAAATTGATCAAGCAATGTACTACAGAACAAGATACTAGACTGTTGATGATGTTTTTGAAGATGCCTTTGAACATATAGACAAGTGATACATCGACGAGTCCCCTTTTTCCAGAATTGAAGCCTCCGGTAGTCAAGGGCATGTCGATGCTGGTGTGTCCAAGAGAACATGAGCTTCATGACACCATATCGCAAAGAGGTCAATCGGTCGCAGCAACTGGTGATCTAATCCTGGAATTGTATTGAGTGTATCATTCACCCATTCTACATATCAAAAGCAACAAGCCTAAGGACGCGTAGTGACTTGCGTTTTGCCTCGCCAAGGTCACGACGAGCTCAGATGTGTGTAGAAGTATACGTAGAATATTCACATTTCAATGATGCCTATTTCTCATGTTCCCGACCTATAAACCGTAGAAAACCTCATATACCAGTTACTGAAAAATCCATACTGGACCAGGTAGTTGGGCAAGTATCCTGCCTCATGATGTTTGAGCACCGCACTCATCACCTCGCCAACTAAGCCATATGTGTTTCCAAATCCCAGAAGCTCGCTACGTGCTCTTGGAAAAGTAACAAACATCATGTTACAATGCCCCCATATATCGACAGTATAGCGGCAAAGTGTAGTTGAAGGGCTTAGGCAGAGTCAAAGCTGGTGCCTGCATCCGAGTCGGCGCCAGAGTCGGCCATGTCTAAGCATCACGACGGTCAGATCAGGTGCAACTAGAGTAACGGTGACTTGGAGGCAAAACTTACCAGAGGCGGGAGAGACAGGCTCTTCCTTTGGCTCCTTCTTCAACTCCTTCTTGGGAGTTCGCGGAGCCCGGGCTCGGACGACAGGCTTGACATCCTTCATGTCATCGTCGCTCTCCTCCTTCTTCGTGGCCTTCGTTTTCTTCTTGGCGCTACCGGCATCACCAGCAGCAGGCTTGCGCTTCACCGGAGTAGAAGCGGGAGTGGTGAGATCGTCGTCACCACTGGCCTTCTTGGACGAGGCGCTCACACCGTTGGCCTTGAGCATTCGCTCATATCGCTTTTGGCTGCAGTGAACCATTAGATAATTTGTTCGGGACAAGACAAGGGACATGGAGACTTACGCAGCGGCCTTGGAGACAATGCCGAGCTCTTGAGCGACGAGAGTGAAGTCGGGCTATACAGCTAGTGTCAGTGTATTCCTGAGAGAATCGACTCGGACATCTCTGGACGTACTCGTCCATTGGTAGTGTGACCAATGCAGGACACGAGGAAGCGGACCTGCTCAGCGGGATCTTGCTTGGACATGATGACGGTGGGAGTTGGAGTGTACTGTTGAAGACTGCAAGCTTGTTAGTACAGATACGTACTAGGTATCAAGATGAAAGTGAGGTATTGATGGTGCGATGTTGGGACGATGTTGGGACGATGGAGAATGAGAGGCAAGCGACAGCGAGTTCTGATACTGAGACAAGGACCACAAGCATCATTTCAACTTGCGGATAAACAAGACGAGACATGATAAAATATAAGAGACGTACAGACTGATATTTGCCGGAATCAGATATGATGATTGTTGAAAGCAAAAACGTGGGAAGACGATGACGGAAAAGTTCGTGAGCGTGGTGGGACAGAAGAGGGAGGAGGTGAAGAGGAAATCTGGGACGAGGGAGAGCGGGAACCAAGCTGATGGCGCCTCAGGCACTGCAGTTCTAGGCTGGAAAGTGTCCGAGCATGGACAGCCAAATCTTCTGAGAGGAGCGTGCAGGCAGTTTGAGCAGCAGCGGTGAATGATGGACAAATGGCGGCCTTGTATCCCGCTCAGGGGGGCAGTTGGAGAGGTGAGATGAAAAGTCACGAAGACGATAGTCACGATTAAAAACGCGCCTAAAAAGTAATAGAAAGATGGAAAAGAAAGGAGGTGCATACCAGAATTTAAAGATGAGCTGTGATAGAACTTTTTCAATAGCAGTGCAACAATAAGTATAGAATGGATAGATGTCTAATGACTGAAGAGGAGGCTGTGCGGAACAAGGCAGAAATCGCGACACAACTTGTCCTCTGCTCTCAGAACAAGTCTCCGAAAGGTCCAGAGGTGACGCGTACATTTGTTGAATCGGCGGTCGAGAAGCAGACGATAGTCAGAGTGTCGGTCAGTCTCAAGTTGGGACAAACCGCCTCTCACTGCTGTCACCTGGCAGCGAAGCGTCGAGTTCACTCACAAGCAATTGCGGTCTACCCGCTGTACGCGGCGCTTACTTCTACGAAGGATTAAAATTAACGTCGTATGCCGTGGGGGAAAAAAAAAAAACGAGAAGAGATTGTAGGAAAATGTTTGATGCTTCTTAATGACTATATGCACTGATGATACACGAGTAACATGTATAGGGGGGGTTGCCAGTTGAATCCTGGTGTGTATAATCGAGGAAGAGGCTTCGGAACATGAGAAGGAAGCCTTCAAGACGGGCAAGTCTATAGAGGAGCTGTATAACTCAGAGACAATTCAACAGATCAAAGACGATTCAAGGAAACCGAAAAGCATGAGTGGCTTCACAGATAGAATGTTGAGTAGTTCTGTATGAGGCCCCAGAGGCTGCACTTTTCAACTTGTTGACGCCGCATAGGTACATACCTAGGCACCGAATGATCCAATCCGCAGTCGTGATCTTGAATTCGGCATTAAGCATCACCAAATCACCACATCGTGCTAGAAACCTGGTGCTATAATGTCATGCGTGAAAAGGAACATCTTAAAGTGACTGACTGCCAATGGATTGCAAACGACAGATCCTATAAATATAGACCCCAGTTCCGGAATATCAGAGCCATAGTCACTCCACGTCTTCCTCAGATGCAAAGACTTCAGATGGCCGTACTGTAGATGAGGACAACATCAACAGCGACCATGATCCCCATGCAGACCACACTCAGAAATAAATCTCATCGTCCTCCTCCGAACCCATCTTCTCCTCCTTGACATCATCCTCATCCTTGTGAACATCATCACCCTCATCATCCTCGCTAAGATCCTTCTTAGCAACAGGCTTCCTCGGAGTCCTCACGCGCGGCTTCTTGGCCACCTTGCCATCGCCAGAAGGACCAGTGACGTCTCCCTTCTTCGCCTTGCTCGGGCTGCTTCCAGGAGTAGTCTGGCCAGTGGTGCGCCAGCCGTGGCGGACAGACATCTGGCGGAAGCGCTCCTTGGCACACTTGGCGTCCTTGAGGCCCAGGTCGCTGGCCACTTGGGTCCAGTTCGCGTCGGGCTTTTGGGTCATGTTGTCGAAGACGGCTTTGATGAAGCGGAGCTCGTTGTCGCGGAGGCCGCTGACGGCAGGGCCATCGGCGTTGTCGGACTTCTTGGGAGGCATTGTGATGGGAATGTCTGGAGGTTGAGGGCAGCATGTGGTTAGCTTCGGTCATGATTTGGGTGGGATGAGGCAGTTTGCAAGGATAGATAGGCTTACAGTGATGGTATGTTGCTGATATAGTTACGAATGAGAAATGGACTCAAAAAGCCTTGATTGTAGGCTTAATGGTCGAAGAATGGTTGAGTGGAAAAAGCTGTGTGTGGTATTTGCGGATGCAGATGTAGGTGAGGAGGAGAGGTGAAGCGCTGGTTGGGAGAGAACCAGAGTTGTCTTTTGTAGGAGATGGACCAGAAGCAGCAGCAGCAGCAGGTGAACCAGCGCTTTCAAGTCAACTTTGGGTGCTATAAAGGCGAGTTTTGGTGACTGCTGGCGCCTGTTGGCTCGCCAGGTGACAAGAGTGTGTTGCCAGAGCAATGCCTCTCGGATACACAGGCAAATAGGTAAACACAGTGGAATATCAGATGCTGGCGTAACTTGACCTGTAGAGACACGAGCGAGGAAGTAGGTAGTGATTTGGTTCTTGGTGATACTGCCAGCTTCTTTGATGACCAGATAACGTCTTGCAATTTCATATGGCTAACGATACCCTCGAATTCCTCTACCTGTCTCAATCCCCTTTCCTTGCAAATGACCCGCGTCCACAGATAACCACTCGTAGAGTCTCGAAAATTAAAGCAAATGCTAGCCCAAATGAACGACTGAATAAATCACCTCAGCCAAATCCCACGAGACACATTCCCAGCCTCTCACAAAGCCGGACAAAACCCCTCAAAGGCTGAAAGGATCCTCATGCTCCGTCTTGAAGCGGATGACATCTTCGTCCTTGATGGGCGACGATTCCTCCCCGTCAACGGTGCCATCGTCATCATCATCGACGTCAGGCTCGGGCTTGACCTCCTTCTTGGCTTTACCACCACTGCGGCCCTTGCCCTTGGTTCCGGTGCGGCCCGTCGGCGTCTTGCGGACCTTGCTCGGAGTCGAGGCGGCAGAGGAGGTGTTGCCTCCTCCCTTCTTGGGGGTGGTGTTTGATTCGATGCCGAGCTTGCGCCTGACTTGTCCAAAGCGAACCTACATCACTCGTTGATTTAGTTACCTGAACAGGCGATACAGAGAGGGAGAAAGGGGGGGGGGGGGGGGGGGGACAAGATATCAATACCTTTGCGACTTCGGCATTCTTGAAGCCCTGCTCTTCGGCAACGGCGTGCCAGTCAATGTCCGCCCTGTTCTTGGTGTGCTTGACGATGGCGAAGAAGAACATTGCCTCGGAAGCCGTGGGCTGGGGTCTCTGCTTGGGGGTTTCGTCGGCCATGGCTGGTCTTTTCTGTCGCTTTTGCTTTTCCTTTTGCTGTTTTTTTGGAAATCTGGAGGTGCGCTTGTTGAAGAAATGGACTATTAGCATCCCATGTAGAACGAGACAAAGCAAGTGCCCAAGACTTTGGCAGGATGACTATCTATCAGATTGAAGAGAAGATAAATTGAGATAGTTGCTTACTTGGTACGTCCGAGCAAGCACCTGATGCTTGCGCAGTGGGTGTGTTGGCGTTGTGATTTTTATGCGAAGAAGTGGACGCGGATGGTTGTGAAGTTGGAAAAAGAAGAAAAAGAAGCGGAAGTGAAAAAGGACGCAGATCACCAGGCTTAAGCACTGGAATAAAATGCTTCGATTCCCCAAACTGCCTTGGAAGGCTCTCGAGGGACTCTTGAGTGTGAGGTGAATCGGGAGCTTGGTGACGGCCGTTTCAGCTGGCAGGCCCTCTGATGACTTGAACCTCCTGACTGACTCACTTTTGCTGGCACGTGAAGACTTTGAGGCTACGAAGACTGTTAAATGTTAAGAGAAGAGATCTGAGTTGGCATTGGATTTACAAGGTTTTGGCTTCTATGAGGTGAATGTGGTTGCTTGCATATAAAGTACATGTAAGCGAGAGAGAACATGCAGCTGAGGCCACAGCTTGCATTGGAAACAGGCGGTCAAGCATTCCATGTATGCAAGAGTGAGGAACTATGCGCACCATGTTGGCCAATAGAGTGTGCATACGTGCAGATGAGATCCTGGTATGTTGTTGTTGTGTGGGAAGTCCATCACGATGTTGTCATGGTCACTGGCGCCTGCGACTGTGTTTCATACGATGCTCAATGGTGGTCAACGAGGGTCGATGCCACCAATCTTTTGGTATCTAGTAAATAACTGAACAGAAGAAGTGATAAAGAAAGGAACAAGAAGCGAGACGTGGCGGAAACAGAGGCATCAACGAACAAATGAAATATAAAGGAAGAATAGTAAAGCAAAGATGGCGAAAGAAGAGGCCACTGCTCATCCTTTCGCCCTCGATATTGTACACATGCGATTATAACCCCCTATAGTGAATTTTAGATCTCCTGATATTCCCAACCCTGCCCATCATTCTCTGTGATCAATAAAAGGTGAGAACGAAACCGATTTGCCCAAGCTAAATGGCCACAAACAGTGGCCGGTATCATCAAGTCATAAAGAAAATTTAGTAGCGCTCCAATCTGTCTCTCTCCGGTTTTTGTGAGATAAGTTTCCTTTCGTAGAGATTTCTTCTCGTCTCCGTGGTATGTCATCGCAAAGTAAAAAGCAAAAAATCAAAAGTGCTGGTCGTTCAATCGGTCGTCCCAGTCTCCCAAGGGCTGAGATCCACCAGTGTGAGATAGGCCCTGGCTTGCAAGCTCTCCGGGATAGCTGCTCATGTCGTAGGCCATGTCAAAGGCAGATTGAGAGGTCGAAGGAAGACCATGAGCGGTGTGGTTCATGAAGTCTGGGTTGCCATCCAGGGGAGGAAACATCAGACTGCCCGAGTGCCGAATGCTGTCGAGAGAGGGGGGCATAGACAATGCCTGCGTCATGTCGTCGCTGCAGGGCGTGAGGAAGCGAGCGGTGAAGTCATCACAGTCTTTGGTGAAGTCATTACAGTCCGTGATGTAGGGTGATGCGAGTGATGCGAGGGATTCGGGCGAGAACTGGTAATGAGATACGTTAGCTACATTGACCCGACGCGGCGAAGGACGAGGCACCGTACCTGAGGGTATCCAGCGAGGCTCGACGAGCCAGGCTCTTGCTTAATGAGCTTCTCCTTCTTTGTCGGAGCGCCCTTCTTCGACTTGGACACTCGTGACTTGTCCGACGACCGACCTCGCTTTGACGGTGTGTGACCGGTTACTGTGGCTCGGAAGCGCGAGTAGCGCATTCTGGCGGCATGGCCGTTGGTGATGGGCTCGAGCAGGACGGGATCGGCAGCCACTTGATTCCAGTCGATCTAGAAGAGAAATCATAGGTTAGAGGGCTTGGCCAGACGGTAGGCCGAGAAGGATGAAACCTACGTCTTTGAGGTTCTTCTGCTTCAGGATGGCGAACAAGAAGCGGGCCATGGCGTTGTCGCTGTTAGGAGACATGATGGCGGATTCGTGTCGGATCTGGGTAATATCGATCGAAGATGCGGGAATGGAGGTTGATGAGTTGAACAAGGCGTTGGCGAGATGATGTGTTGGCTGTACGGTACGAGGCGAGGAGACGGAGGAGGTGGTATAAGTAAGGTATGTAGATATAGAACGATGCCGCCGAGGACAATGAACGGCTACAGGCTATCGAATCGGCAGATGGAGGAACAGATTGCGTGAATCACGAGAAATCGAAGAAGAAGACAAGCTTGTCGACAGGTCGAGAGAGATGAGGATGGTCAATTTTGATAGATCGCTGATCGGTGGTGATACGTCGAGGTCATGAGGGAAGGAGGAAGCGTGAACTGAGGTCTAAGTGAGGAAAAGGTGAGGCCTGTGATGAGCCCTGTCTTCTTATTGTCCCTTGACTATTACGAGGGAGATCTGAACAGATGAAGAAGGACAAGGGCCTGACACTCACACTTGGGGAAATCTTGAAAAGAGAGAAGAGAAGAGGAGAAGAGAAGAGGAAGAAGGCCCGGGCCAAGGAGGAGGCGAAGGCTCTCTCTTAATATGAACGACCGGCCTCAGCCTGCTTGCTGAGCTACCTACATGTAGGTAGGTATGTACCTCCACTACTTGTATGGATGCGCTGCTACATGTAGTTAGTGGCACCAGCACCAGCACGATAAACTCACTCCAGGCCTCTGCAAGGATCCAGGAACCATCCGATGGCCAGGGCTCCCCCTCCAGTCTGTGCCACATTATCGGCTGCCTTTGACCTTTCTTTTTCCTCCATCTCTTCTTCCTGGGCCGCCAAGTCCGCATGCCGAACGGTCGCCCCCCCGAACGTTCCATCTGTCTAAGACCAGGCCAGGCATCATATGGCTTAGGCCCTTGTGGCTGCCTGGATCTGGGCGCTGCTCCGGCTCGAGGGATGGATGGCGATGGGGCACCTGGCATCAAATTACAGTGGGTTCAGCGCGGAAGATGAGGGACGCCGCCCGCTAAACAGGGGACCTAGTGAGGGGGGTGCGCTGAAGGGCCGCTGTCAGTGGGTGTGGTCGGGTGCCCTGTAAGCCACCGGCTCGTTGACTTGCATCTCCAGGGCACTGATTCGATCGAGGCGATGAGGAGCCGATGGGCCAAGAAGAAGCAAAGTTCAGGAAAAATGTGTAGAATCTCTTCCCATATATTTTGCTGAATTCTTGAACTCGACTGCGGTCGCACAAGTCGGTCAATCGGCTCCATGAGTGTCCCCCATGCCGCACTAAATGCTCTCTATCCGGCGAATTCCAATCGCTTCAGGAAACACCAAGGAAGAAAAAAAAGCGAGACGACCAAGCATCTTCACAAGACATTGAGCAGAGAGGAAACAAAGTCAAAAATGGCAAGCAGGGATCCCTCTTCCGGCATGAGACTTGAAACCCCGTGTGACTCATCTAAGTACCTGAGTTATCACAGGAGGGAAAAGGCAAACACTAATGCGAAGCCGGTAAAAGTGGCCAGGAGGGGCGTTGCGATAGAGCGCAAGACGAGACGCTTCCATGCGTTGAACGACGTAGTAGTCGCTAATGAAGCAGGAGATGGAGCTAGGAGGAATCTATCATAGGTATGGACACTTTGAATGAAAGATAAGTAGGTAGAGCACCGCATCATGCTCATTAGCCAGATTTGTTGTATATAACAAGATCATCTCCTGCAAGTGTAAATACTTCACCTATGCCTCTACAGCTGCACCCAACAACTCGCTCCCCTTTGCCCCAATCCAGATGACGATGCGATGCCCTCCTGCAGCCGTGTGCGTAGTGAAAAACTACGAGCCAGCGCCATTGCCATCCTCACCGAAGTTTGCCGTTCGTCTGGCCGCCCTTGTTGCTGCTCAGGGCTAGCGGGTGTCATGCTTGGAAGAATACCTAGTACTAGCAGGTAGGTAGTAGAGAGGGGGGGCGAACTTTTGGCCTCCTAGATTCCTACGCAGTGGTTTTCGCTGCGATCTCGACAGTAACTCATTCTACAGCCAGAAACCGGAGAGAAACGCAGAAAATTTGCTTCATAAGCAATGCGGGGAGATTAGGTGCATTAAAACAGATTTCAAAAGCGTCCATGGTCGCATCGTGGCCTCGCAGCGGCGCCGGGCGTCGTGGAGGGGATTCGGATGAGGTGCGTCGGGGAGACGCGATGGGGCGCGAATTTTGGGGATGCGACGATGCAGGAGCCACCCACAGAAATCGCCAGGTTTCCGCGAAAGCACGTGAGACCCTCGGGGACCCGCCGGCAGCAAGGGTGGCCAATCAGGGCGCGGATGGCTCGTCTAGGGATGACGCAACTCGTGCTATTGGCCTGGAGGTACGAGGTAGGTGCGAGGTACGGAGTGCCAATACGGAGATTGCGAGCAAAAGGGCAGTTGGATGATGGATGGCTGTTCTGACTTGTCTCTAGATCTCAGGTATGTTGGGTCGTCATCTATTTGCCTTTTCGCTTTGCCATGATTGGATTGGATTGGGGCTGGGCTGGAGGGAAGTAGAGCGTTTACTGTGCTATTATCGCTGGAATCGAAGGCCATCTCACGCTGCTGCCAGTTCAGCTGCATGAATCCTCGGTACCTCAGGGGTATTATGGAAGAGCTACCTGGTATTACTGTACAGATTCCCGTCATGCTGCTGCATCCCCGTCAATCTAGCTGGGCAGTTCCCCTTTGATCCAAGTCCATCCCTCAAGTTTCTCTACGCATTACCCATTTTCTACTGGTAACCATGCTCTGGAGACCCGTGATATACCTACTAATGTAGTTATACACGAGGACGGACAGGCCAGCAACATTGCGGCTTGCGTGCCGTCCTCTATTGAATACAGCGGAAGAAGCAGTAGGTACGTACATAATTACTAGTACTCCTCAAGGCTCTCCATCTTGCAGCAGCAATTCCCTACTTTCAATCGAGCAAAAATCTCGTTCCAATTACTAATGTCTCTGCTTCTTCAACTTATCCGCCCGTTTTCTTCTTTCAAGCCGTCCAGTCTCGTCAAATGGCCAATGGCACCACAATCGGGGCATCACCTTGGTCCGACCGTCTTTGTCGTCATCGCTCTTCCAGTCGCCGGCTTCCCGCTACCTAGGTAGGTAAGTAAGAAAAAGAAACTTTGACGGGTAAACCGTGCGTCAACGTCGGCTAAGCCGCAGTATCCTGCCATCCTCCCTCCAGCTGCAACAGCGCGAGTCCCTCTCATTGCACAAGACGGCCAAGACGGCCGTCAAAGTCCATCAACGCATCTCTCATTTGCGGCGAATGATGCAGCGTCCATCTCGCGCACTCTGACAAACCGGGACCCCAGCATCTGCAGCCGCGTCTCTGGCCGCATTGCCTCGTGTTTCAGCGCCACGGTACTTTCGTGGGACATGCACAGCAAGCTGCAGCTCGCCCGGACTATCAGCTAGTCCGCGCTCCGGCCCTCGGCTCGGCTCTCTTCGCCGCCTCTCAGCACGGGCCCAACCCATTTCCTGCTACCTCCGCTCCCCATTCTCCCACTACCAATTTTCCCCATTGATTGCCCTCTGCTCTTAACAGCTTCCATCTCACCGCAGGTCACCCAGACACAGCGACAAGCCCGCCTTAGACGCTCATCGACCCACTGCCCTGCCAGCGCAAGCCCTCCATTGTTTTGTTTATTCTCGGGGCCTGTTAGTCCGTGACTTCTTCTATATTATTATATACCTACTTACCTACCTTACTGCTACCTTATATATATATACCGTCCATATACCACCTGCTAGGATGAACAAAAACTGGAACGACAGGGCAGACAAGGATCTCTTCTTCACCATCCTGTCCGTCAAGAACATTGGAGTCATCAGCGGCGCCGAATGGACGACAATTGGTAATCACATGCGCAGCCTTGGCTATGGCTTCACAAACGAGGGATGCCGGTAGGTGCTTCTTTGCAATTGAGCCCACAGACGTTGTTTATCGACGCTGCCCGACTTTTGTCGTCACAACAATGTCTCTCGAGCCGCAAGTACTTGATGTGTCCATTGACCGGATGGGCATGTACACATGGTGTGCCATTATCTGCCGATACAACGTCGTTGGTCGGCTTCAAGTACACCGATCTACATACACTTGCCTTCATTCCTCCCACATGTTGCTACTACATTATATCTCGACAATGCTTCCACCTTTTCCAGTTCTGCCCACTTACACCGGAGCTCCCATCTACACTCCATCCCGTATCATGTGCACCGAGACGCATATACATCGTGTATATACTCTTGTGACGTTTATACAAGCCTATTCCATACACGTCTTCTCACATGTGCTCGACTCCACCAGTCACTCTGCTGTTCTTCATCCTACGTGACCTGCTCTTGGCTGACGAGACTGCAGGCAGCACTTTCAGGGACTGAGGAGGGCGCAGAACAAGGCCGAGGTGGACGGACCACAATCCGAGAGTGCTAGACGCGCCGACCCTACCTTGAATCCCATCACCAGAAGACCGGGGCCTGGCCGGGGGCGCCCTCGCAAGTCTCAGGCCCAAAACGCAAGCCAGTCGGGTACAGAGGCCGCTGACGCTTCTCCTACTGCTTCTCCCGTTGGCGTCCCTACCACTGGTCCTGCTTCTGTTCCGGCGGTTCTTCCTGGCGGCATGGTATCTAGTTCTATGGCTGGTCACAGCCCAGGCATGGCCTCTCCTGGTGTATCTCTCCAACAGCAACAGCAACAGCAGCAGCAACAGCAGCAGCAACTTCAGCAACAGCAGCAGCAACACCAATTACAACAGCTCCAATCTCAGCAGCTTCAACCGCAGCAGCTTCAACCTCAACACCAGCATCAGTTCCAACAGCAGCAGCACCAGTTCCAACAACAGTTGCAGCAGCATCAGGCACAGCTCCAACCGCAAATCCAAACACCGCTCAAAACCGAGATGCCCGATGCTGACGGGATATCTGTCTCGGCTCAGACGCCTAATGATCTCACCTCAAATCACCTCATCGGGTCGGAACCTGGGTCGGCGACGTCTCAGGACCAGCTCCAGCTAGATGCTGTGCAGAGCGGTGACGAAGATGCCGAAGCAGATGACCATCCGGCCAAACGCCAAAGGCTCGACCCTCATGATCCTCACGACTCTCACGATTCTCACGATCCTCACGACCTCGGTCCGGACTCGACACTCGATGATGAAGCTGTGTTGGCGCTAGCTGCACACAACGGCGCGGATGGCACGGATCCATATCCCGCAGAGTAAGTTTCTCTCTGCTGTATGTTGGTGCACTGCTAACATCATCCTTCCAGCTTCTATAGGGAAGCTTAGTGACCTTCCTTCGTATGGATATTTCTGCCTTGGGGCAATGCATGATGCGCGTTTAGCGAGTTGGCTTATTACAAGGTGTCTTTACTGAACATTTGCATCATATTTCGTATTTCTGGGGTTTTGGTTGAGCACTTTTCTGCTGCAAGGGAGCTGGAAGTCTGCTTCGCTTTGCTTCTCACTTCCTTTCCTTGACTGGAGGGTGATACAACATGTGCTTTTCTGGAGTTGATTCACAACGGGGTCATATAGCTTTATCGACTTAGACGGAGAAAGGAGGTGGACTGGCGAATGATACAGCAAGTAACTGGGGGTGCGGAACGGATAATGCCTGGGTCGATGTCGTCGGCGAGAATCTGGGGACATAGGATGAAATAGAGATTCCCTTTGTTGCTCGCCTTTTTACCAGCTGTAGTTGACGTGGCCTGGGGAAACACGACAATATACAGGAGTAGCTACTGAGTACACGTGCAGACTCAAAGTGCCGGCTGGCCACACCCTACCTACCTACTAGGTACCTAGGTTAGGTACTAGGTATGTGCTGCACGTATGTATTTGATACACGCGTAGGTAATGTGAGCTGCCATAAAGACCCCTTCACTGCCTCCGCCTCCAGTTGCCAGCCCTGCTTCGGACCGCTCAACACCTCACTCACATAAAGGCAGCAGGGAGGCGTTACTCCAACCGCCAGCACACAACTCTCCAACTCCCAACCTCTCGAAACAGCCTCAGAGGTAGAACAACACCATCTGGCCGTCGACGAAATCAGCACACAAAAGAGACGATACAACAACCGCGAAAATGCCCCCCAAGGCTGCACCTGCATCTGACGCCGGCACGGCCTCCAAGCCAACCGGAACGTGGGACAACGTCGACTTCCTTCGCGAGCTCCTCGTGGCGTTCTACCAGGCGGGAAACAACAGCTTCAACCCGCAGGTCAACAACGCGATTGTCGAGTACTTGGCTGCTCAAGGCTACGAAACTTCGTGGAGCGCTATCCGGTAGGCAACATCTTTCTTTTGTGTGGTTTCCCTGAGGGAACTTTGCCTGTTTTTTTATTTTTCCCTCTCTTTTCTTTTGCCTCTGTTGATTCGCTCTGTTTCCTGCAAATGTTTGTGCCGGAAATATGAGACATCTCTCTCTCTCTCTCTCTCTCTCTCTCTCTCTCTCTCTCTCTCTCTCTCTCTCTCTCTCTCTCTCTCTCTCTCTCTCTCTCTATAAATGCTCATCTTTCATCCTCTCTTTGCTTATTTTCCCTCTTTGCTTCTTCACTCTCTTCTTCAGACTACACTTCGGTCGATCAAACCCTCAACTTCAACTCTTCTTCAGCCAAGCACTGCTTTTCTATTTCCATCCCCCCCAATCCCTCATATCAACACCACACAACTCTCAATAAAGACGAAAACAAAGAAGAAGACTCAATGGCTTCTCGCCAGTTGATGAAATGGACCCCCCAAGTCCACCAAGATATCCTCATCTCCGTATTCCACAACTTGTCCCTCTCCCCCGACAACTGGGCCAGAGTCATGGCCGACCTCAACGAAATGGGCTACTCTTTCTCTGAGAGCGCCCTCCGGTACGTTTTGCGCTCGTCTCTGCATTGACTCGCCCTTGCGCTTGGGCTTCACTTCACCTGCCAGTTGGCGGAGGGCCAAAAAAAATACCGGCAGAACTGCTCCCCCTCCTCAGCAGCACCTATATATTCCTCCTCGCGTTTCTGTCTTTTCCCTTTCACTTCTTCACTCTATCCTTACCTCTACACATTATAATTCCACAACACAAACATCAAACATTTACTTTTTCTTCTTCCCTTTTCTCTTCTCTTGCCAAATCATTCACCATATTCCTACACCTCTACCCATCCATCATTACATCTTTGAAGCATCATGGGCTCTTCCAAGGCGTCCGATGCTGCACCTCCCCCCAGGCCCTCTCGTGGCTGGGATGCCACCGCGCACGAAGCTCTCCTCTTGTGCATCATCGATGAAGTCAAGGGCGGCAAGGCGCTGATGACCGAGGTCACCAAGAAGATGCAAGCCCGAGGCTACACCTACAGCTACGATGCCATCAAGTACATTCCTTCCACATTTCCTTCTCTCTCTCTATATATACATATATATCTCACAACTCATCTTTGGTCTCTTCATGTCCGACTCTCGTCATCTTGCTAACGCCTCGTTCACATATCTAGTCAACATGTCCAGAAATTGCGCAAGAGCCGTGATACTGCAGGCATCGTCGCAGCCTCCTCCGAGCCTGGCGCTGCCACTCCGCGCAAGAGCGCCACTCCGACTCCTCGCAAGCGCCGCTCCGCCAAGAAGGAGATTGACGATATGGACGACGCCCTGAGCCTCAAGCTGGAGCAGCACGAAGATGAGGAGATGGGCAGTCCTTGCGAGCGCCCGCGTAAGCGCGGCAAGTCTCTCCTCTCGTGAGTACTTTGCAAGCATCTCTACCCTCTCCCATTCGATGTGTCGTAGGTGATTAATGCGTGTTATTTTCTACAGGGCCCAAATCAACGCCTTGGATAACGAGACCAAGCTTGAGAACGAGGATGGCTACTAAGAAGCCACCTGGATGGATGCCACGGTTACGAAGAGTTGACTGAAGAATTGGGAACCAGTTGACGCCCTTTGAGGTGTGGGATATGGGTTGAATCAAAGGGCTAGCTGGTCAAGTGGCATCTGCATCAGGCAAAAAGACATTCGCATATTCGCAGGCATATACCGTCTTTTTCAAGACAGGAATGATTACAATGCAGAATTTGACCTTTAACGGGATTTCTATGTGCATGGTGACAACTGGGGGCATTGTCTCGTATGAAAATGGAGGCATCTCGACACCAAGCTGAGCAAACTCTCACTTGTAGCAGTGTTGGCTTGTGAGGTTCTACTGTCCTAACATGGCTGAGATTCTCGAAATGTGCCTTGAGTGCCAAGTCATGACTCTCTACTGTTGCAACAGACTTGTATCGTCCTGTATCGAAGAGACTGGCTCTCACGAGTTACGGCTCCGGGGTCACAATGTCGAAGCTCTAGAAGATACGCACATACGAGAATGTCGAAGCTCTAGAAGATACGCACATACGAGGAGTCACAAAGGAGTTACGGTCAATTACTCTAAAAGAAACTTTGTTGAAGGACAAGAGAAGTCCAGTCTTCCTGCTCTCCCTGGTGAATCCATGTGCTGTAGTGCTCACTAACATGAACAAGCAACTCCTCTTCAAGCCGAGTCATCACCGCGTAGTGCTCAGACCAAGTTCACATGGACAATCAAAACCAGTTTACACACAACTGTGCATCAAGTAGTCGTATTCACATTACAGAGCTCTCAACTCCCATGCAAGTTAAGTATCAGCCAGCCACCGAGTACTGATTCTTCACACCTCAGCCGAGAAAAGAAGAGAGAAGCCAGGCCTCTGCACTCGAGAGAATCTCACCCCCAAGCCGTAGACAATCCATCCACACCGCCCGATTCTTTTCTGCTGCCCGAGCTCGTGCCTCTACTTTAACCCCCATCTCTCTCTCTCTCTCTCTTCCTCTCCTACCTACAAACAAACACTCTTCCACTCTCACCTCACTTTCTCTCTTCTCACTTCTCTCCTCTCTTCTCATTCACTCACACAACTCGGACTACATCCCCCCTTTCCACAGAACCACAAGCAGCAAAACACCTCGCTTCTATCCCCACATCTACTTAAGTACTCTACAACAAACAACCATCAGCAAAAGAAACTTCATCAACTCATCATGGCTCCCCAAGAAAAGAAGTGGTCCGACGCCGCTGAGCGCGACCTCTGCGTCGCCATCCTCTACAGCAACCCAAGCCGCTACGACTGGTCCCGCGTCACCACCATCATGGAAGGCCTCGGCTACGTCTTCACCAAAGACGCAATGTCGTACGTCTCAGACCCTTCTCTCCCACTCTCTCCCACTTTCTCCCTCTCTCTCCCACTTTCTCCCTCCCTCTCTCTCTCTCTCTCTCTCTCTCTCTCCACCCCATCTCCCTACCCTTCCGTTCAAGCAACGGGCGAGCACACCAGTCTTACAAGAATCTCAGGCAACACCTCTCCAAGACCATCCTCAAGGATTTCAAAGCCCGCTGCTCGGAGGAAGTCGTCGCCGCCGCCGAAGCCACTCCTCCCGCCAGCGCGACCAAGCCCAAGGCGACTCCCCGCAAGGCGGCTTCCACCCCCCGGAAGCGCACCAAGAACGGCGTCAAGGGCCAGCAGGCGGCGATCACCGACGCTGGAGACAACAACAACGGCAACAATAACAATGACGAGGTCGATGATGATGAGATGGAGCTTGACGCGACTCCCACCAAAAAGCTCAAGAAGGAGGACAAGGTCAAGAAAGAGGACAAGACCAAGAAGGAGGAAAAGGCCAAGAAGGAGGAGGAGGCACCTGCTACGCCTGCTGCTGACCAGAGGTACGTGATAACAAAGTCTGACTTTCTGAATGCTCTCAGCTAAAACTGACACTCTCTTCCTCCAGCGCTACCTCCGACAGCGAGGAAAAAGCTCCCGCCTCGGATGCCGAGAGCTCTGCCTAGACAGATCCCTGCATACTCCCCTTCTTTCCCAAGTGGACGGTATTTTTCCTTTTGTCATTCTATCGAAAATCTAGCCAGGGGATAACAATATAGGCTATCATGATGACTATCTAGCTCAGGGATCTGGCAGAAAGGGCTTGTTTACGCGGATTCTCATGCGCCAGCTGGGAATGAGGCTGCAGTAACATATCTCTAAGTTAGTACAGGAAATGGAAATCTTTAATCATATGAAGCCTTCTTTCGGTGAAGAAGTAGAGTTGTTACAATTGTCAACTTGTCTCTTTGCTCGCAGTAGTCACCTTGAAACGTCGTCGCAAAAGAATTACTGGTCTTTGTTCTGCTACTAGGTAGGTAGTGACTATATGCATAGAGTTGCCCACACATGTCCATGGCTTCGTGACATCTATGGAAGCAAAGGGCTCCCACTACCTGCCTGATCCAGTTTACAGTCACCCAAGCGGCATGAGTCGATCAAGAGAGGAAAACAAAAGCTATGTTTCTATATATCGAGCAATTTCATGATACCATCCATGAGCGATTCCCAGCCCCAAACGCCGCAGTACACATGAGGAAAATAAAAGTAAAAGACAGGCCCCTATCGCCGGCTATCCGGCCTGCTTCCATTGGTCGACTTCTTGTCCGGTGCTTTCGACTTGTCGTCTGCGTCTCCCTTCCTCTTAGCGGTTGCACGCAGACTCTGTCCCTGCCCAGCAAAGTGCGGCTTCGACGAATTCTCCTTCTCCTTCTCCTTGTCAGCGTCCGTCTTGAGCGGCTTGAACTCGTATCCAAAGAAGAGCTTGTTAGGAGGAAGGCGAAGAGGCGCGGGAGCACCGTCTCGTCGCTTCAGGACGGGGGTTGTGTCGACTGGCACTGGAGTTGCGGGCTTTGGCGTAGCAGTCTTGCTCCCCTTCTTGGCTACCCGCTGGCCTTCTCCGATAAAGTTGGTCGGCACGCTTGTCACCGAGGGAGCGATAGCGCTGTAGTTGATGGCCTGGGCCATGGTGCCCTGGCTGTGCAAGACGCCGCCAGCAGGCACGCCGCCCATGGTGCTCCGCGGCGTGCTGGTTCCGCTCTTCCTCTCGGGCTCGACGTAGCCAACGGGCGCCGCAAACTCGACCGACACATCGGTTTCAATCATGCTGACGCCCATCTTCTCCGTCTCCGGCTTGACGTCGAGAACCGCCACATGGTAGACCTCGTCGTTGTACTCAAAGTTGAAGATGTCGCCCTTTGTGAGGGTCGCAAAGTTTCTGAATGCCTTTTCCAAGACTGCCTTTGGATCGCTAATCTCGAGGAAGTTGACTGATTGCGGCTGGAGCTTGACCATTCTGGCCAGCTCCAATGAGGTTGTTCGGATCTGGATCATGTCGCCCACGTCCAGGCCCAGCGTCTCCATCATCTGATAGCACGGTTAGCCCAACGCAGCAGCAGACTGGGCTGGACCAGCTCTTTCGACAACTCACCCACTGAGGAATGTAAGCCCGGCCTTCTTCAGCGATGAACTCCAGAACACCAGCATGCGAGTGCTTGCCCTTCTCGCCGTTGATCAACTCCATGAGCAAGGGCCACTGGACATGGAGCTTGGACACCTTGTCCAGCGCCGACGGCGGAAGAATGATCTTGGAGCCAAAGTTCAGCTCTGGCCGTTCGCTGCCCGGCGCCATGATGAGGGGATAGCATCTGTAGTACTCGTCGAAGCGCTGGATGATGGGTCGCCGGCCAACGCGCGCCATGCCGTATAAGTCGGCTCCGGCACCGAAGCCTCCGTAGCCAGCCTTGAGAGAATGTCAGGAGACGTATGGGGATGGGATGTGGGAGGCGAGGCGTGAGACTCACCATCTTTGCGTGGGAGAAGGCGGACGGCGACGAGAGATGACGAGAAGATCGAGGCGGATGCGATGGATAGTATGGAGTATCTCGAACTTTGCTCACGAGCAGAGCGATTCGTGGAGGCCGTTGAGGCTGCTGCTGTTGGTTCCGTGATCTTTGCTGATGTAGAGAAAGGTTCAGGTTGTGGAAAGGCGGAAGACGTGGGGTTTGTAGTAGGTAGTAGCTGTAACTGTACTGTAGCAGCGGAGGCAGCTGTTTGAGTGACGCAGGTACCTCTTATCATATCGCTGAGCTGCGACAGCGCCAGAAACCAGAAGTTACTACCTAGTACTGCTACTCCCTGGTCATAGAAGCTTCTCTGCGCTAACGAGCGCGCCACTTCAACACGTCATCTCGGAATAAATAACTGCATTTACTGCTGTTCAACACTTTTTGCTAGCATTTCATCGACGAGGCATCTCGTTATTGGCCAGCCATATTTCTGTTTTTGCTTCTCTCCCTCTTCTGCAAAACTCCCAATCAGTTTTTGCCCAAGCCTCTTCCAGCCTTCCGCAGCGCGCAATGTCTTCTCGATATTCCGCCGCGCGCCCCAATCGAGCGGGCGAGAACTTTGCTCGGACGCACTACAACAACGAGGAAGACACCAAGCGAGTCAAGTTCGATGTGCGCAACCCGTCCATCCTGGCGCCGGACGCGCGCGAAGACGATGCGATCCTCGACGCCGACGTGATTGGCGGCAGCGGCGCCACGAAACGAGGTGCCGTGAATCTCGACGGCTACGACAGTGATTCGGACAACGAAAACTTCAACGCGCGAGCAGGCAGCCGCAAAAAGATCAACGTCAATATCCTGGAGCAGCTGGACAACTACGATGCAAAAGCCAGCAGCAACAAGGAACCGTCGGGCGGCAAGCCCATCAACGAGGATGATGACGACGATGACATGTTTGCGGCGGAAAACGACGAGGAAGAAGGCAAAGAACTAGCGGGCGACGAAGATGAGGAGTTTGAAAAGTCTGGCAGGAAGAAGAAGGATGTCAAGTTTCTAGACGAAGCCCAGATCCAAGGCCAAGAGAACAAGAGCAAAAGTGGCGGCACCATCCGCCTGGACGACCGGGAGAGCAGCGACGACGAGGAAGACTTGGAGCTTGCGATCCAGGAAGAAGGTGTCGATGAAGAGGTCGGCGCGGGAGGCCTGAAGCGTAACGCACCCAAGGTCGAAGCCTTCAATCTCAAAGAAGAGATGGAGGAGGGTCGCTTTGACCAAGACGGCAACTACGTGCGAAAAGCCAACGATCCAGACGCCATGCACGATAGCTGGCTCGAAGGCCTCAGCAAAAAAGATATGAAGAAGGCGGCGGCAGCGCACGAGAAGCGCGAGGCGGAAGCCCGGGAGAGACGCATCCAGGAAGATGAGGTCTTGGTCTCGGACCTGCTAGCAACACTGATCCGAAACCTGGAGAAAACAGAGACACCCCTGGAAGCTCTGGCGCGACTGGGCAAGGACAAGACAAAGACTAAAAAGATACCCAAATGGAAGCTCAAGAAGATGAACAAGGGCGCAGAAGCTATGGAGACGGATCAGGAGGCGGCCAACGACGCCAGGCAAGCCGAGGTTAAGCAAGCAATCGACGCCATTACGGATGCGGCCGATAAGCTACTCAGCCGCGGACACGAAGACATTTACGATCAGGAGCGAGAACTGCTAGTTCGTGAGTATCGTCGGGAGACGGGAGAGGACTGGGTCGAGCCCAAGCCTGCCGCTGAGGCTCCTGCAGGCACCGAGGGGCAACCAGCTCCGGCGAACGGTACCATGTGGGAGTTTAGATGGACGGACGGACGAGACGATGCGGCAAAGCAAGGCCCTTTCGACGGCCCCACGATGAAAGCTTGGCAGGATGCCGGATACTTTGGCCAGGGCGTCGAATTCCGAGCTGTTGCCGGTGATGGAGAGGAGGGCGCGTGGGCCACTTCGGCTGACTTTTCATGACGATCCTAGGCAGACGAGCAGTACTACACTGAGACAAGTGGACGAAGAAGGTGGCAGAGAAGCCGAGCGAATAGAGACAAGCAGAGCGGGTAGAGCCGCTCTCTCGCGTTCCCGGGGCTTTATTTTCGTGTCGTGTCGGGGAAGACTTGTGAAAGTGGAAACCTTGGGGTCGATGGACACGCACAAAGAAGCATCTCGTTGGTCATCCCCGGGGGGGGCAAGTCGACGCTCTGCTGCATCGGTCCCGGCATCTCGGCCGCGGCTAGAGAAGGGGCACGGCGCTGGGGAAAGAAGGGGGAAAATGGGAAGCTTGCGCTGCAGATTGTTCCTGGAACTCCCGATCTCAACGGGGCCGGACGGGCAGCCATGGGGCGATCTGGGGTCGCAGGCTTCTCCAAGATCCCACAAGCCGTAACGCTCCGGCGCTTGCATTCCGCAACGGCCCTAGGGAAGCGCGATGGCAGCCGAGCTTTGCCGCCTGGGTGCAGCAAGACTGCAGGGGTTGTGTTGTGGGTGGCCGTGTTGTTGCTTTCCAACGGTTCCATTGTTTCGTGCAGTACGGTAATGAGACGCCGGTTGATGTAAAGGTGAAGAAAATGAAGGCATCGCCAACCTGCCGCGAGAGCCTCGACACCCTCCCCCAACGGCAGAACAGTGCAAAACGAGCAGCTAGCTACCTTATTACTGACAAATGCCAATTACGAGACGTGAACTACTGCTTTAGGTAACGGCTCAATGAGCGATTTCCATTATTCACCATTTGCAACGCAGACACGCCACTTTTTTGCTGCCGCCTTATCGTGTCTTTATCAACGTCCTATATCCGTACCCACGCAGGCAGATTGCGTATCACGGTGCCAGGCGAGGCCACGGGGTGCAGCAGCCTCAGGTCAAAGGACAACTGGCTGAGAGCATTGGAGGGGGGGGCGTATCATTGCTCGTACTACTACTAGTAATAGTAGTAGTATTGAGTAATTCTCCTGCTTGCCGCCGTGGCCGCAGCCGCAGCCGTGATGAGCATTTCGCCTTTGCTATAAGACTCCGTTTCCGTGGAACAGGAGAGAATACGGCCGCGGCAGCACCGGTGAAGCGTGGGATGGACGGGTACAGGTGAAGCATCACTATGATCTTTTCACACCATGAGCGAGCGAGATCGCAGGCTCTGAGTGATCATATGGCTGTCTTGATTTTTTCTTTTTTTTTTTTTCCGTCCTCGCTCGGGATTACTGAGAAGGATTTGATGACCTCATACACGGGGCTACCTGCTGATGGAATTCATGCCTCTGGATTCTAGACAGCTTCTGACAAGTTCTGGTCTCCGTTAAGGAATATTTCCACGGGCCGTCCGTCTTTCTTTTTTAGTAATTCTCCTGCGATTTACGGACTCGGCCTACGGCGTTTGCCCGGTGGAGAGAGGGAAAAAGAAGCGGCCGGACATTTGTTGGGAGGCGATGGATTTGCCGTCGACGCAGAAGAAGGAAATCGCCCCGCCGGTTCCGTAAAAAAAATATGAGCGCAGGGACAAGCACAGCCTTGGCCCTGGGCCTAGCCTTGCGCCTTGTTTGATGCAATCGGCGACATGTCGAATGCTGTAATTTTTTTTGTTTAGGTTCCCCTTTTCCTTTTGTGTTAATAATAATTCTCGAAGGGCGCTGATTTTGAAATTTGTCGGTGAGAGCCAAACGGATATACAGGCGCGGCTGATGAATAATGATGAATCGAGCTGACTTGATGCTGTATGTACAATATTGACTGCGAGGACCATCAGGTGTTGTATGGATGGAATCATTCTGTAACCACCAAGGTGCATGCATCATAAGGTATTCTCCTCAGCTCACCAACAACGAACGATGGCCATGTTAGTAAAGGCACCGTGATGGCAAGATAGAACCACTATTGCATCTGCGCTTCCCACGCACAGTACGTCAATGTAACGTCAAAGCCGCCCTCCCGTAACCTCGCCCGTTGTTGCTCCCCCCGATTGCCTCAATCACATAGTACCTACCTATGCATTATGGCGCCTCAACCCACCCCCCCAGATTGAGAGCTACCTTACATCAATATGGCCAGCACCTCTTCGGCGATACATACTCGCCACCCCAGCCGGGGCGATTGTGTGTACTAGGTAGGCTCGTACTATACCAGCAGGAGAGGTGCTGCTTGGCAATCGTGCTCAGCTGTTAGGTTGTACTTGTATGGTACTTGTAAGGTGGTCATGCAGTTGCTAAGGTACCTAGGGAGGGATTCAACGAGCCCTGCTTCCAATGTCCATCTGGATAGGATGGCGGCTGGCGGGGCCGAAGCTGGGAACTCGCCAACAGTCATATGTAATAGCTCAAGTTGATGATACCGTTTTGCCAGGATTAGGATGCGAGAAGCAGCATGAATGTCGCTCATCCGATGCCGCATCACCGTTGTGTCAGAAACGACCAAGCTAAGCAACTAAGGTACCTTACCGTCCACTATCTCAGGTAACCAGGTACTACCAGCTACCCTACCTGCCGTGCCTACCTGCTTTAGTATTAATCTTTCCACCTCCCTCCTCAATCTTCTTTTCCCTCCTCTCCTCTTTTTTTTTTCTTCCTCCTCTTCTTCTCCATAACCATTCCTAACAACATCGACATTCTCTCCTAATCACCAGCCTCGCAAATCCTCAGGTTAGTATTACTACTACTACAATCATCACCACGATGCTCCGCCCGACGATGCGGCTTCTGTTCGCCTGCCCCTCCTCTCACTCGTGCCCTTGACGAGCTACCCCGCCAGACTCTCCTGCGTCACCAATTTTTTTCCCTATTTACCCCTCCTCCCTCTCTCCCTCTCGTTTCTTCCTAACAAACAACCACCACCAAAATCTCTTTGGAAGCTCACGACTCACGCAAGCTCAATTCGCAGATACAAAATGGCTCCCATCAAGGTCGGCATCAACGGCTTCGGCCGAATTGGACGTATCGTCTTCCGCAACGCTGTTGAGCACCCCGAGATCGAGGTCGTCGCCGTCAACGACCCCTTCATCGAGACCAGCTATGCTGTGAGCCGCGCCCCCCTCCTCTTCCCTTGACTCCTTTTGAGATACATGCGCTTGTCCCTCTTCAGCCTAAAATCAATACGGCTTGCTTGGAGCCCAGTTGAGAAACGGAAAGAGACGATACGAGTCAACCGCTCGGACATCGCTTTGGACGCTTTTTGGGCTGAGATATGAGATGTTTTACCATCTCAGGCCATGAATATCAGAAAGGAATCTTCCCAGCAGCCTATAGCTCATGCGCTAACCCAACGTTCTTCAGGCCTACATGCTCAAGTATGACTCCTCCCACGGTCTCTTCAAGGGCGACGTTACCGTCGACGGCAAGGACCTCGTCGTCAACGGCAAGAAGGTTCGCTTCTACACCGAGCGTGACCCTGCCAACATCAAGTGGAGCGAGACTGGTGCCGAGTACATTGTCGAGTCCACCGGTGTCTTCACCACCACCGAGAAGGCCAAGGCTCACTTGGCTGGCGGTGCCAAGAAGGTCATCATCTCTGCCCCTTCTGCCGATGCCCCCATGTACGTGATGGGCGTCAACGAGAAGGACTACGACGGCTCCGCCGATGTCATCTCCAACGCCTCTTGCACCACCAACTGCCTGGCTCCCCTCGCCAAGGTCATCCACGACAACTACGGCATCGTTGAGGGTCTCATGACCACCGTCCACTCCTACACCGCCACCCAGAAGACCGTTGACGGTCCCTCCGCCAAGGACTGGCGCGGTGGCCGTGGTGCTGCCCAGAACATCATCCCCAGCAGCACTGGTGCCGCCAAGGCTGTCGGCAAGGTCATCCCCTCGCTCAACGGCAAGCTCACCGGCATGTCCATTCGTGTCCCTACCGCCAACGTCTCCGTTGTCGACTTGACCGTCCGCCTTGAGAAGGGCGCCTCCTACGACGAGATCACCGAGACCATCAAGAAGGCTGCCGATGGTCCCCTCAAGGGTATGTACAAAAATGATAAGCATTGAGAGAATCACGAGCTAACTGTAACAGGAATCTTGGCCTACACCAACGACGCTGTCGTCTCCACCGACATGCTCGGCAACACCAACTCCTCCATCTTCGACATTGAGGCTGGTATCTCCCTGAACCCCAACTTCGTCAAGCTCATCAGCTGGTACGACAACGAGTGGGGCTACTCCCGCCGTGTCCTCGACCTCCTGGCCCACGTCGCCAAGGTCGATGCCTCCAAGAAATAAGTGCTGTGTTCCTCAGAATGGGCCCCAGAAGGGCGTCGAGCATTGTCTATGAATGCAAACAAAAATAGTAAATAAATAGTAATTCTGGCCATGACGAATAGAGCCAATCTGCTCCACTTGACTATCCTTGTGACTGTATCGTATGTCGAACCCTTGACTGCCCATTCAAACAATTGTAAAGGAATATGAGCTACAAGTTATGTCTCACGTTTGCGTGCGAGCCCGTTTGTACGTTATTTTGAGAAAGCGTTGCCATCACATGCTCACAGTCACTTGGCTTACGATCATGTTTGCGATCTTTCGGTAAGAATACACAGAGTAACGATTATACATCCATCGCTTTCTATGATTAGGTACTCAGACAACACATGGGAAACAAGATAACCATCGCATGCAAGGTCGATTCCAATCATGATCTGGACTGGGGTATTCCATCTAAGCCATAGTACCCTCGAGAGAAGGAATGGTAGGACCTCTCAGGCGTCCACCATCTGTGCTGCAAATCCAAGAAACCCCCCAAAAGCACCTACCTATCTACCTAGAGTAATCTGCACGAGAAAAGAAAAGGAGCAGAAGAAGAATGATCTCAAGAGGCCGTGAACGCAGAAACACACTCCTCCCAACTTTTCAAGTTTTGAACAAAAAAAGAAAGATGAGGACTAGAAGATGGAGTATTTCCTTCTTAGAGAGCTCTCGGTGAGGTGACCTGTCAGGGTTTACCTCAAACCGTCTGTGGTTCTATCCAATTAATCAAGTCCCTCTCCTCTCCTCTTCTCTCCTGTCCTTTCATAGAATCCCTTTTCCTTGTTGCTTGATCGAAGCGGGTTATCGACGCCACCAAAGTATTGTCTTGGTGACTTATCAAATCCCTTTGGTGATCAAACAGCCCCCGAGTGATCAGATCCGTAAAAGAAGAAGAAGAGTACGATTTAACCAGACCGAGGAACAATAAAGCGAGTAAATAACATCAAAATAAGAGTCTCGTTGAAAATTACATTGTTCCTCAATCAATCCCAACCCCCCTAAAAGCCCTTTCCCCCCATGGTATATCCCGGCAGTAGGAGAGAGATATTTTCCACTACCGCTCACCACCAAAGTGAGGCTTGCCGAGAGAAGAGGATGAATCAGAAGTGACAACAACGGGTTGAGCACATGGGATATCATAAAAAAGGCAAAAGCAAGAAAAATTGAACAAGGAAGAAATGGTTTTCCTAGCAAAGACAGAAACAGACCAAACGATAACAAGGCGCAACCTCGTCTCGCGGCGGTTGCAGAGGGGAAAGTGTCCTCGTCCTTTTTTTTTTCAACGACGTAGTCGTTCAAATCCATAATCGGCTCAATCCACTTCCACCAGGTGCCTGAAACCAGAAGAGCAAACAAAAAGGGGGGAGGTGGAAGGGGGGGTTTTATTGTTCGTCATTCCAACGCCAAAATGCATTAACCTTCTCTTTTGGTAATATTCAACAGCGAAACAATCATTTCTTTTCCCGCTCGTTTGCCAGTACGCAAGACTTGCTAAGTGGGAAACGAGCTCTAAAGCGGCCGCCCAACTCCGGATAGCTGCCGACCAGCCCGTAAACTACAGCGCTCATCGAGGAATGTTGAGGTATGAAATAGGAGATGCAAGTTCGGATCCTCCCTCTGTCGTGGTCTCTTTCTTTCCGATAGCACATGCTTAGCCTCGAGAGACAAGAGACTCTTCGAGCTTAGCGTCAGGAGTCCAATCGACGTCTTCATGGTGACACCAGTCAATGAGCATGCGATGGATCGCCGACAGCCCATCGTCGAGCGGTTGGTACTGTGGTATCTCGAGCCGCAAGGCAGGATCCTCAATGTTGTTGAGGGCCTCGGAGAGCTGTGACCAGAGCCGGAACCGCATCCGCTCTAGCCGGGTGAAATCTGTCACCGTGACGGCCGCGTTCTCGACCGTCACATGGCACCGAATCAGCTCCGTGATGGCGAGCAGGTGTATGTTGAGGACCAGCACAAAGAGGGGGAGGAATCGGCGGGTGTGGGCCTCCTGTCTCTTCATCTGGCCCTCGATGAATTCGAGCAAGGGGAACAGGCTGGACCATCCTGACGGGTCACTCCTCTTATTGCACAACCCGCGATACATATTTTGTGCCTGAAAGCCGGCCATAAACGCCAGCAGACTCTCTACGCTGATGGCATAGCCCCTCTTGAGATCGGGCTCGTTGCCACCGGCACCACCTCTCATTGCCGTGTCTGCCTCGTGCTTAAGGCGGCGTCCAAGAGTAGAGAGACGAGCTTCTTTGTCCCTCATGGCCCTGGCCTCGACGGATTCGGGGTGATTCATGGCCTGACCATTGACCCGGCGGTCAGAAGAGGCCGGAGCGGATGGAGTCGCGTTGACGGTGTTGTCTCCGGGAGTTTGGGCCAGCGAGTTGCTCGAGCTGACGCGGGACATGGAGGTAGCTCCTCTCTTGGATGGTGTAGTCGGGGCGGGCAAACGGGACGAGCTGGGAATGTCGGGAACCCTGGGCTTCTTCTGCGAGGTGGAAGTCTCTCTTGTACCTGACGCGTCACCAGGAGCAACGGGCCGTTTCCTCGCGGGTGGAGGCTGGAAAGAGTCCTCAGGCGGAGCGGAGCGTTCCTGGTTCTGGGCCTGCAGCTCCTTCCGGGCAGCGGTTGAAGACGACAGGGCCAGGATGCGTTTGAAGTCGCGTCGCAGCTTCTTGGGCACCTTGAGCGTGACGACGAGTGATTTGCGCGGCCGTTGAAAAAGGGGCTCGTCGTCATCGTCGGCGTCCGACAAGTCGTTCGCTGCGGGCCTCTTCTTCTTTGATGGCGGCTCTTTCTCTTTGTCGTCTTTGCTCTTGGCGGGTTTGCCTTCCGCGAGCTCCAAGGACTTCTTCTTCCTCAGCTGCAGAGCAGCTTCCACGACCGGCGGCAAAGTGGGCGAGAGCAGCGGTGGGAGCCGCAAGGGCGACTGTGGTCTCTTGAGCTCTGATGTGGACTCAGATTTTTTATGCTGGCGGCTCGGCGACTTGGGCTGGGCCTGTGACTCTTCGAGGGATCTCTTCTTGTTTTGTTTCGCCAGCGATCTTTCTTCGGCATCGCGGTCATCAAAGGTAAGGTGGAGGGGGGATAGCAGAGGCGGCACGCTGGCCTTTTGCGCCTCGGACTTTGTGGGCGTGACCCGGTTGCTTCCCGAGCCGGGAGGTCGAACACCATTCATGGAGTCGCCTCGTGGACGATGCGCGGGCGAGGTGTTGTTGCGACTGGAGCCCATGGCGCTTTTGAGAAGGGCTCTGCCGTTGGGGAGCGAGGAGGAATTGGCGACTGGGGCGGGTGGCCTGTCATCCCTGTGTTGAGGCGCATCCCTCGAGGCCATCGCGGGGGCTCTATCCTTGCGCCTCTGCGCGTCATCGCGGGAGAGCGATGCTCGGTCATCGGCATACTTGCCGCCTTCGGGTCTGGAGCGCTTGTGCGGTCGCGAGTCGTCGTCCAGGTCTGCCACGCGTTTCTTGGGGACGGGAGAGGGGGGTCGGGGCGGCAGTGGGTGTTTGGTGGGAGGTTTAAGAGGTAATCTGGATCAATGTCAGCTGCTGATGATCTTCTTGCCAATGCTACCGTTGCCGCGAGCTGGCGGCGGAGCTGCAAGCAAGGTACCCACCTCATGTCGGCGGCTGGTTCGCGAGCCAGTCGCTGTCTGGCGTCGACGGGGGGTTCCGATTCTCGCGGCCTGGGCCTGTCCATCTTCCTCGCTTCGGAGGCAGGCCGGTGTTCTGACGCGGGCTTGGGGTCCGACGTGGCGCCCGTGCCGACGGTGGTGGTGTTGCTGTTGTTGCTGTTGGTGGCGGCCAGCTCGCCGGCGCGTTCGCTCTCCTTCTTCCTGGCGATTGAGGGCTCGGGGGGCGACGTGGACGACGTGGCGCCCGTTTTCTTGTTCTTGTAGTCGCTCAGCGACAGCTTCTTCTTCTCGCCGCCCTTGGCCAGCGCGTTGACCTCGCGTGGCAGCGGCTTGGCGGGCTCCTCCCGCATGTCATAGTCGGACTTTGTCAAGAGGATGCCGCGATCGGAATCGGACAGCAGCGTCAGGTACTGCAGGCGGGGATGGTTCCATTCCTCAAAGGCATTGCCGTCACCGGGGCCGGGGCGAAAGCGCCATTCGGGGTGGAAGGCTAGGTGATGGGGTCGTTCTGGCAGGATGCGCTGGCCGAGCTCCTTGATCGTCTTCCGCGCCGCTTCCATCGTGCTTGGGCGTGATCATGCCGCAGGCACGAGTGAGCGGCGGAGCGCGACCCAAGAGATGTTGCGAGCGGCAACGAGCGACGGGCAGCGCGCGACAGGACAGGCGGTAACCAACGACGACGACAACGACAACGACGAAATATGATGCCGCGAGCGGTGCCGCACGAGCTGCGGGCTGCAGCGACAAAGAGGCCGCGGGCAAGGACACAAAGGAACCGGCAAGGCCCAGGGACAACAGGCAGAGCAATGGACGGACACAGGCGGTGCCAGGTGGTTCGGGGCGCTCAGCAGCGCTTCGGGAGAGGCTCGAGCCGCAGATGCCTCTCGGAAACGGCGCCCTTGTCGGTGCTCAGGGCGCGGCTGCAGGCGGCTGGGATCGCAGCAGGGCGAGGCGAGGCGGCAATGGAATTGGATGGTGGTGGCCGGACGTGATGCCGGTGCTGATGCTGGTGCTGGTGCTGATGCAGATGCCCACGAGATGCAGTGCAGGTGGTGTTTGGCGATCGGTACCAGGACGGGCGGCAGACGGGGGGTGGAGGCGCATGTACCTCGTACCTACTTGTCAATGGAGCTGCTACCCAAAGGCTGGTCTGGTCTGGAGCTGGCCTGTTAAAACGCTCTCCTGGGGGCCCCCTGTCCCTTTTGTATGGGCGGGTACGTACCCTCCACTACTAGGTAACCTTACCTGAGGTACCTTGCCTTGCCTTGCCTTGCCTTGCCAACTTCCAGGCCTCACTTTGTCGCGCTGACTGAGGTGACAATGACAATTGAACCTACCAGCTCACTTTGGCCTCAGGGCTGGAGCTCGCCTGGAAGCGCTGTTAAGGTTTCGACGCCCCGGGGGCTTAGCGGTGCTTTGGGCGCTGTCGGGGCGGCGCCATGGGGGGCTCTGGGAGCTCTTTCAGCGGCTAGCACGGGGGTAAATCCGCAGTGGCTGCTGCTAGTGTTCGAGGCTGCGATTCTGAATAATTGAGGTGAAGAGTGTCACAATAGCCGATGCAAATCCAGTTCGGCTTCACTTTGGTGTCACCTCAAAGGGTGGAGGGCTTATCATCACTTGACTTGTATTCTTTGCTGCTCATACACGCTCAGGTAAACCGCCAGTATGTAGATGCTTGGACTTCTCCTTGAAGCTTTGTCCATGAATCTTCGTCTATGGATGATCTCAACCCTCTTCAAGTCTCAGGAAAACCGCACTGGGGCTGGAAGAAGGCGGTATCCTCTATCGCTACTCACTAGAGTAGTCATCCCAGATACGGCTTTGAGTCTGCTCAACAGTAAGGTTGCTGCTGGTGCCGTGGCTAATCTACCTTCTCTGTTCCCCTCTACTTTCTGCTTCCAATCAGAGGTTGGGGTTCGTGATGGACGGCGCCTCTGAGCAGCAGCAGGTATGCCGAGACCTAAATCCGACAGAATATTATTACCTCAAGATAGCACTTATTCAGAGACTTAAGTAGAGACAGTTACAGAGATATCTCTACCATTCTTGGTTGGTTCCAAGTGTTTGAGTCTAAATAGCAGTCACTGCGAGAGAGAAGTGGCAGTTCTGGCAACGGAGTACATGTAATGAAATGATCTTTCGTCAGCCACTCCTCTTTCAAAGTACCATTCTCCCCTCCTCTTCACAACTAGACTGCAAAAGACTGCACGGCGCCTTTCACGTCAGAAGCACACAACAAAGCCCTTCTAGTGTTACGTTCTTTGACCTTTTTTTCCTTGTCTCTTATGGGCAAACTTCTCTTTGTTCTCTTCCTTGTCACACAGCTTTGTGCCACGCAAGTCACGCCTCGTCAAAACTGAACATCCAATGGTACATTCACTGAACGACTGGCCGAGAGTTGAGGCTCTGGTCGATCAGAGTCACACAGAGACGTAAAAAGCAAATATATCATCGGTCAAATGACACATCTATCACAAGTGTTTGCTCGTTTTCCCTTTCATCTATAGTTACGCATCGAGGTTCCCCCCTAATGGTCCTCGGGGATATAAAGTCTCATACACAAGTCTCATACATGTCATCCAGTCCATTTGTCACGTCCAGCGTCCAGAGCCATCCGAAGTCATCATCCTCTGATGAGAAAGCCCCTGGCGGAATACACCTGTTTGACACGCTTTCCTTAGTACGCCAAGCTGTCGAAAAGAATGTCTGGCCTCGAAACCCAAGAACCGGCCAAGATCGCGGCCTCATCAGATTCCATAACAGAGCAAACCTCTGTGTCGTCTGGGAAACAATATGTCCTATTACCATCTTGCTCCCTGGCGCCGGTCGAAGTCCAGCGCGGGAGAGAGACGAATAAAGGAAAGAAGGAAAGTGGAAAAAAAGCGAAAATGAAAGAAGAACATGGCGAGGAGCGTCATGCTGAGTCTTGCTGGTGGCCATTAACCATAGCCGCGTTACTGCCTGGAAGCTTGCGCCGCTTCTGGCTAAAGCTGTTTTCAAAAGCAGTGAGACGCGCCTCCAGCCTGTCAATCTTCATTCGTGCCGACTCGGGCAGCGCGTTTTGAATGTAAGCCACTATCTCTTTGAAGAGGCCTCTGGTATTGAAGTGGTTTTGCCAATTGTCGAGAGCTTGCAGCTGCAGGCAAATCCCTTCATAAGCATCTCTGGAAAGCTCAAAGTCGGGCTTGGGGACTCGGGTGATAGACTTGAGCTCGCTCGTCACCAAGTCGAGTCGGCCGTTGACCTCATTCTCAAGCGACTTCATTCCCTCGATAACAAGATGACGATTCTTATTAGAGTCTTCAGCGAAGCCAGATAATTTCGTCTTCGTTGTGCTGCTCTCGCTTTGGAGCTCTGATAGCTGGCCACTGATATCCTCCAACTGCGACTCCAAAGCCTCGCGCGAGGCCCTCTCCTTTGAGAGGAAAGGCGTAAGCCCGTCCTGAATTCTTTGAATACCGTTCTTAAGCTTCTCATCGCTCTTGTCCAACTCAGGTCTGATAACCTCCAAAATCTGACGGTCGGTCAAGGCGGTTGCTGATTTGTGACTTGAACCCAGACTCTGGACGTGCTCTTTGATTTTCTTTACTTCTTCAAAGGCCTTGGACGAGGTAGACTCCAGTGCTTCGAGGCGTGTGCTCGCTTCGTCTTGCTGCTCTGCCTTCTTTTCGATGAACTTGGAATGTTCACGCATGTCTTCTTCCAGCTGCTCAAGTTTCGAAGCATGGTTGGGTAAGCTTTCCAAACGAGCCTCGAGCTTGCTTAGTTTCTCGTCCTTTGACACGGAGAGCTGCTGCAGCTTCTGAGAGAGTTGCGTCTCGTCTACTAGCGACTTCAACAGCCTTCCTTGTTCCGAGGCTGCCTGATCAAATCTTGCTTCCAGGCTTTTCAACGAATCGTGCAGCTTGGCATTCTTTAGGTTCGCTTCAGCCAAACTCTTTTCGAGCTGGTCAATCTTCTTCTTGTGGCGCTGGATGATGGTCTCCTCCATCTCGGCCACGCGCTTTTCAAAATCATGTGCCAGCGTCTTCCTCAGGTTGGTGGCCCTGTCTTCCGCCTCCTGGGTCAGAGTCTTGCGAAGTGAATGCAACTTGTTATTGAGTTTCTTTTCCTGTTTCTGTTCGGTTTCAAGGTCAATTGCATCCTTTAGTTTGACCATATGCGACTCGACGAGCTCTTGGAGCTTTTGCTGAAGGCCCGCAGATTCTTGCTCGATCGAGTCCTGTGCCTCCTTCTTCAGAGTGATCGAAACGGCGGCCAGTTTTGCTTCTAATACCGCTTGCTCTTCCGAGGCTTTTGATGGGTTACAGCTTTTGGCACAGGCTTCCGAGACCTGTTGCAGAAGGGGCTGCAATGCTGCCGCAATCGTCTCATCGGTGAATGCGATTCTCTGATTGGCATTTTCAATCTCCTCTCGAATCTGCTGCTCCTGATCAACCAAGAGGTCTGCAGAGCCCGGGTAGTCGGATGGATTGTAGTGGCTTTGCTCTTGAATTTCCCTTGAGCGGTCAAGAATCTTGCTGTGTTTATGCCTGGCTTGGAACCATGTCATTCTTTCACAGACAGAGTCCAGCACTGGCCTGAGAATGCTGGCCGTGATAGAGCTCGAGCGATCCGAAGCTTGTGACTTGATGGGGTTCCCAGGCTGCCGCGACTTGTGGGAAGCTATATTCGGCCGTTGTTAGTTTGGTTCATTCAGAGTCCGTGCTCGACAAGAGGCCGCTCGAATAACGGCTTTTGTTGAGCGCAAGTACGTACCTGGGGCTGTGGGAACGGGTTTCTCGATGCGATCGCGTTGGGCAGCTGAGCTCCGCTCGTCAGCGCGATTGACGGGGCGATTGCGCTTGGGTTTCGACGGGCCATCGCCTGCTTGTCGTTGGCTGCTGTCGCCGTGGATCGAGTCCCGCTTGCGGCCTCCCCCAAATTTGAGATGGAACCCTTGCTGGGTGTTTCTGGACTTGAGAGGGTCCGGACTCATGATGGCGACGGCGATCTGTTATGAAGCTCACAGTTGGCGATATAGACAGGCAGATTAGAAAGATACTCGAGGTAAGGCGAGGCAAGGCGAGGGCTGTCCAGTTGGCTGCTGAATCACCTCTCGCTTTTCCTGAGGCACATCCAGCGAGCTTGTGGCGGAGCGGATGACCCTTGGGAGGGAGAACGTCACCACAGAGGAGCTGCAGTAGAAACGGAAAAGAAGACGAAACAGAAGGTTTCTCGATGAAGTGGCACAGCCAGATAGATGGCCAGGAACTTGCCGAGCATAAGTAGTTGCACAGGCGTACAGTAAGCACCAGCACGAAAGATGGCGAGAGAGAGATAGAGAGAGATAGGGAGAGAGGGAAAAGAAAGAGAGAGAGAGAGAATGTGGGTGCGGCAAGTGGTTAAGCGTGCGGGTCAGGCCGCACCTTGTTTGCAGGAGGTCTGGTGGGATAAACAGTTAAACAAGGAGCCCGATCCGAAGCTGGAGAAGCACCGTTAGGGACTGGACCAGGCCAGGCAGGCGTTGGCACTTGGATACAGCAGCTGTTCTTCTAGGGGGGTCGGGCGTGTGTTTTGGTTGCCGGGCGCCTATCTGACAGCTGGAGGCGAGTGACATCTCAACTGCCCAGCCTGTAGCAGAGGAGGGCCTGTGCATGGAGTTCCAGAAGGTATACAGAGATACAATCTAATGTAATAGGTACCCACCACTAGGTATCAGAGGGAGCTATTTACACGGTAGTATACACAGGAGCTGGTATTAGGAAGCACCCTCGTAAGCCCTCGACCAGAGGAAAAAGCAAGGAGCTCCGAGGGCAAACAACGAACAGACTCCTCCTCGTTGCAAGGTTGGACTGACAGAACATTGCTAGAAGCAGCGGAGGTGGCTTTGAGCTAATGATGAGGAGTGGAGATATGATGGCAGAGGAACAGGGTATCGGTTGGTCAGATGGCACCCAGCAAACAAGCAATTTCAGCAAACAAAGCAAATAGTTAGGTGCCATCAGAGCATTTGGGGGCCAGCAAGGAGCCTGAGTAGACGCAGGGGCACGGAGCTGAAAGAGCTGCGGCAACTTGTGCGTTGCAAAGACGCGGACTGCCTGATAGCCATGTAGGTAAAAGAAATGAAAGCAGTTGCCAGGCCGTGCGGGAGACGAAGCTTGGGCAGTTCGCAGGTTGATATTGCGGCAACATTTCGATAAGTATAAACAAGACTGGACTGGAATCTTACCTTGATAACTCTAATGCCAAGACTCAAAGAACCCCGAGTTATGTCTCTTTGTTCTATGTTAATGCTGTCCTTAATTTCGTCATTTTCCATATCTCGAAACAAAGGACGAGTTGAGGTCAGAACAAGAACCTACATGGAAGCTCTTATCGACAGGCGGCCCTTGTCCCCCCCAATCAGATCAGCCTTACCTCTAAACAGCTGGTGCTAAAACGGCGAATTCCGGCCACTGCCGCCCCGCCGCCCGTCCACTGAATCTCAACCACTACCGCCTATTCGGCTTAGACCTCCAGGCCTGTCTTGGATAGCAACAGCGGGGGTTGCAGAGCACTTGTTAAGCGCCAGACGCGCGCTTCGCCGGAGCCGGAATTTTTCCAGGCTGGACATGGGCAGCAACCTCGCTATTCCCAAATCGCCTGCAGTAACCGTGAATTTGTTTGTTCACCTGCAAGTTCCCTCCAGTCCTGCGCATCCACCAAAGTCTCGATCCATCAAGCACAGCAGTACCAGACTGGATCAGACACCCAGGCCGAGCATCACCAACCACACGAAACTGCTGCGCGCACGGCTTCCATCAGTGTCCGCACAATGGCTGCTGTGAGTTTGCTGTCCTCTGCTCCGAGCGTTTCCCGTTCCTGAAAACTGATTGCTTTGCAACTTCAGCCCATAGTGACCGTTTCCGAGTCCAAGGACCTTCGCGGTCTGAACCTCATCGCCGCGCATTCGCACATCCGCGGCCTCGGCGTCGATGCAACGAGCCTCGAGCCCCGAGCCGCGTCTCAGGGCCTCGTCGGCCAGGAAAAGGCGCGCAAGGCCGCCGCGGTGATTCTGCAGATGATCAAGGATGGCAAGATTGCTGGCCGCGCCGTCTTGATCGCTGGTCCGCCAAGGTATGCCAAAAGCATGATTCTTCTATCCTTCAGTATGGCAGTCAGCTCACATATATCACTCAATCAGCACGGGTAAAACTGCCATTGCCACCGGAATGGCGCAGTCACTAGGCTCCGACGTTCCCTTCACGACCCTCGCGTCATCCGAAATTTTCTCCCTCGAAATGTCAAAAACCGAAGCTCTCACGCAAGCCTTCCGCAAGTCAATTGGGGTCCGCATAAAGGAGGAGAGCGAGATCATGGAGGGAGAGGTTGTCGAGATCCAGATTGACCGCAGCGTCACCGGCAGCGCCAAGCAGGGCAAGCTGACCATCAAGACGACTGACATGGAGGCTGTGTACGACATGGGCGCGAAGATGATTGACGCAATGACCAAGGAGCGCGTCATGGCGGGCGACATCATCTCTATCGACAAGTCGTCTGGAAAGATTACGAAGCTGGGCCGATCATACGCTCGATCCCGCGACTACGATGCCATGGGCGTTGACACAAAGTTTCTGCAGTGCCCCGATGGAGAACTGCAAAAGCGCAAGGAAGTCATCCACACTGTGACGCTGCACGAAATCGACGTCATCAACTCACGAACACAGGGATTCCTGGCTCTCTTCTCCGGCGACACTGGCGAGATTCGCAGCGAGATTCGCGATCAGATCAACACCAAGGTTGGGGAGTGGAAGGAGGAGGGCAAGGCCGAGATTGTTCCCGGCGTGCTGTTCATCGACGAGGTGCACATGCTCGACATTGAGTGCTTCTCCTACATCAACCGAGCCCTGGAAGACGACCTGGCGCCAGTCGTCATCATGGCCAGCAACCGAGGCCAGTCGCGCATTCGAGGCACCGATTACAAGAGCCCACACGGCCTGCCCCTGGATTTCCTGGACCGCGTCGTCATCATCAACACGCACCCCTATAATGCGGAGGAGATCCAGAAGATCCTGTCCATTAGGGCGCAGGAGGAGGAGATTGACGTCTCAGCAGACGCCCTTGCCCTGCTGACCAAGATTGGTCAGGAGGCCGGTCTTCGATACGCGAGTAACCTCATCACCACATCGCAGCTCGTCTCAGCGAAGCGGAAGTCTAAGCAAGTCGGCATCGAGGACGTCAAGCGGTGCTTCCAGCTCTTCTACGACCCGGCCAGGAGTATCGAGTTTGTCAACAAGTCCGAGAAGCGGTTGATTGGCAACGACGGTGGCGTCGACCTGTCAGTCCAGAACGGCAGCACTGCCCCTGCTGCTGCCGCCACCGGCTCTGAGAACATGGACTTGAGCTAGAGGCTGTGAATAAGGGTGCTGAAAGAGATATCCAGATGGCTGGCGTTTATTTTGGGCAAATCGTGAGGCGAAAACAAAGACACGGAGAGGCAACGTAATGGAAAGTGATTGTACCATAAATGAGCAATATTCGGGCGCACGAGGGTCACCGCCGAGAGACCACTTTGATTAGTTTTTGCAATAAACAAGTTAACACGGTAATTTTCCTTAGAGATGCTACCTCGAGCCTTGTTATCTCGTGCCGACTGCTTATCTTTCTTCAAGTATCGGGAGGTAAAGCAAGCTAGCATATCGCATCCGGAGGGTCTTCCTTTTCCCTCGTTACCACCCAACTGCAAATTTCATGCGATACCGACTCGACCTCTGCTAGCACCTCTAGATCCGTGGTCTCGCGTACCAAGCAGCCTGACACAAATCTGATTATAGCTCAGAAGATCGTGTTGAGAGCTTGCGCTTTTTCACTACCCTCCCTGACGCCGCTCTGTCCACATTGATTTCAACCTCGAAAGATTGAATAAAGTATTGATACCACGTATTATCAGCAAAATGCTCCCTATATCTGACTCCCTTTAGTAACACCACGCCGGAAACTCCATCTTGGATAGTCCCATTCACCACCCAATCCTCTGTTCCCGAGTGAATGTTGAACATCCCCAGCAGGTTTCCCACAGTTTTCTTGTCTTGCAGGAGGACAAATTCACAGTCTGCATCAAGGACCATGTTGATCGGGCCTGAGCTCGTGTTTCTCATATTGATGTTGATCCGATTGTCGGAGATGGTGAGGGACCTCACCTCACATTTAATTCTCGGCGGTTTCGCCAAGTCAATAGTCAATGCGAGATGATGGCCGTCGGGCGACACGCTCATGGCAGCTGTAGTCTTTCTTTCGTCCTCGTCAAGCCAATGGGCGGCACCGCTCTTGGGCATAAGGTCGTCGAAGAAGGACTCGAATCCCACCATGCTCTTGATGTTCACAATATCTTCGCGGTACTCGCCCTCCGGAATAGTCACGAAATTTGCGCCATCGGGTACGACTGGCGTGTTCTCGAACGTCAACTCCCCAATCTCAATATGGCCGTAGAAGAACCTGGCTGTGACGGTGCTGACCCAGCCGATTTTGAATCCAGGGCAGCACGAGCCTTCTATTTGAAAGATGAAGGACCTGCGACTGTCAGTGGTTCGGTCTGGTGTAATTGACTAAGTGTTTGGCTCACCTTAGGCTACGGCTCGCTATCATGAGATCGAAGATGTCCAATTCACCCTGCCGCTCGCATCCGGCGATGCTCTCCTGAACCGACGCGTGGCTTAAGTTTTCGGCTTCAGACATTCTGCAAAGTTTCTTTCGCGCGATTTGCTGTGAGAAGTTGGCTGTTTCTCCAGCCTGCAGATTCCCTGACGCAGACGTTTGGGACGATTCCAGCAGGTCGAGTTACCAGAGGTGAAGGAGGGAAGGGAGATTTCGAGGGGAGGTTCTGATCGTTCGATATTCCGCTTCACGTAACCTTATGCTCCCACGTGATGCAACCTTTAGCACCCAATAGAAGAGTGAGATGGAAGAAGTGAGGAAAGAGAGCGTAGTCGATTCACGGCCTGAAGTTATGTGGCATTCACCTGGCAGCCGGCATGGCACTGCTGCCGGGCGCCTCTTCACCGCTCGAGTTTCCGCACTTTGTTCTCCGGAAGCCTTCTAAGGGTCACTTAATGCAAGTTATTGGAGTTACTGATTGTATTCTTGGGAGCTTCCGTCCCGTTCCCGTGAAAGGCTCACTCCGTACCTCCGCGCTCAATAGCCACCATCCTCCAAAGCTACCTATCCTCCATGAGAGAAAAGTAATTGAGCATCACCCAGAGCCTCAGCTTCTGTAACCCCCTTCTGGGCTAAAGGTGCTTCCTATCCAAGTTCACCTCCGCCTCAAACGATCGAATAGCATGAGCAATCCAAGTGTTGCCTTCTTTAAGCGCTTTCACCCCTTTCAGAATTGCGATGCCAGAGAAATTGGTATCAGCAACTATGGCATCACCTTCCAGTACAATTTCTGATCCTCCCAGTTCAATGTCGAAGTAGCCATCCAGTAACGCCAGAACGTTACCACCTTTCTCCAGAGAGAACACACAGTTTCCGAAATCGAGTTGAATCGTGTTCACGTTCGATAAGATGAAGTCAACAGTAACCCTCCCTCCAAACACTCGAATGCGGAATTGGTCAACATAAGTTTTCGTGATCCCGGTCAGTTCAATGTTTAGAGATAGCTCGTGTGCTTCATCCACACTGCATCCAGCAATGGTAAGCCCATCGTCATCCCCGATTCCGTTGTCCACGTTGTTTGGTAGCAAGTGCTGTATGAAAGCCTTGAATCCCACCATGTTTCGAATGTTGAAGTTTCCAAGCTTTATTGAAGCTTTGTTTTTCTTGTCCGGTATGAAAAAGGTTGTCGCGAAGAGTTGCCTCACCTATGAGGCGCGGTTGGTAGAACAGGGAAACCGTTAAATGACTGGTCCAGTCAAGATTCTCGGGGGACTCATTAACATCAACGACGACCTCGAGGTTGAACGTCCTGTACAATGAATAAGTTTCTCCCAGCAGAATCGCGGTCATCAGCGACACCGAAAGAGAGCATACCTCATAGTAGGCTTCGTGATCCGGAGCTTTTCAATCTCGAGTTTAGCCATGATAGGATGTGTTGCAGAGGATCACTAATGCACTCGATGCATGTGTGGTATCTGAGCTCTCCAACCAGTCGAAGCTGAAAGTTTAATGAAGGAAGAGGAAGAAGCATGCGTGCAGCTGCTCACGAGGAGAGATTTATATAGTGCTGCTGTGACGGGTGGCAGCGATGTTTCTCTCTCCGCAGGAAGCTTACCGAAGAGCTGTCGGCTCGTCATGCCGTCCTCTTTAGTGAGTGATCACTACCATGTCTCGATCGTCGAGCGGCATTCATTATGAAATGGAATGGCTGCCCAGCACCCCATGTTGGCTATCCAGTGTCTCGGTAACCCACATCTACATTTTCTCTACTATGGCAATCACTGCTTACATTGCAATATATGTCTAGTTTGATTATGCTTCTTTTCTTATCGACTTTGCTGTGGTAGGTTAAGACAAGCGTTCTACTGTGTGTTCATGAACTGGGGATGTTCATGTATACCACAACAAGCAGCTCGATTGACACAGCATCAAGATGAAAGTTGCTTCGAGTCACAAGGGCCCTGTAACTGACTTGCTCAGAAATACCAATCTTCGAATACTTCGTCTTGGACGGATAGGAAAAGGGTGTCTTTATCGATCCTCATCCAAACCACTCCTCCAAGCAGCCGCCTAGCTCAATTTGACTTCCGTCTTGAACAACCGAATAGCATGAGCGAGAAAAGTATTGTTGTGCTCATACGTCTTGAAGCCCATCAAATTCCCCGTTCCAGCAAACAGCTTGTAATTAACACTGAAGTCAATGTCCCCCTCCATGACGACTGAATCCTCGCCCTTGTGAATGGCGAAACGGCCGTCCAAAAGGGCCAGCGTCTCTGTACCCTTCTTGAGAATGAACTGGCACTGTCCAAAACTCATGTAGACAGGACTCGGGCTCGACATCTTGAAGCTAATGCGTATACTCTCATCACAACGCTTGAAATCCAGGCAACTAATCGACAGCATCGCCATATAGTCCAATTCGATAGAGATGGAGAGCTCATTGGCGCTATCATCATGATCCAGCGCAGCGGTAACAGCCAAGCCGGCCGACTCCTCCTGGGTGACACCGTTCTTGGGCATCAGGTTTTCGAAGAAGGCCTTGAGTGCGACCAGGTTTTGGATGTTCAGGCTTTCCAGCCTGATCTTGACTTCATTATCCTCGTCGGGAATGATGTACGTTTTGCGAAGTGTCTTCTTGCCGATGAGACGATGGCGGTGGAGGAGGCAGATGGCCACACGGCTACTCCAGGGGATTTGGACCTCTGGGTCAATGGTGGCGCTTATTTCGAGGTTGAAGGCGCTACGGCGAGAATCAGTAACCGCGAATGGAAGGATGGGGGGGGGTTCAGGATTGCACGGCTTTGATGACAGACATACCTCATGGTTGGGCTGGTGAAATGGAGTCTGTCAATCTCAAATTCCCCCATCTTCGCGATCGATCACCCTGTTCTGTCGACTCAATCGTTTGCGTGACACTTTAATGGGAGAAGAGTCAAGGGGAGAAGAGTAACAGGCACAAAAGGGAGAAAAAAAGAAGACAAAAAGCTGGCTTGAATTCACTGACGGTGGAAATGTATGTATTGTATCGTGACAGCTGGCAGCAGAGCTTCTCTCAGCTGCAGACAGTCAAACAGCCGCCAGGCCTTCACTGCTGAACAGCGTAATGTGAAACTGCCGCAGAACGACATCGAGACTGAGAACCAAGCCGCGTGGTTATCCGGGAGCAATAAGCAACTGTAAGGCTGCTGCATACTGTCATTCGATCAACCAAGAGACAGAGACATGTCTCAACGACGAACGGAGTGACGAAGGTTGCCATGCACTGAGGAAGCTCAGATGGAGAGGAGTCTATAGCCCGGCCAAGGTGTTGGGTGTCTACCGAGGTCGAACTATTCTTGTGTAAAACTGGTATGACCAAGGTCAGCATCAACCCATATCTCATAGTCATTCGCATCACTTGCATCAAGGCCAAAGTGACTAGAACAGAGGGAAGGATATCAATTGAGCCTTTTCAACTCGCCCATCAACCTCTTGCAAGCCGGGCAGAGAACTTTCGACCGTGCCAGCGAAGCGTCCATCCCTCCGGACATTCACCCGTCGTCCCGAGATGTTGCCTATTTCTTCACCAGGTGCACGCGTCTCACATGTATAGAGTAAAAGGAAATTATCTCGATGATGGCAAACATTGACCCTGATGCAAATGATTTCCGAGGATCTAACCTCCAAGAACTCCCCACGATATCCCCCCTCACGTCCCATTTCTTCATGAGTGGACCCATGGTGAGGATTGCCTCACGTTTTTTAGACTACATGCCGTGTTCTTAATTGCGCCATGCATCATAAGATTTGTTAACCCCGAAAGAGACAGATTCGTTTAGGAAGGAGGAGCAGCACCACGTCCACGGCCAAAGCCACCACGGCTAGAAAGAGACAAGATGTTAGCAGAATGTCCACCGTTGGCCCAGGCAGCCAGCCCTGAAATCCTTTCCATCTTGTAGATGAACAATTGAGGATTCCAACGAAAAGGAAGAGGGGGTTTTTCTCACAATTGAGGAGCAAACTCGCCGGGAGCACCACCCTCCTTGCCCTCGCCAGCATCCCTCCTTCGGTATCCACCCTCACGGTCGCCACGGTCGCCGCCACGGCCACGGCCGCCAAAGGGTCGTCGCTCACGCTCGCCCTCGCCGAGCATGCCACGGGGAGGAGCGTGTGATCGCTGCTGCTTGATGTGGGTAGCAGGAACGATCTCGGCGGGCAGGTGAAGCCATTCCCGGAGGTAGTCGAGACCCTCGGGGGTCAGGGTGTAGTAGTAGTATTGCCAGGAGAACTGGGTCTTGACATAGCCGCGGGAGTTGAGGGACTGGGCAGCCTTGATGACGAACAGGTTCTTGGTGTCGATATCGGGGTGCTTGGGGAGGTTGAAGTCCTTCTGCGCGACGAGGACGCCCTCGCGGAAGAGGTACTACCGGGAGACGAAAAAATGTCAGTGACGCCTGAATCTTGTATTTGCATCTCCTTGCCTCGACACAACGGGCAGCAATTTCCTTCGAGCTGCGCGCTCCCTTCAGCTCGTCTCTCCATTGTCGTAGGTGGAATATACCTCGTGAATCTTCTTGCGGTCGGCCTTGGGAATCAACATCGTGGCGGTTTGCTGCTCGGAGGGTCGATGTTGGAAAGTTGACGGTGTTTGCGGACAGGCGTACAACCAGAGATCTCGAATTGGATAACTTTTGTGGGCGGAAGCCCTACATGAAATTCCAACCTAGCGAAGTGGGGTGGCTCGAAAGTGTGCGTTGTGGCTGACATCACGTGTAGATAAGCGGGCTCTGATAACGTCTGCTCTAGCGCCTCCAGCTGGTGTGGCGCAGGCCGCGACCTCACATGACAAAGTTTCCGCTTGTCATCGCAGCCATTTTCCCCCAAACTCTAAGATTCCTCTACCAAACCATCATCGCAGCCTCGTTTCCTTGTTGACGCTTTGCCAGGGCAACCACAGAACCTAAGCGGTCAATACGGGCTAGCTCTCTTGCAGTGGCTTGTGGTATATAAACAGCCCGACGCCCAGCCCTACCTGCGACCATCGTTCCTTCGCGCTCTGCATTCTTCACGATTTCCTACATCAATCGCATCACCGCTTTCGCCACGCACTGCTTTCTATCAGGCAGACGACGATCTCATCACACACATCAAACACAACACACACAGCTCTCATCACAATGGCTGAACACCTCAACGTTCTTATCTCGACCTTCAAGGGTCTCGGCCTTCCACCGACCTTGGTCTTGCGCACAGCTCCATCGACTACGGTGACCTCTCTGCGACAACAGATTGATGGCAAACTGCCTCCCGGCGCCACCGAATCAAAGCTCATCATCACAACAACCTCAAATCGAGAGCTGCCCCAATCATCAGAGGCGCCCCTCTCCACCTATCTCGCATCAGACGAAGATGACTTTCTCTCTCTGCGCCTCGCCATCCCCCTCTGCGGTGGCAAGGGAGGTTTCGGATCCCAGCTCCGAGCGGCCGGTGGTCGCATGTCATCGCGCAAGAAGCAAAAGCAAGACGATGGCGGCTCAAGCCGAAACCTGGATGGTCGACGACTGCGCACCATCAACGAGGCCAAGGCCCTCGCAGAGTATCTCGCTATCAAGCCAGAGATGGAGAAGAAGGAGAAGGAGAAGCGGCGCCAGCGATGGGAGGAGATTGTCGACATGGCTGAGAGGAGAGAGGCAGAGATCAAGTCTGGCGGCAGAGGCAAGCTTGATGGCAAATGGGTCGAAGACAAGGAGGAGAGCAACGAACGGACCCGCGATGCGGTTCTGGCTGCCATGAAGTCCGGCAACTACAAAGACAACCTCTTCAGCACCTCTCAAGGCTCAGCGTCAAGCGAACAAAGCAACGGTCAATCTACGAGTGAGGGAGAGGATTCTGAGAGCTCAAAGGAGTCACCACCCCCTGCTACAGAGGCTGCCGGTCCATCAAAGGCCAAGCCGAGGACATTCTTTGGTTTCGACGAAGACGATGAGTTTATGAGTTCCGAGTCGGAGGATGAGGGCAAGAAGAAGTGATCAAGATGGACGTGCGATTTTCAGTGCGTTGATTATTTATCTGCTTTTTGGTCCAAAAGTAACTGGAGTCCTGGGGTCATTTGGTCATTGGGTCATTGGGTGTATTTGGGAAAGGGGCGACATTCGAGCTTGATACGATACCAATTAATTTAGCAAATGTGCCGACAGAGCACTTCTCTTCATGCTTCCCATGTGTTTCTTGTGAATACGGTGTCACGCATGCAATACGTCATACTCGGCTACTAGGTAGACTGTATACTACTTCAATACAGTAGTCGCATTGAGCTATATGTACATCAACAAAACGTCTCACGAGTTCATACTCCAAAGTTGTGCCCATTGGCTTGCGATTGACAACTACAGCTTTTCTTGCAGTACACGCGCACCTGGCTGCTTAATCTATACGAACACCCATTCCTGCTATATACCCTGCCGCATCGATTCTGAGCACTTAAGCATCAAGCTTCACAGGGAAGTTGCCAGCCTCTGTACCAAGAAAAAGCAAAGAGAACAATGATTAGCTTGAAACCAGGATCGTCGCGTTGTCGGGTATAAGTGAAGACATACCGCGCTGCTCGTCCCATCGCTGGTACCATCCAGAGGGGCACAGTGATCGGTAGGCCAACCAGAACTAAACACACAATTGGTGTCAGTGTACAAGTATATAGAGATGCGGCGCATCAAGTATCAAGAGGGTTCTCCCCATTTCCTGGTTGTTCGGCGTACCTGACGGCAAGGCGCAAAGTCCTCTCCCTTGGCGAGGATGCACTTGTGGTAGTCGACGTAGTTTTGCCAGCAGTGCTTGGTCTGGTTCACGTTGGGGAAACGGGCATCAGTGCCTGCGCAAAAGGCCTCCAGTTAGCGAAACATGCGGGCGGTATGCACATGCGTATGGGTTGTGTATATATATGTAGGTATATCGGGAAGCGGGTCCTCCGGCGACGGGTAGAGAGAGCTGAGTTGAAGCTATCCCAAGCTTGCCAACAAGTCGCTCGCAGTCGACGGCAATGCAATGATCAAGCTGTTCGTCGTTTGCGGTTGATGCAGAAAAGGGTAGGTATGTGTTGTCGGGCATTCTCACCAGCTACAAGAAACCGCCATTGTTAGCCTCGGTCACCTCTCAGATCAGACCACTTTTTCCCCGAGAACACATTGAGAGAGGGGATATTTTGTTTCTCAAGAGGCAAAGACAAGCGCCCGTACCAGTGACAAACTTGAAGGGCTTGGTGACAAGCTCCTGGCCTTCCTCGTCGGACATGATGGATAGCGAGAGATTCGGTGCTTTCGGCGCGGGGGGTGTTGCAAAGATGCTCGGCAATTGGGGGGGAGGTCGCGGGATTGGAACGAGGTCGAAGGTGTCGAATGAGTCTGGAGCAGCTTTGCTTTCCGAATCAGATGTTCCGGATTGCAAAATGTGTGCCTCAGGCGCCCAGCGCGGCCAATGGGGCCACTCCGGCAGGCGCAGGGTGGGCCATTTTTGCCTGCTGAGGTGGGAATAATTGCACCATGAGCCGGGGCGTCTCTTTAGTGCTGCCCTTGCTTCTTGCTTCTAGTACCTGCTCTGCATTCTCCGGCAACCCAGCCTCAACCACCTCCAAAAGGCCAAAAAGCAATCCCGGCTGCTCCCTCTCGTCGCCTCTCTCGGCACTCCGAAAAGCTTCACTCTCCGCTCAACCCTCACAATGCGCCCTTCTCTTGCTCTTCGGGCCTTCCGCCCTACGGCCCGCATGATGCGCCCCGTTCCCGTAAGTGTGCAGCTTGCTGACCTCACAATTTGAGATCCGATGAGATGCGAGATCCCGGCTAACCCTCGCGGCTTTGTAGAAGGAGGACCAGGCCGGTATGTGACGCAATTGACGAACCAGCAGAACAAGAAAAAAAACCTCGCCGCGACCATGTATTGACAGCCTCTACGCAAAGGCCACACCGTTTCCCAGCGCCTCCGCAAGCTCAAGCAGATGCCCGCCGAGCTGTACCCCCTCTGTACGAAAAGACTCACCCTGCTCCGAACCCGAGGGGCTCCCCCTCACATGCGATGTCTCCTTCTTCTAACATGAGGCTATAGTCGTCGTCGTCGGCTTCGCTCTGGGCGCCGCTGCCTACTCCTGCTCCCGCAAGTTCTTCGTCGACAAGAACCTGCGACTGTCCCGACAGGGTGCCGCTGCCCGCGCCGCCCAGCAACACACCGAACACGGCGAGGATCACTAAGCTGTTCGAGTTCTTCTTTCACTTGCGTCGAGGAGCAACGTTTGGGCGGGACAATGATTTGACGTGCGTCTACTTGGGAATATGAGATGGGGGATTCAGTATACTGTACATGTCGAGAACCTGTAGGGACGAAGCGCCGATGAGAAACACAGCTTGCAAGTTGTTCCAAAACCTCGGTTTTTCTACCCCATTCCTGTAAAGAAAAAAAGAGAATCTAGTATGCCATGGCATGGTCCCCTCCAAACACCGTCGCTATGCAAAAAGAAAGGGGGAAAAACAGTCCAAGTGAACCCGTATCCTGTCATCGCGAATCCCATATCGTGTCCTTCATCTACAGCTCCCTTTTTCTCAATCTCTACTCCTGCTTGGGCCCCGCAACATCCAGCCCCTCGAGACCTTGCATGGGATCTGATGCCGGTTCTTCAAGCTTTGACTCATTTGCGACGTCATCCTCCGCCGCATGCTCAGCAAGCCAGCTCTCCTGTAAGAAAAAAAAGTCAGAATATTTATTTCCCCCATCATTATGATATCAAGTTCACGTGAAAGAACAAAGCCTTGTGGAAAACAACTCACCTGCTCCCAAATCGCCTTTTTGCTTCCCAATCCCTCATCCGCACTCTTGGGCGCCCTGGCCGGCGACACCTTGATCACCCTGCCAAAGAACTCGGACTGGTCCATGTTGTCAATGGCCTCCTTTGCGTCCGCGCTGTCCTCGTACTCGACGTACGCGAAGCCCTTGTGGGGGTCCTGCGAGCTGGCGTCTGATTTGGGGAGCTGCACCTCGACGATGTCGCCAAAGGGGATGAAGGCGTCGAAGACGTGCGTGTCTGTGACGAGGGGCGCGAGGCCGCCGACGTAGACGGTGGCTTTCCAGCGTGCAGAGTCTGTCATTATGATGGAATGGCTCGAGCTTTTATAAGGAGCTTTTGAAGGGCAAGAGAGGGAGAAAGTAGGTAGGTAGGTAGTGCGGTATCAAGTCTTGTTTGATGTGAGCTTGTATTCTCTCAGAAACTTGAAGCTTGTGTTGGTGACACTGAAGTTGTAGACGGACAGCTTCCACAAGCCGAGGTTTCTCCGGCAAGACGTCACAGTCTGGATGGAGAGGAAGAACAAAAGCACGTAAGACTAGAAAACCTATGAGATTTGGATCGCAACAGGGTTTGTTAGTATATCTAGTGGTCGATTGGATATTTCTGGGGTATTTTAGGTTAGAATACCAATCCGATATGCTGGCTTGGCTAAGACGCATCAGCGTGCGATATCAAGAATAATACCTACCATAGGTAGGTACCTAGGGTAAGGCACCTTATACCACTGGCCTCATGTCAGCCAGCCCGATACCCTACAGTCAACCATCTGCATCATGGCTCGAAAAGGAACACAACACTGATTGTCTGAGGAACTCATTTAATCAATGAAACGAATCAGAAGAGAGGGTACAGTTATAGCTCTGGCAAGCTTATATCCAATCATGTATCAGTCGAGGCTACGTATAGTTACAGAAGCAAGGCTTGCCGTAGCCCATGACCGATGTTATCAACCGGGAGCTGTTTTGATTTCGACGTCATGCCGTCAAAAATCCTACAATAACTTCATAAATCCAATGCAGGCCCTCGACGGTCCTCAATTCGAGTAGAACGAATAGAGGACACAATCACATCAAACTCAGTCCAAATACCCCTTCAACCCAAACCCAATAACAGCCCAAACCGCCGCACCTACAGCAAACAATGTAGTCCTATCCATCATCAACCGGATCAGTATAAATACAATCAATCCACATCCAATTCTCAAATCCAATATCTCAATAAATGCAAAGGAATGGAAAAAGAAAAAACTCACTCAACCTTCTTCCCCGCCCTCCAAACAATATACAAATCCGCCACACAAATCCCCATAGAGCTCAAGATAACCGTCCCCATCGCATCCCTCATCCCAGCCCTATGCAGCGCAACCAACATCGTCGCCATTGTCAAATCTCGACTCCCTACCAAGATCGCCACAACTCTATCACTCGACCGGGATTGTTCTTCATTGACAAACGGCGGCGTTGACGGCTCGAGACTAAACAGCTCGGCGGTGCGCTCCGTGTCAAACAGCGCGCTGGAGCCGAGAATGGCAAACGTTGCTGCGACGCTGAGGCCCAGCGAGTTCCAGGTGGACGCTGAGAAAGGCATATCGCTCGCGCGCGCGTGTTGTGTGTCGTTTTGCACTACAGTCTCTTGACGATATATCTTGAAAGGGGGGGGAATGAGAATGAGCTGACTGACGGATGAGGAGTGCTTATATTCAATCAGCTGTTGTTCGTCTGCTACTAACATGGCCCTAGGCAGCGCCGACGGGTCTAGGCATGGAGGCCTTGGATGGCACACGCGAATCAATTCGTGCGAGTATCACAACATCGCTTCTCCATCCCCCCTAAGCGAATCAAACGACGCGCCGTTTCCCAATGAAGACATCTGTGCGAGTTCAGCTGAAAACGCGAGGCGAGGTTTGCCAGTCATGTCTAACACGATAGCATTCCTACAGTGTCGTCAATATAACAGTTGCACGCGTCTGGACATCGATGGCCAACAGCAATATACCCTAGCAGTTCATAAAATAGTCAGCCATCGGACAACAAATCACTGTATCGGAAAACACCATGTATATATAATATATATTCTAACTAGTCGTGCCGCCTGCGGATTCAATCAATGCCTTTGCATAATCCATCGATTTCGTACCGCCTATAAACTCGTCTACAAAAGTCCATAATTCTTCCTATAAAAAGCATTAATCACTCATCAAGGGGTCGCCTTGCTCATGCTGATGAGTCGCTTAACTCCGACCTAGACACATTGCGCGTTAGTTTAGAAAGAAATCTGGGTTGCGAGAGATTTGGAGAAATCCAACTTACCATCCAGTTACCGCACTCCTCAGTCTTGTCTCGGTTGATTTCCATCTGCAGCCTTTGAGCTGTGGCGTAGTCCTTGGCTTGCATTGCGATAGCGAGCTGTGTCAGCTGCTCAATAGTCGATGCCTGCACAAGCTCCTCGTTGTTCAGGTGGTCGAAGAGAATGTTCAGACGCTTCTGGGTGTCCTTGACTTGAGGAGCAAACGTGGGAGGTGCCTTGGACGCCACTCGCTGCATATCTGAGCTTAGGATATCCACCAACTGTTGAGCATGAGGTGGGATGTGTGATCGATCGCCAGGGGGATGCTTGGCTGCTGGGGGTGGTGCGGTCTGCTTAGCGGGCGGAGGAGCAGAAGTGGTCGAAGGAGGCCGGCCCATCGGAGGAGGACCTGTTGGTGGCGGCTGAGTGGCAGGCACCTGTCCGGGGGCCGGCGCGTACGGTGATGGGGCATACGGACTGGGCGCTGCCGGCTGCTGTTGAACTGGCGGCGCATAAGGATTTGCGGGCGGTGGCGGTCTGCTAGCCGGGCCCGGAGGCGGTGGCATGGTGGCGCTGCCATACTGTCCAGGCTGCTGCTGCTGAGTTCCGGTCACTGGAGCGTATCGGTTCGAAGGGGGAGGCCCGGCAGGAGGCGCGTTATATGGCGAAGCTGTGCGAGGCATCACTGGAGGGGCCGGGTGAGTCGGAATGGCCCCGGTTATGGGAGTCGGCGGAGCATATGGATTTGCTGCCGCAGATGAGGTTCGAGGTGGCCCGGTCACTGGCGGTCCGGCTAATGGGGACTGGACTCGTGGAGGAGCTGGTCCCTTGGGAGGTGGAGGAGGACTAGCCCTAGCACCAGCCCCGTAAGGCGACGTTGATGACGGAGGAGGGGGATGAGCTGCCTGGCCCTGCTGGGCTCCAAAGGGAGACGCAATGGGCGGGACGCTGGGCGTTGACCTTCGTGGCGCGGCCTTTGTCACCATAGGGACGTCATTCCAGTTCTCAGTGTTCTTGGCCTTTGCTGCAGGTGGAGGACCCGAAGATGATGGCGTCGTGTTCCTCGGGGGTCCGCTGATGGGAGGAGGTGCGATGGGCGCTCCAGTGTAGCCAAACTGACTAGGAGGCTGGTACCCCTGTGGCTGATAGCCCTGAGGTTGGTAACCTTGGGGCTGATAGGGGTTGACTGGTGGCTTGTACTGCTGAGAGGCTGACACCGCCGGTGAAGTCTGCTGCAGTCCGACATACGGGTTCGTGGGAGCCGGGATGGAGGCAGGCTGAGGAGGTTGGTAGCCTACCACAGGTGGCTGCTTTCCGGCTGAAGTCGTTGATGGCGTTCGGCGAGATACCGTGATCGGCACGGCAGCGGGCTTCTTCTGCGTTGCGAGCTTCACTCGACTTCTTGTCAGCTCGGCAGCTGGATAATTGGCTGGCAGCAGATCGAGGAATTTCTGGGCAACCTCCAGCTTGCCCTGGCCGGCCAGAATCTCGGCGTACTCGGTGTACTTGTCGTAGAGCGTCGCCAGCTTCCAGTCTGCCGTCTTGGACAGTTCCTTGTCCTGGAACTTGGCGACGTGGCGGAACACAGTCACCTTCTCAATGAAGCTCTGGAGCGATCGAGTGTGGACCGAAAAGGTAGAATCACCGGACTCCTGCTGCATCCTCGCTTGCTCCGCCTCCTTAAGCTCATCCACCCAGATGGCGACGACCTTTTCGAGTTTCGAGCCCACGAGGTAGCAGAAGGAAGCGTCCTTTCGCTGACCCTGCTCGTTGATCCGGTCGCCCAGTGCCTCGCAAAGGTCTGGGAACTCAGTAGGGTCTGAAAAGGTGCAAATGATTGCCATTGTCTCCTTCCAGTTCTCGAGGTCTGCATTGTACACGATATCCCACAGGTTCTTGTCAACGACAGAGCTGATGAGCCGCAAGTAGCTGGGAACGCCGTCCTTGCGAGCGAGATAAGCAGATTGCACCTTCTCGACGAGCTCCTGGCCGCCACAGTTGGCAATGAGGAAGGCGTCTGCGATACGATCCTCCTTCAAGCAGATATCCGTGGCCTTGGCAAAGTTGCCCAGCATGAGAGCTCTCGTAATGTCCTTCTCGACAGATGTATCGCCGTCACTGAAGAGGTGGAAAGGCTTGTCCGTCTTAGCACCTTTGTTGGCAGCCAGGCCAGAGAGGAAATCATCTCCCTCGCCCTCACCATCCCCTCCAAAGAAGTTGGACAGGCGCCTGGGCTTGCCCTCCGCGTCTGTAGCCTCCTCCTCCTTTTTAGGCGTCTCCTTCTCCTCACCCTCGGGCGTACCAGCAGCAGAGCCGTTTGTGAGATCTTCTTCCTTGAAGCCGAGATGCTCAACAATCTTTGAACGAGGGTTCTCGCCGATTAATGTCTCAATGACTGTCCAGTCTGCCTTCTCCTCGTCGGTCTGAGCTTGAGCCTTTCTCTCTTCGCAAAGCGTGACGACGTCCTCGGATTTGAGAGCCTCTTGGAATCTTTCGATAGCGGACGCAACATCTGAATCGGCAGAAAACTGCGAGATGGACAGTTTTGATTGGCGCTTCTGGCCAGCCTGAGTTGGCAACTCCTTGAAAATGACAAGTTTACCACCAAAGCCAAAGGAAGCCCCAATAGGTCGCTCAAACCACTTGGGCGCCTTGGGTAAGGACCATGAAGCTCCCTGAGGCTGGGTCTGTGCAGCCCTAAAGAACTCCTCGTCATCTAGGGGTTTCTCGTTGATTGCTTGCGACTTGTCAGGGTTGGTGTTTTGGAGCGTTTGGATCGTGATCTTGCCGTCGAAGCTTGCGGTAGCGGAAAGGTTAGGGTTGTGAGGGTGAAAGCGCGTCTGGAAGGTCCAGTTGGTGACCTCGGGCAATTCTCCGTAGCGCTCTCCGGTGTGCGGGTTCCAGACAATCGTCTTGTTGTCCTTGCCGGAGGAGAGCAACAGATCAGGGTCCTGCTGGCACCACGATAGTGACAAGACACCCTGCTCATGTCCCTGGAGAGTCTTCTCCGGAGCATTGGAGTTGCGCAGATCCCACAGAAAAATGACGGGCGTGTTGTCGTCGGGGGTTGCCGTGAGAAGTTTTGTGGAGTTATTGGGATCCCAGGCAATGGCGCTGACTGCCTTGCGGTTGTTGTTCAGGGTCAAGGATGCCTTCTTCGTCTTCAGATCCCAGACGGTCACGAAGCCGCCGGGGCCTCCAGTAGCGAGAATGTGAGAGACCTTGCGGTTCCATGCCAAGCAGTCGATATCGTCGGATCGGGCCGCCGCGTTACCCAGACGGAAGGGGTTCTCGATGTCGCCGATGTCGTAGATGAAGAGCTCGCCCTTGGCACCCGCAGTAGCCAGGATCTGCGGCTTCAGAGGGTTGAACTGGAGAGCCTTGATAGCACCGGTGTGCTTCGTCGTCTTGGAGATGGAGGCGTCAGAAGCCCCCGCCTCGAGCTTCTCAACGTCCCACAGCTCAAGGGTGCCATTCTCTAGAGCACCTGCGACGATGCCCCTGGGGTGGTTGGCGTCGGGAGGCCCCCAGGCAATGTCGTAGAATCTACTAGCCTCAGCAATTGACTCAAGCAAAGCGTCTCCAAACGCCAAGATCCCTACCTTGACTCGGTGGTGATGCTGACCACAGGCTGGAGTTCGATGCCCTGCTCCTGGTTGTCCAGCGCGAGGTCCCAGAGCTCCAGCTTGCTCTCATCAGAGAAGTCGGCGTCGACCGCTCCAGCCTTGGTCCCTGTGACGACCATGGGCTTGCCGGCGCCGGGCGACCACGCAAAGGTGGCCGTTCGGGGGATGTCTCGTAGGCGCACCATGGTGGCGGGGTTGCGGATGTAGTTGTAATACGAACGGGCAAAAGGGAAGCGATGAAACAGCGGCGAATTGACAGAGAAAGAGAGGTGTTGAAAAATGCCCAATCAGCGGCCCTGATGCAGCATTGATGAGTCGAGAGTTGCGCAGCTCCCAGAGTCCGTCTGAGCAGAGACAATCGCGGTGCTGGGAGGCTGACTGGCGTGCGAGGTGGTCGAGAGTCCAGGGCCAGCTTAGTATGATGCCAGATTGCAGGCCAGATGTTCGCATCAGCTCCTCCCTGCCCAAGGTCCGCGTCTGTGCTCTGCGACTAGCTGGCGACAGGTCGCTGCACGTGACGCCGCCGGTGCTGCTGCGGCAGACTTATCGTGAGCTTTTGTGCCTGCAACACAGCATCTGCAACAAGTTGAATCACGAAAATGGCGGAAGAAAATATGAAAATCAAATCCAGCCTTTGAAATGTTCAGTATATAGGTAATCAGTTCACCAGCAACAACACCAAGTGCTGAATGTTGTTCCTGCTGCGGCTGTCACAGGCTCAATATAAAAGCCGTCCATACGGCGCGGCCCCCTGTGGCAGATCCAGATTGGGTAAATTGCGACTCTCTGTGAACCACTCTAGGCACTGGATTACACTGGCAAGAGCATATGGACAAGTATACAAATCAAGGATCGAATCTCAGATCGGGCGTGATAAGTTCGTTCTACAAGCTTCTTTAACCCCACTGGATGCCGAAATGCAGCTTCGAGGGCTAATACCTGCCATAACCATATGGCAACTTTAAATGGAAGAATAACGTTGATGCAGCTTGCATGTTATTCAAAATCTAGATATATACTGACCTCTATAGTCTAGATAGTACTAGTATATAGTGACGGAGTATTAACGGGAACCTGAATAGGCGAAGGTGGTCGATATGCGGCAGGCGAATGTGGCATTCGAATGAACTGGTAGTCGTGGAGGATCTTCATGGTGCTTCGTGACGGTCATGGGTATCGAGGTTCCGGCCGGCAATGAGACGATGTGATGATGCTTTCGGGAGGCTTGGCCATAGGGTGTAGATGTACGGTCAAACGTAGGTGTCGTCTCATCTAGACGGAAGCACCTTCTTGACGTATTCCCTGACTAGCCGCAACGCCGCCCTCACAATGTCTTCCAGCCGCCGGTCTTTTCGACTCCGCATCCAGAGAAGTATAATGCTCAGGACAACGCAGTCAATCAACAAGTGTTTCATGACGACGAAGATGAGCCACTTTATCCAGGCGGGAAAGCTCTTCTTCTTCCTCGACCTCCACTCCCGCCCCGTGGCGATTTGTTCGCGGAGAGCGGCAACTTCTGCCGTGAGCTGGGTGATGGCTCGTTCCATCTTCTTGGACCACCGGCTGTTCTGTAAACTAATGGCACGGTCCTCTTCGTCCCTTGCCACCGCGTCTTCGTCATCCTCGTCAACCAGCCTGCGGGATCGCAGCTCGACCACGTCCTGCTCGCTCATGGGGCTGAGGACCTTCAAGGGCAAGTCGCTGCTGCCACTCCTGGGCTGGTTGAAGCTCTGCGTGGGGTCACTCGGATTGGCCGAGGAAGATTCGGAGCTGGGGACGTTGTCTTTGATCTGGTTCCAGACAAACTCGAGCTCGGCAACGAGTTCTCTCCCATCTCTGCTTGTGGGAGGTTAGTGTCGATTAATCAGGTGTCGCAGATACTGGAATTGTGGGATGTGGGCAGGGACTCTCACGACGTGTTTGCATATTTGTGCATGGTCTCAATGAGGGCCTCGATGTATCGCCTCTTTGACTCAGTTCTTGTCAAGCCCTTTTGTGAGTTCCACGCATCCCACTTATCCCGCTCCTTCTGCAGCTCGTCCGGCGGCAAACCTGACCCGGCCGTGGGCATCTCCATGACACCATCAACATCCCCTTCCATGGCCTGTTTGTAGAGACCATACAGCCGTAACCGCTCGGAAGGGGGCGGCCGCGAGGCTCCGGTCTTGGGTATCTTCTTGACGGTGTTTAAGGCATGAACAAAGACTCGATCTGTAGCATTGGGCCGTTAGCATGTGCCGTTGCGGGCTCGTTGTGGGGGGGAAGCAGAGAGGCATCTGTTTGATATACCCACCCACGGAGTCCGCCATCGGGGGCGGCTATGACGGGGAGCCTTGCAGCTCCCAACAAGCCTGATGCGATCTGTTGGAGGTGTCCAGAAAAAAGCATATATTGCTCTGTGACAAATCGATAATGGATCTTTTTCTCCCTCTTTAGGATGTATTGCGGGTTTCCGTGCGTTTTCGATGGCAATTGTTGGGTAGAACGGGAGCGAGAATCGATGTCGTCTCTGGTGCTCGTTGACCCGAAACAGCTGATCGGTGGATGATAAGGGCCGAGGGTAGTTTGTCTCTTGAATAGCTTGTCCAGACCAGCGCAGAGGCAAGAAATATCAATCCAAAAAGATGACGCAGATTCCCGCGATAGAGACAAAATCTTCAGGCGTGATTTAGCCGCGGTGAGAGTCGAGGCAGCGGATTCTGTGTCGAGATGATGTTTTGCGGGCGTTCCGTTGACGACTCGAGGCTCTCGGTCTATCGTTCCGGCTCCAGTCGCAATTGAACCTCGGCGCGCTCGCGCTCCAGTTTAGCTCGGAGGACGCCTCAGCGCTATAAAGTGCTTCGGTCAGGGGGTCTCGGCTGCTGGGAAAGGGCTCCAGTGCTGTGGCACGGCCTGCGCTGGGCTCTTTCTCGCGTCATCGAGCCGGGTATGGAGTACCTGCGGCAGCACGTGAAAGTCGCCTGGCCGCTTAGTTACGGGTACATGGATGATGGACATGAACCGCTCAACGGCACCCGTTCATGTTCTAGCGTCTGTTCCTGTTTACCCCGGATTCGGTGCCCAACAGATGGAGATTCTCTTGATTGGAGGCATCCAGCTTTGGCGTACTGAGCTGACCAGATAAAGGGATCATATCTGGTCTTGATCTAGGCATGTCCTATTCATCTTCCACGGTGCTGTGTGGGAAAATCTGGCAAGTCTGGTCACCGAAAGACCCCCCCCCCCAAGGGTTTAGATACCTACATTATAGCGGACCTCAGCGAATGATGCAACAAGTGGTTACGAGGCGGCAACCATAGCAAGACATTTCGCTAATAGTCGCTCCATATAGCGTCTCATTTCGCTGTGCGGCAGGTTGTTTCAGAAAGGTCTCATGGTATCTTTTGTCGTCCTAATGGTATCCTTTACAACATTTGTACATAATAGTATCTACTTTAACAGTAATCCCTAGTGTTGATTTCCACGATGGTATGGTGTCCGGCTGACCAAAGCCTCCTTATAACAGCCTATTCAGGATTGAATTATCGTCCCTCGCTTGCATATATTGTTTCTTCTTCTCCTCATATGCCTGTATGAGCCGCTTGTTCTGCAACGCCGCCTCAGCTGCTTTGTTGCCAGCGTCCTTCTTGCTCAGGGCCGTGCCGACCGCTAATAGTCTTCCGACCTCGCCGTAGCCGGTCAAATATGCTCCAACAGTGAACAAGGGTAGTCCCAGATTCTTGTCCCTTTTCTCGCCCGGTAGATCTTTGTACTCGATTGTAACACCCTTGGTCACAATCTTTACGCTCAGCCGCTGCTTGGCACTCGAGTCTATTGCCCCTCCAGGCGTTGGTTGAGTTTCTGATCGCGTCTTCGCCACCTCTGCCTTGTAAATGTCTTCTTTGAGTGTCCTACCCCAGAGGGACTTCAGCCACCCCACCACGGTGATGAGTCCTTGCTCGGGATCCGAAAGAATAACGGCTGCGACATAGGCTTCGAACATGTCGGCTTGTGTCTTCAGTAAATCTTTGTCCTTTGATCGTCCTCGTCCCAGTGTCATGTGATCACGGAACGATCCCGGGAGCTTGGCCCATCTAGACATCTCGTAGTGCCGAAAGAACTCGGCGAGGGTGATGTTACGAACACATCTCTCGCGGAGTTGCGCGCAAGTTCCGGATCGCAGCTGCGTGAACGTTTGGTGGATGAGAGCGCTCGCGATCAGCTCGATATATGCGTCGCCTAGCCATTCCAGACGCTCATAGTTATACTTGAGCCCAAGGCCCGGGTGCGTGAAAACCTCCTCGGCCAGTTTGGGGTCAAGGATAGGAGGCAAAGGAGGCCACTCTTGCCGTATCTCTGCTGCAGTCCATGGCGTGACTTTGATATTTGATAGCAGGAGTATGTCAGGAGAGCCCTGAGTAACTTCCGCAACCTTTTATTCTCTAATATTAGCATCTCCATCTGGCGAAGTAAGGCAATCAAAGGCGATGGGAAACTCAGGCGCATACCGTTGGCGTCGCATCAGCAACCATGGGCTGCGCTATCTCAGCATCAGGCTCATCGAGAGATGCGATGGCCTCAAATGTGGGAAGCAGCTGCTTGGATAATTTGGACAGCCGTGACTTGACGTCTCCAACTTGGAGTTCTGCAGGGTTCTTGCTCTGTGAAAGCTGCTGCTTGAGGATTTGGAGACATTCCACCAGCTCGTCTGCCTGTTCAGCAAGTGATGTGAAGGCTTGACTTGTTGCTTCGCTGCTGCTGACGGTATCGCCGGTCTTTCTGAGGTCCCCAATTTGCTGCCGCTTTGCACCCTGGGCTGCTCCGGGGGATGAATTTGGTCGCTTGGTCATTTTTTCTTCTTCTCAAGACCAGCACCAAATTCGGTGATAAAGTTCGTCGCTATGATGTGAAGATCCAAGCATGAATTGACGGGGATTTGTTTCCTGGGCGAGTGAATCGCAGCAAGCAAAAGGCCCACCTCTCAGCGCGCAGCAGGGTCTAGGCCCGATATGGACTAGCCCACTTTCTTTTTGATGGGCGCATTCAAACTTCATTCAACGTCCAGGAAGCTGATGCCATCATTCGAGATCAAGCATGTAAAGATGAGCATCCCTCGAGAGCGGTTAGTAGCATTGATGAAGGTAAACCCACCGCATCGCATAGGTCCCCCCTCGCAATCTTGAAAGCTCGACTAACGATTTCCCTAGGCGCAATGCCAAGTCTTCGCCTCGACGTTCAACCCTGAGGGGATTCGCATGGGCAATAAGGTCTTGCGACAGCGACTCAAAGGCCCAGCCCTCGCCGCCTACTACCCCCGGAAGCTGGCGACGATCAAGGATGTGAAGCGGGAGTTTGGACCAGTGCTTGCCACATGGGATGAAGCCGAGGAGGATCGGTTCGAGTACATTGAAGAGTAGGTGCAATTGCGAGGGAGCTTTTGAGAGAGCAGTCGGCTGAAACTACAACTCTAGGCTCAAACAACGTGGAAAGAGTGCACCGAAGAAGAAGAGGGGCCCACCTGGTACGTCCAAGTCAACGTCGAGATCTACCTGGTGCTCAGAACGACTATCAGCTAAGAATTCTTACAGCTCCCACTCCGGGAAAGAAGCGATAATCGGCGCATTATCCGCTCTGGCGGCGTCCTTTATACTACAGCATCATGTCCAATCACCCTGAAATAGGGTCTACGAGAATCACGGAGGCAGGCTATCAAGATGGGAAAAGAAAAGGCGTTGGAGGAATTGGTGACGCAAGATTTTGTGATGCCACTTTGAAGACTGTCGCAACGACTGGGACTGTACAATTACCCCTTGGCTTGGGCCGCTTGAACCTATGCAAGAAGAAGCAAGAATACAAGTAAAATATCTTGGACTAGATTAGTATGGCAGAGAGTTGTATATGCCAAGCACGTCGGGATGGAGAAACGCTTGCACTGGGAGGCAGACCTCTGGTGCTATTGTTTCGGCCCAGGTTCTACATCAACGTTGATTGCGCAGTGACTTGACGCCTCCTGAGGTGGCACCAAACCTTGTAACTCTTTACGCATCGAGATCCTTCTTGAGACGATGAATTGCATTTCTCGCGCCGCTTTTCTCCATTGTCATTATGCGGAAAGGAGACAAACGATGCCAGAACTTCCGAGTGCTCGTCTGGAGCACCTTGTGATTCACTGAGGAGTTTTGCCGCTTGCAGTGCTCAGTCGCCCAATTTTCGAAGCACTGACAGAATGCGAACAAGCTGATGCGTCTCCCTGATTCCTTCATCCTCTTACAACTCCCTTCTCTTCTCTTCTCTTCTCTTCTCTTCCCTCGATATATATATCGTTTTCCGATGCCTTGATGTGCCTGCAAACATCAATTCTAACGCTGCACAACTGCTCAAAAGCCATTTCCAGCGTCTTCAAGCAGCAAATACAGCTGCCGGACCCTCCTCAACGTCTGAATCCTGCCTCGTGTCGTGGCCTTAGCGAGTGGCAGACAAGGCGGTGTCCATTTTTGGCGATAGGGACTGACGGGTGCTGCCAGCTCCTTCCTTGCACTGCCTGGCAGGCCGTTCTTTCACCCGCGACTCCAGCCGACCACTAACATCTGCTTCTGCAATTTCTGTCCCTTCGACTTCTTCTCCCTCTGCACCACACATCCAACTTCTCCCTCCTTTCCTCTCTCTTTTCCCTCTTCCGTCTGTGGCACGCACGCTGCGCCTTGTTTGATTCCCGTAAGGAAGATCGTCTCTTCCGGCATCTTCCGCTGGTGCCTTTCCCTTTTGTTCTTTATCTGTTACCCCCTGCGAGCGTTTTCCTGCGGATGAAATGTCGACTTCCAGCTCCTCTGATTCTTCTCCTCCGCGTTCGGTTCCACTGCCAGACGGCACCCCCCCAAAGGACATGTTGGTGCAGGCGATCGACGTGCTTTCGATTACTGCAGCCGCTGGTGTAAGTTTTCTACCAGTTCCTGAATTTGATGTCTGAGGACTTTCGACGCGGCGTCCCATGAACCCGACTTTTGGCTCCAAGATCAGAGCCCGAAGTAACGTGATGGTGGATATTCGCTTACCGTGCTGTCCTAGGACATCGGATCGGGCGCTGCAATGAAGGACAAGGGCATTTCTCCCTTGACTACCTCGAAGCTGGCGAACCAGGGCTACCCAAAGGTGAGTGTCATTACCACTGGCTCTCGTGGTTGTTTTTGTACTCACATTATACTCGCAGCCACCTCACAATCTGCTCACCAGCAACTCGTATCACATGGAGAAACCCTTCACGAGGCTGTCAGAGCAGCAGATGTCCATCAATCAACAAAGCCACGCTGTCAAACCAGTGGATGACGATGGTTCCTTCTTGAGAGTCAATGACCAGACCCCATCGAGCACGTCGCTCCCCATCACCCCAGTGACCGAAAGTTTCTCCGCCACGGCCCCGAATACCCGTCCGGCCAGTGTCGCGCTTGAGGAACCTCGTGCAGATGCTGAAGAAGTGTTCCGCTTGAAGCTGCAGCTTGCACAAGCTCGCAGCCACATCTCCAAGCTGGATCAAGAGCTTGCCCAGTCCCGGTCAGCCAAAGATCCCGACGCAATGTCTCGTGCTGAAGCAGCTCCTCGAGACAATATCTGGAACAGAGCCACTCCGGATGATACTCAGTCCGACACTAGCGACTCTACTACTGCCGCACTCCATCGTGCTCGCGGAATTTGGGGGGCTACAAAGGCATCGTTCGCCAACAACACCTCCATCCCACCGCCTGCTCCCGAACCGTCTCCAGCTCACTGGTTTGGCGGTCGAGGATTCAACCAAAACTGTTTGGACCCAAACTCGCCTTACGTCTTAGTTGGCAACCATCGTCTCGAACGTCCGGCTCCGGACCACGATTTCATGATGCGTCCTCCATCTAACCGACGTAGTGCTCGCTTCGACAGCAGATTGGGCGCAAACCACCAGTTCGGGGGTTCCTTCGTCAATGTCAACGGTCCAGCTCATCAGTTTGACTCGGTCGGTGGTCCAGTGTCCGTCCCAGTGCCAGGCGCTCACGTTGGAGTCGGCCCAGCAATGACTCCGATGGGCATGAACATGTACCCCCAATTTCATCAACAGGCAATGGGCACTCCTCTGTCTCCCCATGCCTCAGAGTTTACCTCAAAAGCCGGGTGGAAGAGCGAAGTAGCCAGCAGCTCGATGGAGATTACTCATTATCATCCACATGCTGATGAGAAACAGATTGTTCCGTCCGAGGGACCAACTTATCTCCCGCCAACAGAGCCTCTCAACTACCGTCGCCTCCTCGACCGAAACGTGAACTGCAACTGGAAGTACATTGTTGACAAGATCGTGTGCAACAATGACCAGCAAGCTTCCATCTTTCTGCAGCAGAAGCTCAAGGTGGGAACTCCCGAACAAAAGTATGAGATAGTCGAAGCAATCGTGGCGCAGGCCTACCCCTTGATGGTTAACAGGTTTGGCAACTTCCTCGTCCAACGCTGCTTTGAGCACGGAACCCCGGAACAGGTTATTAAGATTGCCGAAGCCATTCGTGGCAATACTCTCAATTTATCCATGGATCCTTTTGGATGCCATGTCGTCCAGAAGGCCTTTGACTCGGTCCCAGAAGAATACAAGGCGATCATGGTTCACGAGCTCCTTCGTCGGATTCCCGAGACCGTGATCCACAGATACGCTTGTCACGTCTGGCAGAAGCTTTTTGAGCTGCGATGGACCGAATCTCCTCCCCAAATTATGAAGTTCGTCAATGAGTCCCTCAGGGGAATGTGGCATGAGGTTGCCCTTGGAGAGACTGGCAGCCTGGTCGTTCAGAACATCTTTGAAAATTGCCTCGAGGAAGACAAGGTACGTGGTGAAAGCTTGACCCGAGAATATGGCGAAACGCTTGCTAACGTATGTCTACCAGCGTCCCTGCATTGAAGAAGTTCTCGCCAACATCGACATTGTGGCCCATGGCCAGTTCGGAAACTGGTGCATCCAGCACATCTGCGAACACGGCGCTCCCCCTGACCGCAGCCGGGCCATCGACCACGTCATTCGATACGCTGCGGAGTATAGCACCGACCAATTTGCCTCCAAGGTTGTGGAGAAGTGTCTCAAGATTGGTAGTGCCGAGTTCCTGGGTCGATATCTTGATAGAGTTTGCGAGGGACGCCGCGACCGCACCCGCATTCCTCTGATTGATATTGCCAGCGACCAGTACGGCAACTACCTTATTCAGTGGATTCTTAACAACGCTTCTCCTCAGCACCGTGAGATGGTTGCTGCCCACATACGAAAGCACATGGTCTCTCTCAGGGGCTCCAAGTTTGGATCTCGTGTCGGGATGCTGTGCACCAACCACGCGGTCACGACTCGCCCTGGCCCAGGAGTTGGGCCGGGCATGGGCAGCGGCCGCATTGGAGGACCAGGACCAACACGGTTCGGGACCTCGTACCGTTGATGCGGCATTGGCGTTTTGTGGACTAATGGATGTGCGGGACGCTTCTTCATTATCTGGCAAACTTTGAGCCAGGTGATAGTGCGCAAAATTGTTCGTTCGACTTAGCACATGTTGCCGACTCGTTCCCATATCAAACATCCACCCTTGTTGTCCTTGCCCGAATCGCAAGTTGACGCAGAAGGATTTGTCGACTTTCTCTTATGAACATCTTCCCATGCAATCAATTTACAGATCACCCGTCATCCTACGCTCAGCTGGCTACTGCCTGACTGGGTGCATTGGACACATCATGGTTATGCATTTTGAAATATGCAGGAGGCCACATCTGCTAGCCGTGAGGACAGCATACTCTTTGACAAGAGCTCAGATTGCATCTCGACATGTAAAGACGATAGCACATTCACCCAGGATGGTCTGTATCCCCCCATGTGTCTCGAGACGAGATCAAGCTGACTTTTTCTGGTAGAAGGAGCCCGCGGGCCACTCGAACATTTTCAGACGAGAACAAAAAGAAAGAAAGAAAAAAAAATGAAGTGCAAGGGGAGGAGAGGGGCGCGGTGTATCACTTGCAATGGAGAATGCATTTTGTTTGCGCGACGGAGATGATGGAGGGATGTTATACGAAGAAGGCTTAGTTGTGTTAATAGTTGCGACGCTCTTTATTACAGGATTTCTCGTTTTGTCGTGACAACGGCACTTGCGTGCCTGACACACAAGTTGTCGTGATGGCAGATAATGAAAGCTAGGGCGTCTAATAAGACAGATTTTCAGGCTCAAAGAGGTATGTCTGTATGAAGCTGTGATGGTATGTGTTCCAACTGGCGTCAAGAAGGCTGTCTGACCAAGAATACACCATGTCTACATGTATGATTCAGTAAGACGCCATAAGTGTAGTCTAATATCAGGGTCCTTTCCACAGCTGTTGAATATGTCGTGGGTTGATCAAGACTGTGTCGCAGCTGTAGCCGCCTGTTCCACCGGGGGAAACTCGAGATCTAGGATGTTCTCTGCAAAGCCGGAACTCGCCTCCGCAGTAGCGGAAGCCTCCCTTTCCCAAGGCTTTCTGGGGACGGGACGGGATCCAACAGGCTTGACTGCCTATAAGAGGGCAGAATAGATTTATACATGAGCATGATGATATGATTCAAAAAGAGCTAAAGCAGGTTGAAAGAAAGGGGGGGGGAATGAGGTAATGGGGGTTCACACTTACGGGATCTCGTTCAATGGTGTTGGGAATCTGCCTGATGCCGGGAATGGGCTTGCCCTCCTGGAGGAGCTTGATCATTTCCGCAAAGGCGATTGGGTATGCTGGTTCTGGCTCTGATGAGGACGCATGAGAATGGGAAGAGGGGGAGGAGGGTTTGTTGCGCTGGACGTAGAGGTCTGCTTTGGGGGCGGCTTGTTGCCACGGGGTTGCCTCTGCTTGTGGTGGTGGTGGTGCTGCTGCTGCTGCTGCTGTATGGGACGGAGTACTAGTAGGATGAAATGTTGGTGATGAAGAAGAAGGAGAAGAGGAGGGGGGAGCAGCAGCTAGCGTGGGCGAAGCAGACGGCTGCTGTTCGTACTCGGGGGGCACGATGTGAGGCGTGCTGTGGTCTGGGTGTTGGGCGAGCCAGGCGTGGTAGGCGGCGAAGTCGATGTTGACGCCGATGCGCTGGGCGTAGTAGAAGATGCGGGCGTGGGTGGCGATGTCGCGGAGGGAGCCTTTTTGGGAGGAGGAGGAGGGGTTGGGGGGTCCGAGGATGGCGCGGAGGCCGGACTGTTATATGTGATTGGTATCAGAAATGATTGTGAGATTGTTGTGTTTCTATGTGAGATGAGATTGAGTGTGATTTGGGAAGGGGGGGGGGGGGGGGGGGTAAGATATCATGGTAAGAGGTGGTATCATGTGAGAGAGGAGGAGGAGGGGTGATTGAGGAACACCTATGAAGAGAGAGAGAGGGAGGGAGAGAGGTTTGGTGGGACGTACGAGAAAGGCGGCGTCTTTGGTCCAGGGGTAAGAGTCAAAGGCTCTGAAGATGGAGTCTTGGTCTTTGAGGGAGCGGATGCCGTCTGCGCCGGGGAAGGGCTCTTGTGGTTCTGCCATGGTTGTGATGGGTGAGTACTAGATAGGTATGGGCGTTGATGAATGAGGGGTTCAGCTATGACGGCTTGCGAGAGTGCTTTGCTTGTTGATCTGAGTTGGTGAGGACGTAAGATGTCGAGTTTATTTGTTGAAGGCCAGAAAGAAGAGGCAGAGTGAGATGTGGCAAAGATGTCGGTCTGGTCGTGAAAGTAAAGTGGCTGGTGATTGCTTCTCTTGAGGTATTCAGCCGTTGGTGCAATCAACTCAGCTAGTAGATGTGCCTACAGCATGTGAAGTGGGTTTGAGTGGCTGACCGTTGTGCATGGACAAACCTCGGCTCGGATGTAATTTGATATCATTGGCTGTCTTTTACTAATTGAATGGCTGGGGGGGAGCGACTTGATGCTAAGAGTACATGTACCGATTGAATCCACGACTTCATGAGATCATCCATGAAACAAAGAATGGAACTATTTGTCTCTGTTCAATATCCATCTATCTAATATCGTGTCCTCGTCGATGCCGGTTGAGCATCGCCTACCAATCTCGTAAGAGGGGTGTATAGAGATAATAAACGTCAAGGTACACAGGCCTCATCGCTCTCTGTTTTTTCAGTTCTACTCATTGAAGAATCGAACCACACATTATGCCGCCGCCACCTTTCCTCTTCCCCGGGGAACGAGAGCCCCAAGTGTATGTAGAAAGCACAAAACGCCTCGCAATCGTCCCGTGGAACAATAAACCCCAGACTCCAGGTATTCAAACGCTCTGATATCATCAAGACAAAAACAACGGAAAAGGAAGCCTTCCCCCCCCCCGTGGCGCTCATCGGCCTTCGATGGCGGCAAGCTGGGCTGTCAACTCCCTGTTCCCCAGCAATAGCTCCTCCAGCCACTCTGCCGTCATCGTCAGCATGGTGCTTTTACTGAACCCACCTCCTCTGAGCCCCGGGACGATCTCGCACAGGTCGTCAAACCCTTCCTTGATGAGAGTCCGGCGTTTCTGTTCGCTCCGAATATGGTTCTCTCGCTTCTGCTCCTCCGACAAGTTTTCCCGCGGTGTCTTGGCTGCGCTCAAGGCCGACTTCCGCCGCTTGTGTGTGGTGCCAGCTTCTGTGGGAGGGGACGAGACGGATCCGGTTCGCTCGCCCTTTGCTTTCCTCCGCTTTCCCGCAGCAGGCTTGATCGCGTTGACGCCCTCATCGTCGCCTTCTTCTGTGCTATCCTTCTTAACGATCTTGCTCTTTCTCCTTTTGCGAGGCGGTGCGTCGTCGTCGTGGTCGGCTGGTCTCTCTGCGGCCTCTGATACATCTCTCTGCAGGCCAAGCGAGAAAGTAGACTGGCTATTCGTCGGACTGCTAGGACGAGTCGTCGCAGCACTCTTGTTGGGTTCTAAGCACTCGAGACACTTGAGCTGCTCCTGCTGTTGTAATTCGACAGTCTCCTTGTTCGCCCCTGGCGTATAGCCCTGATGAAGGTTAAAGTTGGAGTCGGAGCCCCATTGATAGTCCACGGGAATGGCCCGTGGCGTAGAGTTCTGCCGTCCTTTGGAGCCCCACATCCATTCTGCAAAGGTATTGTCAACTTCAATGTGCGCCATGCTCTTGCGGCTCTCCTCTCTAAATTCTTCCAAGGGCTGATGCCGCAGATGGCCGACGGGAGGACCAAGAGGCCGCCGCAGCGTGGATAGATCAAGGTTCTTGTGAGCTCCACGCAGACCAGGACCGTTCTGCATCAGCGTGGCCGCGGCGTTCAAGACATCATCGGACGGGTGCTGCTGGTAAGGAGTCGACTGAGCGTGAGGAGGCGGAGGCGGCGGCGGCGGCGGCATGAGATGTGAGCCGGGAATGGCGGCGTGGGAGTTGTGGGAGTCGTTGGAATAAGGGAGATGAGACTCGGGGCCAGCTGGTGTCGAAGCCTGTGATCCGTATGATGTCGCCGTTCCCATGAACTGGGGAGGCAGGTCGAACCAGGCGTTGAAGTTCAGGCCTTCACCAAAGGACGGCATGTTGTACTGGTTTGCGGCCACGTCGTCGAAGAAGTCGCTGAGAAACTTGTTGTCGGTTTCGCTCAGCAATGGAGCGCCGGGCGCGGGCTCGGGGGGTTCGAAGAGAGGCTCTTGAGCGCCATCGACGGAATCTAAAGGCGGCGGGTGTCAGAGAGTTTGAGTCCAGGACTGAAGTTGTGCGCGCCGGACAGGCAAAGCTGAAGACGGAAGGAAGGGCAAAAAGCATACATCCGAAGGGCATCTGGAAAGGATCGGAATCGGGCTGCGACGATCCCATCCTGCTAAGGGGCTGCCGCACGGCAAGCATGGAGGCGCCTGGGAGAAAAAAAAGTTCGAGGACGTGGCGGCGAGAGGCGGGATCCGTGATCAAGTGCTTTTGCGCGAGGACGCCCTGGGCCAGGAACAGCGGTGCCGGAACGAGGCGCTGCAGACGGGCTGGGCTCGGGCGGACATGTGCTGTGGCCGGCTGTGTCTGGGAGGAGGCGCACGCGATCTTAGTTGGAGAAGCACATGAAAAGAGAGGCTGGGGGAGAAAATCCGGGGTAGCGGAACGAGGAGTGACGGGGGGATGGAGGTTTAAACGTCGAGGCAGAAGAAACGAACATGAGGTGAGGCCGAGTTGGCGCGGGTGGGGCGACCGTCCGTCTACATGTACTGGGACAGTACAGGTTCCAGTGGAGGTTCTGTAGGTAAGGTACTAAAGGTGCTGCAGCGGCACATCAGGGTCACGGCTTCGGGGCTTTGGCTCGGGGGGGGCGGTCCAGGTGGTGTCTGGGTGGGTTGGGGCCTGGCCTGCAGCGGTGGTTTAGGCGGGTGCATCGCTAAAGCGGATCGAGGGATGGAGTGGGGTGTGTAGAGTAGAGTTGTACATAGGTACATACGGTCAATCACTTTAAAGAGATGAGGCAGTCCAGATATCAATGGTTTGACAAGGAACATTTTTGAAGTCGCTTCATAAAAAGAGGGCAGTCATCTTTCAGCTGGATAGGTTGGGTTCCATTAATTGAAGCCAATGTTCATCAGATCTACCCAAGATAAAAAGTTCCAGCGTACAAACTGGGTGAGGCGTCACTCCACCGTCCGCAGTGAGTCCTGACAGTTGCGGCGACCCCACGAGGGGCACGAGGACTGGATGGCCCGAATTTCACGTTCCTGTACATGTACTCAGACGCTCGCCGTCGGTAAGCACCTACTAGTAGTACCTACATGTAGCCAGAGACCTGACGCAAGCAGGCAAACCCGGTGCAGAGCCCAGGCAGCGGAGCCCCTCGGGACGCGGCAGACGGCCGTCGCTGACTCGGTTTCTGTACTGTACCTTAAGGTATATTAGCTAGAGTAATAGGCGCATACATGAGCTTCGTCAAGGCTTCCATCTCTGATACTCAAGGTACATGTATGATTTTAGAGACGAACTTTACTGAATTGTTCAACGTCAACAGCAATAGTAAGTAGTAAGGTACCTAGTTCCATCTACAGAATTGAAAGAGCGGCTCCATGTAACACCGGCGGTGGGCTTGACTCGGCCGCTCGACCGGCTGCGGCTGTGCGTCAATGACGGTCTAATCTAATAAAGCAGCCACGATTCGATGCTTCTTCTCATTGTTACGCATCAAAGCTCGTACTCGTTCCGCACCGGCTTTGGCGATGAGCGAGAGCAGACATCAAGCACCAGATCAGAGGACCCCTGTCCCGTCTGGCCCGCTAATTCAAGTCACCTGGTGGGCTTTGATTTTGGGGCGTGCCCCTAGCTGCAGATGCCCGTTTATGCGCATTACTGCTCTATCGGGACTTTTTTCCACCTAGGTAGCTAGTACTCCGTAGCATCTTGGTCTTTCGCAAAACCAGCGCGTACTCCATACATGTACCATCTCGTCATGCCAGCCTTCCACTCCACCTACTTCGGTCGATAAACCCCCGCTTAGTCCATTAATCGTTCAAAGCGAGCATCACATGCCATTCTCAACATTTCTTTTTGCGTCCTTTCTCGGCCAAACCAACAGCCAGAGACACACAATGATGAGCAGACAACAAACGAACCGATGACGGAACGCGGCGATGCGAAATCTAGGAACGACCCAAGCTTTCCCGTTAAAAAATACTCCGTACGGAGATATTCGCCGCCCCTCCGTAGCACTGCTTCCCTTTATGTTACGAACCTGCTCAACTCGGACATGCGCCGAACAAGACTGCTTTTTGTTCAACTCCCAGCTGGCTGGGTTCAGGTCGTTGCTTGTATTGTTGCAGACCGTTGCTCCCTTCGATGTTACTGTCTTTAGGCCAGTTTTGGGGTTCATGGATACGGCAGTCGAGCCAGGCCTGCTCTATGATCAGCATTATGCCGAGTAGATGTTACACCATGCAGTTTAGAATCGTAGTATTGATTTCCGTTCTGAGAAGCAAGCCCCCTTGTTTGGCACTTGGTAACCCCCATCTCGCTCTTTTATTTTTGCTGCGTGCCGGCCTTGATTGCCAGATCTGAACATTGGCCTGTGTTGCCTCGACTAACAACAACTCGGCCGAGGTTCGCGGAATGGTTCCAGCCATGGGCTCCAGCGTCGCAGATGCTTCGCCGCGTCTGCCCCTCCCCCTGTTATTGATCGATCTTCCAAAGAAGAAGAGGAAGCAAAATTGAGAAGCGAAGGAACAGAAGTTCCCCGTGTTTGGGTGGAGCTGGGAGCTGGAGCTCGTGGCGTGTCAGTTGAAAATACTAGCAGCAGCACTTTGAGTCACGAAGGACTCCATACGGTCTTGTGTTTGGCGATACAGTACTGAGCTCTTTGCTCAAGTTAGGCAGATGTATCTTCCTGGTTCTTCATGTGCATCGTATCGTGCAAATGGGTAGCATGGGCACAGGAGATGCAGAGGTGTCGCATGCGGAAGCTGATGCTGGCTCTCTGCCGAGGCTCCGGAGGTGAAGCTACCTGACGCGATCCGCATCAGACGCTAGAAAAGCTACTCCAGACCGTACTAAATCTCCGTGCTCCAACATGTACCTACCCTCAAAAATAGTGCGACTACCTAAGCCTAACAGCAAAACTCCCCTTTCAAACGTTCAACGCCAAACGTCGGACGAATTGACGATTCATTGTCCTTCTTTTGAGTCTGTCAATGCACATTTTTTGTCCCTCTTCTTGTTGTTTTCGTCCGTTCTGCAGAGTCTTCTTATCGATTGTCCTTCTCCTATCAGATCCCACCCCTTTTTTCCCACCGTTCTTCTCCTTACTAACTTGCTCTTCCCGCCACTGCGTCAGACCGTGATACGGCACCCACCGGCTTCAACCCAACCGCGCCAGACCAGCTTCCAGAGATCGCGTCACACTCCAGATCCCCCCTTCCAGCCATCAGAACCGCTGCACCACCCAGCAGACAAAGAGAAAAGAAGATACATCCAAAACTGCCGGCATCCCTCCAATATCCAAAGCGAGCGGCGCGTTACATCTTTGGGCAACACCATCCGTCCGCCCCGGGATCATCGTGGTCCCAGCGCAAGGGCCTGATTCTTCAGAGGTCAATGCGGCCGCTCAATTCTTAGAGCCATCCATTTCTCTCGTCTCTGCCTCAGCTGGACTCGCAATCACACCTACCACATCACCCCTCGCTTTTTTGTGTGTGTGTGTGTGTGTTTGTGTCGCTCAGCGCAACCTCCTTCACCGGCAATGGCCTCAGCCTTGGAATTCAAGCCCCTGGCAGCCCTGCAAGCCCTCCAGTCCAGCAAAGGACCGCTCAGCCTCAACGTCCTGCCGGCAGCCCTGCGGCCCCTGGTCCGGGCCTACCTGCTGGGCTATGCCTCGGCCGTTGCGCCGCGGCTGCTGACGCTGATGCTGCAGTTCATCTCCAAGCGGCGCAAGAGCAAGAAGAAGTATCTCTCGGCCGACCGAGACGAGCGGTCTTTCAAGGACTCGGCCTTTCGAATCCTGCGGACCGGCCTGGATCCGCGCCGGTTTCCCACGTTTTGTGCTGCCCTCGTGGGAGGCTCGACTATGCTGCAGGTAAGAATGATGATATCTGAACTGGGTCGAGATTCGAGATTGAGTGAGGCTTGAGGAACAGGAGGTGGAACTTGGCTTGAGAACATGGCGTTCACTCCCCCTCCATCGCCAGCTGCTTCCAAATTGTCTCTGCTCTGTGATAGTCCCGTGTTCGTAAACTAGTCTGGGACTATATTGTGGTCAACATCAGCCCAAACGACACACTCACTCTGTAGCATCAAACATGTCAATGAACCATGCTGACGAACGGACTCGTAATATTGGACTTATAGGAACCTCTGCTCAAGATCATCAGTCGCGTTGCCACTCAGCTAAGTGCAACAACACAACTCAGGTAAGTCTCCGAATATAGAAACAACACTAGCCTCGCCCAATCTCCTGTGCAACGTCCATCAAGGGGCACGACCCCCCCTTTGAACCCATATATTGGCCGAAAGCAAAGCTGACGAGTGGGTTTCTGGGGTTTGACAACGACACAGACTAGCACGATGGCTATCTACCTTCATCTCAGGCTGGCTCAGCCTCCAGCTCCTCCAGTCCAAGCAGCCCAAGCAGTCTAAGCGGTCTAAAGGGTCCAAGGAGTCTAAGCAGGCTCCTACTCCTCCCCCCTCCTCCTCCTCCTCGTGGGTGGAATCCGGGCTGGCCTCAGTGCAGCAAGGCCTGGCTGAGGCCGCCGAGGGCGGTGGTTACGGCGGCCGGACGATGGATCTCACCCTCTTCGCCGTCACCCGCGCCGCCGACGTCCTAGTCGGTGAGCTGTGGTCCCAGCGCCGCACCCGGCGCAAGGCGTCCGGGGAGTGGACTGCGGTTAGTACCAGTAGCCTCTCATCGCTGTGCTCCCTTCTCGAGCTAATCGGCTAAGGTCGAGCAACTGCTGTCCCGCCTCATGGACCCGGCCGTCTTCGCCGCCTCCTCGGGCCTCATCATGTGGGCGTGGTTCTACTCGCCCGACAGCCTGCCGCGCAGTTACAACAAGTGGATCACGTCCGCCGCCTCCGTCGACCTGCGCCTCATCGAGGCCCTGCGGCGCTGCCGGAACGGGGAGCTCGTCTACGGCAAGGAGACGGGCCAGGCGCCGCTGCTGGGCTCCATGTGCGACGACTACGGCCTGCCCGCCGAATGGGGCGACCCGGCCAAGACGGTCCCCTTCCCTTGCGACATTGTCCACATGGGCTGCGGCCCGTCGTGCGAGTATCACGCCCTGAGCCGCTTCGTTCGTGCGTGGAAGTGGTCCATGCTGACGTACCTCCCCCTCGCCCTGGCCCTCCAGCTGCGCAGGCCCAAGCGAATGAACCTCATGAAGGCCGTCACCGGCTCTAGCCGATCATCCACCTTCCTCGCCACGTTCATCACGCTCTTCTACTACGGCGTGTGCCTGGCACGTACTCGTCTTGGCCCCTCGCTTCTCGGCAAGGATACGCAGTCCCGCCAGCTCATCGACGGGGGTCTCTGCGTCGGCACCGGGTGCTCTCTATGTGGATGGAGCGTGCTCGTCGAGACGGTGGGCAGGAGGAAAGACATGGCGCTGTTTGTGGCGCCGAGGGCTCTGGCGACGTTGGCGCCTCGGCGGTATCCCCTGGAGAAGCAATGGCGCGAGAAGTTGATATTTGCTGCGAGCACGGCGGTGGTGTTTACGTGTGCCCTGGAGAATCCGAAGAGGGTCAGGGGCGTATTGGGAGGCCTGTTGGGTATGGTTCTTAGGAAATGAAAGGGACAGATATATATACCGTTGCCAGTTGTTCAGATGATATTATTTTTTTATAAAACCCTTGTATGATCCATTCCTGCCTATTAAACGATGACAAATGAGAGATTGATGTGAAGCCATACTCATTGTGACCACCAAGAGACAACTCCAAGCACAAAGATGCACGTCAGAATATCCGTCCTGACAGCGGAGAAGATCTGCACGTATCGCTGTCCAACCTCGATATATCCCCGGTACGGCTGCGGCAAGTACGAGATGGCAGTCGCGACAAATCCAGAAGCGTTAGTACTCCTCTTGTCAAGGAAGAACCTAGTAGACAGCAGCAAGACCTCTGCCGTAGCAAATGTCCAAAAGAACAAGCTCTTGCGCCTCTCAATCTCACCGTCCACCTCTTTCTCGTCCAAAGCCAGGGCGGTACGTTCGCGCTCGATCTTGCTGCCGTGGAAATTCGTCGTGAGGACAAAGAAGAAGCCCAAGCCGAGGGCGACGAGGGCATGGATGAGGCGCCACAGGGACAGGGACGACTGCTTGGGGAGCTGGACGGCGGCCTGCTGCTGCGGCAGGTTCATGTTGGCAAAGGGGTTGGGGACGCCGTCCGCGCCGCCGCCGCCGAAGCCGGGGATGGAGCCGCCGGCCATCATCTGCGACATCATCTTCATGATGGGGTCGTCCTCCATGCCGGGCGGCAGGGCAAGGCCCGTCGTTTGCGAGCCGCCGAGGCCAGCAGCTTGCGGACCACCACCACCAACGCCGGCGGGAGCTTGGTCGGGGCGGTCGAAGCCGAGCATCATCTGGCGCAGCTGCGCCTCGGACAGCGACGGCTCGGGGCTGGGCGAGAAGACGCCATCGAGCGTCTTGCGGGACGACGACTTTTTCGGGGCGAAGAAGTGCTCGGAGATGTCGACCTCGGCGGGGTCCAGGTGCTGTTCGCTCGAGGAGGCGCCCTTGGAGAGGGTGGCGGGAGCAGACGGGGAGATGATGGGCGTTGAGTCTATGTTCAATCATTGACCCTATCGTCAGTATGCTTATACCTAAGGTAGGCGAAAGAAATGGGAGAAAAAGAAGCGGTATACGGACCTCCAGTGACGCGACCGCCCACACCGGTGATTTTCTCCAGCCTCGCGGATCCTCCCGCCTTGATCTTGGCCTCGCGGCGCTCCTTGCGAAGGCGCGCCTGTTCGGCGGCTCGCTGGGCGGCAGCGTCGGCGTCGTTGGTGGTGGCGGTGTCTGCCATTCTGTTGCGCGACGGTACAGCGGTGAGCTCTTGTGAGTGTGCAAGAGAGGGAGATTTCGTCTAAGTGAGGAAGAGGCGGGATGGCAGAAGAAGAAGAGGAAGAAGAAGAAGAAGAAGTAGAAGTAGAAGTAGAGAAGAGAAAAAAAAGGTCGGGATATGGTAGGTAGGCTGGGTTGAGGTGTCGAATAAGGTGGCCTGAAATGGTGGAAACGCTCGAGGTTAATGACAGCACACTCGAGACCCCACGCTGGCGGCATGCACGCACCCGACATGATGCCTGGGCCAATGGAGGGGTTTAGAGCACAAGATGCATGAGGCAGTACATGGAAACGCGAAGCTGTGCGAGGGCATTGGGTTCTGCTTCTTGGAATCTACGTCATCACTCGACAGGCGATATCAGATGTGATCAAATTCGAGATCGAGGCCATCGGTGAAGATGTTTGTTCTAGTGCATCGCGTTGAAGATTACCTTACCCAGACCGAATGGAACCTCGACACAACTTCCACTTGGCGTCCATCTGTGCGCTTTCTGTCCTGTGCTGCCAGATTGGGCGCTCCTTAGAGCATCAGCGTCGGCAACACCAGCCAAGCACCTCAGGTGATAGAGAACATACCTACCTCATGTAGATGGTAAATTGCCAAGTCTCTTGCTTCAAGTACGATTATAGATGATACAGACATGATCGGGTCGAGTAAGCGCCTCCATCACGAGAACCCTACCTAAGGGAGGTGAAGCAGAAGGCTACTATTGGCGAATTGTCCAACATATTACACCTCAACAAGAACAGCCAACAACCATCGCCCTTTATCACGATATCTCACACAGACTCGTCCACAAGCATCTACAGCCTCGGATCAAAGGTGCAGCTTGTACAAGTACTAAACACATCACGAGAATAGCCCCTATTTATAGTAATAATCAAGAGTGAAAGCATCTAGACAACCTGCAAACAAAGACGAACAGGGATCCGGGCGCAGTCCCGAAATGAGCTTGCTGCTATAGATCCTAGGCCCGATACGATAGGTGATGTTGAAACACGCGCCAGTGCACCCATATCGCACTGTGTCACTTCGATAGCGCTGCAGTCTAGCGCACGACCCTGCCAACCTTCAGCGCCTACAGCCCCCGACACCTCTCTGGTGCTCCCTATACAGCTGCCAGCTGCCCACTACGCACAGTGCAGATACCCAGCCAGCCGCACGCCCCTCCCCAGCAACCTTGCACCCCGTCCAGCCCTTCCACCCCCCAAATTGTCCCGCGGCCTTGTCAGCTCCATCACCCGAGGCAGAACGAGCGCGAGACGGGACTCCATCTCATAAACCACCAGCCATCGCCGTTCCCACAAGCCCAGCTCGCCGCCGCCCAAATGCATCGCACCGCGGTCAGGGCGCTCCGGACAAGTCATCGCCCCAGCGTGCGAAGCCAAGTGCGCAGCCCGGTCCTGGCCCGAGGCCCTCACCCCAGCCATCACCATCATCATCACAACCATCGCCTCCTGCACCAGCACGCGCACCCGCAACGCCCGCCCGGCGCTGCCCATGTGCCGCTGAGATCGTCCATGTACTTCCGCCGCCTGCCCGTCGCCCTGGCCTCTGGTCTGATCCTCGGATACGGCGCCTGGCAGTACAACAGCGCCGACTCCGTGCCCGGCGCCGCCGTCACCCACAGCTTCACCACCACCCGCGGGGCGGCCGATGCCGCGCCGACGCGCACCGTCTTGGTTGTCGGAGCCGACGAGCTGAGGCAGGGCACCATTGTCGGCGAGGGGCCGCTGTACAAGGCCTCGACCGAGGACGGCCACCGCATCGTCGAGATGCTCACGCCCGAGCAGGCCACCGCCAAGCTGCGCCGCCAGGAGCAGTCCTTTTACGTCAACCGCGGCCAGGGCGTCACGCGCTACGACCTGGTCCAGCTGGGGAGCAATGATCCGATCGAGGATGACCACGCAGAGAAGATCGTCGAGGTGCCCGTCCGGATCCCTCCTACCGATCCTGAAGGGGAAGAGGTTGTCACCAGCAGCGACTGGATGTTCTGGGGAGTTTTCGATGGCCACTCGTCAGTACACCTCTCTGTCCCTGTTCCATCTCCATCATGACTATTCTACTTATATGCGCCCCCACGTCCCCTTCCGTACGGCATGCTAACATGACACCTGCTCAATCCCAGAGGCTGGACGACATCTGCGACGTTGCGAGAAAGCCTCATTAGCTACGTGGCTCGAGAACTAAATAGCACCTACAAGGCCTCCTCCACCGAGATCCCGCCTCCCGAAGCCATCGACTCCGCCATCAAGGCTGGCTTCACCCGTCTCGACGACGAAATCGTCCATAAGAGCGTCGAAAAGGTCTTCAAGGCAAGCTCAAAGGCTGTCGCCGCCGAGCTCCTGCAGCCTGCCCTGTCTGGCTCTTGCGCGCTTCTCTCTTTCTACGACAGCAGGAGCGAGCTGCTGCGAGTGGCTTGCACTGGTGACTCGCGTGCCGTCCTGGGGCGTCGGTCAAAGTCTGGAAAGTGGGTAGCCACAGCTCTCTCCGAGGACCAGACAGGAGGCAACCCTAGCGAGGTCGCCCGCATGCGAATGGAGCATCCCGGCGAGGAGCACGTTATCCGAAACGGTCGCGTTCTGGGGGGCCTGGAGCCAACCCGTGCCTTTGGAGATGCTGTCTACAAATGGAGCCGTGAGGTCGCCGGAAGACTTCGCGAGAACTTCTTTGGCCGGAGCCCGTCTCCCTTGCTGAGGACCCCTCCCTACGTTACGGCGGAGCCTGTCGTTACAACAACCAAGATTGAGCCGGAGAATGGCGACTTTGTTGTGCTTGCCACCGACGGACTTTGGGAGATGCTGACGAACGAGGAGGTCGTGGGCCTCGTCGGCCAGTGGATCGAGACGCAGAAGACGGGCAAGCCAAGCTCGCAGTTTGACAAGGCCTGGTCCAAGGTCTTTGGCTCGCAGAGCAAGCCGCTCCCGGTGGAGCAAGGCAAAGAAGCCGCTGGCTTCGACGGCAAGACGCCGATTCGCGTGCAGCAGTGGGGAATCGACCCCGACGCAAGAGATCGGTTTGTCGTCAGGGACAAGAACGTGGCCACTCACCTCGTCCGCAACGCCCTCGGCGGAGCAAACGATGAGCAGGTCTGCGCTCTCCTAACACTCCCATCGCCCTTTTCCAGGCGATATCGGTTCGTCTCTCCTTTCTCTCTGTCTCTCTCTCTCTTTTCCTTTGGTTGATAAGCTCGCGTGTTCATGCTAATCCCATCACAGCGATGATTTAACAGTTCAAGTCATTTTCTTTGGCCATGGTGATAAGACGAGCGACAAGACTGGCGATGTCACAGTCAACCTAGACGCGACGACAGATCAAGACCCTAGAGCTAGGCTTTAGAAGTATTGGCTTAGGTTTCTACTACTGGCATTGTTAGCGGCGGTCACGGCGTTGCTTGCCGTGCAAATACTTTTATGACGATTCGAATGAACAGGGTTGATATCCTCTTGTCATGTGGCAGCGACAGATGAGTACATTCCAGCAAGCAGCGACATGAGCCCAGAGACATGAAGAGTCCACGGGTTTTGCCCAACGCGAAGGACATGTGTTGTGTCTTTGCTGCTGTTATCTATCATTCTTATCCTAACCCGATGCTGTGGGTTTATTAGAGTATTGACCTAGGGAGCGTTGTAAGGCGTGGCGTACTGGTTTTCGAGAGACAGTGATGACGGGGGAAGGACAAGGTATTACAAGCAGGGAAAAACTCGGCAGCTTCTGCAGAGGGGGGCGTGTGTTTAATTGCTGGCGATACAATTTGCGGTGTTATGGAGTGTTTTTATCTTTGTTATAGTATAAAATTACCTAATTGTTCCTTCTCGTGATATGGTAGACACGACTCATGTATTGTTGGTGATGGTGTTGCACATTTGCTATGAGTGAGGACTTCGGTCCTTCTGGAAGTCTTCACAACAACTCGGTAGTCGGCCATCGTGCCATGTGTTTAACATTACTTCTCAAGAGGAGTCTCCCACAGCAGATCTTTCGTCATAAGACCATTGCTAGTTATTTACGGAGCGTGGATCAACGAATCGATGAAGAAACAGTTTACGTTGTAGGGTATCCTTCGTCCGTCACAAAGTAAAAAGACGCCAGCAGAATCTCGAGATTTGTCTCGCTAAACAATGCATGACCGAACAGCAGGCAAGAAGGTCCATGAGCCCTTCTACGACTGCGACATTCAACAACCACATCTACGGTCTGGTGGTCTAGTGGTATGATTCTCGCTTAGGGTACACCCTACAGCTTGTTTGCGAGAGGTCCCGGGTTCAATCCCCGGCCAGACCCTTTGAAGCATCAGCACGATGCTTCAAATTTTCCTTTTGACGATCGCAACACATCGTCAAAGATTTCTTTTTTTGCCTTTTGAACATTGACCAAAGAAAGCTTCAAGTGTCTGTCTGTCGGTTGAATACTTCAGCACCTAATAATGTTCTGTTACAACGCTCACACGAGATGTCTGTGTTTTAAACCTCTCTCTACCAAAACAACACCTAAATATTTACAGCAAGGGTATCGATAATTCCAACCAAAAACCACGCTGCAACGCTATGCATCTACTGTCTGTCTGCCTGCCTGCCTGCCTTGCACAGAATGTCGTTATGCTTTGGTCTTTGGCCAAAGCAGCTTCTTCTGCCTGATGCAAACAATCATCGTCGCAAAGATGCTAACCCACGCAATGACAAGAGCAATCGTCATGGCGCATCCAAACAGCTGCAGGCCCCGGCTCTCGAAAATGGTCCCCATGATTTCGGTTGCGCTGACCTAAAGACAGGAGGAGAAGACGTGAGTAAATGATTAGGCAAGGTGATCATGGGAAGTGACAGGGGTTGTTGTTAAGATGCTTACGAGAGCCGTATTGGGAAATACAAATGACCACCAAGTCATCTGGAATGGCATGCCCTTTCCCGTCCGGACATACTTCCATAGTGATCCGACAGAAACCAGGAAAAACCACGTGGAAAGGCCGTACAGCCAAAGGGCTACAAGAATGGAAATGACCTTGATGATGTCGGCACCGTGTACTGTGCCGAGGAAACCCGAGGGGAGGATAACATTGGCTTGACTTCCGAGTTGTGCTTCAGTGCGAGTTAGAATTGCTTGATCATCCATGGTCTGAGAAGTGAGGCAGCATATACTTACCAATTGACGCAGCAGTGAAAGCGTAGGGTCCAATCGAGATGAACTAACAGGCATGGTTAGTTGTTTGACGCGAAAACTGGGTGCAAAGCCTCTCGGGAAAGACCTACAACACCAGGCCGTTGGAAGTCCCGGGGTAGTTTCTGTGTCATCAGCCTATAAATGAAAGCGGACGATATCATGAGAGATATCAAACATCCCGTGCCTTGAGTGGCAACAGCTGATAGAGCAACCGCTGGAGCATACAACACGTCGATACGACCAGTGGCGGAGGCCGCCGCAATGAGGTTACCGGCAAACGGAGCCGTGAGCATGAGCGGATATGCAGGGAAAACCCAGGTCGGCGTCATCATATGGATTGGGAACACCCTATTGTTGCATAAGCATAGGCACGAGGTTGACGAACCGAAGACGCAACTTACAAGGTTGACCACAGGATGAGATACAGGCCAGCGCTGGCAGCCGCGCTCAGTCCTGTGTATATCCAGAACAGGATTTGCAAGGTCTTGAGGAGCCAAACACCACAATGCGGAGCGCCATACTGGCATATGTTGGTGAGGATGACGGCAATGCTGGCAATGTATGAGAAGTTCGTCTCGAAGAATGGAGAACAATGGACAAACTTACGACACAAACTGTCAAGGAATGGTCAGTTAATGAGACATGCGTCAAGACAGGACGAAGAGAGAGTGAGCCAAGTCTTACAAAAGCGGGTATGAACAAGGATTCCACTTGATCTGTGAACGATTTGGTGAGGCTTCCGGGACGGAAATAGAATCGCATAGAGATCAAGACGCAGTTGGTGAGGAAGAGCACAATATTGAGGAGGCAGAAGGCAATGCCAAAGCCAGTCACCCACTCGGCTTGGTAGACCACTTGTCTTCACGTTAGTATACATCGTGAGAGTGAGAGAGGAGGGAGAGGTGGCTGATCCTACATCCATGAAGTGCGCTGGCTACTCCTCCGGTTGCCATTGTCTGGTGGGAATGGTGAGCCGACGGTCCGAAACGTTTGCCTCGAGTTCATGTAACGGCATGAATCGCTTCCTGCCCCTCCTCTTGCAACTTACCATGGTGAAGAACTGCCATTGATAGCAAGCAATGCGGTCTTTGAGCCCAACCTGGCGGTGTACGCTGCTCTTCTCAGTATCTCGAACGACAGCGTCAAGATTGGACGGCCCATTCGACGACTGATAGCCATCTGGGCTGGGATCGCGACTTGGGGGCTGGCGAGCACGGGCCTGCTGCAAGCGACCGAGACGCGGGTGAGCGCGCTCAAGGAACGTGACGCCGGCTGCTACTGAGGCCTGGCATGTTATCGGGATCCTGGCCGGCGTCGTCGCCCCAGAGGCGGTCGGAGTTGGGCCGAAGAAGAAGGCGGGCTGGTTTTCCTCGGTGGGCGACTCGTAGCCGTCAGTCGGAGTGGAAGAGCCTACCAGGGCATCACGGTGAGGGGCGGCCATGGCGCGGTCTCGAGGCTGTCGGGACGGCGATTGCCGAGGCTGGACAGCAGATGCAGGAGGAGGATCTGGCTGGGCCCGGCATCAGTGAGGGCGATGTGCACGTAGATGAGGTGAATCAGGAAGACGGCGTTCTCCAGGAGCAGCGACCCCAGATTGGCCAGAGGCATCTCGGGCCGGAGGGACGCCGTGGGATGCTGATGCTACCGTGAATGCGGAGGAGGAAAAGGGGACTGCAGAGGGACTGCAGAGGGTCTGCGAGGCGAAAAAGGGCGGCGGTTCGAGCGGTTTGGGTGCCGATGGAGAGCGAATGATTCCTAATCAGTCGTGGTGGGGTCCCGGAAGTGCGAGATAAAAAAGACGTGAAACGAAGGTGGAAAAGAGAGGCGATTCCCGCTTCTGTTTAGTCCTCCGGTTTTTGTTTGGCATCGAATGGGGTCAGCAGCTCGGCTCCGGCGAGTCGTGAGCTGGAGGAGAGGGAGCAATTGGACGGCGGATTGTGGTGGGAGGGACAGAGATGCAGGGGTTTCGGGTTGCATCGCCAGTTGCCGCGAGGTGACACCTGCCAAGGCAAATGCTGGTGCTAGTATTCCGCAGCTGTCGTCATAGAACCCTTTTATGATTCATTTTGTCAATGAGACATAGGTATAGTAGGTAAGTAGTTTTATGCCTTGGAAGGAGAAGAAAAGAATTGCAAATGATGCGAGCATACCTATGAGCATAGTAGTAGGTATTACTAGGTTGAAGAAAGCCATCTCACATAAGGTAGGTAAGTTGGCAATAGAATAAGTTAGGTACCTAGGTATCCTGAAGTAAGGGCATCTGTACATACCTACCTAGGTACATACAAGCGCCACACCGGTAGAAAGGCACCTGAGCGCGGTGTTCTACTTGATTACTACCTTAGGTATCTCCTATCAAAAGCTACAAGTCCAAGGACCAGAATCCTGGGACCAAATACTTCCGACCATTGCTCCATCAGATTCATGCAGGCTCGACCCGTGGACGGTCTCCACCTTCCCCGGACACTCCCGTCCTGCTCCTCTGCAGAAGGCGGTAGGAGCTCCACCTTGCTCCGTGCCACCTGCTCTAGTAACTTGAAGAACTGCCGAGCACTTCAGAGCTCTTGAGGCCGGGCACGTGACCTACCTAGGAAGTGACACATGTCAGTAGACTCTCCCAACAGTGGGCTGTCGCGTTCTCAACTTCCTCTCGTCCAATATCGGATCCGCAAGGGCTGCGAATTTTGGACATCTTCTCTCCTCTGCGGCGATGCATTGCTAGATGCATTCCCAGTCAAAGCAACCTATCGAAATCACCGAAGCTCCCGATTTCCGGACTCATTACTGCGCCTAGAGCTGCGCAGCTTCTTCCCTTTTGCCGCGGCGCATTGCGCATCCGCTCCACCTTCGATCTTGAATACACCACGAATCCCGCCACTGGACTAGACTTCCCAGCATGATTATATAAACTAGGGGTGAAGAAGACGACAAGGCAGATATGACGTTTACGAATGCCCCCGTGACACGGCTCACCGTGCTAGGCCTGGTCTCGACCTCGATCGCCGCCAGCCTTTTCGATGCGAAGCACTACTTCTACATATTCATCGATACGCATCTGTTTCGGTACCGGCAGTTCTGGCGGCTCCTTGCATATCAACTATGTTATACCAACTCTACAGAGGTTCTCTTCGCAGCTATATCGCTGTATAATCTCAGAGCAATTGAGCGGATGTGGGGATCCAGGAAATATGCAGTCAGTGCTTCCTCCCCTATCGTTGTATGCTATTCTGGCCTTGCATCTACTGACATGAATACCATAGTCATTCCTCGTCATCTCATCGCTCCTCACGGCCATATTCCCGCCACTCATCCTCACCGTGCTCCGACCCCTAGCACCGGGCTTATTCAACTATATGCCGGCTGGGCCCACGCCCATCATCTTTGCGATTCTGGCCCAATTCCATGCCATGGTTCCGCAAATGTACAAGTACCGTATAGCGACGTCTCAAGCGCCACCTACAAACGAGCAGTTCTCCGGCGTCACGCTATCGGACAAGTCGTACCAGTATGCCATTGCCTTTCACCTGGCTCTGCTGCAGTGGCCGGGCTCTGTCATTGGAGCTGCGGTAGGTTGGGTCGTTGGATACTCTTGGAGAGCAGGGCTGTTGCCCACCTCATTCACCACATGGAGGCTCCCTGGCTGGATGGTGGGTTCTGGATCCTACAGGAGAAGCGCAGAGTTCGAAGGGTTGAGAAGAAGATTAGAAGGGGAAATTCCATCAACGGGTGTGGCCACTGGCGCCCAAAGCCAAGCAGAAGGGCAGGCCGATCGACGGCGCACCATGGGCCAGCAGATTATGGACCAGTTTCGAGAAGCTTTATGATGTTCGAAAAGCCTATTACTGCAAGGTTCTCCTTAATACGACTGCCATTACCACGGCCCTGGATACTGCGATGATCGCATTATACAACAAATTGACCTAATGAGTGTTTCAGATGTCGACAGCACCCCGTGTCTGCCTCTCATTGCATTCATCTTCGGGCAATCCCAGGCTCTGGTAGGGCAGAAGATGGTGCATGTACCGCGGCCCGGAGCCGAGATGACTAGGATAACGCGAACAAGCTCGGCCCTTTGGCTGCATGCACACACTCCGTCATAGGTATCATTACCTCAGCGAAATAAATGCCTTGAGCGTACGTAACGGAGCCCTAGGAGCTTGTAATGAGGGTGGATAGGGCTGGTCTGGGGATCTGACAACCGTGGGAAATTAAACGGTACCCGCAGATATATAACATGCTCATACGAGTACGTACTATGAGTAAAAGTAGGTAGGTACATAGGTATTACCTGCGTCTGTGGCGTCGAATGCATGCAGTCGCTCGTATAGACAGAGCTGAGAAGGGGATGACGGCTTCCGAGAGCGAATCCCAGGTTGCAGGGAGTGGTGTGACTTACCTTGCCAGCATTCCGTGCATGCTGTTGGGAGATTCACGAGTCTGAGAAGGATGGATATGGCGTGTAAAGCGAGAGAGAGAGAGAGAGAGGAAGAAACGGACGACACGAGAAATACAGGTAAAAAAAAGGCACCACCCAGCGCATTCCGATAGCTCGGCAGCCGGAGCCACAGACCTTGCCCGGATAGGCCTAGCGGCGGGATGGGAGCACCTTAGAGAGGAGCGACTTTCAGGGGTAACGACGCCTCTGGAGCGCTGCCAACATCAGCTCTGGCCGCTCGTACGGCCAATGGGGCGGATGGATTGCACGCGGCGCCGTTTGATTGCTGGATGCGCAGCGGGCTGTTCTTTTCCTTGCATGCGCCGTGCGCGAGCGGAGGGGTCCATTTTCAAGTTCATGTTCTCATTCTGCCAGGCCCCCTCAACTTGGACGCAGCGCTGTGGCAAACGGGCCCCCCAGCACTGATGCGCCCCCTCTCCAGCGGTCCCCGTCCATGCAGCTGCTGCCAGGGCCGCCAGACAAGGCCCGGCAGCCTGTCGTGCAGCGCCTCCGCGCGCTGTGCCTGGCATGCCTCGCCCACCGTAATCTGCGATTGGGGGCCCTGTAATGTCAGTCGGTAGTGGCCACTCAGCTCCTTTCCATCACTTGGCCCACCGAGGCCCGTCAACCCTCGCTCCAGTCCAATATCCTGCCCCTTCACGGCCAACAACCTCCCAGCTGCATACTACTAGCACTTGGAACTGCTGTGCTCGTTTGACTCGGGCTAATCACGGCCGTCCCGTCGTCTCAGACGCTGCCGCTGCGCCAGAGTGTCTTGGATTTGCTTTTTCTGTCGCTCTTTTCTTCCTCTCTCTCTCTTCTTGGCCTCAGCTTTGGTTTGCGATTGCTCACTCTCCTTCGACGTGCGGCTTTGCGCCAGCGACTCTTTGGTTCTAGAGACCCAGCATTCTCTTACCGCGGCTTCAATCCCGACTTCGACTGCGCCCACGCCTTACCAGCGGCTTCACGAGCTTCCTTATTCCGAGTCTTGCGGCTCTGCGACTCTGCGACGACCATTGGAGGTCTAGGCTCCTCCGCCTGATGTGCTAGATACGAACCAAACGCGTAACGAACTCGGACGCCCAGCATGAACGGATACCAGACGGAGCGGAGCTCCTACAACGACGACATGTCTAGCTTGACAACGCCAATATCGAGCAACGGCGATCCTGCCATGGCAGGAGCATATGGAAAGGACGGGCTCAACGGTTTTGAACAGGTCGCCCACCACCAGCTCGAACCGGTAGGTCTCGCGCCGGTCACACAACGCCGAGCTGGCTGCAGTATTGACGCGTCCAGATGGATCCCAACGATGCGCCGAACGGATCGCTTGCCGACCTCAAAGACCCGATCCAAGTACACTTGCTCACAGAAACTGCGCTCTCCGACAGCAAAGAATATGAAATCCTGTCTCAAGAAGAGGTTGATAGGCTGAAGAAACAGTGCCAGTTGCTGAGCCAGCGGGTCGAGTCCACCAGGGCCAACCTCGCTATCCAGTCGAAATACCGAGATGCTGCGGTGTCGATGGCCAAGCTGTATGCCGCTGGCAAATCCGAAGAGGAGCTTGTCGACGACCCTAGGGCCCAGGAGGTCGCGCTGGAGCGGGAGACGACCGAGAAGAAGTGCGAGGAGCTGTCGCGCGAGCTTTTCAACCTCGAGAAGAACCTCATCGGCCCCCAGAGACGCCTGCTCCAGCATACGGCCGGCATCCTCCAGCTCACCCACAAGGCATCCCAACGGGCGGCAGCACGAGCCTTGCAAAACAACAACGAAATCCCCGGCAGCCCCGAAAGCTTGTATACCTACTCCCAAAACCGAGACAGCCTAGCGCAAGCTGTGGACGAAGACTACTTTGAAGACCCAAGTCTCTACCAGCTGGATTCCTTTCCGGGTCTGCAGACAGGGCATCTGAAATCTGCAATCGACATTCCCTTAAAGTCACCTGTGCGGGAGCAAGCCAATCACCTTCGAGGGGAGATCGACAAGGCTCGAGAGGAGAACAGCCTGTTGGTGAACCTTGTCACTGATATGGAGCAAAAGCTGGAGAGTCTCAGTCTCTCGCTTCGGGAGACCATTGTCAAATTCAACCCCGAAGTGAACAACGACTATCTGGAGCCTCCCCGGATATCAGCCAATGGTGGTGATTCACGGCCCGGCGATATGCTCAGAAAACAGATCGACTACCTGGAGAGCGGCCTTGTCGCCGTGCAAGCAGAGCAGGAATCCTTTGTCAGCAGCGGCGGCAATGGTAGTGGCAACAGCAGCGGCGGCGGCAATTACATGCTGGACGATGGCCCTGAGCAGATCGAGTCCGTCTTGGTTGGCCTTTGGAACAAGATGCAATCCGGCTTCGCCGAGAAGAAGCAGCGGAATGAGGAGCGCCGAAAGCACCGGCAGGAGAAGGGTCTGGTCGATGACGACGACACATCCGACGACGATGCATTCGACGCAGACGAGACTTACAGCCTGATTGCCTTCTCCTCCAAGGTCCAGTGGCTCTATTCTCAAGCCTCGACGTTGAAGGACCAGAAGTCTGTGCTCAAGCGACAGATCAAGCAGCAGCGCGAGCTCAACAACAAGACCGACGCCGAAAAGGATGAGGAGATTGAACGAAGACAGGAGGAGCTGGACCAGACCCGCTTCCTGCTCGAACGCGCCGAAAAGGACGCCTTTGACGCCCAGACGATGTTGGCGGATGCTCTGCAGGATCTCGAAAAGGCGCAAGGTTCGTCCTCCGGAGTCAATGAGGAGGAGCTTCGCAAGTACACTTCCAAGATAGAGTCTCTAGAAGCCGAGGTTGCCACGCGGAACGCCAAGATCGAGGCACTGGAAGCTCAAATTGAGGAACAAGACGCGAAACTGGAGGCACTGGAGGCCGAAGTTGAGGCAAGCAACGCAAAGGCAAGCTCCCACGAGGCCGAGTCCCAGGCACACAAGGCTCAAGTCGAGTCTCTTGAGTCAGAGCTCCAAGCCCGCAATGAACGAATTGAGTCTCTCGAGGCCGAAATTCATACGCGTAGTGCCCGAGCAGAGTCTCTCGAAGCCGAGGTCCTCGCAACTGGTGTTCGGATCGAGTCCCTCGAGGCAGAAATTCAAGCACGCAGCGCCCACATCGAGTCTCTCGAGGAAAAGATTCAAGGCCACAGCTCCAACATCGGATCTTTGGAGGCGGAGATCCAGTCACGGGATGCCCAGATTGCATCCCTCGGGGCTGACCTTCAAGCACACACGGAAAGAGGCGGATCGTATGAGGCCCGGATTGCAACCCTGGAAGCCGAGAGGGAGAAGATGTTGGAGCTCAGCTCTCAGCTTGACGGCGCCTCCAAGGAGAAGGCAGCGGCCGAAGAGATGGCCAGAGCTCTGCAGGAAGAGATGGAAAACATCAAGGCAAGCCACGCGAACAAGGAGAAGGAGGTTGCTCAGAAGGATGCAGACCTGGAGCAGCTCAACATGACCCTGGTGGAACTGAAGACGGAGCTCACATTTGCCAGAGCGGAGCTAGACGGCGCGTATGGATCGCGCGCCGAGCGGGCCGCAGATGCGGCAGCTCTGTCGAACCAAGAAGAGGTCGTCAAGCTCACGAACCATGTCGAAAGGCTCAAGAAGGAGTTGGCTGGAACGGTCCAAGACCTTGAGGCAATCACCAAGGAGACGATCGGCGCAGAGCGCGAGAAGATTGAGCTTGAACAAAAGGTGGACGAGGCGCTCTCAGCCAAGGCCAGCTTGGAGGCGGATCTGGAAAAGTCTCGACACCTGATTGCGAAGCTGCAGGAGGACCTCGACAGCGAACGCTTCAAGGTCGGCGTCACGCAAGGCGGCGTCACCAAGGTTGGCGCTGGCGCGGCGTTGCTCAGCGAGCAGTTTAGGATATCGATGCGAGAGGAGCGGAAGAGGTTCCACGAGGACATCAAGGTACGTTCACTGACCCTGTTTCTTTTTCTAAAGAAACCAGAGAGCAGGACTGACAAATGGTGCGTGCGATTGTAGGAGGAACGCGCGAGGTACCGAAAGCTCGAGGAGGAGTATATTCGTCTGAAGAAGAGTCAGGCAGCGAGCAAAAGCCCCTCTAGTTCATGATGATACGCTTCCACCGACGACGACCTCACCAACGGCCTAATTCTTCACCGAAACTCTCCATGTCCCCATCAAGCGTCTCTCACCATCCCAATTTCCATTTTATCCACCTACTGGTCATACTTTAATCTTCTTGTATATGATACCAACTTGGAGTTGGCTTTTTGTTTCTGATTCGATTCTTGGCTCTACTGATGGTTGAGACCGCCATTGCCCTGGCCAACACACTCTTCTACAGAAGCTCCCAACAGCGGCTCTGGCAGCAGGAATGATGCCAAAAGGGCAAAAAGGAAAGCGAAGGGAAGAAGCCTACAGTCTGGGCCTGGCATGTTCGTGACGGGACCTGCTTGTGTTTATCTCATTTTTTGGTTTCCATTTGCTTGCATTAGGATAGATTTGCGCAAGGCATACAAAGAGGGACCTTTTGGGTAATGAACATGGTTGATTTGAGAAGAAAAGAAAAAAAGAAAAAGAAGGTGGTTGGTTGGATGATTGCAATAGATCAAGTATTTTTTCTTTTTTTTTTCTTTTCCTTGATTACGAGGACAATCCAAAAAGCCAAATGTGTCTCATGTGGAACGGTGAACTGTGCCAGTACCTACCTTAAGAGATGGGAAATAATTGAAGAGTGCCCCTCTTCGCCCTTGACCGAACGTTCAGACCTCATGATGTTTTACAAATTCCGAGCTTGCCTCTCTCCTCTTCTGCTAACATCTTAAAAAGTACTTTATTATGTCTGACAAATCCTCACCACTACTCAAATTCATCAAACAAAAAAGAAAAAAAAGAAAAAAAAAAAGTACAACCCAGTTCATAAGTGACCAAATAATGCCACAAGTATTAATAACACGCAAGTAATACCTCAGCAGGACTACCTACTCTATCCTGGATAACTCAAACTTGAACCGCACTTTGTTATCTTCTTCCATTTGGGTTATGCCTCTATTGGGAAACCTCCTCTCGCCCTATTGGTCAGAAAACGAACCAAGAATCGTAAAACGCCGTCCCGCTGAAATTCGCCTAGTCTCGAGGTTGTATTTCTCTTTGGTACCTCCTAAAGGTTGGTAAGGTAGCGTTGAAATGGTAAGGATGGGTCAAAGTTGTCCTGGATAGGCAACGGACCTATCTATGGTATATGTATCTTGTTGGACACAACTTGTCTGCATCTCGAGCCCAGCATTTCCTTGTTGAACGGGACGAATGTCTTGTAACTCAAGGATTTGAAGAGGAGATATCATGCTTTGTCTGATGCTTTGATCACCGTTCAGCCAACCAAGCGTTTTGTTAGTCAATACACACCATGTAGCCTTGTCACTTCATGATGAGAAACTTGAATGCTTGGAAAGATTCAAATGGTCTAGTGTACAACTCTAACACTTTGTTGCTATCTGTCTTTCTTTGTATTACTCTTTCCCAGTACAAACTAAAATGCATTCTCATCTCCTTCTGTTCCCTTGTCTCACATTCTGCGAGGAGAATCCATCGCTCTATATCAAAAGTTCTAGCTGCTGTTATAACAAGCAAGCACGCGTTCTCGCAACCGAAACCCAAAAAACGACCAAATAAGAAATAAAAAGTAGGAAAATCATGAATCTGAAACATGAATCTGGACAAAGAGCAGAACGAAGCAAAGATGGACGTGAACAACAAAACAGCCCCTTTGGTATCGAGCAAAACGTAATCCAATTGGTGGACCAAAAGAACTCAATCCACAGTTGAGCCTCCTCCCCGATTCCCACAAACGCCATGTTCATAAACAAGAGTAAAAGACGATCCAAAAGCTGCGAAATTAAGATGGCGTGTAGGTGCGATTAAATATGGTAAAGATGATAAAGGCGGTGTGTATGGAGAGAAAGCATGTGGAAGCTGCCAAAGAAGAGTCGCATGGTCTAGCGCAGGAAAGATAGGGAGACGGAGAAGTAGAACTGCGCGAAATGCTCAATGGGCTGTTGTAAATCGTGTATGCGTATCGAAGAAGTCGTGTCCAGGTGTATAGCCGAGAAGTGTGATAAGCCAGACGGTCAAAAGAGCTCAGACCTGCATCGACTCGTCATCCACCGTCATCTGGTCATCGTCGGCGTATGCCAGCTGCGCCCAGACTCGCCAGTGCAGAATGCCGAGGTGTGCCAGCCTGGTCGCAATGTCATCCATGCTCGCCTCGTCGTAAGGCTCCCGCGAAAGGCCGTCGGTATCGCGATCCGCAGTAGCAGGGCGACGGCTGGGAACACGGACACCAGTGGCCACCGAGAACAAGGCAACTCCAGAGAGCCCCTTGAACTCGCGGACGCGGTGGCCAAGATCAGCCATCAGGCGGGTGAGGAAGCTCTCCTCAACGTCCCGGTAGTAGCAGGCATCGACATCGCCAAGAGCGGCAGCCAGTCTGGCCTCGAGCTCGGGAAGGGCGGTGGACGGCAGGTTGACAAAGCGGAAGATCTGCAGCGCCATGGACGGAGCCATCATCTGCCATCGAGCAGAGGGTTGGCTGGCAGGCGGCGAGGTCTGCAGTAGTGCGACCAGGGTCTGGAAGAGCTCACGGGCCTTGGTCTGGGAGTCTTGCCTGGGCGCGACATATGAGGGGACGACGAATGACGAACGAGGGGATGACGAGGCAGAGCCTGCTGCGCTGTGGACGACACTCGAGGGCCGAGAGACCGACGGCGGCGTGTTGAAGTCGAACCTGTCCATAATGTCCTCGACGTGGGAGGCGCAGTCTGACGAGGGGGGCGCGGGACTACTGCGACGGCTCATCTTGTCGAAATCCTCATAGACGCGCATGCACACCTCGAGGTTGATGGCGTCGAGGACGTCGGCCCTCAGCTTCATCAGCCGCTCCTCGTCAAAGAGGAACGTGTTGGGCAGCCGTTCGTCCCAGGCCGAGGGCAGCAGCAGCCTCGACAGGGCCTCGAAGAAGACGCCCATGTCGCCAAAGGACTGCGAAGGGTGAAGGCGGCTGTCGGTGTACGCCTGCTCCGCCTCCTTGTACCACTGCCGTGACATGGTGATGTCCGTCTTGCCCGAGTCCATCCTCTTGATGAAGAACTTCTGCTCAAAGTGGGTGGTATCCTCGATCAGGACGGGTCGCAGGCAGCGGATCTGGTGGTTGGCCACGTCCAGCTTCATGGCCTCGAGGACGCTCAGCAGGCTGCGCATGCCGGTGACGAGCTCGTCGAGGTCCATGTTCCGGTTCCCGTTGCTCAACTGGTTGTACATGGTGTCAACCCACTCATCGCGCATGGGCGCGCAGTGCGATTTCAGCACCCGCGAGAGCCACAGGGCCAGCTTCTCCAGGTCGGCCACCCCCTTGTGGAACTGCTGCATGAGGAGCTCGACATTGAGGCCTTCGTCCAGGAACTGGCGGTCGCGCTGGGGAACCAGCGTCTGGATGATGTCCTTGACGGCCTTGAGCAGAATGGGCAGCGTCCACTCGTCGCTATCGCCATGCTTGTAGATGAACGTGGGCCTGTCCATGATGAACTCTGACAGCTCCTGCTTCAGCGTCCTCCAAAACTGGTTCGCCTTGTCCTGCTTCCTGCGGCCCTTTTCTCCGTCGAGGTTCGGGCGGAAGTGAAGCTCTGGGTCGAAGTTGATGTCGTGACGGAGCTTGGGGTTGTGGATGATCTTGGAAACGTCGAGCTCGCTCAGTGTAGATCTTGTGACGGGCGGCTCCAGAGGTAATGTGTGCAGGGAGGCTGGCAGGCTGGGTTCTGGGCTGGGGGTGACCGATCCGGATCCCACTGAGATGGCAGAGTCGGACGAGGGATTGCGGGTTAGGGGTGCGGACTCGGGCGCCGAGGCGCGGGGGTCGGCCTGACACTGTCGAGGCGAGACCTGTGATGTTGACTGTGCAATCTCCTGCGCCGTCTCTTCTTGGCTCGCTGGAGGGACTTCAGACTCCTTCATGGGCTCCGCGTCGTTCTTGGTCGGGCACGGGGCCGAGGTGGACAGCTGCCTCCGGGATCGCTCTATCGAGCCTCCTGTTTCCTGCTCCGGCACCATCTTTGCGAAAGTGATAGAAAGGTCGGCTGCTGAAATGAGAAAAAAGAGTGTAAAAGCCGGCGAAATCGAGGCTCTTCCCGTTCTATATTCTATAGGTGGTTGCAAGCGATTCGCTTTCGGTAACCGGCAAGTATCAGTGTGATTTGGGTGAAAGTCGCTGCTGGTTCGGCAAAGGCGAGGAGGGCTGGGTTGTTAAGTGAGCGTATGACCTCGACTGCAGAGAGAGCTGACGGTTAGCATTTTAACTTGTACCAGGCTATACGCAAAGCATCTCAAAGAGAGTGTAACCGATCCAATGAACGGAGCGGTTAACAGCAGACACCATCGGCTACCCAGGGTTACCACGCCTTGGCCTCTTTGCGTGTTGTCGAACAAGCCCACAAAGAACATCAAAGGACGGACGTTGCCCCCTTTCAGGGGTGGCCGGGGTGTGTGGCGGTCGTCCAAGTGCCGGGAATGGCACAGTGAGGCCGGGTGCCGATTGGGGGTTGGAGTTTGCTTTGTCTGAACGGCTGTATACTTACTTTGGTGTATATAACAAGGCGGATGGTCGCTTGATGTGTGTATATCCGGGATTCGATTCCTTTATCCCTTTGGGTTTCCTCTCGATCTATAATTGGTCTGCCAGGTCTGGCCGCTCTTGAGAGTTTCAAAACGAAACCAAGTCGCTGGGAGACAACTCTCGCTAACAAGACAAGGCCGGATTCGCAAGTGGGAGCACAATGGCTGGGTTTGTCGACGCCAAACTGGTCAGGTGAAGCACAAGGGACACGCCAAGTGAAGGAAGCTGTGAAAGCAGTATCAAAGAGAGAGTGTATGGGAGGATGGGTGGTGAGAGAGGAAAGATGGAAGGGAGGGAAGATAGAAGAGAGAAGTAGAAGTAGGAGGAGGGTAGAAGAAGAGAAGAAGAAGAAGGAAAGGAAAAAAGAAGGAAGAAAAGCAGGACAATTAGTCAAGTTGAAGTAGGAGGCGTCTGGCAGCAGGACTAGTGAGTTGGTCGCCAGAGAGAGAAAAAGGAGCGGAAAGACGGGACCCTGGGAGACGGACGGAGATGGCACGAGGATGGCAGGGCCAGCCCATGGAGGTGCGAGGTATCGTGTACATGCGACATATCCAGCCCAGGTGTCCCAGGATCGGGAGGGTAAGGTACCAGGTCGGGTCAGGTATGGGGGGGACGACTGCGAAGGGGAGTGAAGGGGAGGCGCCGGTCGGTACCTGTGCTGCAGTCGCCGCCGTCGGTACCGGTACCTGTGTCCGTGCCCGGCTGGGCGACTCGAGTCGAGGCATGGTGGAGGCCCCCCCGGTACCGCTACCTCTACTCCCTGACGGCTGCAGGTGACGGTACCGACACTGGGTACGAGGGTCACCCAGCACTGGCGCATGCAGGCCCAAGAGACCTCCTGAAGGGCTAGCGCTCTAGTGAGCTGTGGAGGGAGGACTGCAATCTTAGGTGTGCCTGAAGTACTGCATACCTAGCGGTGGGCGTCCGAGAGCCTGAACTGGCGCTGCAGCGTGGCAATGCGGGCGAGGCGTCGGCGAGCGCGAGGTAGCGGATACCTGGGCCCGGAACGAGCATCAAGTACCGAGTACGGGGCGCTGTTCTGACGGCGCAATGCGGCAGTCGCAGCCAGGGCGCCACTACCACCTAAACTTCGTCGCGGCATGTATGTACATCCAATACGATGTGTACACACACAGAGGTAAGGTAGGGGCCAATTGATTGATCCAGTGCACAGCACAGCACAGCGAGGCCACTGCAGCTGCGGCAGCACCTACCTTGCCAACCTGCCTTACCTTACTTACTCCGTGCATACCTTATACGGCCGCATGTACGAGGTACCTCCACAAGGGGGGGGACACGCCTCTCCGGTGCAGCACCGAGGGATGACGGGAGGGTTGGAGGGCTGGAGGGTTGGAGAATCAGAGGGTTGGAGGGAGTTTGCTTGCGCTGCGACACTCAATGTTATGTTCCATGGCACTGATGCAAGTGGGCTTGGGCGAAAAGGTAAGGTAGGTATGGATACAGGTGCCATGTACGACAAGGGACAGAGTTCGGGGCAAGAGTGAGCGGTGCGAGGTACATGTACCTGTGCGAGTCGAGGTTGAGGGAGGTCTGGGGCTCGGAATGGTCGTCGCATGTACTTCGTCGCACCCGCGGCAACAGTGGAAGTGAGAAAAAAAAAAAAGAAAGAAAAAAAGAACCGACAACTCTTGCAGGAAGGGGTGGAGACTCGAGAAGCCATCTGGGGGGGGCGGTGGCAGCAGAAGAAGAAAAAAGAGAAAAAGGAAAAGGAAAACTGAAAATTAGAACAGCCATGCCGCTGGAGGCGCTATCGGGCGCTGACCACGCATGGCTTTTGGGAGCAGCAACATGGCGGCGTCTGGCCCTTTCGGAGGGGGGAGCAAGACTTCGAAATCGCTGGTTCAACCTCAAGCCACCTCGCCAGGGGGGCGCTGCTTAGCACAAGGTCACGGTACCTGCTCCTGCACTCATACCTGGCCGTGGACGGGATGGGATGCCCGTACGCTAGAGAGATTGAGTTGTGAGAGCCCTGAATAAGTTGAGGGTGAGGCGTGGGGGAAGACGGCGAGCCCCCTTGTTGACACCACACTGTGTGGCCTCGCGGCTGCTGGCATGCTATTAATGCTCACGCTCATGCTCACGCTCACCACACTCACCACTCACCACTCACACTCACGCTCACGCTCACACTCACACTCGCTGGCAGAGCAAGGTTTGGGTGTGTGGACTGTGTGGCCTGCGGCCTGCGGTTGCTTGTCCCAAAGTTCGAAGCATTGCTCTGACGGAGGTGGTGGGTACACCGTAAGTTGCTCTCCGTAATAGCCACCAGCCCTTGCGTTGGCCTCTGCGTCTCAATGCAAGCCAAAAGGCCAAACGCCGCGGCTTGAGAGAAAAAAAAAATAGTTTTCAACAGGGCGGACCGCTCATGACTAAGGGAAGAGCATGGAACGCCTCAGGAAGGGAGGCGGACCTCTGAATAATCGTCCAGGCTGCGGCGAAAAGACACGGCGAAGAGGCGCCAATAGGCGCAAATAGACCAACTCGAGACGCAAGAGGCGCTGGACCATCGACCTTGAAACGGCCGGGGTGCCATTTCCTGCCCGTCCAGTGTCCGGTGTCCGTTGCGGTGTCCGTTCTCCAGTGGCCAGTGTCCCGTCCAGCAGCCGGCCTGTGCAGCATAGTCGTATGTTTTTGATTCAATCTCCGTCGTATTGTTATGCCCGACTAGGTAGTTGTCGTCAAAGGTGCAGGCCGAATTGCCACGTCTGTCGCCTAAGCCAATGCCCTGCAGCGGCTAGGCGTCGGCGTGAGATATCGCAATTCAGGTGCAAGATGGAGGCTGTTCGGTGGTCGTGTCTGAATAATCAGGCATTTGGAAGCGCCACGATGCTCCCAGCCATTTCGGCGCTGGTGGCGGACAAGCCTCGTATTGGCCATTCCAGTTCCACGGCGGTCTTATGCCACCCGACACCAGAGACCCCAAAAGTTTGAACTTGTCTGCAGTTTGTCGGTCGTGGGCAAACTGAGCACACACAGCCCAGTTTGACAGTGCAGACAGCATCAAAAGGCCACACCTGCCCCAGTGCGTGCACTAGCACCGCTAGAGTGCCTCAGCAGCGCAACATGACAGCCTGTCACGCAGCCAAGTGCCACATAGCAGCGCCTCATCAGGCTAGACAATGGCAACCGGAGAACCCTTTCCCTTGGCCAATTCCCTTGCCATGTCCAAAGCAGCCGCTTCGTCGGCTCTTGAATGGCACGGCCCTTGTTGCCGGTACATCTCCGTTTTTCATTTGCCATCGGCTCCGACCAACGAGCGAGCCGGTGCCGGGCGAGGGATGGCCACCCAAGCGACGACGACGACGAACAACTGCAGCTGCAGCTCCTTTTTGCCACCAGGCTGACACGCCGATTATTTCTTGTATGCCGTAGTCCGTATGCACTTCGTTCTATGTTGGTCTTGGCGCGGCTGGCCACTGGAACAGCAAAGAGGACGGCAAACGACCAGGCTAACAGGGTAGGCCCTTGTAGAGTGTGGGATGACACGTTCGATGGGATACCAATCTTGCCAGTAGTGGATGAGGTTAATGCTAATCCGGCCGTGTTCTATAATTGTTCGTCGAGGCATCTTGTTGTCGTTGCCTGGCGGCACAGATCTTGGGGTATTGAAACAAGGATGTAACGCTGACCTGGGTTAGTATGTGTTTACCTACTTGTGCATGTTGCATTGACACACCACGTTTCCCGCTCCTGGCCACTGGTCTGAAGTACATCCGTACCATGCTGCAGTATGGTCGACGGGAAGTGAAGGGGGGGAGAGAAAAGAGGAAATGAAAGAAATGACGGGACCGAAGAGCGTTGCTTCGGATTGGGCGAGTCCGCAGATCATCTATCAGAGAGTCAGAGGGCATGGAACGACAGCCAACGCATCGGCAAACTGTCCGTTGACGGGACTCGACTCATATTACCTACAGTACACCACTCCGTAACCTCCCGCTCGCTCCGTTTGACTCCATTGGAAAATCAGCGGCAAATTGGGCGACGATACATACAGAACAGCACACAGCACAATACAGCACGGCGGCTGTTTGTTCTGCTTGCCTAGACGAGACATGCTCCAGGGGTCGCCGCCAATTGGATGGCGCCCCTGAGGCTGGAGAAGACCCCTGTTCCCCGACGCCGCACCAGGCAGCTGGTACCCCAACCCCTTTGGGTGCGAAAAGGGCCACCATGCGCTAATGAAGCGAAGAGAAGGGGACAAGAGGGCGAGAACCACGAGAAACGGACGCTGGTTTCGAACGGTTGGAAAGGCGAGGAGTCGTCTTGATTCCCTTCTTCTTTCATCTGGTCACCCATGGCAGCATCAAATGTCGTCATCCAAAGATGGCCAGGGCCGCAAGTGGTTGGCCCAAGGATCTGTGCGTGCTTTTCCATGGCTTTGTGTGGTTTGCTGCCTGGGGGAACGTCC